TTTGGGGAAGTTCCAGAAGATTCCAGGCTCCCAAAAGCAGAGGGCTCGGCTTTCTGTTTCGAAAAGTGTTGATTTTCTGTCCTGACGCTCCAACAAAGTGCTTGATCTTTTCGGTGCGGTTCCCTTCTGAAGTGCCGCCCAGTTCCTCTTCAATCTGTCATCGAAAAAAAAAAAAACGATGGTTAGTTATTTTGTCGCATTCTAACCGTAACCTCATGCTTCGCCCCAGTGAGACGTCACAGTCACATGTGCCGGATTGACCAAGAATTTAGTGTTTATTCTTTAAAGCAAATTTGACCTGGTCCAGCCTCTCAAATGGGAGGAGTCAGTCAACTAAAAGAAATTAAGCATACGTCCACACTGTCTAATGTACTTGCTGATGCTCCAGAGGGCACTACCCCCCTACTTCCTTCACAAATATTTACCCAGGTAACTGAACCCAACACCTTTCCTTCAACATATCAGGGCAATAATTAGAACAAAAAATCTGTTGCTTGTCAACTGTATGTACTCAATGTACTCAATTATTTGCGAATGCCTTTCAGTTCCGAAACTTACCTTCTGTTCAAGGTGCGCTCTGCGTATGGAGACCTTCTGCTCGAGTTTCTGCTGCTCTCGCTCGTGTTGGGCCTCCATCTGCGACTTGGTTTTTCTCTGGTAGGCGTCCAGGAGCTCCATCTCTTGCTTCAGCTGCTGCTTCAGGGCCTGGCACTCCGCTTCCTGCTCTGCGTCCAATCGCATCTACGGAGCCAGGGGAGACACAGGTAGTTACAAGCACAGTAACAACGAAAACCACCACAGGCCAACAGCTCTAGAAATGAAAATGTCCGCGGTGAGGTCGTGAATAGCCGACACGGTTCGCGACCGTTGCCCCTCAGTCTGAAGTGAAGAGCGAAAGGACTTTAGAAGAAGGACTAATTAGTATGTTCTAATTAGTCCTTCTTCTAAAGTCCTTTAGAAGATCAGAAGAGCGTTACAAAGTCCTTTAGAAGAAGAACTAGAAGAAGGAATGGTGAACCGGGCGCACTTCTGCTATCCAATGACAAGGCTCTTCAGGATCCTCGTACCGCTTGTGAAGCCATCATCTCGTTGATGCTCTGCTCATACTGCTCAGCCAGTACGGCCAGCTTGCGTGTCTGCTCCTCCTTAAGGCTCTTCAGGATAATCTTGTGGTCGCCTTTTGGGGAGACCTCCAGCTGATGGTTCCTCAGAGCTTTGTACTGCTTGTTCTGCACCTTGCACGTGTCCTGGAACTGTTTTTTGATCTGCATCTCCAACATCTACAGAGGGATGAAGGGAAAAGATAAACCAGAAGCACGGGGGGGATTGTTGGTATTGTTTCATTTTGACTTCAACGTTGGTGCAAAACCGTTCTATTGACAATAAAACAATTAAAGAATGACCAGTCGGCTGTTTGGCTGTCTTGCAATTTCTCTCTCAGTTAGACTGGTAACCAAACAACTTGCATGCTTTTAATATCAAACAAATGTCAAGTTTCTTAAATGGATGATGTGGAAGAAATGTAGTCATTAATGAATTTATTGCGGTGACATTGCATACAGAAAGTGAGCTTTTCCTTCTCAACTGTGTAGCTAAAACAAGCCAAACTAAGAGTTTGACTCAGGTAGGAAACACATTTTCAGAATAAGCAGCGTTTTTTCTACATAATTCCGATGGGCAATTTGGAACTAGAAGACAAGGTAAATTGAATGCCAGGGATGCAGAAGAGCCAAGGGGACACATGTACAGAGCTTTCGTATCAAACCCGTGGAGCGATCTACCTGTCGAAACAAACTTTTAAAACCCGTTGGAAGTTTGTTCCCGGTATCAACTCACTAAATGACCGCAAAGAGTTGCAAAGAGAAAGCTCCAGGCACCTTGAGGTCTCTGGGCTGCTGCCGCTGCTCCATGGTGTGTTTCCTGTGCAGCTCTCTCTGCCGTCGGCCGTTGTACTCCTCCTGGTTCTCCAGCTCCGTCTGGTGCTGCAGCCGCATGAGCTCAACGCGTAGCTTCTGCAGCATCAGCAGCTGCCTGCGCTCCATGTCCTGAGTGGACTCGTCCTGCCGGATCATCAAGGCGTGTTCCATCTCCTTCTGGGTGCTCTTCTTGTTCAGCTCCTGGGAAAACAAGTTTGGGATGGGATCATTTACGAATTCGGCAAAGGTCCTTTACTTCTTTGCTTCTTTTTTTTTTGCTGATGTTTAATTTCAGTATCAGTAGTATTGTCTTCTTTTGACACAACTTAAAATAAGTAGCAATTTTCCAACAACATTGTTAGTTACTCAGACTGAAGCTCGTCTTCTGATCAATTTGATTAGGAAATGATGGTCTAAAAAGTCACACTAGAATTTTTGCATGTCATTTAGCTCCATTTACCTGTGGGTTAATGCTATATTTAATAAAAATGCATGTTTTCATGATGTTAGTAATGGTTGCCTAAAATGCTAAATTGTAATTGTATTTATAAAGTCAAATATAAAAATGTTTTGTGGGAAGTGAGTCAATCTCAAAAGTAGCATTTACTGTTATTTTTTTCTGTGAATTCAATCCCTCTGGATTGTTGGAAAGTTGGTTGTGGTTTTGCACAAGTAATCGAACAATAATGAACAAATAATTCAGAATGAAAACCATTATCTGCAGCCTTATCCCGGGCTTAGCCTCGACCAAATCTATTTGTTCAATGGAATCTGGTACCGATAGAGTCCTCGCAGTGATTATTTCACCAAATATTCCCCTAATATTGACATCTTCTGAAAAAACAAGCAGTGTTTTCCAAAACCGTGTTGTTTGATTCTGCCGTCGTCTGCAGAGTCTTCTTACACATGCCGGTATGTCACGACGGTGAACCACGTTACCTCTCTCAGTTGCTCCTGTTCGAACTCTTGCTTCCTGACCAGACTCCGGCGCTTCAGGGCCCTGCAGCTGCGGTCGTAGACCAGCCTCTGCTGGGTCAACAGGTGAGCTTCCTCCTCCGCCTGAGAGCGCTGTATTGTTTCTTTGTGCCTGGACAGACGCTCCTGCTTCTCTTCCTTGGCTGTGTCGGGGTCTTCGCTCATCTCCTGTAACACAAACTCAAGGATTACATGTTCCAAATTCATAATGTGCGGGATATTAAACTTTGCGTTGAATCTTTGTGGGATATTTACTTCTTTGATCTTGTCCTTGCAGAGCCTGTACTCCTTTTTCTGATTCTCTAAGAAAGTTGTCAGCTCTTTTTTTTGCTGAGCAACAATCTGTTGCTGGATCCGCCTCTCTCTCAGCTGCCACTGACTTCATCTGTGAAGAGACGTTCAAGTTTTTAAATGCACACCCCTTTATGATCTTATCACTGCAAGTACAGAACATAGTTGAGTTTTACCTCTTTGTCTGTTTGAGCCGTGTGCCGTTTGGCAAGTCTTTCCAGCTCAATGTAAGTGTTGTTTGCATGTGTTTCTAATTCCTTCTGCAACCGGAGCTTATGCTCATCCATCTCGGCCTTTAGCCTGTTCTCCAGGGCGATCAGCTGCTTCTGGTGCTGCCGCCGCATGCGTTTATACCCAGACATCTGCTCCCGCAGCTCAAAGTCCTGCTCATGCTCCTGGATCTACCTGATGACCTAGACAGAGGAACACAGGAAGCAGGAAGTAAAAGAAACGGAGCGGGCGCAGAGAAGCGAGAGTGTGAAATCAGGCGGAAAGAAAAGGAAGACCTTCAGAGGCCATGGCACACAAGAACATAATGTAGAGCAAACAAGAATTCTTCAAACTGGACAGTAGAGTGCAGATTACTACACACCCACAATAGTACTAAAAGTTAACACGGGTTGATACAAACATCTGACAATCCTTTAGGGTTGAATAGCTATGTCTTTCTGCGTTGGTGTCACAGCAACTAGGTGAAGTTCATCAATAGGCTCTGCGGTTTAATACTTATTAGAGTCGACTCTTAACACCTGTCGACATCAACACGAGTTAATCAATCCATCATCAAAGCTGCAAACGTCATTTAAAATGTATAATACCACTGTAAAATGACTACTTAAGATCACCACGGGAGAAGATGTTTAAACCAATTTTACCAGTCCGAGGAAAAACGGAGTCTCACTGGTAATACATGTAATATTTATATGGAACACATATAAATTCAATGCACACACATAAAAGCAGCGGCAGAGAAGGGAAGCTGAGGATGGAGAAAAAAATGACATCCATTAACAGGATCTGGTTGCCATGACTACAGATGTACAGCTGAGAACACAGACACCCCCCCTCCTCACCTCCCGCCGCCAACACGCACACACGCACACATATACTAACACGCGCGCGCGCGCGCGCGAGCACCAGCGGGTTTTTTTTTTTTCTCATGCCAACGGAGAGGGAGAGAGGGGGAGAGGGGGGAGCTGCGTACCAAAGATGCTGATTTGATGGTGGCAATGTGTTCACAGATCTTGCAGTCGAGAGACCGGCTCTTGTGAGAAGTAGGCCGCAGCTCTGGCCTGGTGTCCCTGTGCACAGCCTCATCCCTCACGCAAGCATGGTCCTGCAGGGGGGGAGGAAAAGGAGGAGATAGTGGGGCTGGGTGCTTCCCAGGCCCTCCGCACTCGCTGTTTCTGCTAGAGCTGCTATTATTGGCGAATCTCCCTGAATGCAGCACACATCCAGCTTTAAATGCATCCTTCCCCCGCTTGTTCCCCCGCTACTGTCTGCAAGTTCTTCCTACGAGAGAAAAGGGCATTGCTAAACCAATGCAGGCACCACCGAAAAGGCAGCTACTGGATGTAGTCGGGTTTTTTTTTTTCTGGCGTCCCCCTCTCCTCAAAGAGGAAGAAGCAAATGGCTCCGGTGGATAAGGTTGAAATATGCAATGCCTACCATTGATACTCGCAGAAAGATTGCACAGGGATGTATCTAACTGCCACTCTTCTTTTCCGTTTCAAAATGCAAGAAATGTTTGGGAGGAAAAATACTTTTCCTGTGTTCCAGTGATCGCATGTGGTACCATAGTTAAAAACATTGGAATCAGATAAGGCACATCCAAACATGGTTTTCCCTCGAATATGTCGCTTGATGATCCGTTTGTATTCCACTCGAATTTCTGTCCTACATTTACAGCGCACTTGGTCATGGTAGGTGGTTCTGGTGCCTTCTATTCATCTCTTTCCTCTGTCCCTCTTCTACACTCCCCCTTCCTTTAAAGAGACACCGCAATACTACAGCCAACCAGGCTAAAGTTATCTCACAGCAGGCTCCATCGCAAGGTTTGGATAGAAATAGGAACCAATGTGATAAGACAAATGTTCACTTAAATAGAAGTCAGTGTTTGTTTGTAACGCTCTCCTGATCGAAATGCTTCAGTATCATAATGCTATAAAAGAAAATACAAAATGCAAGCTTCCTTTATGATGCATTTTCGAGGAAAATATATTTTTGCAATGCTCTTCTTCTTTTCATCAATGAGACCTATATTTTTATTCACGTATTATGGAGATTACTTGTTTTTTCGTTAGACTACGGAAGCAAACGGAGCGTTTGTTTTATACTTGCCACTGTATTATTCCTGCCACTACTACGTGTGGCCGCTGGGGGGCGACAGAGACAAACATTTAGATGGTGTGTCTCTCCATGGTGCTGAAAATACCTCCATAAATCACAAGTCCCGCCATCATTTTTGCCACTACGCGCACTACTTCCGCATTGACCACAAAACACAAAATACACCGTATCAATCATTGCAACTGCATCAAACATTGCAACTGCATGTTTGATACGATGTATTTTGTGAAAACCAAATTTCAATGCAAACCACCTCAAATGCCAAACCGCCTGGAACACCATAGCAACCACTTAACCACCTAGAACAACCCTAACCCAGCAGAACACCATAGCAACCACTTAACAACCTAGCACAACCCTAACCCAGCAGAACACCATAGCAACCACTTAACCACCAAGCACAACCCTAACCCAGCAGAACACCATAGCAACCACTTAACAACCTAGCACAACCCTAACCCAGCAGAACACCATAGCAACCACTTAACAACCTAGCACAACCCTAACCCAGCAGCACACAACAGCAACCACTTAACCACCTAGCACAACTCTAACCCAGCAGAACACAACAGCAACCACTTAACAACCTAGCACAACTCTAACACAGCAGAACACCATAGCAACCACTTAACAACCACCTAGCAACCCTAACCCTATAGAACACATCAGCAACCAGCTCGTAGCTACCTGGAAATGCCATTAAAACTCCTTAGTCAGGGTTAGGGTTAGTGTTGAAATTTACATAGCAACTTATCCAAACACAGCAAACATCTGAAAGAACACAAAGCCACAGCGAAAATACATTTGTGGATTTGCATTTTGGGCAAATCAATCTTAAGTGATTGTTTTGCCTCCTTCCTCGCTTTAATGACCCAAGATCAAGACAAATTCAAAGTAACAGCATTTCATTATAGAGCATGCTGTAAAATATACATTTAGATATAATATGAATATAATATAAATTCAACACCGTAAACCTTGAAAGATTATTGTGATCTTTTTATTTGGTAAGATAACCTAAAGCATCTTAACTTACTAACATCTCTAATTTTCCACATCTATATTTAGATATATAAATGTATATTTCTTTTCTTCACTGTATCTATCTGATTATTTCCATGACATAAATTACAAATACTGTAGTACAAATAGAGTAACCCCTTCAACGTCAACATGTGATACCTAATTCCACCAGTAGATGCCACTGTTTACCTTTGAGTGGACTTCATCCGATCGGCCTCACTTTTACTCTTGAACATTTTAGCATTCAATGCATATTTAATGTAAAATTAATGTGGCTTGCAGAAGACATCAATTGACGACATTGCATTTTAAATCTATTGATCTGGTGCAATAAACTTATAACTGTGAATATACTTGATACAAGTCTAACTTAATGAGATCAAAATCAATTCCAAAGACTAAAATGTCTTTCAAAGATGGACACTGGTGTCAAAATATTCAGCTAAATAGAACTTGCCCTCTTGTTTATAATAAGTTTAAAAATAGAACAATGGATGAGTCATCAATACAAGTTAAACTCGTTTCTATAAATCAAATAATCGTTTCACCAAAACATTGATAATAAAGGACAGATGAAAAAAAAGGTTTTGTTCATTTGGCCGGAGCCGTTTAATACATTTGTGGCAGATATATCCAAACAACATCCATATTCTGATCGTTAATGCACAAACTTACAACGTTCAGAACAAACACACAAAATTAATACATGCTTCAGCTTTTACAGTGTTTCTTTCTTTTTGCGCAAGTAAACACAAACATAACATCATTTCTGAGTTATCTCGGCATGTTACACAGAAGCACAACATGACATACACACATTTTTGTTATAAGGTGAACAAGCTGTTTGGATATAAATAGTCCATTTCCACTGTCTATTCTTGGTCTGTACTGTAAGCCGTGATACTCCCATCGGTCGTGTAAGGTAAATAAAGTTTCTAGCCTTCACTGCTTTATATATTTCACATATTAGAATATCATAAAACCTGATGGTATGTTGTTAGGAGTACAAGGTCGTACTAATCTATTTACAAGCGAAGACAAGCAAAATTATATTCAGAGTTGATTCTGTATTATGTTGGTGAGAAGTTTTTTTTTTCATGCCAGTGCTACAAAAGTCCTAATACACAACTTGGGCATCATCTGATTGTAGTTTCAAATTCTATCTTACTGGTTTCACTTCTCACCGTCCTGCTGATCCGTCCGTCTGATCTGAACGGGTATCACGATCTCATTGGGTGGGTTGCTGACGGATGTTCCCGGGGCGGGGGCCTCCACGGACAGAACACCGTCACCGGACAGCGAGGAGCTGATGTGCTGCAAGTCCACCCCCATCGGCAGCCTTGAAGAGAGGAGGAGAAGGTTCACGTGGACCTCTTGCCTCACACATTGTTCCATCACGCGGTGCACGTTTATCGTGATGATTCACTTTCTCACAGAGACTTACTTGTATTTCCGGGTGAAGCACCTGGAAACAGATCCGTGCTCGTCTTGCTTTTCTTCATGATTTCCTTTCAGTCATGAAAATAAGACAAGGAAAGGTATACTTTTTTTTCTGTCACATCTCAAAAATAGCTCAATCAGAGAATCATGCGCAGCGTACCTGATATTTGCAAATAACCCTCTTTGGTGGTGATCGTAATTTCCTCAGGTGAGAAGTGATTGACGTCCAGGTTTATCTTCCAGCTGTCCTGCCCCGTCTGGATCTCTGACACTCCGCTTGCTCGCTGCCTCTGACCCTTTTGGTTCAGCGCCGGAGGGCACTGACCCCCGAACGGAGGCAGAAGGGGTGATTGTGTGTAACCCGGCCAGGAGAAAGACGCCAGTCTCCTCTTGGACCACTCTATCCAGTCCAGATCGCCGGAATCCAGGAAAGGAGGGAGTCCAAAATCCTGAGCAAAGATTCGACTCGGCTGCGTCCAGTTGGGGAAAGGATCCCAGCTCACATCTCGGCGGAAAATGGGACGGGATGATATTTTGTTTTGTTCCCCCATAGCCTAGAATACAAGGTCCCAGTGAAGGGAAAGTGTTGCGACTGAAAAAGCCCAATGAGCGAGCCTAGATTGATGACCTGGGCACTAAACAGTGACCACCATGGTTTCTATCCTCCACAGAAAGGGAGCAAGAGGAAAAGGCTGCTTTGGCATCTGTGCCGCTCCACTCACACACATATATATAACCAGCGGATTCATTCCAACACTTGTTGTGATCTATGGGATGAGAGCGACTTGGTGTGCAATGAGCTGAGAGGGCGTTACTCCTCCGTTGCCCCGGGACCTGGAGAGGAAAATGCTAACTATTCTTTATTTATATCTCTGGAGTGTCCGTGGCAAGTTGCTGGCGAGTGACTGTGCACGCAGACAGTTTGGTTCAGCGGCGGCCTCTGCAGTCTTGTCACATACTGGCGCTCTTTGTCCACAGAAATCACAGCCTGGTGTTATGTGAGGGAACGGCACGTCCCGGCAGAGCCGGACGGTACACCACGGGGTCGCTTTCAGTTTCTCAACACAAGGTTTCAGGAAAAACAAAGACAGCAAAAGGCCTGTTTACATGCAGGGAAGAGGGACAGAGAGAGAGAGGCAGTGGAAGCATTCGAGTGGTGGTGAGGAATTCTGCATCCACTGCGTCCTCATTGGGGTTTAGGTGGTATAAATACAATGAGGTGAGCTTCAGGGGAATACATCTAGCCGTTTACCGTCAGAGAACAACGGCATTTATTAACGAGGTAATATCTGTCGCCTTTCCGTCTGCGCTCATCAGAAGCATCGGTCTGAAGTGACTTCATCGACAATGACAATACGTGGTAGAAATGTTCAACGAGCAGCTGCAGCGAGTAAATACGTAATGGCTGAAAACAATCGTTAGCAACACTATCTGTATTAAATCATCCAAGTATAAAGCAAGGAATCTCTCAATGTGTGTGGGTCCGTCCACAGTCAGTCCATAATTATTTGGGTCTGTACTCAACCACAATGGACTTTAAATGAAACAATAGAAATGTGCTTTAAGTGCAGACTTTCAGCTTCAATTTGAGGGTATTTATAAGCAAATCAGGTGAACAGTGTAGGACATACAAGATGTTTTATAGGTGTTACCTCTTTTTTGAATGGGATCAAAATGAATTAGACCCCTAATTTGTACAGTTTAACTTCGTTTCATCATCTTAAAAGGAAGGTTTCAAACGTCGTTTAGACGCCTTAGGATACTTAAGAGAATAAATGGAAACAACCACTGATAAAAGTTCTGAATATATATAGTTTATATTTAGTTTAAATTTTAATGGTTATATTTTGAGTTTAATTCAAATCTTCAACATGCAGAAAAAGAGAATTTAACTTCATATGGGATTTTCTCAATTGTCAGTATTGACGTCACAGCAGGAAAATAAAAAAACATATAAGTGCGAAAACAGTTTCTTACAGACCGAAATGAGAAAACACCGTTTACTCAAAAATCAATGGGTAGAGACAAAATGAGGACAAATCGTGGATACAAATAAAAATAAAACAAAATGCGTTCGTTGTGTTCTGTCTTAAGTTTGGCAGAACAATCCCAAAAATAACAAACATACATATTAAACTGAAGTCACAGATGACCGTCTATTTGTACAACTTTGTTGTCCAACAACGTTAAAAACTGTAAACATTGAGACAATATTCATCAGCATACGATGACAATCACATATATGAGTACAGAGTTCATTTAATCTCAGTCTGTTGGTTTAAATATACAGATGATGAGCAGCTCAACACTCAACAATAATGTTTAGATGGAAGGAGGTTGATGTTTCATCTATCAAATATTGTTAGCTTGTAAAACTGGCTAACAGAACGTCTTTGCGTTTGGCCTCCCCTTCAGAAATAGATCATCCAACTTGATGACTGATTGTAAATGATCTTACAAGCGTTTATGGTGGATGTGTTCAGAAATGCAAAACATGTTGGAGGTTCAGCACATTGATATCAGTGCAATAATACATTTATGCGACGGAATAAGCGGCGTGTAAACAATGCAGGGTGTAGTTGCTCTTTAACTAACTGTGCGCTGACCTTTGCCCAACCTGATTATCTATCAACACGGCTTGGTTTCTTGTTTGTGTCATGTGTGTCTCGAAGTGCATGCATTCATTTATAAATTTAAAGGTTTACGCTTGATGAACAGTTGAGTCCTCACTCGTCGTATCTTGTCCTGACCGTTCAGCTTTTCTGGAAGGGAAAAAAAAACACACACACACAAATAAAAACAGTGTAGACGCATTTTAGGAAAATGCAAATCCTCTTTGCACTTTTTTTCATATTGTGAGGATAATGCATTTTGGATATGCTATTTTGCAGATTATTGATACTTTACCTTTTCTGTTTCCTGGAGTAGAGTACGATCATCGTTATTATTAAAATCAGCGCTAACGCTCCAACGACTGAACCAACCACGATGCCTGCGATATTACCTGCCAGATGACAAAGATGTTGGTGTTGTTTTTAAGCGGAAGCTCAAGCAGAGGTGTTACGTTGTGTTTGTTTGATTTTATTGATTAATTTTAACCGAAAGGAAGAGAAATGGAACAAAGCTCCCAACTAATATATTTGTATATTAACTAGGATTTTAGCGGCACACATTGGATAACACTACATGTACTTTTGTCTCTGATAGAAAATATACATAATAGGCTGTTGCTGCTGAACATACTGAACAAATTTAATGGATTAAAGGACCTTATTGGTTTTAACCTACTGTGTATATAATTAGCCTTTGATTGAACGTATATTTTTTCAGGCAGCACAAAAAATGTGATTCTTGTAATCTGTGAGTACGGATTGCCTTGATGGATTCCTGATAATGTGTTTGATCGGTGGTTGGAGAGTTGAGGCAGGCATCCACAAGAAGCAGTGGAAGCAGGTCAATGATAATACATAGAATAAAGGTGTATTTTCTAACATTTTTTTGGTTTGTGTCTCTAGTTTGATGGACGAATGAGTTATTTTCTCTCTCTATTTGTTGCTGATTTGATGGATCAAGTGATGCACACAAGGACACAAACACACTCACACATACACACGCATGCTAAAATACAGACACTCACACATTTGCCACTGTTGATTTGTGAAGATCCGAATCATTGGACAGGACTGATTTCATTATTTATTCGTACTGGGAACCACGCAGGTTGTATCGTTTCCAGACCAGCTGCCGTTCCGCAGGCATTTTCTCTCTGCGGATCCTTTCAGAGTGAAGCCTTCGTTGCAGGAAAGATGCACAGTAGCTCCTTGTAAATAGCGGGTCCCCTGCTTCTTCCCATTATTTGGAGGTCCAAGCCATCCACAGGATATCACTGCACAGGACAACAATACCTGACCGAGTTAGTAATCGTACATAGTGGTAATTTTGTCGACATGTTTACATACTTGTACCTTGCTTTAGATCCTCTGCAAGAGAAACGTGACTCTGGAAAGACACTTTGGTTGCATTTCCCATTCTTGGACTGCGACCTACCAGGATGTCGTACCTACAGGGAAAGAAGAACTGATCAGAAAATAAGTTCCTTTGTAGAAAAATATAAATTCTCTGAATGTGTCATTCAAAAAAGAATCATTACAGGTTGAGATGTCATTGCTTTTAGGGTCGAGGGTCAAAATCTGAAAGCACTGCATCCTACATTTCCCACAATGCAAGTAGTCTTTTTTGAGATCTCCTTGTTTGGTAAATGCCAGTGTCTTCCAAACACTGGTATTTCATTTCGTAATTGTCTTAATGAGTGGATAAAAGTTTCCATGGCCTACCTGCAGTACTCAGCGCCCTCTCCGGTGCATATCTCATATGTCTGATTGGCTAATGGATCATCCGGACTCTTAGGGACAGAAAACACTGGAACAAAGCTATTGTCATGTCTGGAAACATAATAGTATGTGTTCAAAAGAATTTCTGAATCATATGTGAACAAGGCGGACTCGTTGGAGATGGCCCCTGCAACACAAAAAAGAAAGACAAACACTTGCATTACATTTATTTCAATTGAAGTGGAACCTTTTGAACATTATCTGCTTCATTAAAGATTTCCTGGAATGCAAATGCCTGATGCATGCAGGATTTCTTTTTTGTTTTTTTACCAACATGACAAGGTAACATTAGGAGTACCGGACATGCCAACATGATCTTCATTGCATGTCTGGAATCCATATACTTGATGTGCAACGTGGCTGAAGTCTAGATCTTACTGTCATAGATGCCTGATGTTATCCTGTCTGTCGATTGGCTCATTAGCAAATTACTCCTGGTTATCTAACTAGATTGTATGGGCTGCTGATGTGTATATATATAACATATACAAATCACACATGGAACTAGTCGCAGCACCAACTGAATTTTGAACAGCGCAACCCAATCTGCGGGGTGAATAACTTCTTACAGCTCGCCCCGAAGCCGAACACCTCCTCTGGATTGCTGAGGTTCCTCACGAGTTCGCCGTTGCTGAGAGCGAGGTCGTCTTTGGCGTCGCCGTTCATCTTTCCCAGCAGTCCGAGAGTGGAGTCGTTGAACTCCTCTGGCAGGAGCACTGTGGTCGTCACGGTTTCCCCTCTCAGTCGCACCTCCACCCCGGCTCCGCTCGGGAACATGACGGTCACGTTTCTGGAAGTGGGAGAAAACACGGACACACCTAGAAGGGAGATTTGTCATCGTGGTTTTTAAGAAGATTTACACCCAGCACGTTTGGACAATAGAAAAGCTCCTCGGGGTCTCACCCTGCAGGTCCATCCAGCTCTGCTCAGCGAAGGAGAGAGTTTTTTGATTCTGGAGAACTTCAAGGCCGCTGTGACCGCTGACCAGCCGCACCTCGACGACATCAGAGGACGTCTCTTTCATGGCCACGGCAGTCAGCTTTGTCGCTTTTATCGTGGCTGGTTAGAAAATCAGGTCAACAATGGTTGTTGTAATTTCTTTGTGTGTTCAGTCCCATTCACTAATCCCTGAGAAGGATTGAAAAGGTTCAAAAAGGTCAGTGCCTTCAGTCACTCACTATTCACAGGCTCCGTCCTTCCCTGGATGGTCAGCTGTGTCTTTGCCGAGGTCATCAGAGTGTACTCTCCCTTGCCGTTGAAGGAGTACCTGACACCGTCAAAGGTTACGAAGTGGGGATCTCCAAACACCACCGCTGTCGTTACGGGCAAAAGACGATTCATTAAACCAACGATCAAACAGTAAAACCACGAATGGTAACGCCGTACGCACCTGAGCTCGGTGGCCGGTACCTCCTGCAGTCGCTGGAGGGACGGTGTTTGAAGTAGTAGTGGCAGTTGTCGGACCACAGGCAGCAGTAGTAGAAGCTGAGGACGTCATAGACCCAGTGGGACTGTCCGGGGACTCGAGGGGGTCTCAGAAACGGAGATGAGCCCCAGTCGTGTGCTCGGTCTGGGGTGCTTCCCCCGATCGAGTCTCCTGTCAGCACCTGAGTGCCAGTGGCGTCGTAGCAACACTGCTGTCCCGCCGCATATTTGGGACTGTTGAAACATATCCAAGAAAGATTAGAGCAGAAACTAATGAGAATGGCATTTGTTTTTGCAGGTATACACAGTTTTACTATTCCAGATTCCGTAATTCAATTTGACGGTTTAAAAGAAGAGGGCTTAGGCCGGTATTTACAGCTGTTTAGTTATAGAGGGAGGAACCCGGGATCTGCCTTTGATGCTATAGCAGAGAATTAAATAGGCAGCCAAAAGGATGCATGTTGGAGTATACAAATGCATCACTTTTCTGTGCTATGGACTCTCATGTTTACTTTCACTATGTTGTAACACAGATTGATCCAGACTGACGGCTGACCGCTGAAAATGTTGCTCTTAAAACTACAGAATATATTAAGTAAATAATAGTGTGACATTGTCATTGCCACTGTTTGTGATACTAGAACACGACCGTGAAGGCAGGTCGACGGCTGTGAGGGAAGGACTCACCTGGCCTGTATGGCCCTCACACAGTGAACGCTCCCGGGGTGGTAGGTGCACACGCTGCCCTTCTCTATGTCACAGCCATAGTCGGTCTGAGGACAGAGACACAGTTTGTGCTGTCCGGTCCCCCAACTATGCGTTTCACTGTGCTTTGTGGTCCCTGTTAGTACGCTCAGTCACCATCACCCCATGTCACTCGCCTTTGAATGACTGTATCAGGGTTGCCTCACCCTCGCTTAAGGAAAAAGGCATAAAATCAATGCTGAAACGAGTTCAGCTGACAGACCCTGAGTTCAACCTCCCATTGACTTTGAACTGATAAGCAGGGAGTGGAAGCAAAGGGCCAGAGCCTCTGACAATCCCCATGAATTGGGGATTATTGCAGATGTCTTTTATCTACATTTAGGTAATAATCAACCCCACCGAATGTTACTTCACTGTGATGATTGTCATTTACGGTCTATCTTTAAATGGCGGGACCGTTGAACCGTGGAGTACACTTACGTGGAACCTCCCGGTGTCTGCTCTTGCTTGAGCCAGTGTGCAGGGGCAGTCTATGATCTCACTGAGGAAGTTGGGCAGCTCATTTTCCAACTGGTCCCACGCTAAACATTTCTCCAGGGCCCAGACCGTTGAGTTCTGCCTGAACTTGTCCTCCAGATGCCAGGCCAGGGCGTGATCCTCAGTCCACGCCGCTTGTACATCCCTTAGCGAAACGCATGAAGGTATTTTTACAGCCGACGCGTTGTAAGTGGATTTCTATAGTATAGCAGGTGTTTCGTACGTACCATCTGCCATCAGAGTTGTTGCTGGAGCTCACGCGCAGAGCGCCGACCTCCCAACTTGAAAAGCCGCTCTGCGCCGGTTTGGGCAAAAAGCTAAACGACCCATTGTTGAGCTGATTCTTGGCAAGTGAGTAGAGGTATTGCCACTCACCCTGCCAGTCGTTTGCGTAGGGTTTCCCTTCAATCAGACATTACGCAGAGTTCAGCGTTTTAAGGACCAACAATCCTGTGATCCATAAAGTGCACAAACCCACCTGTCTCCCTGTATCCCCACAGCTCTACGTTGACCCTCTCCGCTCTGACCAAAGACGTGTTCCATGTCATCTCAAGAGAGCCTCCAACCGCGGGTGTGCCGTAGTACTGCCATTTGGTGGAGTTGACAAGAATTGCCTTAAACTTAGCGTCTAACTTGCCAGTATGCACTGTAAAGGAACATATTCCAATCAAATCAGACCTCATCAATTGTATTTTAATGTTGCACTAAAGGGGAAACTAACAGTTTAGAAACTACATGGAAGAATATGCAGCTGGTTATTGTACCTGAGAGCCATGTTCCAACTCTATTGAATGTTGTGCCGTTATCAGAGGAGATGTGCAGGGAAACCCATCCTGTTTGATACAACAGTGGGGAGATGCAATGGCCTTGACCGCCTTCATCCACGTAGCCCACAGTGTCGATATTGCTGTTGAACCTGTTGTTATTACAGAACGATCACAAAGGTTTCTTTACTTTAACTATATGATTTTAATCTGGAACTTGAGTGGGAAAGTTTACTATATGTTTTTTTCAGTGTTTTAATAATACAATATTGATCAGAAGAGCTGATAAAGCCTGGTTTAAAGCCTGAAAAGATGTTTCTTCACTGTATTTTTCTTCACCATAATCAATCGACCAGTTCAAAGTTTAGCCATAACACATAAACCCTTGCGTGTAAAACAAGTTCTTACCTGCAGAGAAGCTCTGAACTCTTGTTGAATATCGCTTTGAGGACAATTAAATCTGTCCCACCCAAAATGGAGCCGGAGTATGGGAATACTTCAACACAGTACTCTCTATAGTCTGTACAGCAGTTCTTAAGAGCCACACATGTCGAGCGGCACGAGCACGAGTCAAATTTGTATCCACAACTTCCTTCACATGTCTGTCCTGTTCAAAATAAGGATGAAGGTGGAGTTTGCAGTTTACAGTTGTTTTTTTTTCAATCAAATAAAAGCAGCTTGTGTGTGCAGGTTATGATCGTTAAATAAACCGTAAAGACAATATATGCAGCCGTTTGGAAGGTGCTTACCTGATATCATACAGACACATGAAACCAGAAGGAAAAATATCACTGGTGTGAATCTTTCCATCATGATCGCGGTTTCTGCTGCTGCTTCAATTTAGTTCCAGCGTTTCAACTCAGCAGGTTTTTAAACCTTGGCCCATTTCATCACAGGCATTCACATAGATATGTTTAATCATCAACTAGTGGCCATTATGATAACAATCCTGACCCCATTTACCTTCACATGACTCCTCTTGCGGCAATTTATTGTTACTTTTTCGATCTCACTTGTGTTGCTTAACCCTGAACATCCATACAGAAATCCATAAACCCAAATAACAAATGTGACTTATTTCCGATTAGTGTCACTCTGACCTCACAAACCATTTGTCTTCTCTAAACACAGCAGCACCTTCCAGGTCCTGTGACTCTTTGGGGCTTTGGAGGCATTCAAAAAAAGATCTTATCATATTTAGATAAAGGTACAAGCTGTTAGGAAACTATTATGGGGATAAAACATGCTGTCGTGTTGAAGGAATATTTGTTTTAACAAATCCTACAGATAGTTGCATGTTGTGAAATAGGTGAGACACTATTTCATTAATTATTATGATTAAATATATTTTTTTTGTTTGAGCCCAGGTTACAATGTGGGCAATATTGGCATCTTAAGCTGAACTGCCCTTAACATTTGAGAATATGCGAATTCCAGATGCAAGCCTCTCATTTCTTTTCTGAACAGATTTTTATTTCATAACTTACATGCCGGTATTCGTGTTGGCCAGCAGAGCGTGCTGCAGTTTATACTTCCCCTCACTCCAACGCTAGTTTCACTGAGGCAAAATTCACCATTCCGAAGACTAAAACAAGTTACACTTTGACTCTTCACATCCTCATTTGTCTCCTGGCCAGCGACTTGGCATCGCCTTAAAGTCAAAGGCGGATGGGAATATAATCTCCTGCTGATTTCCCTTAGAGGTTTCTTTACAGAGGCTTAAAGAAATCCCTTAGGGGACTCGGGGGGCAAACAGCAGGCCAGTAGAGAGAGCTGCTGCCTTAGAGGTTATCTAAAAAACAATATACTCAAGTATAGATTGTCCAGCAGTCATTTGAAATGTCTTTTTTTGTTGTTCTGTAATAAAGTCATTATCCCCCAACAAATACGTGTTCTTTTCACATACTGATTCTGTGGTTTAACAGGTATTTCATGTAAAAACAAGAGTGACGTATTAAAAACATTTATGGCTGCACACCTTTTTTTTTAATGATAGTATCATCTACACAGGACACAAAAAAGCGATTACAAGTGCTTCTATTCATACTACAGACGTTTAATTTACCCAATTCTGAGCTGGGATCAGTTTGTTGATATATAGATGATTTAAACTGCTGACAGGGACAAGCAGACCCAATGACGTTCCCACTAGGCTCTACTGCTAGTTCTTTGTCTGCTCTACTGAGATATTGGCCGTGTAACGTTTATCACTGGATAACATTGTCATGAAGATGCAAAAAAAAAGTTAAAAAGCAACTGACATGGAACAAAATTGGCAACAACCCTGGAGCAGTGTTCCAGAACAAACCCGGCTGTCACTCAAACGCAGCCACATCATCTGGACTTGGTTCTGGTGGATTCCTGACGAAGAAAGCAAACGCTTTTTGTCAACCGTTGACGCAAATGGTCGCCTTAAACGCGATGCTTCGATGATGTTCACACTCACCACCATCAAGTGGCCGTTCTTTGCCCTGTAGACCATCGACTCCTGCCCACTCTTGAAGTCCACAAACCCCTCTCTGCCCGGCTGGATATCGAATCGCACGCTGCAGATTACAGTGACAATTTCACAATGAATTTAGTCACATCTATGGTTTTTGCTTAATTCACATTACCACATAAGCCCAGATTCTTTACCTGCCCTGGACCACTTTGATACAGTTCTGCTTGTTGGCAATAAGACTCAGTTGAGTCAGGGCCTCGAACAGGTGGTCACACTGCAAAACCAGATCCCCCTAAAAGAAGATGTTCCAAGTTAGATAAGGTGATTTTATAATGAGCCTTGAATGAAAAGATTCATAACGTAATGGTTCTGATCTCATCTTGTTCTCTGTCTGTCCACAATTCATTGAAATGAGTGGTTTGGAGTTGCACACACTACCTTTTGCTTGATGTCATCACATGAAACATGAAGGATCAGGAAGTTGTCGCTCAGGTTGCTGACTGACACGCCTAAAATTTAGAAAAATAAGTCTCAAGCATGTGCGTAGGTCCTCCTTCAGATAATGATGCTTATTTCTCAGCCGTTACCTTTCAGAGAGATGTAGTTTATCCGCTGTTTGATCTTGGCCTCCTCGACCAGGTAGGCGGCTTCCCTGGTGAAGATGAGCTGCCGGAGACGAGGCCTGAACCCGTTCCTGTCGTACTTCACCACCGGCACACTGTACTGTGGGACGGACACACACACAAGGTCAGAGTGGATAAAAGGACGAGGACTCAAGGTCAATTACAACGTTACTTTACCTTGATGTGCTCATGCCGTATCATCTGGAGCACCTTGGCGCTTGTGTCTTCTGCATCTTAATAGATTATAGGATTCCATGAGGGAGGATTTCACAATATATTGAATACAATAACACGACACTGTCTCAGTAATTCTATTATAACTCAATGATCAACCTGCAAAATTGTCCATTAACCAGCCTGCAAAATATCTCAGATTGCATAAACAAGTTTTGTTGTATCATTAGAAAAATTAAAATGTACTGTTTCTACTTTTTCACCATTTGGAAAGAATTATTCCAAAGCCTGAATAAATCAATTTTAACTTAGAGCATAGCTGGAACCTGCAGTCGTCACAGACTATTATTGCTATCCAGTATTATCATGTTGTTCGTAATTGCCCCGCGATACAACTTAAAACTATTAACGCTACGTTTTAAATTCCTGTATCCTGTAAGAAAGAAGCTCAGCCGTCTTACTAATTCTGGTGTCCACGAATGGTCTGCACACACTCAACGCGTAGCTTTCTTTTTTTCCTTTGAAAATTGAGCTTGCCTCTGCTTTTAACAGAAGCTGGAAACAAGAAAAGTGAGACATTTTTTAAGGTGAATATGTCTGGGACTCAAGTGTTGCCCACATGACTTTATTGAGTTGTGTTAAATGTAGTACGGACATGTTGTGAGTGCATGTTTTGTGTTTCCTACCACCTACGGTTGTACCTCTGCTTTCCTCTGTGGAGTGATTCCGCCAACGTACTTCCGCACCATGTGACGAATGTAGAGCTTCTTCAACAGCTGAGACAACTAGAAAACAAACAAACAAACAAAGTTTGAAACCTTTCACAAGGTGCGGCCATTTCCCAAATCGCCAGCTCGTGCCCTCATGTAGGCGGGAAGCCTCATCCATAGACAAACGTATCACAAACCTCCTCCATTATGGGCGGAGGGGTGAGCCAAGAGTCTTTTTCCAAGACCGTTTTGGGAAGGGTGTCCCTCAGACGCGTGAGGTAGTTCTGCCTCACGTACGCCAGGTACTCGCTGTTGTCGACGCAAGCCGGCTGATTTCTCGTCATGAAACCTTTAATGAACCTGGAACAAATCGATAAGACGGGTAACTTTGCAGCGTGGACTTTATTAGACCGTATGAGCGCCTCCTCTGCCTCCGTGGGAACTCACTTCTTGATGACCTTGACGGCCCACGCCCTTTTTTCACGCTCCTTTCTGGCCAGCATACCTCTCCAGCAGGTCTCAATCTTAGTGGCTATTTAGACACGACCAGGTAATTAAATACTTATGCGGCATTTCGTTTGTGCATCATCGTCCCTCTTCGAACACTCACCAGCCTCTCTCTGTTTCAGGTAGTGTCCTTTCACTCTGTAGCCTTTGTACTTGGCCTGAATCCGTGTTGCTGCAACGAGGACAGTTACAGTTTCACCCTCTGGAGCGGCACGGCGACATTGCGAATCAATTTAAAGGGACGACGTCTCACCTAGCCTGTGTTTGCAGACCTGAAAGGTGTCTTCTGTTGCAAACAGAGTTCTAGGATGCCGGATGAATATTTTTGTCCTAGAGGGGAAAAGCCGATCGGTGAGAAAATGCCTTTATCTCTTCCAGGTGACCCTCCCACCCCCCTTTCCCCTTCCCTGGGACAGTCTGTGGCCTACATGCAGTACCATCTGCCCACCTGCCCATCTTGTACTCATCTGGTTTGTAGCCCAGATGTTGGATGAGGCACCGTACGCCTTCTGCTGCCGTGCCTTTCCAGTGGGGCCAGGTGTCAGGACACAGAGCCTTGTACCTGAGCACAGAAGAGGCCGCAGAGTCACACGCACCTTTATTATTCTTGCAGTTTAGATGAAGAACGAGTAAAGGTGTGCTTAGCTACCTCTGTAGAAATATCTCGTATTTGCGTCGGTAAGCAAACCCAGCTCGCCTGACCCTCAGATGCTCCATCAGCCCCAGGTACTTCACCTGGTGTCTCACCAACACGTCGTCAAAGCGTCCTGCAGGGGACATCAGAGGTCATCTAGACAGTTCGGGGGTTAAAACTATCTAGTCTAACGTCATCCTTTGGCTCACTGTAAGCTGAGCTTCTAGTTAAAAGGCATTAGTTCAGCTGGGGTCCTTGGAGTGGAGGGTTTTTTGGGACACACCTGGCTGCTTGGCATCATTGGGTTTAATGCAGCGGACGTACCAGGGTTCTTTGGACATTAGGATCTCAGTCAAGCCCACTAGGCTGCTCTTAAACTGAGTCACCACCTGGGGAGGAACAGGAAAGTGCTCAATGTTCTTTTTTTTTCAGCAGTTGTGTTAATTATTAGTCGGTTATTGGACGTCGTCGTCTGAAGCGCTTCTTACGGTTTCAGGTCTTTTCTTGCTGTCCGGTTCAGAAGAAGGAAAACAGTGTTTGATGATAGCGTTTTTGGACTGTCGCATGACCTTAAGGAGAGTGGGAAGACGTAAGCATCTAACATGACGGACAAAACAGGATGTACTATGAATGGCTGTGATATAAGAGTTATGCTGCGTGTGTGAAATGACCTCTTTCCCATTTCGATACAGGAGATCATTGTTTTTGTCCAAGAATCCTGAATGTTTGAAGAAAAACAATTTAGACATTTTAAAATAGCAAAAGGTATAGTATTTTTTTTTGCAACAACAAATTCCTCATTTAAATCAAAAGTTGAATAACTAGGAAATACAGAAGATAATCTGTACACATTTTTACAAAAAATCCCTTTTATGCATGTTGATAATTTCTGTCGATATATATTTTTTGAAAGCTTTCATTTAGTCGTTTTCCATTTTCTTTGTGTGGCCTTTGACCTGGTGTCCCCTCCACCTAGGTGGCGAGGCTGTGCAGAACTGATTCCATAGCAAAGAGTTCAATACAGATGTAAACGTGATAAAAACGCCGAACCGTGGCGCAAATGTTACTCTCCGTGAATCCGATTGACTTCATGAGAAGTGAAAATGTGATTTCAGCAATGACTGTTCTCTCTTCCCTCTTATGTTAACTACATTTTAGCAGTAGGCTGCTGTTTGTTCCATAACATTGCAAAATAGACAGTGATGATACACCACACACAACATATCTTACCGACAACACAGTATGTAACCTCCCCAGCGTAGTGCAAGAGGCGGAAGTCTCCTCTGTCCAAGGTTTTTCTTGTCTTTATGTCTGCAAGTTTGTGTCTGCAGGAAGGGTTCAGTTAGTGTTGATGACACGATGACATTCACGTAGACAACGTGGGCGTTCTGTAAAACACAACTGTAGAGCTCACGTGACAAAATGAGGATGACCGCCAATGGTTTCTTCCAACTTCTCCAGGAAGGTGAGATCTGTGGCCTCTCCGGGACGTAAACATTCCTCGTCCTATACGCGAGAGGACGCGTGTCAGTAATTCATGGCGTTCGGTTGCAGTTTTGCGGGTGAGCTTACTATTTGTCCGTCTGCAGGGGCGCAACTCAATCCTAACTTTACCAGTAAAGAGATCATTCCTCTGTGTTTCTCCTCCACCAGATCACAGATTATCTTGTTGTTGAAAAATGGCACAGGTTCCCACTGTGCAAAAAAATGAGGAAAGCATTCAGGGTTTAGAAAGTCTTTTTTATGGTGAGCCTTATTTTTTGCGCCGCACGTGACAATAACGTATATGGATCGACAGCATTATTACCTCAATCCCTTCCATCTCGTACTCCTCCTGCTCGGACTTGAGGGTCAGCTGGATGAAAAGCTGCTGCAGCTTCTCGTTGCAGTAGTTGATGCAAAACTGCTCAAAGCTACAACCGATCAGAGGCACAGTTAGTGTTGTGTTCTTCGTGTGTGAATCGGCTGGTCGGTGTTGGATCTCACCTGTTCACGTAGAAAACCTCGAACCCATAGATGTCCAAGAGACCAATTACTGTTTTCCTGGAGAAATCCTACAGATCGACGTAAGATGTGAGTTTTTTTCACATGGAAAATGTGAGATTCTGTGAAGTCAGATCGCTTTGGAGAAATTCTCATTCGTTTGTGTTACTTTAAACCATTAACATTACATTGTCTGGGAAACAATCTGCCCAAAGTCAAATTTTCCAGATGTGTTTCAGACTCACAACAAATCAAACGGCCGCCTCAAGATTACGGAAACCTGATCACCCCAATTTAGTCCCCATTTCTCTGATCTTTATGAGACAAGATTAGGAAGAGAGAAGAATGCTTGTTATTTCTCACCGTGTTAACCAAAGATTCGTTGATCTTGTTGACCAGCCAGTTGAAAGTACGGCCATAGATTGCTTTGGCGAGGGCGTCCCTGGCGTACACTGCATGGTCCACGGAGAAGGGACTAAGCACCTTTAACATCAGAATAATGCAGATGATTTAAAGAAGTTAACCATATTTTATACTTAAAAAATAAAATCAAACTTAATAAATCAAATAATTCAAGTCACCTCCTCTGTTTTGGCTTCAATCTTCCTGTGGGTTAAACCCTGTTTTAGCACCTGAGTGGGAATTCCCAACAACTGCACAGGACACACAAGCAAAAACAAGTCTCCTGCTGGTCTCCATCAGAAAGTGGCACGTGGACGTATTGAGTCTGCAGTGCTCACCTTCGACACCCAGTGCATCTCCTGGTCGTTGTTGAGAGAAGCGTATCCCCGAACATCCGCTTCAAACTTGATATTTCCCAGATGGAGCACGCTGGCAATTATTCCAAACAGGTCCTGCATTTACACCCATTAATTAAAAAAAACGCATATAAATCCCCAGCAAAACGTATTGGTCATATTTTAGAATAAGGTTTGTCCAAGTGTGTAAAGCTCTGATGTTACACCTCACCTCAATGTCACTCTCACTGAAGTGTATGACAGAGAGGGCTCCCCGCACTGTCCTCCAGTCACTCTTATCATTAATAGAGCTCACTTTGGCACAATCACCCTGAAGGAGACAGAGCACATCACATTTGACTCAAGAAGTGATTTTGTTGCACCAGATATATAAATATATATATACCACATCTGAGTGTTTCGCTCCGTTTTCTCCCCACGGACCTGCACCAGGTAACTGTAGTTCTGGCAGTTTCTCTCCAGGCCGAGCCAGCGCAGCAGTTCCTCCTCTCCTCCCTCCACCAGCTGATAGAAGATGTGGAAGTTTCTCTCGCCGTGGTTCTGGTGGACCACACGGGACTTCTCCAGCAGGTAACTCAGGATGTGACCACCCACCGCCCCCCCCTGAGTGAGAAAGGTAAGCCGGCGCTTAGTGCGAACCGTGAGTATTTCTGAAGGGTGATGTAATGAATGCATTTCCGTCCACCTGGTGGTCAAACTGGATGTCCATGTATTTCCCAAAGCGGCTCGAGTTGTCATTCTTCAGGGTTTTGGCATTTCCGAAGGCCTTTGATGGTGTAAAGCAAAACGACATTAAATGCCATTTAAAATCACGAGAATTGAAAAATAATGCTTATTTTGGCATCTGTGTCGCTGACCTCGAGCACTGGGTTGGAGAGAAGCAACCGGTCGCGGACGTTGTTCAGGAGTTTCGTGCTCGGACAGCTGACGGCGTAGAATTGCAGGATTTTCTTGGAGGCCTCGGTCTTGCCGGCACCACTTTCCCCTGAGATCAGGATGAAGTGGTTGTTGAACTCGGACAGCATGGTGCGGAAGACGTTGTCGGCCAGCGCGTAACTGTTGGTATCGTAAGAGGTCAAAGTCAGCCTCCAAAGTCGGACTCGGCAAAGGCACTTTTTTGCACAGCTCATGGAATAAACGGCAGTCCTCTCTTTCTAAACAAGAGGCCGAAGACGTAACCCCCATGTTGTTGTGATGCTATGGCTTGATATCTTGCAGTACATTGGAAAGATGAAAGGAAATGAGCACAACCTGCAACAAAGCTCCAGGTCGTTCTGGTTCATGGTTGCGACCTAAATCTCTTGGGCACCATGACGCCTTGCATTTATAATTTATAACCTCCAGTGTCTTTTTTCCTTCTCATGTGATAATGTTTTAAGCAATTGAAAGCTGTACTTAGGTACAACGGAACATGTAGCTTAATGGTAATGTCAGGCTGTTTTTTAGCACGTAAAAATGTTTTATCATCTTCAAATCTTAGTTTGCTGATTAGCGCCAAACATAAAGTACAGGTGAGGCTGATGTGAACAGGAATGTCTTTAGTTTTGCAGATTTTGCTTTGGTAAACTTTTAAATAAAAGTGAAATCTCACATATGAGGTGGCAGCTCGAAGAAGTTCACCCCCATGTAGGTATCCATTTGCTTCTTGTTATAGATATTTAACTCTTTATATGGGTTGACCGACACCAAGAGAGTTCCAATGTAGGTCTGCGGAGAAGGACAAAGAGAGAGAGAGAGTCATGCTCGGCAGCACATTTGATAATACGGGACATGACGTTAAAGCAAAGCTTCCAGCAGTGCGGTGTGCATGTATCACTCGGCCGATAAGTAACTGTGTTCCTAGTAATCAAAAGCAATTGCCTTACTTAATCACTTGTCATGATCTCATGACCTTTAGATTGCCCCACTGTGTAAATGGAAAGAACACGAGTTGCAGCTTCAGCAGCACAATGTGCCTTATTCAGCAGAAGCAGCATTTGTGGGACCTTGAGGGGGTTGAAGGTCGAGGGCGTGAAGTTTCTCTAGAGTAATGGAACCAGTCGGTCATCCAACATCGCAGCAGGAAGACTCACGTAAATGAGATTCTCGTGGAAGCGCTTCCTCAGGTTGTCCAGGAAGGCACTCTCGCTCATGTAGGCGTCCAGGAGAACAAAATCCTGGATGCCCACGCGGTCCCGGGCCGTCAGGGAGGCCTCCATGTTCCGAAGCATCTGGTTACAGCGCTCCTCCAGGCTCTGCGTCCAGGCAGGGACACATCGGGCATAAGGCAACAGGGTTGTTGCAAAACAACAAAGTCAAATGGGGAAACTGCACTCCTTTAGGCCGTGATACATTTTACACAACAGATATGATGTTATTTTTGACACAGTTCTCGTTCCTATTGTAAGACATCACGCATTTTTCCCATCAATTTCCTTTGTGTCCTGTTTTCCCCCAAAAGTGATCTGTTTTTGTTGAGGTTATCGCGGTGGGCGTCTCATTTCCGGCCTGTTAGCTGTGACCTCCAGTCAGAGCCGTGGCTGCAACCTTCATACACGAAAAAAAAAAAATCTAAATTCAGCCATCACTATCTAATCTACTTCCCGGCTGTCTGAGGAGCCATCCGCTTTGTTCAGGACAAGAACAGAACAAACACAAAACACCTGCAACAGAAGCTTTATATAGTCCACAGATTAACACGAGATTAAACAATAACTGACACAAGTAAAAACTTTAGTGGAATCAAGAGGTAATTACAGGGATTTTAATATTTATAGACATAGGAAACGATCGGCCACCTGATACTCAACTCAAGAAGTGCCTGGCAAAATAATCAGCCAATGCGGTGCACTTTAATTATTGTGCCGGGGGAGAGAGACTCCCAGTATTACGCCTCAGTGGTTCGGCTCTCATCATTAACTGTCACCGGAGTAACCGACACTCACAGATCATCGTTCCCCAATGAAATAAATTGGAGATCTGCCGACCCGGCTCCAATTCACAGCGAAAGCTCATGAAACTTCATGTCCTGAAAAGCCCCAAAGTCGTTAAAATGTTCAAGAAACGTTTTGCGGAAAAAAGTTCAAAAAGCTACTTACCCCGAAGGTCCCCGATGTGTAAGTGTGTGTGTGTGTGTGTGTGCGTCTGTGCCTGTTGTGAACCGAATCTAGTTTTATTGAGGGAAACGGGCAGGAAACACTGGAAGATAACAGTCGCCACTTCCCTCAATAGGAAACATTTATAATGTAGTGAGTTCACGACAAAGGAAGCAAGTCTTATTATAAACATGTATTTGTTTGTGTGCTTGTAGAAGTGACTTACTGTTGATGTTGTTCTGCCTCATACAACCTACTTAACTGAATTTTCGGTGGGACTTCAAATGTAAATCACATAGAGTTCAATGGTGGAAGATTAGGAAAGGCTTTGTGTCCACTCATTAAAAAGTCATTAAAAGTATTTAGTGAGTAAAACGAAAAAGTCTGTATTTCTAAATTATATTTAATAAATGTACTGCAATTGCTCAATGTGAATGTTTCCACTTCATACATTCATGAACATTAAATATTAACTGTATATTCAAATACAGCACAAAGCTGTCAGCAAAAAACTGTCCCCCTAACAAATAAATACCTAACGTACATTTTATTCTAGCATACGGTGTAAACTAAAAGGTAACAATAAAACTAGCTAACAATTGCGTTTTCAATTTTGATCATCATCATAGGGTCCCTCCCAAACATTTCCTCACGTGTCTGTAAACAACACCTAAAATTTGGTGAATTTGGTTCTGTCTTCAAGGCTCCATGTCTTACATCAATTCAAATGCAAAAGCAAAGCGATGCAGCAGCGAGCAGCTGTGGCCGCCTTGGACGCTCGCCCTGTTGTTGGCACCCTGTGGCCGTCTGTGAGAACCAGCAGTGCAGGGCGGAGACTCAGAGCAAACGTTACCTCTGCTGAACGGATCGCAGGTGGTGAAACAGCACCGAGCTGCAGGAGGAAAAACATTTTTCCCTACAAGGCGAGATGCAACTTTTTCCTGGCCAGATTGACACCTGATCCAAAATGGACGGCGTTCGAGACCCTTGAGATGTGCACATGGGAAGGTGAACCAAACGCAGTCACATGCACCGCGCCTCAGTAACCCAACCCCAACTCTAACACACACAAAATTCCACGTGAACAGCCACGATAAACATCAAGTTCTGATATCCGGCTCCAGAGGAAAAGGAAAACCATCTGACCCGGAGAACATCACCTGAGAGGGCGCTCCATTGTCCCCGTCTGTCCACTATGGCGCAGGATCCTGTTACGCCGCCACAAAGTGGCAGTTAGGCTCCTGAAAGAGATAGCGCTCCTCCCGGGCTTTTGACTGACGGCACACATCACCCGGGGCAACACACGTTTAGGGGGCTCCGGGTGTCCAGGGAAACCTGACCGCCACGGGCCTCCATCACACGAGTCCGGCCCAGAAGCTCCTCTGCGCGCGGCGGTTTCATGCTGATTCGATTTGAACGTTTTTTCACAAGACATGGTTGGCTTTGTTACTTGTGGCGCCAACTGGACACACAACATTCACATATTATAGATCTAGAGTGACTTTGTAGCAAACTGTGCCCTTGTTCCTCCAGCAAATAAAGGGCAACGTTAGCATTCAGTTTTAGTCTCCGACTGTTAAAGGAAATGGGTTCTTTTACCGATAAATGCTTAACAAGCGAGTCACTAACTTTGTGTGTCTGTTGTTTGGAGCTGAGTAGGTAACGGACAGTGGTTTCCTCAGACCAGTAAAACAAAAACGATGGGTGGATTATTCTCCGGGGACACGTCAGCATTCTCTTAGATAGTCATTGGAAAAATGTAGGTTGAAAATGAAAGAAGATGAAAATATTGATACTGGCTGCTTTAAATACTTAATTCAATTCTTAACATACCACTTACTATGGAACCCCCACAGAAGTAGTTATCTACTATGACAACAGTTTCTGTGTATCCTTTTTTCTATAATCAAGTGAAGGATGCACCTGAGGATGCTACACACAACACAACACAAGACACACCGCCGTGTTCATGCTGTTACCTCCTTCGCCTCCAGAGCCATGTGCGTCATGGTGGAATCGGCCTCGTGCGATGAACCCCCGAGAAATCCAGATAATTGAAACTTTGAACTTAGATCCTCAGCCGACGCAGCCCTGTGACGGCCGCTTCAGCAGCCGAGGAGTTCTCCCATAGCGGAGCAACGGAATTTCACCAAACAATTTACTGTGTCCTCTGCAGCTCTCGCTCTGCACCGGCCCCCCCGATTCAGATGCTGGCTCGGAGCAGGCCTGTTACCTGAGGAGGAGGAGGAGGAGGAGGAGGTCCCTGCAATGTTGGTGATGAGGCAGTAATGAGGTACCTGACTATGGGAGCACCGCGCTGGTTAAACATTCATGGAGCCCGGGAAGCAAACATTCATTCACCTGAGTGTCGAACAGCTACTCTGTGTGTTTAAGGAAAAGCGTGTGTGTGTGTGTGTGTGTGTGTGTGTGTGTGTGTGTGTGTGTGTGTGTGCAGATATGTAATACAAGGATGCAGTAACTGTATCCTACCAGAGACCCGTCCTCAGCCTCCTCCACACAAAATTACAGCACAGGTATTGGATTACTGATCTTTGATTAGGCAGGTGCATTTCAAATGAATGAGTTGCTCGTCAGAGCCACAAACATGAGACCAGTTATTGGTCGAATTAGTTCTATTTTTAATTACAGCTTTTAAATTAAACCTAAACCTTCAAAAATAAGATCAATTTATTTAAAGGAGTAATCTGTCATGTGGAACTGAACTGATTGAATGTGGAACAATCTGTATATAAACCTTTTTTCCCTATTTTACACATCTGCCTTTAAAACACAGAACACCATCGGTAGGGAAGAGAGGTGATGACGGACTATTATATATATATATATATATATATATATATATATATTTTTTATTTTTTTTTTTATTTTTTTTTTTATATAGTATTATACAAATCCTGAGAGGTTTGAAGGATCTACTCAACGATGAGCTGTGGTTACTACGTCTTATTGAATTACACTTCATATCTCAGCAATACAATGCTGTGTTTGGAACATGTTGGTTTATTCAAACTAAATATTATATCTAACGTTTTGAAGTGTCTACTATGTTTATGATGTGTTTTAAAGATAGCAATTATCCTCACTTCATGTTAACTTAAAACGACAATAAATCGACTGTATTTAAATACAGTGCTGTATAATATGATAAAACACAGTACAAGTCGAATAAATTGAATTTTTTTCCATATATCGTATATAAAGTAAGAAGACTAAAAATTAGAGAACAGCTTTGACTTTTCAGTTCCCTGATGATTCACATTTGGACAGTCTTCAAAAACAATTGAGGTTAGATACGCATTGTGTCCCTCACGAGGGAAGGACACGTTGGATCACAGAGTGTCCTTCACCCAGCGCTTGTCCAAATAAATATTCACAGGACCGATTAGTCCCATACACTTAAACTTTCAACTAATCCTTTATTCATGCGAGCAAACAGCTGACTGGCCGAGCTGTGAGGCTCCTGGTGTCAGAACACGAGCATTCGGTTAACGGAGCGCACAAAAGCTGATGTACAGCATCACAAAACCCTCCGTGTGTTTGGACAGATTGAACATCTGTCAGCAGAAGAGGTCAGTATCTCGTCCGAGGGCTTTTAGGGATGTGCAGGAGATATTTTGTCTTACCTTTGGATCCACGTCCATGTCTCTGCTGAGGTCCTGTGTCGCTCGGCGTGTGTCCAGCCGGGCTGCTGATGAGAGCGGAGGAGGTGTTGTGTGCGTTCTACCTGCATTTACGACCGTCCCATAATGCAGCAGCCTCAGCATGTCCTCGCGGCGTCCTACTTTTTGACAGATTTTATTTTCAGGTTGGCCTTATTCACTTGAACGGGTGCAGAGGACTGAAAAAGAAGAATGTCCTGTCCTGTGGCGGTAAATTCTCAGTGTCGTTTTTATTTTTTGTGGTATTCTTTGCAGCACATCGCAGTGTACATCTGCTCAACTACTACTTTTATGCTACATTATACATTTAAAGGGGAAATGTTGGACATTTTACTCCACCACCATCTCATTGTATCAGTGTTTGTGATTGCTACTCATTTACAAACCTCATCTACTTTTCTATTCCCTGATGACCATTTTCCTAAGCAAAGCATCCTGTTTTATATTTATTTTAAAGTATAATCTGTGGGGCCACTAGTTTCAGTTTTTTTTCGTTTTAACTTATATGAGAAACCTGGAGCAAAGTCAAAGCCTCGTAAAGTCTTGAGTTAGACTTCTAGATGAAGTGATACTGATATTTAGACTCTCGTAAGGCTTCAATGACAACACGCAATAGGCTGTGAATGTTTAGTTACCACTGTGTGTGTGCGCGCACACGCACAGAAAGCATTCGGAAAGGTGAGAGCACCACCTGCTGTCGCCTGGAGGGAACCACAAAGGTAAAATGTATACGATCCAATGACACAAGAAGCATTTATTTTGACAAATTCAACTCTGTACTCACAAATTTTAGCCCTATGATTTTTTTTTAATTGTTTCACACTTGTTTTTCATTCATATAATTGTCCTGTGGAATGTGGCTGAAATAGACAGACACTACACAGCAAAACTCTTATAGGCTAAAGTGTTGAAGTGCAGAGTTGAAATCACGCCACACGCAAAAAGTTGATTCAACTGTTACAGAGTCAATTGTACAAAAGAGCTGGAGTCATTAGTGTCAATGAGTTGGGTTTTTAACTCTGCATAGAGTGTATTTATCACTGATCAGATGTATTTGCGACACTTTGTAGAGTTAAATGAACTCTTTATAGGTTTGACATGTAACCGTACATCCCTGTCGCACTTCTTGGTGTTGGGTTTAATACGTACAGTGTATTTAACATTTAGCAGATTTATTTTTGACATTTATTCCGAGTTAAATTGCTAACTCTTCGTTGATTTGTTGATTTAACCGACAAGACTGGAACAATATAAACTGAATAAATTGAATCTCACAGAGTCTGAAATTTGCTCTGTATCTATCTTTGCTTTAAATTGTGTTGATCAATCACTTCATTTATCTAAATCTTAGCTCACTTCTGTGCTTCTTGTAAGCACCACTGGATAAGAACGATAATTCAGCTACTGAGCCTTAATTTACTGGTGTTTGATTTTTCCCTGCAGGTTGGATTTGTGTTTGTGTTTTAAAATACAGCTGCAATCAAATAAAATAAAAGAATATTCAGAGCCTGACTTCTTAGTTTGTGTCTTTTCTTTCTCAGACAAGTTATCACTCAATAATAAAGCCGTAAAAAGCGAACTGATCACCATGTTGAACCTCGGGTTACAGAACGTCGAAATCATTTTTGGCGAAGTGTAAAAAAAAACACGTTTCTCCTGCACAACAACACTGACTGTTTGTGTTTTCCCGGTGCAAACTCTTCCCTTTTGTTGTTGCTCTCGATGGGTTTCTCATCGAAACCTGCGGCTGCACTTGATGTTCGATGAAGTCTCATCTGCACTCACCTGAAGATGGACAGCTGCTGCAGAGCAACGAGGATCTCCTACGACCGGTGGAGGAATCCAGGAGAGAGGTAAGACCACCACCACTCATCTTAGTCAAGTTTTGACTTTTATATTTCCGCGTACATATTTAATGTAGGTTTATACTGGGGGAAAATGAAGAAGGCGTTTTGTGCGATTCGCTCACAATGAGACAAAGTAGCGCTGTGAGAAAGTTAATATCGTGTAGAAACATTTCGCGCACAGTTCTGCAATTGCGCCATTTAGCAACATTAGAGTTTAAGAGAGGAAATGACCCACAGTTTACAGATTATTCTGAGATGTTAAACCACTGATTATTGCTTAAAAAGAGGGTTACCGGAGGCCTTTCTCATTTTCCAGTTCCCGATTCATTTTCTTTAATTAATTAAGGAAGGTGCGAATTCGATGCACACAAATAACAATATGAAATATTTATTCGTGAAGTACAGAAAGTTAGTTGTTGATGTAAAAGAACATCGTTATTTATTTAATCAATTGACTTTCAAACATCATGTCGCAGTTCATTAAAGAGGAATAAAAAAACATTCCAGAACATAAGATAAAATTGAAATGAGAGTCATTAATGCAGCAGCACCTCACGAGGCGCCACATAAACTGTGGAGAGTGTGTCCACACGTTTGATCGTCTTAAATAACTTTACATTACGAATGCAAAACGAGCAGCTCTGGAGTTCTGCGTGTAAAAACACGGGAAATGGCATGTTTCAGCATTGTGTTGCATTGTCTCACGCTCATGTTGTGTTGTTACACAGATGTGTGCATGTGTCCCAGATGAGGCCAACTTGATTCCTCATGAAAGGGGACATATTGTACTTGAAAATCAGACTTTGTGCTTATAAATGCTTCTTTTTTCTCCCTTTGGCGTGCTGACTTTGAGGAGTGAGGTGAGTTTTACGGGTCACAGCGACGATGTCCACACAGACAATGAGATCTGGAGCGTAGATCTGGAGGAGGTAACGTCTCCATCCAGAACGGGATTCCATGAAACTGAAGGTCTGTAGAACATCTACTAGGTTACTCTCATCTTTGTCTGATCTGTCTGTGCCTTTTAAGTTAAACATGTTTTTTGCATAATTCATTTTTGCACAATGTGCAAACAAACACAAAGATGTAAGTCTTTTAGTTGCAACACATTTACAAAAGTTCCGCTTACATTCTGTCTTGTCCCCTTTACAGAGACCTTCACAGTGCACGACGCGCTCGAGTCCTTCGGCTTTGGAAAGTTCCAGTGGAAAATGTCTTTCCTCACCGGACTGTCGTGGGTAAGAATCCTAAAAAACAAACTCAGAAAAGTCCTCCCTCTCACCTTCAGCTGCAGAAGGTCATGTCGCTCTCTTGCCCTGTGAGAGCAGCTAGGAGACGCCATGGAGATGATGATCCTCAGCATCCTGGGCCCCCAGCTGCTCTGTGAGTGGAGGCTTTCAAGCTACCAGGTGGCCCTCTTAACATCGGTAAAGTCCCTTTGGGTATTATATTTTTTCGGAAAGTGTCATTCTACAAGTTTGGTGCCTTGAAATGTGTGATAATCTTCTCTCTCAAGGTCTTTTTTTGGTTACGTTTATGGCCTCAGGTGGTGTTTGCAGGAATGGGGATCGGTGCACCTGTAGTGGGCAGTTTGTCTGACATCTACGGCAGAAAAGCAGTAAGTCTCAGATTTAGGTTTTTACACAATTTAGAGCGGTTTGCGTTTTTTTTGAGCTGACTGGATGTTTAACCTGACTTGTGGTGAACAGGCTCTGATGATTTCTTCGTGCTGGTCTCTGTTCTACGGCCTGCTCAGTGCCTTTGCCCCGGTGTACGGCTGGCTCCTGGTCCTGCGGGGCCTCGTGGGCTTCGGCCTCGGAGGAGCCCCTCAGTCGTAAGTTTCGACGGCTTCCTCCGAAAAGCCTGCGCTGAAACACGCCTGCACATTTGACTTGCGATTAACGTTCGGTCTCTTTTAAGGGTGACGCTGCACTCGGAATTCCTTCCGGAGAAGTCGGGAGGCATCTGTATCCCGCTGGTTGCGGTGCTGAGACGTTTTTTTTCTTCTCCTCATCACTGCTCGACTTTAACTGTATTCCACTGTTGAATCTTTGGCCCGAGTTCTGCGCTGACACATTGCCGCTGATGTGTTTGTGTGCATCAGGTATTCTGGGCACTCGGCTCCGTGTTCGCGGCCCTCCTGGCATGGGTGGCGGTACCCGCTCTCGGCTGGAGGTGGCTCCTCGCCTTGTCCACCGCGCCGATGGCGGTCTTCGTCTGCTTCGGCTTTGTAAGTATGCCGCTCGTGGGATAACATTTTAAAAAAAAAACAGGCAACAGATGGAGCCCCAACGGAACTTTCTGCGTTACACAGTGGCTCCCCGAAAGTGCTCGTTTTAATTTGCTGGCGGGAAAAACGGAGAAGGCCATGGCAACATTAGCACACATCGCCAAAGAGAACGGCAAGCCCGTGCCTCGGGGGAAGCTTATCGCCCATAAACGGGTGAGATAACGTTTTCATCTTCATTTCTGAAAAGTCCAACACAATGCGGACTATTAATGTTAATAGCTGAGCCATTTATTGTTGTTGATCTATATTCCACAGAAAGGCGGTGGAAGGATCAAAGCGCTCTTCTCTCCCCAGTATCGGAGGACTACTCTTCTTCTGTGGTTTATATGGTTAGCGTGAATAACACATTTTCACATCTCATCACACTTTTCCCGTAATCTGGTATTTTGATCCACGGTGATGATTTAATCGATGCTGGATTAGCATGCTGTGGTTGGGACCCGGGGGCCAAGGAAAGATGACCTGGGAAGATCTAATGTTGTTTAAGAATGTATATGTCAACTATTTACAACGCTGTATTGTGTTTTTACCCAAAGGTTTGCCAACGCCTTCGCCTACTATGGGATAATCCTGTTGACGACTGAGCTGCTCCAGGCCGGACATTTGTGTGAGAGTAAGTAACAGCGACATGTGGACCGGCTTTTAACACTCGACCTAACGCGTCTTAAACTGGAATAAACCCTGAAACAAAAAACTATTCTTCCTCCTTACAGTGAAGCAAGGGACCGATAATGAACAAAGCTGTAGTCTGGATTGCAAATATTTAACATCAGCTGACTACAAAAACCTTTTATGGACATCCTTAGCTGAGTTCCCAGGTAAAATCCTCCTTATTATAATGTTTTGCCGTAGCTGTGGTGTGAAATTAAATATTTAGGCTGAAGCCCTTCATAAAGAGGTACCTGCGTGTGCTTTTATCATCTGTTGAAATGTAATTAATTCAGACTGCAATTGTTGACGCACACATTTATTAGAGGCTTGTTTTTCGTGTTTGTTTCAGGTATATTAGTCACCATTCTAGCGATTGACCGTATTGGCAGGAAGAAGAGCCTGGCTCTGTGTTTCTTCATGTTTTGCTTGAGCATCCTGCCCGTATACGTTTGTATCGGGAGGTAAGTTTGTGTCTCTTTGTTGTTGCGTCACATTGGAAAAGTAAAACGTCCTCCTAACCGTCCGTGTCTGTCTTTCCGTCCCTGCAGGACAGCTGTTACAATCTGCCTCTTTACAGCGAGAGCCTTCATCACTGCAGGATTCCAAGTTGCTATTGTTTACACACCAGAGGTACGTCTTCTACCAACTTAACATCCGGCCTTTGTTTTTAGCTCGTTTGAATGAGGGCTGCCCCCTCCTAGTTGATTTGTCAATTAATTGATCATCATTTGTTAGTTGACTAAGATTCCTCAGCATGCTGAATGACTTATTGTAAGAAGACTTTTCTTGTAAACACAATATTTGCGTTTTTTTTTTTAAAGAACTTGCATCCTAAAGATCTGTCGATTAAAGAAGCTACTCACTTAACTTTGGTTGACGACCGCCAACTTCAAACTGGAAAAAAACGCTCTGTCCTCTCATTAGGTGTTCCCCACAGAAAACAGAGCCTTAGCAATGGGGACTTGCAGCGCGATGAGCAAGGTGGGGGCCCTGATCACACCCTTTGTGGCGCAGGTATAGAAGAAGTGACCCTCTCGCTCGCTCTGCACTTTCCAAAGGAACTCGTTAGAAAATGACCGCTCCTCCGACCAGGCTCCTCACATTTTTTGGGGGGGGGGGTTTGGTTCTAGGTGTTGCTGAGGACATCAGTGTTTGGGACTCTGTCGTTATACTGTGGCTTTAGTCTGCTGGGCGTCATTGCGTCATTGCTGCTGCCCATTGAGACGTTGGGACGGGGTATGCAGGAGTCCAGGGAGGCCGGCGAGGAGACAACCAACACGACCGGGACGTCGAATGCTGCGACGCAGGAGTGTACACCCTAGGTATGTCATTCAGGAGGACTAACATGTGTTTAAAGAAAGATATACTTGGTCAATTCAAAGGCTGCTGCAGACGCCACAGTTGTCTATTTAACTTCATCCCGCTGTTCTTCACCCATGATCACTCAGAGGATTCAAACTAATCTGATTGCAGGCACTGGTGATAATTGAGGGCACGTCTAATGAGAGGGGAAGCACACTTTACCCTGTTGACATTCAGGCCATGAGAAGCAGCAGAAGGACCTTGTGGACCACGATGACCCACTGTGCTCTGCTGGAGCCAAGACTTTGCATCACATTGTATTTACCTGTATGTGTACCCAGAGTGTATTTTGCTAATTAAAGATGTTCAATATGCCCTTGACTCTATTGTTTTGTCAGTACATCGAATTTGCACAAGGAAATATGCATAATGTTCTATTACTTTGAACATGCAACGAAGACTTGTCTAATCAATGAGAGGATCAGCAGAAAACTCATCTGCAATTATGATCAAATCCAGACACTATTCTCAAAAGTAGAAATTAAGCTGTGTCCTAGCTAACAAATTACAGTAATTAGTTACAATTTGCGATTTTTTTTTAAATATTTCGTCTACTGATCTGAGCGCAAACATCGGTGCTCGGTGCCCTTCTCGACAGCACGAGCAGAATATTGTTTCATCATTTGTATTTGGGAGTTCCTAGTCTGGCCAGTCACCTTGACAACATTGGCCCAATGACAGCGCGCACGCGAACTAGGCCAGCCAATCACAGGCGCCCGCCGGAGCCGCATGTCATTCCTGCTCCGCTCGCAGCCTGCGCCGTGTTTTTGTCGGTCCGTCCGCGCGGCGGTGATGAAACCGCGGGGTCCGCTGCCGGCGCGGTGCAAACGGGGGAAATCTCTCCAGACGTCCCGCTCATGAGGACTCCGGTAACCGCGGAGGACGCACGCAGCGGGACCGAACGGGAGCACCGCCGGGGGCTCTGGAGTGCGGAGGCGCCGCCGCCGCCGCCGCCGCTGCTGGACGGGAGAGTCTGACTAGGCAGTTTTTTCTCCCCGGTGACAAGAGACAATCTCGGCGGCGCATCTTCCCACGTCCTCCCCTCCCCTCCCCCCTTCCCCTCCCTTTCTCCCCTAGCCCCGCAGCCCGCCACCGACCATGGCCCTGGTGACTCTGCAGCGCTCCCCCACCCCCAGCGCAGCGTCCTCGGCCAGCACGACGAACAGCAGTGCGGGGGAGGTAAGCGGGGAGGAGAAGCCGGGGGCCGGGTCTTTGTGTGCGGGGAAACGCCGAGGAGGGTCCGCGGGAGCGCGTCTCAACCCCCGGGGTCGGTGTGGTGGTGTACGACACCCCCGCGGGAGGAGAGGGGGGGGTGACAAACCTTTCGTCATAGCTGTGTGTCTGTTATCAACTTGATTTATTGTTGCATTGTTTGCAGCAGAGAGTTGTCTGTGGCAGCGGATTTGTAAACAAAATCCTGCAGCGGGAGGGGGGAGGAGGTGGGGGGGGGGGGGTCTTGTGGGGAGGGGGGATGCTGGGTTTAGCTGTCAGAACAAAGTGGTAATTTCTCTGCGTTGCACTCAGGTTGTTCTCCCTCCTCCTTATTGGCCCTGCGTGTGTCAATGCCTCCTCGATGGGGGAGGAAAGGGGGGGAGAGTTGTGATCAGTGCCCCAGGACGCTCGAGCCGAAGTGTTTTGTGAAACTTGCAACAAACAGAAAAAGGAAAAGGGAAGCACTTAATGAGTGAAGCCGCTGAGGTGGTAGAAATCTAAGGGGGTGTTAGAAGCACACTGGCCTACATTCAATAAAAAAAAAAAAAGCGGGTTTGTTATTTTCCCTAAACGCTTCATCCGGAGCGTTTAAGGGTGTGAATTTAATGTTAAATCCATTCTGGATGGATGAAATGATGAAACGAAATCACAACACCCGGGTTAGTGCTCCAGTGTTCTAGTTTGAGGAGGGTGGATTATATGTTCTCTTGGAATGCTGAATGAGCTGAGACACAAAAACAAGCAGCGACATTCTTCCTCTGATGAGGACTCGTGTGTGTGTGTGTGTGTGTGTGTGTGTGTTTTTCCGTCCGACCGATTGAGGAAAGGTGGACGGGCGTGTGGATGTGTTTGCTGATGAGAGCATCTTTCCCGTTATGTTGATCTGTAGCCGCACATATTAAGTTCATAAAGAATCAGTCGATCCTCTGAATTCGTTTGACACTGTCGTTACACAACGTTTTTTATATTCTCTGCACTGTTTTTGTCTTTCAGGATTTTGGAAGTGACGATGAGCGGAAAAATAGGTAAGATCTCTCTGTTTGAAAAGTCACTTCCTTGTAGGATTATTAATCTAATTTACAGACAGATGTCAGATGTGGGATTATAGATGTGATCATCTGTATCCTCTTTGATTAAAGGAACTTTCTTTACCTTTTTTAAGGACATAAGAAACCAGGGGAGATCCCAGATGTCTCAGGACAATATTTTCAGTCAATGATTGTATTTCCCATTGATACTACCGAAACAACCTTATTCAAACAAGTGATCTTAATAGCACAGTTTTCTTTCCTAATGGAACATTTTATTCTTAAAGCTGCAATCCATATTTACTTGGAAAACAGGGAAGTAAACAGACGGATACGTTTCCTTAGTTAATTAAGCGATAGCATCATAAAATACAGCAACATTTGGTTTCTAGATTCAATTTTCAGTTTACAGCAAGTTGTTTTGACCTTGTCCATCACGGTAAAGTCTTTAAGAAGACACACTGAAGCACCAACGGCGTTCAGTACTCCGGTGTTTATATTTCTCCCTGTGGACAGATTTAGTCACAACTCTGCAGGATGATGTCATGAAGCTTTACCGGCGTCCAAGCCGAGCCGGGGTGCCAGAAGTGTGTGTGTGTGTGTGTGTGTGTGTGTGTGTGTGTGTGTGTGTGTGTGTGTGTTTGTGTGTGTGTGTCTGTGGAGGTAGAATCGGTGACCTACTGTAAGCCCGAACTGGTGTCCAGGATCACGATTCTCCCAAAAGCGTTTTGCACAATTGATTCTATAATGGATGTAGTGGTTCTACTATTGGGAAAATGGTTTAAACGCACATTGGGAAAGACAGTTACATGTGAAATAAATGAATGGCTCCTTTAATTCCTCGCTGTTGTCAAGGAGAAAACCCCGTTGGAAGTATAGTTGATTTTAAAATTGATTTTTCAAACGTTTCCTCAGTTACACAACGAAGAGTAATGCCGCTTCTGCCTGTTCACAAAGCTCTCCTTTAATCAACCCAACTTCACAAAAGTCCAAATCTATGTCAGCAAAGCTCCGGCTCAGACTCTCCCTTTGTACTCCCTGTGTGTGTGTTGGGTCATTCACACTTGAAGCAGTCACGTCAGGCCTCGTCTGGAGCGTCTCCACGAGCCGCTCTGGGCCTCGGTAATTCATCGGCAGGAGGGAGTCTTCATTTAGAATTCTGCCCGACAGACTTTGCAGATTGACGCCGAGAAACATTTCCAGCGGCCCGCATGAAGGAAGGAATTGTGGCGTCGGGGGGGTGAAGAGGAGGTTGTGCGACAGCGGACGGTAAACTTGTTTTCGAGGGGGGGGGGCTAAGCCGGCCGGCCTCCTGACCAGCCAGCAGAGCCGTGGGTCAGGGTGGAGGAGGAGATGGACGGGGGAGGACTGACGAGCGGAGACCGGATCGATCCATTCTTTTCCCTGGAGGGCTTGTGAATAGTTCACTCACTGCTAGCGGGATGCAGCTGGTCGCGAGACCTTCGCACAAAGCGGCGCTGCCTCGCTTTCTGGAGAAGGGTGGTCCGACGCGCAGGGGGATCCGTCGCATGTAAGTTGTCACGGCGACCCAGCGGGAGGACGTACACCGGCAGCGTGGGGTGTGTAGAGATGGCAGTCAAAGTTTGAGAGTAAAGTATAGTGAGGTTGTCAGAAAGTTGGGTTAGGGGTCGGGGGTTAGGCGTCAGTGTTGGACGTTTTTTTAGGTTCATCCACATCTGAAAGGTTTTCTCGTTTCTCAGTGTTTCAGGTATTTAGAAAAGAAAGAGTTTTAAGTCGTTACTTTGAAACCAGGCAACCTTTCTGTAAGTGTGGCCTTGTTCAGCGTTCGGAATTCGCTTCACGCCTCGTATGTGCTCTACATACGCTTGAAGAAGAAATGGTGAGACCACCTAGCACGGGAGCTGAGACAAGAGGCCTTGTGATGGTCCCACTCTGTCACACTTTGTGTGTTGGTAGAACACGAGTAGGAGACTCCGGTCCAAACAAAGCCGCACTGTGTTCGGCGGGAGAAGAGACGCCGCACGGCCCTCCTCGTAAAACAAAGGCCTGATCCCGCCCACGCCGGTCCTGCACCCAACACGGGGTCCGACGGGAGAGAGAGAAGAAAACATGAAGGGCCGAGCACATTTTTGGGGGTAACGCTTCATTCGGCGTGTGATGATCCAGCTATGAGGACATAAGGATGACTTTCAGCCACTGACGAGGACGAGGACAATAAGTACGCAGCCTACACGGGCTGCTCACAGCGTCCGGACGCCGTCTTTTTGTTTCATGATTATTTTTTGTTATTATTATTATATCTTTTTGTTTGGGACCGATTTCTCTTTATTCGACAGTGAGGGTCCCAACAACACAAGATAAGAAGTGGTCATGACGAGTGGGCCACTCACCCAGTTTCCTGGATGATTGATAACCGTTCAGTCCGTTGTTTATGACTAAAAATGGGTTATTTAGAGCTGGTTGATGAAGGGAATCAATGTCTTTAGCTGAGTTTGTACTTTAGCCAGTCAGCAGACGTCGCATCCGTCCCGTATCCTTCTTCAGTGCAACCCGTTACAAAACTCTCCTCTGGAGAAGGAGGAGAAACAATAAATCCTTAGTGGCTCGACTGGTAAAACGGGTAGAATTGGGTGTTCGTGCTTTAAGAAAATACGTGTTTTTTTTGTGGCGATTGTTAAGATTTCCTCAGCCCTTAATGTATTTTCCACGTTTGCCTTTTCCCAGCCTCAGCGAGAGCTTCTTCATGGTCAAAGGAGCCGCCCTCTTTCTGCAGCAGGGCGGCGGCGCACAAGGACCAAAGACCCCGACCCACCACAAACATGCAGGTAGGAACAAACTGGCACAGAAGCAGCTTTGTTTCGTCCATAAATGAGCTCCAGACAAAAGGGGAATTGTTTTTGCTGAGGTGGTTTTTCTCTCCCTGGGATCGTCTGCGTTTATTTTAAACTGTGGTTTGACCTGAAGGGACCTGCAGTTTAACACGAGGAACGCTGACACGTCGGTTCAAAGGAGATCAATCATTGGCTTAATGTTATTTTAAAGAAATACACATACAGTATCTGTTCTTGCACTTGACATTATTTATTACATTATGAGGCTGCTGCTGATTTTTCTGCACATCAAAGTGATGTTAAAACGCAGCAATAATCGTGCACTGTCTAAAAATAAAAGTCTTCAGTGAATGACGGAGATCTTTAATAGTCACAGGTTTCTAATCTAACGTCCTCGTTGAGCTGTGTGTCTTTTGAGGACGAAGGCGGAACAATATAGAGGTCTGCTTCCACGTGACTCCGATGCAACTCGCTAACTAGCTTAGCACAGCACACCTCCTGCTGAGTTTAGATCTTCATTGAGGGAAATTCCCTCCCACTGGAGATGAAAAGGAATGTACAATAGTAGAAGCTGAATGATCAGCTTCTACTTTGTTTTTGTTTTTCTTTGGTTAGAAACTCCATAATGTGTCTCTGCAGTGAAGCCTGTCAGCAAAGTGTGAACCTGAACTTAGAAATACTAATATATATTTATATATATATATATATATATATGTATATATATAACTTTCTCCGTAAGGATCTTTGTAAGCTGAATTTCAGACAGTGAAAATGATTTAAACTTACGAAATAACTAAAATCTGAACTAAACTCTGTTTCTCATTTAAAACTCAGTTTCCTAATGAGTCTGAAATCGTGTTTCCCTTGCAGGCGATTTACCTCAACACCTGCAGGTCATGTTTAAGATCCTCCGGTCTGAAGATCGCATTAAGCTGGTCAGTGTGATACCCAACACGCCCGAACACACTCCATTACTCTGCTCATTTCTTCAGAAGAATACTTGGATATCTCTCTGTTTGTGTGCTGTACGCCTTTTGAGTTGTTACGACGCGACGGTTGACTCCCTTCCTCGTTGAAACCACTTCAGAGAGGTGTTGTTACCCGGGATCTACGAAAGCCACGGATGCTTTTCGCGCCATATTTTGCGTGACACCAGGAGTAAACGCCCTCCTCCTTTTCCTCAGGCTGTGCGCTTGGAGAGCGGCTGGTCAGACCGAGTGCGCTACATGGTCGTCATCTACACCAACGGCCACCAAGACACGGAGGAGAACATCGTCCTGGGGATGGACTTCACGGACAAGGACAGGTAACTAATCCCGCCGCTGTCTCCCGCTGAGTGCGCCGTCCTCTGGGTTCTTCCATCTGTTACACTGTTTTTCTTACGTCTTTGTGATCCGCAGTAGAAATTGCTCCGTTGGGATGGTGCTGCCGCTGTGGAGTGATTCCAACATACATTTGGACGGAGATGGGTGAGTTTCGTTTTGTTGTCCTTCCGTAAAAGCTGGCATACGTCAATCATCTGCAGGTATTCCGGTGGCCTCTCTGCTGCATGTTTTTGTTTTTCTCTGCCTTATTTTGAGGTTTTTCTGCCCACCGCTGGCAGAGAAGTGAACTACATGCATTTGTCTGTTTGTGAGAGCGGTTCTTGCTGACCTGTTAACATTGTCTCTGTATGCTGGAGGAATGTTCTGCTGGTCAGTGTCCTGCATTGTCCACATGAACGAGCCGGGCTGCAGTCTGTGTTCACATCCCCTCCGATCGCTCTCCGAATCTCCAACCAAACTCAAACTGCTCTTCCCTCTCCTCCTCCTCCTTCTCCTCCTCTTCCTCCTCACCAGAGGCTTCAGCGTCAACACGGCAGGGCGATCACACGTCTTCAAGCCTGTCTCCGTACAGGCCATGTGGTGAGTGAATCCTTCCTGTTTACCTGCGATTGCTGTTGTGTTGGACACGCGTTGACCATGCTGGATTATTGTTGACTCTCACATTATGTAGGTGAAGACATGTGTAGCAGACCTCAAGGTGTGTTCATGTTAATTAGAGTTTTCAGTTGTGTTGACGTTTATATGATTTCTTCCTTTTTGCAATTCTGGGACTTGAATATTTAAGCGACTCATGACATGAGTTAATGTCTTTGAGTCATCATTCGAGAGGATAATGGTACGGACAATTTCTCTGCCTCTCTGCTTGAGATTTTTATCCCATAGACATCCCAACGATGAAGCATTTCATTCATCATTTACCACCATGATGACTCCCCTGGTCCAGCACCACACTAGCGCTGCAGTTTGTCTGTCCGTCCACCTGCTGGTCACTTATGGGAATCTCCACTAATCAACACTGCCACTGTCTTTATTTGCCGCGATGCTGTGATACTGAAGGTAGCGCTCCGTGTCTCTGCAGGTCCGCCCTGCAGGTCCTCCACAAGGCATGCGAGGTGTCCCGCCGGTTCAACTACTTCCAGGGGGGCATCGCTCTCACGTGGATGGCCTTCTATGAGAGCTGCATCACCTCGGAGCAAAGCTGCATCAATGAGTGGAATGCCATGACCGACCTGGAGACCACCCGGCCCGACTCGCCCACCATGTTTGTGGACCGGTGAGACCCGGCGGGCTGCTTCATGTAACGGTTGCAGCTATTAGAGCATTTACTGCACACGTGATTGTCCCTGATGCTGGGACAGGATTTAATGTGGCAAAGACTGCAACCATCAAACATTTTCATCATTGATTATTATGCAGACCACATTTAATAAAAATTGATTTCTCAAAGTCTTAGGTGATGTCTTTAACATTCTTGTTATGCAAATATATTCTGTTTAGTGTTGTATAAAATAAGGAAAAGCAGAATATCTGCTTATTTGAGTGGAGCAAAACAACTGCTATTTTTTGAAGGAATAAGAGAGAAACAATGAATCCATTATCAGAAGAGTTGACTGTTCGATGACTAATGGTACAGGCTCTGCATGTGGCCAAACAGAACAATCGCTGCTGATTTATTTTGTCGTGCATCGTGTGTGTGTAGTGTCTTTAGCCATGGAAGAGGTTTTCATGCATTGGACACCAGCTGTTGTCCCTTTTTAGTTTTACGCTTTGGGAACATGTTACACTGTTATGCTAATTTACATTCAGACAGCCACACTGATGTCTTGACTCGTCGTGTGCAGGCCAACTGAGCGAGAGAGAACAGAGTGTCTCATTAAAGCCAAGCTACGCAGCATCATGACGTATCAAGACCTGGAGAACACCACCTCCAAGGAGGTATGTGGCAAATGCACAACATTTTTATTTTTACATTTGTCATAAAGATGCTATTCACATACATTTTATTAATGTAGCAGTCTCCTTCTCGAATCGTCATCCACAGATCCGTAACAAGCTGGAGCAGCATATGAGCTGCAGCCTCACTGAGTACAAAGAGTTCATAGACAACGAGATGCTTTTGATCCTCGGTCAGATGGACAAGCCCACACTCATCTTTGACCATGTGTACTTGGTGAGATTTTTTTTATTTTTTTATATTTCTTTTCATGTTTTTTTTTATTCTACCCTTTAAACTTTATTTATATTATATTTTCCCTCTTAACTTTTCACCATGCTGAGGCCCACTTCAAACTGTGGATTATACTTTCTTCAGTAAACAGCTTTTTACTCTTTATTTTGTAGTTATTCAAACAAAGTTGATGCCTTTTTCCCTTTTGTAGGGCTCCGAGTGGAACGCTTCCAACCTGGAAGAACTACGCGGCTGCGGGTAAGCTGATGAAATCTTGATTTGAATTTTGTTTTATTCTTATGTATTATTTTACCTGAAATTTGCTATTGTGCTCTAATAATTCTGAGGCGAATTGCGTAATTGTGAGTTTGTATCCCTATGGTTGAATGCACTTACTGTAAGTCGCTTTGAATAAAAGCGTCAGCTAAATGACATGTAATGTAATGATCATCATGGTAATGATAAAATGAAGTTTATCACTGTGTATGACGTTCAATAATTGTCAGTGCAGCAGTGTTATAAATGTGATTCTTATGCTGCGTTTCAGACCACTTGACAGCCACCACACTTTTTCAGCTGAATAAATGCTGTGCAGAGAAGTTGGTGGTCTAAAATCCACAGTGTGCGCTTTCCTTTTGTAGCCGGGGCGAACGGATTTGCCCCGCGTGTACCTTTTCTAATAGGAGGCTAGTCTGATGTCCTGCGTAACAGTTGAACAAAGCAATAATGGAGGTAAAGACAAACATGTTGTCGTCTTGGTTGCAGAGTGGGCTACATCCTGAATGTTACCAGAGAGATTGACAACTTCTTCCCGGGGATGTTTTCTTACCACAACGTCCGCGTGTACGATGAGGATGCTACTGATCTGCTGGCCCACTGGAACGACACCTACAACTTCATCGGCAAAGCCCGGTAAGACCGCCCGCGCGGGTTGGAATAAAACGTGCGCAGATCGTTTGGGTTAACGGCTAATACGACGTCCTAACCATCACCTGCTCGATCCAACCAGTTTAATTATCGTCTGTCCACTAGGAGGAACAACTCCAAGTGCCTGGTGCACTGCAAGATGGGGGTGAGCCGGTCCGCCTCTACGGTCATTGCCTATGCGATGAAAGAGTACGGCTGGTCCCTGGAGAAAACCTACAACTTTGTCAAGCAGAAGCGGAGTATAGCTCAGCCGAACGGCGGATTCATGAGACAGCTGGCAGAATACGAGGGGATTCTGGACGCCAGGTAAGCAGGTCTGCAGTTTCACTCGGGTTCGCGCTTTGCTGCAGTCACCCGGGTGTTTTTTTCTTTTTCTTTTTTGCACGTAGTGCAACAAGGAGATTTCATCTTAGGGCCGATTCCTCAAGGTAGCACACACATGCTGCTGGTATTCAAACTGTAACGCTGCGATTTGCTTTGAGAAGCTTTCTGTTCTTTCATCGCGTGCAAACAAATGTGTTATTTGCGTTCAACAGCAAACACCGCCACAACAAGCTGTGGAGGCCTGAAACCGATAAGGAGGGAGCCGATGATCTGCAAGCCTCAGGCGGGGAGGAGACGCCGGGGCTCAGAGGGGCGGAGGCTGTGGGAGGCTGCGGGGCCTCCCCCTGCAGGGTGGTGGGTCTGGAGATGGAGCCCCTCGACTCCCTCAACTATAACTATTACTTCAGACGCTTGTCAGACTCTGCGCTAGACAGCGAGCCCTCCACCCCAGTGCGCGGCCCCCCGCTGCTGGGTATGGAAAGGGTTTTCATCGAGATCGAAGACGTGGAGAGGGACGCCCTGTTGGAGGACGAGGGTTTCCCCATGGCCCACCTAGCGCTGCCCGGCGAGGGCACGGCAGCTCAGACGTGCGGCCGCCTCGACCCCCTGGAGGACATGAGGCTGAGGCTCGAGATCAGCACTTTGGAGGAGGAGGACGAGGAGGAGGCCAAGAAGGAGGAAGCGGAGATGGCGGCCCTGGCTCAGGCTCCGGGAAATTCGGATGGGAGGAGGGCGGGGGAGGATGGCGAGGGGACGGAGGAGAGCCGGTTGGGTCTGGCCAACCTGAACACCAACAACAGCAACCGACTGGCTGCCAAGCGCAGCTGCCCTGCAGCCTTTGATGTGAGTTTAAAAAACAACGCTTTTTAAATGAATTCAAGTGTTTTTGTGTTAAACTACAATTTTGTAGTAATTTCAATATCCTGACCATATATTGTATTTGTATGTTACTCCGTTTAGGACAGTGGTAGCACAGGAAACCCTTTAAAAGTGAAGCCGTCCTATCAGTCCTGTAAGGATTGCCTGCGTCTGCCGCAAGTGCGACGCTGTGACCGTCCAGCAGGGGGCCGTTCTCACCGCCTTAACCCCTCCCGCCACTGCACTATCCCCACCATATGCATAGATCCCCCCGGGACCAGTTTTGCATCCACCCCACTTCTGCGGCCCCTGCAAGTCCCGGCCAGCTCGATCCAGCCCTCCGCTCGTCCGTACCGCTGCTCCACCTGCGGCCCCGCCGTCCCACCAACCGACCGGCAGAAGCCCGGCTCGCCCATGAGCTGCGAGGAGACGCCCCCCGACTGCGGCTCGGTGGACACAGACGACATGGACCAGCCGCGGGGGGGCGACGCGGGAGGAGAAGCGGCGAGGGGCGGCACGGGGGCTCCAGCTGAAGGTTTAAATTTGCAACCCGGCGGTTCGGTGGAGCTCCAGCAGCAGGCTTTGGCCAAGCTAAAAATGCCGGGACTGGGGATAGAGTTTGGCGTGGAACTGATGCGACAGAGGGCAGAGCGGCTTGAGGAGCTGCCGAGCTCGGCCGCGGAGGGCCAGCTCCCGGCGGGGCCCCTGCCTTAACACTGTAACCCTTACGTGTATGAGATGGAGGAGGAGGTTTTGCCGCTGCCTTCAGCAGGAACCCTGTTATAGCTGTGGGCCTTTTTTTTTCTTTTTTTTTTTAAGATGACTACTGCTGTGGTGTCGTACCGGAATCAAAGCCCCGCTCTGACCTGAACTGTCACGTGCCGGCCGCTTAGCTGCACTGTCACAAGCTGCATTTCCAGAGAAAGTCCCGTCATCGTCTTAACTGGCGTTGAGATCCGAACGAGGCTGGTCGATTCAAAACCATACGCCCGAAGACCGAAGACTTTCCCGTGTCCTTCCACTCGCCCCTCGATTGAGTCTCTCCTGAGCCTGCCAGCCCCCCCCCACCCCCCTCCACATGCAGGATCATCACACTTCCCCTCAGCCCAGTGGTGATGAGCGTCACGCTGCCGTGTTCACCGGCAGGCTTGGCGTGTTCCAGAGACAGCGGTGGCTGCAGCGAGCACTCTGAGGCCGATGGACGGAAAAAGACCTGAAGTAACACGCTTCTTTCACTGGACTGTTTGTTTTTCAATCCAAGTCATCAACAGCATTCATGAAGGAGCCCGATGAATGTTTGCAGTCGCCCCTTGTTGTGATGGCGTTCAGCGTCTCCTCGTGTTTGCTGATGTGCTGAATCTCCACTGGCCGTCACCTATATTTTCTCTGCTGCCGCTGCTTTTGCATCAAGGAAGGGGCCGTTGTGGAAGCATAATCATTTTGGGGAAAAAAGGATGGGAGCCTTTTTTACGCCTCTTAGTAAGGTGTCGTACCTCGGACCACAAGCATCTGGAACTGTTTTGGTCAAAGACTCTTTCGTTGTGTCTGCACAGTGTCTGGTTCACCCTGACCTCCTCCATCAAAGTTAATGTAATCATGTACTTAAAGCACTCACTTTAGCCCCACGCATGACTTTGCAGTATTACAATACCAACACGCTGGGCCGGAAAACATATTATTTAAATGCTGAAATGCATCCAGATTTGCCATTGTTTAGCTCAAGTGACAACAATCATTTGTCAGTTTGCTGATGAATTGTTTGAACCTGACCCCCTTACGCCTGAGAGAAGACTGAAGATGCACCTCCTGTTGTTGGGAGATCTTCACAGTCATCCTTTCACACGTCAGGGTCCTCCAGGAGCGCTTGGTCTGATCACTTGCTGATGTACCAAAGCTTTATCATTTTGACATTAAATCACCATCGTAGTTTAAATCCTTTTACCACAGTGGCATCCAGGTACTCATTCATCTTAAGTGTCTCCCAGACAAACATCTGCGAAGACACTAAGTATAGATTTAGCACTCGAGCACAACGTTTGCATCCATTCACACAGTGCACACATTTCGACTCTATAGCTGCGTTTTACTGAAGTCACTAAGGGCACTGAAGCAGAAATAAATTCATGAATACTTCATTCATTTGGGTCGAATGACTATTATTCTATAAGTATTATTAGAATTTTGACTTTAAAGTTACCAAATTGAAAACTTAAAATTCTAATCTAAACATATTATTATATAGTAGGTTTACTTTGTGCAACGCTCTGCACGCGCAGTTTGTTTTTCATCTCTTTGAGTCTTTTCCTCAGCTGTTATTTAGTCCATTTTGTCTATGCTGGGACAGCTTGAGGCCTGTTGTGTTCAGATTGTGCCACCAAGCCAAAGGGGTGTTGCTCTACAGGTTCTTCTGTTGTGTTTTGGCGCGCTGGGTGTGCTGGAATGGTTCTGAGAGATGCCTGTCTGCATGCAGGAAATGCACATACGTGTGGTTTTGCTGTGTTTAAAGATGCGAGTGCTTCAGGAGAAATGAAAACTGTGCAAGGAATGAATGTTAGTTTTTTAACCAACCTCTAATTATGGATTTATTTATTTCAATTTTTTTGTGGGTTTAACATTCCTTTAGTTAGATCAGTGGAAGCTTCTATTTATATTTCTTCTCCTCCCTTAACTTGGACACCAGGGAGCTGCAGGTTTGCTCCACTAGTTAGATTTTAAGAATTTGGTTTTGCCTTTAAACTGTTCTTTCCCCCCACGTGAGCATTGTGAAAAATGTTTGATACCACAAACCGTAACAGAAGAATTAAGAAATGCCACATCGTGGCAACTTAAAGATCGGTATCATTTCATCTCAACACATGGCAGCGTATTTCCCCAAATGCTCTCTTCCGTTTTACATCCTATTAACATGATTCTCTTTGAAGCCAGTTTTTATCACTGTGTTACAGGTGGGCCTTGATCCATGCGCTTGACATCGTGAGCAGCGAATCCTTCTGTTTGCGTTCCCAGACCGCAGCACAACCGCGGGTTGTTTGCTTCATGTTTTGAGTTTGTGTTTGTATTTAAGTGCCTTAACCTTGGCCTTAGCTCCATCCTAAAGCATCACAGGCGTTGCAAGAGTTTCTGTGAGTGTGTCGTCGGCTTTTTGTACATTACTTGCCCTCACTCCCAATAATAACCACGCTCCCCGCGACGTATAACTCGGCACAAAATAATAATGTATGCAAACACACATAAGCTCACGCACAGCCGCCTCCTTCGCCCCCGAACACACTTATACTTGATGGACTTCCATTCATGAATAGCCTATAATAATATTGTATTTGTTTGATATTGTTGAAACTTGTGGTACACTGTATTGGTTCAATAGCTGGCTGAGGAACCTTACTTGCTGGAATGAGAACTATCATTTACATTAAAACATTAGACAGGATGGATTCATGTCTGTATATATTTTTCTCAACAATTTGCTATAAGTACATCAGCTTGCAGATGTGGTCAATATTAAGAAAATACACTGATAATGCTACCGTGTATTTGAGAAGCACTCATGATTAAGTTCTCGTGTTTGTACCACAGCAAAAAAACAACAACAAGACTTATTTCATTTAAGCGAATGTCTTGGTGCGCCATTGAAATGGCAAAAATTGAATAAAATTTTTTTATTGAATTATTCCCAGGCAGCAGGCATCACACTGACAATCCTACTAAGAGCCAGAAGCTGAGGACTTTGTGCGGAAGGATATTAAGACATATTGCAATTCAAAAGGGGGATCCAGGCATTTATAGAGTGTATTTACAGAGCACAAGTCTGCCCCAAAGCATGCGAGGTTGAGTGGAAACCGCAGAATACGATAAACCTTCCTGGGAGTACGATTTTGTTACTTTAATTGTTTTTTGTTAACTTCTGTGTACTGTACTGTACATTGCCAATGTTCATGTGTAATGCACTTTTTTTTTCTTTTTTTTTTTACATTTTGTTAAAATGATGTCCAGTCTAATGTTTATCACGGAAATAAACCCATTTCCTCTGCATAATCTATTCATTCAGCCAAGTTGATTTAATGCGCTTGCGGCTCAGACGTGATCACAACACTTCATTGTGTCCATATTTACTTTCCTCTTAGAATTGCAAAATAATTTACTTCCTCTCCATACCTGTTTGCTGTTCGCAATAGACGCTGAACATCCACTATCATGTGTTCACATCTGTTGGCCTCTGGCTGTGGGCTGCTCTTAAATGGGCAGAGGGCTATCTTATTGAATTAGTCAAATGAAGGCAGTGTGACGTCACGGGGGCCGTTGGCGGCGAGAGAAGAAGATCTCTCCAAAGGTCCCAGAGGATGACGGGCAGGCAGAGCATCAGTGTCAGTAAGTATTTACCTACAATCTGCGATGGTTTAACTTAAATGTAACTTACACAGCGGCAGACAGTTAACTGGTTTTAATGGAAGTGTTGTTGCTACGGTAAACAGTCACTAAACATCTTTTAACTAAAAAAGGATCTTCATCTCAATGCCCGTATTGTATATGTGCCACCGTGCGCTCCTACGCGACGATGTATTTGGCTTTTTACGGTTGCTGCATCGTTTTATGGCGTTTGAAGTTCTGCCTGGTGGAACGGCAAATTCATTTTACTGTCAAATTAGATAATGTGTCCGAATATGATCATGTCATCAAGCCTATTTGAATTTGAGCTTATTCTATGGACACCGATGCACTCGATGCTCTCAGGGAAGGACACGGTGTTCTCTCGGGAGGAAGAAGGGGAAAAAAAAAACCTCTCCCGATGCCGGACTAATTGTGTACTCAAAGTCACAAGTCTTTTATAAACCGTGTGTGCGTGAGAGACACAGTAACGGGACGTGAGCGATACGAGGGAGGGAGTCGTTAGGAGCCGATGCCACAGATGCCTCCCACTTCTGCCATAACAACACATCCCTCCCAAAATAACGAGTTCGGATACACTAAAGCCGCTCGGATTGTTCGGGCCCACGTCGCACTGGTCGGCCAGAGCCAGAGTTTGAAAAACGTTGGCTGGTTAAGAATAAAAGCTCTAATACAACTATGGGAAGGGACAGTATGCACCAGCAAATCCTAATATTAATATTCAGCCAGGTGCTGGTCAACCGCGGGCAACGTAAAAGACAAAGGAGCTTTCAAATCAGAGCTCTAAATCAATTTATCCACTTGAGGAACTTCTAACTCGGGCGGAATTAGTTATGTGGAGCAAAATGTTCCGACATTGTTTTGACCTCCACAGCCCCGTCAGATGAAATGGCCCCTTCAGAGGGACCATCATTTTATAGTTAAACAGGAGTTGAGCCTCCAGGGTAACAGTTTACGTTGTGTGGACGAGCACGTCGGTTAAATAGACGAGCTTGAAAGACGTGAAGTGTCAGTCGGCGCCTCTCCGGCTTGAAATAGCTTAAGCAGCGGAGCACATGACTGCGGACGCAGGGTGAAGATGTTCAGTCACCTCTCCTTCGGTCGACGCAATCAAAAGACTTGGCCTTCCTTCCTTCTGATCCGAGGTTATTTTAGTCGTATGTTCCTGGAATACCTGCATTATGAATCACAACTTTGGCACATTCGGTTGTTTGTAATCTAAATATACTCTGCGTGCCGCTGACGACCTGTTTTCCCCGTTGCGATAATCTCCCGTCCACCTTCTGGCGTGTCGGCGGTTTGTTAAACTCTCAAAGAATTCGGTCGAGAAGTCGAGGCACTTGTGACTTGAATCACGTAGTCCAGGTGACCTTTCTCTGGTTGGTTTGAAGGGGAAGCACAAACACATTGACCGTGAAGTAACCGTGAAAAAATACCTCTTTGTCATGACAGTTAATTTGGTTTCATGGAGCACCGACGCTATTTGAATAACTTGTAATGAACGTCTTGGCAGCATTCTATTAGTGCGCGTTGACCTTGGCACCGGGCAGCTGACCTCTTATCTCCCTCGTCCTGTTTCCTTTTTGGCCTCCTGACTCAGTGGCTGCAGTCAGAGCAGCTTTAATTATAGCCATCACAGCATTCCTTCCCTACAGAATAGGGGGGAGATATATCCAGAGGGCAGTTGTGAGCAGATTGGAAGAATATACCAAAATAGCGAGTAAAGTAAAGGAGGATTCAAATAGAGAAACACTCTGTTTAATTGAAATGTGCAGGCGGACCCTCCACCTTCCACCGCTGTGTTGACATTTGTCTCTCTCTTTCTTAATGACCAGACAAGAACAACAACCATGGGCCAAAAGTTGGAGAGGCTGTCTGAAAAGGACGAGGAGTCACTCGATCACTCGGACTGGTCGGGGCAAACCGAAGAGACCGAACAGTCGGAGACGGCACAGGACGGTGACAGCAGAGATCGGGCCGACAGCGACCTCGCGACCCCTCGGGCTGCCGCTCGGATTAGCGGGATCAGTGTCAGCGGCCCGTCCACGGGGCTCACAGTTACTTCTGCACGTACAGACCCCCGAACCCGGCAGCCAATCAGGCCTTTAGGTCAAGGGGAGCAACCCCTGAACGCCAGGGCAGAGTGGGTGGGTGGAGACAAGCGGAGCTGGAGTGGCGCTCGAACGGCCGGGGAGTCAAAAGCCGCCCTGAGCCTGAAGGAGACGAGACCGGCTCCCAACGAAAGACGAGGCTCTGTGAGTGGAGCCATGGAGGAGCAAGGAAGTGGGAGGGAATCGGATCTTGGGCAAAGCGAGTTTGGTGCTGAAATTCAAGCCGCCGGCTTATCGTCCTCATTCAATCCCAGGAGCGAGGAAGACTTTGTGGTACTCGAGAAGGATGAGACTGATGGGGACGTTGCTCTTGGCAAGAGAATAAATACAGAGGATTCACAATCACCTGTGACAAGAACAGTTGAAGAAGACCTTCCGCCAACTTCCAGGGTCGCCCCTCGAGAAAAGGTTAGCGAGAAGAAAAGCAGGAGAAGATCAGACCCACTTCCAGTGGCTTCTGACCGCGTGGAAGAGCGCGCTGAGAGTTCACCCGAAGCCCGTTTTGAGGGGGACACGGGTCCACATTTGGCTGAAGTGACAGGCAGCAGGTGTCGGCTAAAAGGAGTCGGCCGTGTCGGAGCCGTCTACTCTGGGACAACTGGGAGAGGAAGCGCAGAGCGGGAGCCAAACACGAACGACGACCACAGCAGGAGGCAGGTTTCTAACACGAGCAGGGAGCACCCGTCCACCCGAAGCAACCGCGGCTCCGTGAAGGGATCAGGAAGCGGCGGCGAGGATTTAGAAGGCGTGCTCGATCCAGGAACCCACGATTCCGAATTTGTTGCACCAAACAAACGAGCGGCAGCAGGTGAGTGCCATCAGAGCAGGTTTGCTGGTGCCGTCTCCATGAGGGCCAAAGGAGGCGGTTTGCGGACCAAGAAAGAGGACAGCGGAGTGTCCTGCAAAGCAGCCGGCTCTCGCCCCCCGAAGGCCGAGTCCCCGAGCTCGGAAACCCCGCCGCCACGCGACGGCCCCTTACTCTCCTTGGAACAATGCGACTCAATCCCTCGTCCTCGTCCGCTGCCAGAGAATGAAGGCTGTGATGGAAAGATGACGGTCGCCAGCTTAAAGAGGGAGAGCAAGCTCGTTTGCTTCTCTGCTGTCATCACCCCGCCGCCCCTAACTCACCTGTTGCCTGAGAGGGACGCGGGGAAACCAAAAACGGTGCCAGATGCCTCCTGTGATTCCAAAGACGAATCCGTGGCAAAGGAAAAGCCAAAAGCTAAAGGTCCACCTCCGCCTGTGCCCAAAAAACCCCAAAACCCATTTATAAAGCTCAAAACCGCACAATTAAGGTCAACTGAGGTGCACAGAAGAGGCAAGGAGCATTTGCGTTCTGAGGAGAGGGTCAGGAGGAGACACACTTTTGATTTCTACAAAGGTCTTCCGAGCAACACTCCGACTAATCAGGACATGTGCTCGCTGTGGGACGAAAGGGGCTCCTACGCGGCGCCAACCAACATGCGGCGGCTGTCGGTTGACCTGAGCCCTTGGGAGCAGCTTTCGCTCCAACGCATGGATGACCAGTACGGAGACATGATCGACTACGAGTACTGCGTGCGCATGGCACATCTGTCTCCAGAGGAGGAGCCTCCGAACTTGGACATGTTGCAGAGAAGAGTGTTCCTGGAGAGGCGAGCCAGATTCAAAAGCTCGCCTCCTCCCGTTGCGAAAAAGACCCCGAAGAGTTTTGCGTCCGCGGAGACTGTTCACGCACCTGAGGTCGCATCGTACAAGGACATCCAAAGACCACAGCCTGCTCACGCAGGAAGGAAAGAAATTCACCCTGAGCTTCTTTCTGAAAGGGTCAGCGATGACAACCATGGTAACTATGGTAACCGTAAATGTAACCGCAGTAGTGACCGGGACGCAGGACACTGCAATGAGGTGGGCTCGTTCAAGCCCGTAGCGGAAATCATCAAAGAAACGAATCAAATGCAGAGACATCAGGCACGGGTCAAACCCGAAGGGGCCAAAGCTCCGGTTCGGGTGGCGGAGGAGGGTCCCAGTGTGAAAGTATCCCAAATGAAGAATGCCTTTGATGTCCCGAAGAAATCCAGAGAGAGACCACCGGAACCTCAGCAATTTACAAAGAAAGGTAAAAGCTTTGCATTGTAATGTTGTAATGTTGGAGGCTTCGGTTCTGTGTTTGTTTAAATGATTCATCAAAGCATTCATGCACGATAAGCTTGTCATGTGTGAGTACATTAGGACGAGGGTACTTTCCAAACTGGAAAGCGCAGAGCGTCATGAGAAAAACCTTCCCTTTTAAACAGTGAACAACAATTTGATTTTGAATTTTAGATTTACAATGGCTCCCCTCAGATCTAAGGAGATTTAGCCTCTATTAGCACATTGTTTTGATTTTCAGCTGATATATTCTTACTCTGCCTACAGTCCAGTTACAAAATCTGGTCTTGTTACTGGATACACAACATTGTAATATTTAAGCTTAATTTGATTAATAGTCTTGTTTTTTCCTGTTGGGAGAGTAATTCAATAAGAAACCCAGCCAGATTTCCACATGGTCTGAACTGTGAGTGAAAAAAGACATTCCCTTTTGATCTCTCATGCTGTCATTTAATCAATCAGTCGACTTCTTTCATCGGTAACTTGAGTTGGATCTGAGTTGTAGTGTAAGTGCGGTTTGAATGTTCTCCCTGTGTTAACCTCAGATTCCTTCTACGGGCCAAACCAAATCCGCACAGGGTGAAATAGAAATTCAACATGTAAAAGAGAGAATAATTGTCTTTCTTAATTATTGTATTTATTTATTATATAATTGTGTCCTGGACACTAGTGTTTCCCCACTTTCTGCCTTGTGCTTACTGGGTTTGACCTTTTAGTAACAGGGAGGCAAACTCAGGAATCAGGAAACATTTCTTGCCAAAATAGGTCAAAAATACATAAGGAATTTGTCTTGGCGGTTGGTGCGTGACAGTGTAACAATAGACAACAAGACAGCAGTGCACAAGTAATAAAATAAAATAAAATGAAATGCTAAACTGTGTTTAATATCCCCCTAAAAATAAGTTCAATTAAATTTATACTTATGCGTCAAAGAAAATTGGTTTGGATTTTAGATTACATCATACGCCATATTCAAAATGAACAGGATGCGGCAAATTCAAAATACTTCAACTCCTGGTTTCAGAACAATCCAGAAGAATCTGACAAAATATCTACTGTGTATTAAAAGCTTCCAGCAATTTTAGTTCTTCATCAAACATTATCAAATCCTCATGACAAGGCAGAAGAAGCGATATAAAACAAAGAGATTCATGAGGTGAATGTGTTTGTGTCTTTATGATGATGGGTTGATAATAACTCAACATTTACCCCGTAGCTCAGTGTTGAAGTATAAGTACAGAACAATTCATAAATCACAAAAAAAGGAAAAAATGAAAGAAGAAGTCTAAAATATCCCAATTCAATATAACAGGCCTTTTCCTGGAACGTTTAGTTGTATCACATGGTCTTCTCAGAGATGGATGCATTTTTGGATTCATTTGTGTCGGCTTACAAACATATTATGAAAGTTCTCCTTGACATTAAAGAAGACTATGTGATGCGGCTGAAAAAAGGTAGTATGTGTATCTTGGGTTGGGATTGTTTGCCAACTCCTATTTCCACGGTTAGGAATGCTCGTCTCATTCAATTCGACTTTCAACAGACGTATTCACATCCCAGAGGCGATCAGTCAGCATCGAACATAGAATGCTACAACTTAAAACCCCTACGGTTATTCAATCCTGGGGTGGGGGGCAAATATGTTCTGTTCAAATGAATAAAAATGTATTAAAAAAACAGATACCCCTGAATATGGGATATGTGGGTGAATTACAAGTTGTTGTTTTTATGTGTTTGCCACTGCAGGCTGGGTGGGATCGGATGGAACCGAGGGGGGGGGGGATGGACCACGATACAATAGATGATGCATCCAGTTAAAATCCATTTTCCATTTTCACAAAAATGAATTCAGCAGCCCTGCTTCACAGAAGAAGAGAGACGTGCGAGAAACCCCGTTTTCCTGCAGCCCATTCACAGGCATGAGGAATCTATTCATCTGCGCATGCGCCGCAGCCTCTCGGCAGCGTACCCCCATTGAACTTACTAACGATGAGAGTAGACCAGCGCTAGTCTTCTGCAGGTGAGGAGGGGACAGGAGATGCTCCGTTTCTCAATCCGCCTTTAGGAATACTCCTAGGTTTAAAACACGTCCCCCGGGCCACGTATCTGCAAGCCGGGAAGGGAACGGACACCAGATCGACGTCCTGCAGGACAAGGGCGCGCCTAAACCACCAGACTCATGTGTTGTGATTGATCACCCCCGTGCTTACGAAAACCGTGCATAGAGTTAGGAGGTAAGAAAGCCCGTGGGGGTAAAAAAAAAAAGTCTCTTTGCATTGTGTATGTTTGATGTGTTCTTTCGGCCCGGTGCGGTGCAGCATCCATGTAACTCGCTTGGATGGATTTGAGAATGGGAGCAGCCCCAAAAAAAAAAAAACCTCGGGTGGAAATATCTGCACTCGCGTCAGCTGGCGGTGGTCCACCGCAGCTAGCAGCTTGGCGGCTATGCTAGCTAGCAGCTAGGCGGCTATGCTAGCTAGCAGCTAGGCGGCTATGCTACCACGGCGAGCCGGTCGGGTGCCAAACACACCCACAGCCTGCTGGAGTAGTCACACAGAAATGTACACCTTTTAGATGATGTGGTAAGCCGTGTGTGGTAAAACCAAACCAAATGTTGTTTTTAAATCACCACCGGGGGGGGGGTGTCTGCGGTGTGAAACGTCTCCGTGCATCAGCGGCTGTTCGCACGGGGACCAGCCCCGGAGCAGCACGCCGATGCGCGGCTGCGGCGGAGCCCGGTGCGCCTTCACCGCGGTGTTCGGCTCTAACGTCAAACTTTACTGACGACACCGTCTTTTTAAAAAACTATTTTCGTTTCCATTCATTCACACAGGCTTGTCTTCGCTCTCGGTGGATGGTCACATCTGGAGCTTTAACGTCACTCAACCCTAACCCCCAGAAAAACGCATGTCTCCATGTTCGGTTCTCCCCCCTGCTTGCCTCGGGGCGAATCTAAAGCTTATAAAAGCCGATTGAGCAATTCTGGCAATGAAGTTTAAAATGCCCCCTTTAGTGTGGCCGCTATGTTCGTCTTGTGTCCATTGTTTCAATGGGATGGAGGCTGCACGCCGGGCTTTGTGCTCACACGAGCTAACCGCAGCTAGCTGCCATTGTTTAACGTTAGCACAGCGGTGTTAGCACTTTCCATCCAAGATGAATCCGGTGGTGCATTCAGGGACCCCCCCCCCCTCAGAAAAAAAACAACGTGCCAGTGTTCTAAGACGCTTATGTTGGCATCTTCTGGTTGTGTCCACCCATCTTAGTCCAGACCAAGTGTGAAAAACAGCGCGCAGGGAGGCCGGCATCCTCATCGCGGGTTTGATGCGTTACTCTTGGGGACAATTTCCTCATAGGATCAGTCTGTAACTGCAGCAGCAAGACGGTGTCAGCTGGTTAGATGGTGGTGGAGAGCAGCACGCTGTGTGGATGACATCAACTCCAGCCTGCAGGGGCTGAAGCTGCACTTTTTAAAGGTTTTTTTCTTTTCTTCTTCCATGCATATTTGGAGTGTAACTGCTACAAAAAAACACTACTCATTTAGAAGATTATTGTAAAAAAGGAGTCTTGGTCTTGGTCTTGAGTTCCAAAACTAGTAAATAAAATGAATATCTGGAAGAAGATTTGCGGCGTCTTTTGCCAAAACCAAATGTGCTGATGTTGCTGAGTAAGATTTTTTTTGGAGGGGGGAAAGAGCTGTGATTCATCTTTTTTTCCGTTTTCATACTGCGTGGGAAGAAGCAGGTGGTTTAGATAACTGGGGGAAATCTTGCAGCTTGTATAACCGCTCAGTGTGTCGCTTCAGACTGGCAGCTTAATTACCGCCCTTGGACACTATATTTTCTACATGATTATGCAGAAAAGTATGCAGCTAAAACAATGAAAAATCTCCCTCTGCCCTGCAATTACAAGAAGCAATGCTAAGATGAGCGAAGTTTAAGGAGAATTGTGTTGGGTGAATATTTCTTAGACGTGTAAATGGTTGTTTTAATTATGTTGCCTTTTATTAGTCACCATTTTCTGTCAGTGTTGCACGTCCGGAAAACTGACACGAGTGAGTTGAACAAAGCCGGACGAAAATCTGTGTCTCATGTGCGAACGTCTGCCAGTAGGTGGAGCGGATTTATGTCCTTCCGATGCACAGGAACAAACTCCAACCCAGTGGATGCACATGATCTCAGATCAGACGGATTGCACGGGCACTAAACCAAACCCCAGGAGGCGGGATGCTCGTGTTAAGATGTCATGACTCTATTCTGTGTTGGGGGGGGGTGGATAGCTGATTGTCTGCAGAGTTTTATTTCATGTTAGGATCGCTTTAGTACGACACTTTTCTAAACCCTCTCCTGTGGCGTTCTCACTTCTCTCGACAGATATGTTGCGGCGCGTCGTGCGACAGAGCAAGTTCCGCCACGTCTTTGGTCAGGCTGTGAGGAACGACCAGTGCTACGATGACATCCGCGTGTCCAGGGTCACGTGGGACAGCTCCTTCTGTGCCGTCAACCCCAAGTTCGTTGCCATCATCATAGACGCCAGTGGGGGAGGAGCCTTTCTTGTACTTCCTCTACAAAAGGTCAGTGCAGAAGACCCGTCTCGCTTCCTTCGGGGGGGTTTTGAGAATATACTTCGATTGTCCAAGTCGGTATGGAGCGTTTTAGAAAGGCGTTTTAACATGTCGGGCCTCAAGGGCTGGCGCGTTTATTTATTTTTGGTTCCACTGTGATATTTTCCAATCCTTCACACAGAGGCTTTTCCCCGTCTGTCTGTTTTCACTGTCTGCCTGCAAGTTATTCTTGACTCTGGGCTGCGTGACACTGGCGGCTAGAGACCAGGATGAGCCGCAGGAGTTTGTAAAGCACGTCCAGGGAGACCAGTGCTCCACTGTAGTCATCATAGTATTCATGGGGCCAATCGATTCCTATAGGCTTCTCAGTCAGCAGGCCGTCGGCACGCTGCCGCTCTGACCCCGTCCGCTCGCTCCCCGAGGCTCATGTCTGTGATTAGCGATCAATGATTAAAAATGTATGTGGACGTCAACACGCGGTGCCCACGGAGGGGATTGGTGCTGCGTTGTCTTTTTTAGGCCCGCCGAGTTAAGTGCGTTTTATTCATTTGATAATGTTCAGGTAGAAAGATGTGCAGCCATGAAAACATTGGATGAGGTCATAGCGGTTAAAAACACGTTAAGGAGGACGTGGCTCACGCTGTTTTTCTAACAACGCTGTCTTCTGTCTCCCAGTCCGGCCGCATAGACAAAGTCTACCCGACCGTGTGCGGCCACACGGGCCCGGTGTTGGACATCGACTGGTGTCCCCATAACGACCATGTCATTGCCAGCGGCTCGGAGGACTGCACGGTGATGGTGAGCACGCGGTTAATGTCTGCAGGACCGCATGAGTTCATCATGATTGTTTTGACCGGAGGAAAGAGAATAAAACCAAATCCGGTTACACTTTTCCCACCGCAGCGTTTCATCTAAACCTAGAACATTTTATATTATTACTGTACTGTAAGCTAGCGTTTTGCTTAAGCTCATGATATAGAATACCTGCTCAATTAGACATAATTGATACTTCCATAATTCTGTAGTTTGTATCGTTTGTGTGTATGAGTGGAAACGTGTGTGTTTATTTGCCCACTCAGGTTTGGCAGATCCCTGAGAACGGGCTGGCGGCTCCTCTCTCGGAGCCCGTGGTCGTGTTGGAGGGCCACTCCAAGAGGGTCGGCATCGTGTCCTGGCATCCCACCGCTCGCAACGTTCTCCTCAGCGCAGGTGACCTTTGCCCGTGATCTCCCCCTCACTCCCTCCCGCCCCCCACCTCTGTAATCATCTGCCATTTGTCCAGCGCGCACAGCTGAACTCCAAATCGGACCGATTACCTCACAGGCCGCCCTCTGTCATGTCGCTTTGTGTATGGGGGGGGGCTTAAAATAACCTTGGACACAGAGGTGTGTGTCTGTGTGTGTGTGTGTGTGTGTGTAGTCATCCTGTGCTGCATGTGTCCATTTAAGGGTGCGACAACCAGATCGTCATTTGGAATGTGGGCACGGGGGAGGCCATGATCAGCCTGGAGGACATGCACCCCGACGTGATCTTTAGCGTCAGCTGGAGCCGCAACGGCAGCCTGCTCTGCACCGCCTGCAAGGACAAGAAGGTGCGCGTCGTCGACCCCCGCAAGAAGAAGGTTGTCGCGGTAAGTGGAAGCGCCGGCGGGGGATTTGAGGGGGGGCTCTGGATGCTCCTCGCGTGAAATCATCTTTCCCAGAATCCCCCCACTTGGACTGACGCGCGCGTGTTTCTGTTTTTAGGAGAAGGACAAAGCTCACGAGGGAGCTCGACCAATGAGGGCCATCTTTCTGGCAAACGGAAACATTTTCACCACCGGATTCAGCCGCATGAGCGAGCGGCAGCTGGCTCTGTGGAAAACCGTACGTCAACCCGCAACGCGCTGGTTCATCACTTATAAGCGGGTGGTTCACATTATCTGGGTTTCCGTCAGCTTCCCCGGTTCTGCCCGAATGTGAAATGATTATTTATTTTCTGTCCGATTTTCCTTACACCTCAGCTCCAGATGGGGGCGTTGCATTCAAAGATATGTCACTTCTCCAGATCTTATTAGAAAGGGTCATTTTTTCAAATCGGGACATGATTTGTAGTTTTGGCTACGGATGAGACAAGTGCCACGGAACGCCACGATTTAGTGGTTACTTCATCCTCATTTTTGTGTCTCCAGGAAAACATGGATGAGCCGATCTGTGTTCAGGAGATGGACTCCAGTAATGGAGTCCTGCTGCCCTTCTACGACCCCGACACCAACGTAGTCTACCTGTGTGGAAAGGTGAGCAGCCTTGTAAAGTCCGGTCTTAATTGAGCCTCTTTTTTTTTTTTTTTTTTTTTTCGATCCCTTGACTGTCAAACTGACTCTGAGCTGTGACTGTATGTGCTCAGGGCGACAGCAGCATTCGGTACTTTGAGATCACTGATGAGGCCCCGTTTGTTCACTACCTCAGTACCTTCTCCACCAAGGAGCCGCAGAGAGGCATGGGATACATGCCCAAGAGAGGCCTGGACGTCAACAAATGTGAAATTGCGAGGTATTGCAGGAGTCATTGTTAGTTATCATTTTGTTCTGTAAGTTTGTGCTGCTAAAATACAGTGTAATATATTTTTTAACATAACTACTAAAGTATTATTTTCTTTATTCATTAATCTACATATTTTACATCAGTCAGCAAATGGAAGAAAAATAAATCCCTAAAATATTCAATTTGGTGTAATAGAATGTTGTGAGAAGCTTGGATTTGGGGCATTTTTGAATAAAAAAAGTAAATAAACCACTATCTACCATCAGTTATTGCTTATTAATCTGTAATTAAACTTATTGTGTCAGCTTTTGATGCCACATTAGTCTCAGGTAAAAAAAATAAGTTTTGACTTGAATAGAAGAGATAGTGACAGAACTCATCTAAGTAAGTAAAAAGTAAGTACATAACTTAGTTTCACATTTTAATCTTGCGTTCACTCATTGTTCAGATTTTAAAAAGTTTAATTCATGAATGAATATATATTCCTGTTGGATAAAAACCATTGTATTGCTACTCTACTGTTCTGTCGGTTTTGATGCTATTTTTTTCATGTTGCAGCTCACTGTTGTGCTACGTGTGAAATAATCACATGTTATTAATCTTCTCTGTAGGTTTTACAAATTACACGAGAGGAAATGTGAACCAATCATCATGACCGTCCCGCGTAAGGTTCGTCTCTGGAGTAATAAATATGTTCAGTGCTGCCTTTATGGACCGTGTCCATTTCCTCTGCTGTCCTCCCCTCCTTTATTACTTGTGTCCTCCGTCTCCCCCACAGTCGGATCTGTTCCAGGACGACCTGTACCCCGACACAGCCGGGCCCGATCCCGCCCTGGAGGCTGAGGAGTGGTTCGCCGGGAAGAACGGCGGCCCCATCCTGATCTCGCTCAGAGACGGCTACGTGTCCACGAAGGCCCGTGATCTCAAAGTGGTGAAGGCCAACGTCCTGGAGACTAAGCCGGCCGCCAAAGCAGAAAACATCTCCACCGTGCAGAAGCACGCTTCTCCGCAGCGAGCAGTTGTGAGTGTCGAGCTTTTTTTGGATTGGAAAAAAACTGCATTCAGCCTCACTCAGCAATTTATTTATATTATATGACATATGAACTCCCTCTTTAAAGTAATTATTATGGAACATTTCCCAAAAGTTATGGATCAGCACATACTTTGGTATTTGGGTCACGATTCGGTGGAACAGCAGTGGAAAATGTGCTGGAGGGCCTCACTGCCCGTCCAATCCGTGCTCGTTTTGCCTCAAAAATAACTTCTTTATCCTAAATCTACATGAACTTATTATCCCACTTAACGCTTCCGTAAACTTTGGGAGCTTGTTAAAAGCCCAATGAGACGTCTAAAAGAACTCTGTTCTGTTTCTGACCAGAAGAAGGACCAGAAAATGGAAGACAAACTGGAAGAGGTGCTTCGAGAGTTCAAGTCGCTCAGGGACCGCGTCATCCTCCAAGACCGTCGAATCGCCAGACTGGAAGATCAGGTCGCCAAGGTCGCCATGTAAGTTTGCAGCCCTGCTTCCCGGGGGGGCGCCGGTTGATTTGGGAATCGAATGGACGAGGGCCAGCCGCCGCCAAATTCTGAAGATTCGGCTCCATTGAGCTTGGCGTCGTCCTGCGATGAGAACCGAGCCCTACATTCCAAGATCAACTTGTTCTTTTCCACATCAAGTCTCCAGTTCCACACCCACCTTTCTGACACGAGGAGAAAAGGAAAAACTCGCTCTGCTCATGTACACATTTGAAGAAAAGACATTTTTGTTGAAGGAAAAAGTCTTAATTTTTTTTTTTAATTGTGGTAAAACATTCTTATGTGAAGTTTGTACTTACTACTCAAAAATTGTATGTAGCATCAGAGTTTCCATTGTTATCTTATGTGTTGCCAAATATGAATCGTGTGCCGTTTCATGCACTGCTTTTACATTTTATGTTCTCTCCTCTCAAACATTCCAAACGCAACCCGGTTGTTTGATTTAGTCGAGCTGGATTTTTAAAAATATAATAGCTGTTGAACTTTTCTCCTCCCATCAGTTTGCTCGTTGATGAACATCAGATTTATGAATGTGGAAGAATTCCTTTTTACGCGTTTTTAGATTTTAATTCCCTTTTCTTCTGGGCTTAAAATGTAACAGTAGGTTTTATCCGCGGGGGGGGGGGGGGCATTCCTCTGGTGTAAATGTTGTGCAAATGTAGTGGTGCCTCTTGTCACTGTTGAGGGTCCAACTGAAGTCGCCCTTTCCAGTGCATATTTTGTGTTTGGAAGGGACCGCTCCCCCCACTTTTGTTTCAATGAACCCCTAACAAACTGTTCTGTGCACATAATAAAGATTTACACATGAAAAATTCGATCTTTAAATTGGTTTTTATTCATTTAGCTTTTTCTTATCAATTTGTATCCCTGCAAGTTGAGCTTTCCAACCAGTGCGTTTTGGTTTTCCACCGGGGCGTCTGTGCACCCAGTCGCTCCTCATGAATGCATTTTTATTCATAATTTCATCAATGTGGTCCAAACATCCACTAGAACTTTGGTGTATAAAATTGGTGAGGTCAACCCCGAGGCTTTAATTGTAGGTATTTGATAAAGAAGCTGTGAGGCATGCTCTTAATGTCAGATGTCATACCTTTTTATTTATTTTAATTTAATAGAATGAGCTTTGATATACAGCGGTCTAAAATACTTATCTTGTACAGGAATTCAATTTTTGTAGTTCTTCATGTTCTATCATATTTAATATTTTATTAATTTAAATATATATTTCATTTCTTCAAACCATAAAACTGCCCTTAAGTTCCCAGCCAACCAGAAACAATCCATTTGCTTCTGTAACTATTATTTGCTGCTATGTCTAATCACTTAATTTTGAAACCAGTTCTTTTTTTTTTTTTCTACCACCACATCCTCCTATGACTCATCAGCACAGGAAGCTAAGACCGTTTAGATTTCCACACTAGAATAACGTTTCCGTTTTTGTTTGAGTCCAAGCTGTTTCGTACCGCTCTCTGAAGCGAGCAAACCAAATCCGCCATGAACCTTTTCGATTTTTAGGCCGCTGTCAGTGTCTTCATGGAGAACCAATACCTTTTACCCACGTGACATGGAGCCGTAATCATAGCAATCAGTAGGTAACGTGTGAGAAACAGAACTGAGTACTTCCTGCTAGTTTATATAAAGTCGTCAGGACAAGCAGAGCGAACATCGGCACCTGAGCTCTTCAAAGCGCTGCATCACAGAGGTAAGACCCATTTAATCGTCTGCCATTGAATGGAAACAAGATCTTTCTTTAAACAGAAGCTGAGTGGAGAGCAATTAAAATAATATTCTGATCATGTTTACTTCCTCAATGATGCAAGATCAAAGCCGTGTGTTTCTGAAGGAGGCACCTGTCTGTATATGGGTTTCCTAAAAATGTTTTTTTTTTTTAAAGTTTAATGTAAAAAGTGTAATAAACGTGTTTCAGATTTGGTGATCTACCATTTTCCTTCATCTAAAGGCGTTGGATACCGTTTACCAACCGTTATCTCATAAAGGAAGTTGATTCATCTACGTTGTTTACTTCCTACCTTAAACGTATCCTTGACTTTAACAGCATTTCAGAAGTCTTTTAAAATCAGATCTGATATAATTCGACTTTAAATGTGGACAACAAACAAATTGTTTTAAAGCTATATTAAGATTGACACTTAAATGCAGTAGTTCTGTTTTTTTCCTATTGAAATGTGTGGGTGTGGTGACGGACACATGACCGCTCCATCATACTCTGTCACTATCGCAGAGACACATGACACATTGTTTTTATCCCCATGTGTGTCTGGACACAACAGTTTTGCTTCACTAAACTCTTGCATTGCATCTCTTGTTGAATTTCAGGAACAACAATGATGCCACTCAGCATGAAGACGTATCTGGCTCTGCTATGGGGAATGTCTGTTTCCAACGTCATGGCGTCCGACATGAGCGTAAACTCAACTGCTGAATCTCACACACCTGCAGACACCAGTGTGGAACCGGAACCGGTGATTGCCACTTCTGCAGGTGCGGCACATCGGTCCCTCCACGACAAGGTCTTAGCTACTGCGAAACCTACAGAGGGTCCGATGCATCAACAACCACCCGTCGCCTCCACTGTCCCGACTGCTCCTGCTTCAGCTTCTGTGGCCGAAGTGGCGATGTCTTCACAGCAGCCCTCGTCCACCGCCAAGCTCTTCAAGCAGACCCTCGGCGGTCCCTCGGCTTCAGCCACTCCCCCGATTGCAACTAGCCCCGCCCCTGGGCCGCCCACAGCTGGTTCCCCCACCTTCTCATTCACAACCGGATCCCCCATCTCCACCACCAAGACCACCGCCGCCGATGTCCCAACCACTGGCAATGTCCCGACCACCGCCAATGTCTCCACCACCGCCAATATCCCGAACATGCCCACTGTCTCCACCACCACCACCGCCAATGTCCCCACCACCGCCAATGTCTCCACCACCGCCAATATCCCGAACATCCCCACTGTCTCCACCACCACCACCGCCAATGTCCCCACCACCGCCAATGTCTCCACTACTGCTAATATCCCGACCATCCCCACTGTCTCCACCGCCAATGTCCCCACCACCGCCAATGTCTCCACTACTGCTAATATCCCGACCATCCCAACTGTCTCCACCACCGCCGCCACCACCGCCAATGTCTCCACCACCACCAATGGCCCCACCAGCGGCCATGCCCTGACCACCACCAATGTCTCCACTGCCAATGTCCCGACCACTGGCAATGTCTCTACCACCAATACCTCCACCACGCCTACAGGAATCCTGTTCCCTCGTGTCCCCAAAAGGATGTCAGTGCCAACCACCAAATCAACTCCGCCAGCCACGCTAGCACCTGGTGAAAAGAGCCCACAGACCACCAAAGTCCCACCCTGCTCCACCCAACGCGTGATAAAGCACTTCCTCGTCGCCATCGCCTTCCTGGCTCTGTTGGCAACCGTCTTCATTTTCTCTACCATCGTCCTCTGCACCAAGCTGTCGGCAAGGAAGTACAACATCAGAAAACCTGAGCCGGCGACCGAGATGATGTGCATCTCGGCCCTGCTGCCTGAGAGGAGCATCACTTACTCCAGACAACGCAACCCGGTCACCAACGGAGTCCTGGTGATCCACGGTGATGCAGACAGCGATGAAGACGGAGGAGATAACCTCACTCTCAGCAGCTTCCTTCCAGAAAATGACCGATATGTTTAAATGGAGTTGTTATTGGCAGCGGACCTGGGACCTGTCTGATGTCGCTGCAGTGGAAACAGCTGCTGTAATAAACTCGTGCTCCCCGTTCGTGGTTTTGTCATCGCTGCACAATCCATCGACGTGGAGGAACAGCAGGAATGTAGATGAACCTTTAATGTATCTGCCGTTAGGACAGGTCATCCACTGTCTGTTTTAGGCAAGAGTGGAGACTTTTGAGATAGACGGCATGAAGACTGGTATCAAAGATTGTGTTTCTTAACATCCTGAGCGGAGCCGTGATGGTATTTCACTTAGCAACGGGGAACAGGAAGTCTGGTTTCGTCAAGGGATTTATGCTCTATGCAGACACTGTCCAGTTTACAAGCGCTGTTCTGGTGTCGACGTGGCTTCATTGTATGAACATTGTAATTTGAATCATGTTAAACTGTATGTGACTGTTTATGTCGGTGTTTAGATGCAGCTTTTGTAATTTATTAAACAATTTGTCTTATTTAGCTGTTTGGTAAAATTGTACGGGTCTGTTACTGCCAGAGATACTGGATATACTCAAATCTAAAAAGTTTTGGTCCCATTGTCGTATTATTTAACTGGAATGAAAAACGGAGAGCTGCTTCTGATGAACTCTGCTGCAAAATCTTCAGAACAAGATGTGAAAGTGAATGAAACACAAAACAACTCTGTTTCCATTATAACAAAGGTGTTCAATGTCCATTTCTCTCTTTAAATGGTAAAAAGTCACAATACAACCGAGTCCTCTGTGCACTAAGTCAGTTCCCTTATTTATGACGGGCTTTATAAAAGGCTTTTCTTCTACACAGGACTGGATTTCATATTCACTTCCCTTCCTGTGAAAAGAAAACAGGCCTGAATGCTTATTAGGGCCTTCTCTCTCTCTCTCTCTCTCTCTCTCTCTTCACGTTGAGCTATGTGCAACCGAAACAGACGCTGGGGACTATCAACAGAGCTGAGACAAATGTAAACCTGCACAAGCAGGAACTCATTTCATTCTCCTAATGACCATATAAAGTTAGATTCGTCTTGACTGATCGCAAACACCGTAGAGTTGCCAAAAATGCATTTTTCGCTGATACGCGATCACTCGTACTCCGTCACACACAAACACACACTCTCCCTAAAGTGGTCACACACGCCGTGTGAGTTTTAATTGCTGGCCCGTGGACCACAATCCCCCTTTTGACTTGTTACCGGTGTTTTGTCTGCACAGGAAACATTAACCTCTTCCTGCATTTACAAGCCGCTGCTCTGACTCCTTCTGTCCCGGCGGGCCTCGGATCAGAGGCTCAGGTTGACCAAAAGGGCCCGACGCAAAGGCCTTTTCCTCCTCGAGCGCCATTTCAACAGAGAGCACGTGTTGTAGGGGGTTTATTCGCAACCTTTTACTGTCATGAAGTGGTTTTTGGGGTCATTCCGCCATGCGTATCTATTTAGCCCCAACAGGAGAGTGGGGGAGAGGGTCCCTGCCCCCACAGCTCATTACAGACTCCTACCTAACAAGAACAATCTGTGTGCGAGCCGGAGAGCTCAGACAGTCTCTGGGAGGCTGAAGGGGGGGAGGAGAACAGTGCAGAGGCAGAAGGAGGGACCTGTGCTTTTTTTGCACGATCCAGACCGACTTCCAACCTGAAATCTGAAACTGCAGAAGTAGTGTGGCTCACAGAGCATTTGCAACTCTCTGCCGTGTGCTCTCTCTCTCGCTCTCTCTCTAAGTTCACTTTTTTCAGACTGGTTTCACACATTCCCCAATCAGAGGAAACCTTAACAGAGACACTTCTGCCACAGTGGATGGTGAGTAAAGGGTTTTTACGTTTGAGTTTTATCTCTAAATGGTTGCCCGCTCATTGGGAATTTAGGGGCTTCTTGATGTTAGTTCACATGTTGATTTGAAGTCGCTGATGTGACAGCATCACGATGCCTTCAGAGCAGCATCCAGTCTGAAGGAGTAACCTGAAAGCATGGCAACTAAAGAGTTAGTTTTACATTGGACTTTTACATTGGACTGGACCAGAGATTAGATCTTGGTACTTTTTTTTTTTTCATTTGTGTCATCACAAAATTAGGATCAATTGCATGAGTAAATGTGTATGCATAGACATCGGCCGGGCATGTGTGGTCATGTATATTTGGTCTAGGGTGACTAATTCAGGAAAAGAACAAAAAAAAAGCCCAATCCGACCAGATGCCCATACAGATGGAGCAGAATAAGACGGAAAGTGTGAGAGCTCCTTCCCTTTGACACGCAGACGGGCCAGTGAGCGGATTGTATTTTAAATAAATAGTGAAAAATGTCCTTGAAAAAGTACAATTTTTACTTAAAAAAATAAATATCCACAAGCTTAATACCACAGAAGGAAAGTATGCTCTCATGCAGACGGTGTGATCAGTTGACACAGCTCATTGAAGTTTTGCTTTCAACATAATTGTGGCCAACTGTCTTCACACTTGCATTTCAGCTACTGCTCGTCTTTTACAGATCCTGAGGGGACACCATGCAACCGATGGGCCCGATTGGTCTGTGTGTGGTGCTCTGCATCCGCGGCAGCCTGTCCACACCTCTGCCATTTTACAGTGTTCTAGAAGGAAGTGCAGATGGGGAAGAGCCCAACATCGTCACTTCCTCTGTGCCCACCAGCAACCTTTCCACACCGAACCAAACCACACCTGTTGGCCCCACCCCTGCAGAAACCCACTTCCTAAATGGAGTGGTGGACTTTCTGGAGGAGAACATGCTTCTCATCCTGGTAGCGGGCTCGTTCATCCTTCTTTTCTTCCTGCTCATCTGCGGGGCGATCGTCATGAGCCACAGGCGCAAAGTCAACACCTACTACCCTTCGTCTTTCCCCTCGAAAATGTACGTGGACCACAGGGACAAAACGGGGGACGCTAAACTCTTTAATGAGGTGCCAGAAAAACCCGCTCCAGAGCAGGAGAGTGAGCCGGTGGACTCTCACAAGCAGCTGCAGGCAGACATTATGAGGGCCGCCAAGCGGCTGCGCACGCCTAACAAATGTGGCGATGCCGCAGGGGGAAGCGATCCCAGTCAGAAGGTAGCAGACCAAAGTCTGTCCGAGGACAGCGCTCCTCCAGATGGCGGCATCCTGGACCAGCAGCTACCAGGTCTCCCTTTGGAAAAGGAGCCGTGTGGTCCTTCTGAGGGGGAAGCAGCTGAGGAGGAGGAGGAGGAGGGAGGAGGGGGAGGAAGCCCCGAGCTAAACGAGTCCCCGGAGCCTTTGACCGGCAGGAGTCTGCGGCCCTCCTCTTTGCACATTCACAATGACTCCGCCACACTGCACCTGATCGCAGGACAGAAAACTGCGTTTTAACTGTTCTGAAAACTGTCACCCAAATGTATTTGTGTTTATGCGTTAAATCCATCCAAGATCAATCCAAGTAGCAATTTGTACAAAAAGGTTTCTAAATTCTAATCCTGGTTGTTTCTTTGTAATGTTTATATTCAGTGCAGGGCAATGCATGCAGCAACTTGTTGCTTTGCTCAGACTGGATGCATTGTACATACCCTATATACCATGTCTAGTGTAGCGTGCTCTCTTTAATATTTATACGTATGGGAGGTTTTTGTGTTGTGCACCAAACGACAATGTGCATCGGATTCCTTCAACATTCCTGCAAAAAACGTTTCTGGTAAGGTCCCATTTATTGTTTTACAGATTAAGATTAGTCAAATATAGAAAACAGCCTGAGGAATACGTTTTGGTTTCAGGGTACTTTTATTGCATATCGTCAAGCGTTACTAAATAATCATAAATTACACTCAAAACAAATGGACCCTTTCATTGTTTCAAGCCAGTTTAATATCAAAAGGTTAGTGCTTAGGACGCAGACTTGAGCCTTAACACTGGTCTCCATCCCACCTGTCAAACTAACCCCTCCCTAAGCACAAACATCTTAAAATACAACACTCTCAAAAATAAGGCTCATCTTTGTACCAGCAGCCCAAACAGCTCCCATTGTGCGCTTACATGACAGGCTAACAAGACACAGTATGCAGGGTTAAAGGACAACAGACCACTATAGAAAGTCTGGTGTGACGCTGCTACGGAGGGATGCCGATTATACGATGGTGTGCTGGTCATCAACACATTAGGTGTGTCTCATCAAAACTGCAGGAAAGTGAGGGGTGGGGGGTGTTTTGGACTACGGTTACTTTCTCCTCTCGACGGTAGGACGCAAACAGCGGCCTCCGGCTCGGAGCGAGAGGACTCCGTTTAACTGCTGGCTCTGACTGCCTCCTGCTGGTCATCTTGTTGCTTGAGGCGATAGTCAGCCAGGGCCGCCTTGATGGCATCCTCTGCCAGCACTGATGAGAAACAATAAGATCCATTGAATAAAAAAAAAAAACATACAGGTGTGGAGCAGCTTGAAAAAATAAAAATAAAGTTATAACTTACTGGAGCAGTGAAGTTTCACTGGGGGAAGGCAGAGCTCTTTGGCGATGTCAGTGTTCTTTATTTCCAGCGCTTCGGCCACCTGGAGAGAAAAGCACAGCGGCAGATTGACCACACAAGTTTTCCAGTAAATTATACAATATCTGCAGAGCCAAATGACTGAAGAAAGAATTACGACTGTAGTGCATTAACTTACAGATTTGCCCTTCACCCACTCAGTCGCCAAAGAGCTGGAGGCAATAGCAGAGCCACAGCCAAATGTTTTGAACCGGGCATCCACAATCTTGCCCATGTCGTCCACCTCAATCTGTCAAAATCAGAAAGTTTTACTCAAATGCCCAAAGGGGAAATAAGGTCATGTATAACCAATGAATTGAAATAACAACATAATTCTTGTTCATGGCAATGATGAAGTATAGCAGCAGTAGTTATTGTGTAAATGGTGTGATCCACATACCTGGAGCTTCATCACGTCGCCACAGGCTGGAGCCCCCACCAAGCCAGTCCCAACATTCTTGGAGCTTTTGTCCAACGTGCCGACATTTCTCGGGTTCTCATAATGATCCACCACCTTCAGGGAGTAAATACAACGCCATGGAGAAATGTGGGTCTTATCAAGTTGTGCAAAGTATTCCACTTTGTGTGTGATATATCAGGCAAAACAATAGCATCCGGCAGGCCTTTTGCGTTATTTTACAATGAGAAAATGGGTTGAGAGCATCGCTGTTATTCAACTACAAATATCCACCGTTACGTAGGAGACATTAAAATAAACAGATTAAGACAGGATTGCATTGTCCTCTAAATAAAGTCCAGCATCCGGCCCTCCTCCCCCCCTTTTTTTTTTTGCAGAGTCACTGTTACATGAATAATATTAAGGGGCTTTGCTTTTAGAACAAAAATATGCTGTAAAAAGGACTATAATTAATACCAATATATTTGGAATTATAGTCCTTTATCGGAAGAAGTAAGTTATGCACATAGCTGTGATCAACTAGTGCTTAAAACTAAATTCTACTGCGTAGACTACGATTAGTTAAAAGAAATCTCGATGACTTGAAATTTAAGGACATGTTGGTGATCATTTTCAGGAGAGCAAATACTCAAATTTTCTCTCTCGATCGGACGTTACCTCAGAGCCAAAAGATGTACATTAATTCCTTCAAACGAAAACAGTGATTCAGCCGCTGTTTGGCGTGTAGTATTCGGTTAAATAACAGAATGAAACGTGATTAAAGAGGTTTTGTTAGGATGCTGCAACATGAATATTGTGAGCACGTGACGCTACAGGTTTATAGCACACTGCGTATTAAGCGGACGTTATTCAACAATTAAACCTGTGGCAACCCCCCGGGCGGATTAGTGACGTCTTCAATTGATTAATCGTGTTTAATGTTAGTTAGCGAGCTAACGTTAGTTATGTCACAACCGCTTGTCCTTGTGTGACGTAACGTTAAACCTTGGATATTTACCCATTAACCATACAGACAACGAGATACAAGGCTAGGCAGCTCTTTTTTTCATTAGATTATCCACGTCACCACTCACACTTGATGCTCTTATTAAGCTAGAAACTACTTACGGAGCCAGCGGTGACATTTGTAAACATTAGCTAGCCAAACAGCCGCTAGCACACATGCGTCGTTTAGCAACGCAGCAACGGACTACAAGTGGTTTAACTGACCTTCTTGTGGTAGCAGCACTGGGTGATGAACTCTGGAGCAGAAAGCCTCCTGGTGATGAAAGCCAAGGGACTGAGACACTTGTTGGCCACGGTGCTCGCCATGCTGACAGTCAACGGGAGTGACGCAGTTTGATAATGTGGGAAGAAATAACTAGCGGCGCCTCGACAACAATACGTCACATCGGGGGCGGGGCGACGTGAGGGACATCTGCGCATGTCCGTGGAAGCTGAATAGTCCCGAGGAGGAAATGAATGAACCCGATTGCTTCGATTTTTAGCAGAAGACAAATAATAACACAACACTGCCTTATGACATTTAGATGGCACAATAGGGCCATTCTGCATGGCAAGTTAAGGTTTACAAATGTATTACAGCATTAATCAGGATAATCAATAATCCTGTATTTTATTCAGATTATACTGAGAATGCATTTTTTATTGTACGGGAGAGGTCAGGGTTGGATGATTGAGGACAGTTGCATGTTATATTATGACCTATTGATTTATGTTTGTTTGCATGTTTTATAATGATTTACAATTTATTGTGTGTTTTGAGTTTGAGACCAATTAAAATGTATATATAAATAAAATGTATTATTATTTAGCCTACTTTGCCTTAAAAGTGAGCAGAGGGAATTCATTTCCCCTAAAGATTCATTTAAAACCCTTATTCACAATGCGAGAATACGGTTTACAACCATATGCACAAATCTCTATAAGCTGTGTCTAACTCTAAATATTTTACAATTAATGTTCATGCAGAACAAGAATGGACAAAAAAGATCCTGGCAACAGGTCAAGATAAAAAATAAAAACATTTTGCAGGCTGGTAAGAGCCTTAACAGTTTGCAAATGGGTCATTGTTTCACTGCTCCTCCCCAAATAGAAAAGAACCTTGTTTCTGTTCTAGTTATTTTGAGTTCATAGGGCTCTTAGCTCTCTTAGGTGGCGTGTTAGCAATACTTATTTAACCTCGGCCGCTGGAAGATACACTAGGGTATTTTTACTTTTAGCTCAGTAGCAGATCTGAATAGTCTTACACCACCAAGTAATATTTAAAAGAAATGAAGGTCAGCGGATTGGTATTGACCGCTTTTCAAAAAGAAATCCCACAGACTGCTGTTTGCGCGACTGAAAATGATTTGCTCAGCCTTTATTCTGTTACAAAACTGCATCATATGATTTTTAGGGAACTGCTAAATAGTGTCAATGTCACGTTTGACATGAACAGTTTCCTTAAAAATCTCAAATACGCAAGGCAAACATGTTTCTCTGTTCTTGCCATTCCTTGTGGCTTTCTTAATCACCTTAAATACTCAGTTATTGGCTGTTCGCTGTTATTAAAGTAGGTGAATAAAATAGGTGACTTGCTATTATTAGTCAGAATCATTTAACGCATGGTACTATTTCCCAAGTGAGTCATATTATCTTTTAACTTATAACTGTGAATTTTTTTGGTTTGGATGCATGTCAGGATTGTGACTCATTCTGCATTTGGCTTTTGAATTGGTCAATAAAAGTATCTCTTGTAACGGAAGTATTGCTAATATTTTGCAACTCTGGCCAAATGGTTAAGACGCACCCTTGGTTCAGTGATGTCAGCTGGTGGTTTTGTCTCTTGGTGTGGTTGTATGAAGGGGATCTCCTTTGTGAAATAGCAGCATTATACTTAGCTGCTGTAAGACTTAATATTATTTACTTACCAGATATTTATGTGGTTGTTGTGACTTCTGTGAATATGTTGAACCGCTTTAACAGCTGAAAGTGGTCTCACCCAAAATAAATAAAATAAGTTTTGGGGGAGGGGATTCTCACTTCCATAACAAGTGAAATTTGATTCCGCATTCGTCAATAACAGAAGTGAGAAGTAGCATTCAGCAGGAAGGAAACACAACGCTCCATAGTAATTGCTTCTGCTTCAGGACACAACGTGAGTAACATGCATTTTAAATAGTACATTTTCTCGATAATAATTGTGAATTGTTTTGATCATTTGTAACTTAATATATATTAAACACTTTCAGGAAAAGGAGCCAACATGGATTATTTAGAATATGATGATTACACTCCAGGCAATGAAACTGAGAACATCAACATCACAACAGAAGTAACTTTTAGAGGTTCCAAGTCATCTCTGTCTCACGTTCTGGTAGCATTCAACATCATTATACTGGTCGTTGGCCTTGGAGGAAATTCATTAGTGATATGGATTTGCGGATGGAAGATGAAAAGAACCGTCACCACCACCTGGTACACCAGTCTCGCCATTTCAGACTTTTTGTTCTGCGCCTTTTTGCCCCTGGAAGTATTCTACATGATCACCTCACACTGGCCATTCGGACTCTTTTTGTGCAAGCTCACCTCCTCCGCCCTTTTTCTCAACATGTACAGCAATGTGTTTCTGTTGGTCCTAATCAGCGCTGATCGCTGTGTGATGATTTATTTCCCCGTGTGGTCACACAACCACCGGACAGTGAGGAAAGCATTGGGAGGTATCGCACTCGTGTGGTTCCTTTCTGCCCTCCTAACGTTGCCCTCGTTAATCTTCAGACAAACCACAGCCCACGGCTTGGTCACGCAGTGCTTCACCAGCTACGCGGGCCATTCCACGCACAAGGCCGTGGTCGTGACACGGTTCGTCTGCGGATTCCTTATTCCTTTCCTAGTGATCGTGTTCTGCAGCTCGACGCTCTGTGTGAAGCTGAGAAGATTGACCATTAAGTCGTCAAAGCCTTACAAAGTCATGGCGGCGCTCATCTTGTCATTTTTCTTCTGCTGGGTCCCTTATCACAGCTTTGTTCTTTTAGAGTCAGACGTGAAGAACCACAGCCTGGACCTACTTCAAACCGGCCTAAAGGTGGGTGCCACCCTGGCTGCGGCAAACAGCTTCGTATCCCCGATTCTCTATGTGTTCATTGGTAATGACTTTAAACAAGTCCTAAAGCGGTCTTTGACGTCAAGGATGGAAGAGGCAATGGCGGAGGATTTACGGACAATTGGTCTCAGTCGTTCAAAGTCTAAATCAGTGGAAATGATCTAAAATGAAGTTGAAACCTTTTGTCATCAGTGACAAGGAGTGTTTCACAGTACAGAACATGATGACCGTAACTTTGTGTACTGTATGTCCATGTATCAATGATTTATATATAATGGTGACATAATCTCATTCATGTTTTACACAGTATCAAAATTGCACAACACAATGTCCATATTTTGTCATTTTGACAGTGTTGGTCTTATCTGTCTTGTTGTCCATTGTCTAACTGTCTGCTGCTGCACCAACCGCCAAGTCAAATTCCTTGTATGTCCGACATATTTTGGTAATACATGTTTCCTGATTAGCCACATGTAATACCTTTTAAAATGTAGCTTCTTTTATGTTTCATTATTTTGTATGCTTGAAATGCGACCTGGTGGAAGAGTAAAGCCAGCTATTTTGGATCAAATTTAATTACCCTGTGAACTAAAACACAAAACCTGGAATGCCCTTTTTTTTACATCAACAATATCTCAATCATGTAATCAGTAATTGATGCATTTTCAAAAACAAACAAACAAATGAATGATGTACTCTGTTACAATTGTATTTATTATTGTTAAGTAAAACTTTCCTTTTATTAAATACAGCCCTACTATCAAACAAGTTTACTGTTTTAATGTATTGTTGTACTGGTTTCTTTCAAAGCACATTAGAATTAAATTAAAGATGCTATTTTTAAATTTCAAGATTACAATCTAAACACAGTAGTTTATTCCCGTATTAAAACTGGCTCCCCTTGTCTCAGGCGCCTGATAGGCCGACCTGAGGGCAACAGCATCCCACGCGCCACCGTAGCCACGCCCCCCGCCTTCCCCCAGGATCTACTACCGGTAAACGTCACCGCTGCGCTACGGATGTGTGATGCAACCGAATGGAAGGATATCTCGGAACAAGTTTTGATTTTCCTTCATAGAATCACTTTCGGAACGACGCTTCGTAGTAACAATTTTGTATTTGCCGTGTGCCCCTCTTGTATTCGGTTTCTCTGTCAATAAAACTGTGGGTTTTCCCGCAGTCTCCCCCGCTTGCTAACGTTAGCCGCTCGGTAACTCCAGAAGGGAACTAGCGTTAGCCAACGTTAGCAACCCGTTGTTTTGATTCAATACCACTCCTTTTTTTTAAATAATAATTTCTCAGTCCGTCTTCTCCTATTTGTTCTCTACAAGCCGCCATCCACTGGGCTTCCCTATGTTCTTATTTTGAAGCGCTGGGTGTCAGCGGACCTCTTCACTTCTTGTTGAGTGAATCTTTTTTTTTTTAAATGGCCACGGCCGCGGCCCCTGCGGCCCCGGGCCCCACCGCGGCCACTGAAAGCACGAGCCCCGGACCCAGCAGCTCGACGCCGGCCGACGGCGGCAACCAGGACAGCACCTTCGAGTGTAACATCTGCCTGGACACCGCCAAGGACGCGGTGATCAGCCTGTGTGGACACCTCTTCTGGTGAGGACCACCTCGCAGTGCTTGTGACCCCACGGTGAAGCTTCCTAGTAGAACGCCGCTCTGGCGCAACGGTCTCTATGCAATGCTCGTTTTTACGAAGTGTGTACACTCGCTTTTTTGTAACTGTGATAGGGGAAGTTATGTCACCTTGACAGGAATCCAGTTTCCTTTTGTCTTTTAAAAATCCCCTTCAACTTCCAGTTTTGAAGTGATTGCATTGTTTTCATTTTGTGGACGCACATTTATCTCTAGTTTCCTGTGAAGTAGACTTAATGTTTTAATAACTCAACTTTCATTATTCCTTCCACCTCCTCTCCACCAGCTGGCCTTGCTTGCATCAGGTAAGCGAAATCTAACTTCACTGCACTATTTTTATATATAACGAGCAGTGATCATTTTTTGAAGGTAATGCTTTGCCTTCATGCAGTGGTTGGAGACCCGACCCAACAGACAAGTGTGTCCAGTGTGCAAAGCGGGCATCAGCCGAGACAAAGTCATCCCCTTATATGGACGAGGAAGCACAGGTCAACAAGACCCCAGGTGGGCGACTCTAAACGTCTTATGCGATCACAGCACACGTGATATCCGGCCTGAAATGTGTTGTGAAGCCGTAAACAACGCAAACCGGTGTAATCATGGTTTTCACGAAGAGTGTGGGGGGGTTTTCTCCTCTTTTTTTTTTTTTTTTGAATAGAGAAAGAACCCCTCCGCGACCGCAGGGGCAGAGGCCTGAGCCCGAAAACCGCGGTGTAAGTACTTTGTACAACTCTACTTAAACAGCGATGAAAACCGTATGTGGTAGCGTGACTTTGTGCCAAACATGAATTCAGCCGCATGTAGCCCTGTGGAGCAAAGTAGATCCATGACGACAGTTACACGGGATGCTGCAGAGCGAACCTGTTTCTTACCATTCACAGAAGAACACGTCCCTCTGGGATTTATTAGATGCTGAGTGCCGGGGGGCCTCTCTCTCTCTCTCTCTCTCTCTCTCTAGGACGATTGTTAACTGACTGTTGCGTCATGCATCACGCGTCTTACGGACCGACAGGTCATCATGGTAATGATGAAATACATGCTCCACAGGGCTTTCAGGGGTTCGGCTTTGGTGACGGGGGATTCCAAATGTCATTTGGAATCGGCGCCTTTCCGTTTGGTATTTTTGCCACGGCTTTTAACATCAACGACGGCAGACCACCTCCAGGTATTTGTGGTTCTGCACGTTCCCCCCCCCCCACTGTCTTCTGTCAACAATTTGTGAAACCACCTGTTTCTAACTGTTTCCCCAAACAGCAGCTCCTGGGACTCCACAGCACACGGACGAACAGTTTCTGTCTCGACTCTTCCTTTTTGTCGCCTTGGTGATTATGTTTTGGCTGCTGATTGCGTAAATGCACGAAAAAAAAACGACTCACCGGGACACAATATTAATTTGACTGAGATGCAACATTGTGGCACATTATCACAGTTTGCACCAATGGGATTCTGCTCCCTTTCTGGTAACTTGGATTAGATTCTTATTCTCGACACTAAACCATGTGAGAGTTGGATGAAGCCAGTTCTTCCAAAATAAAGATAATGAATGAAGAATGACAAACTTGGGTGCCTGGAGTTTTAGTTTTTTACCCAGTTGCTTTCAAAAACAGCATGCGAACATTCTTAATTATATTACCGTCACGTCATGTCCAGCGGCTAGTGGCGTCATGCTGCTCACGACAACACGTCGGCCTCACCGGTTCTAATCTGACAAGTACAGGATGTTCAGGTCAAAGGTCATGCTCAGTGTCTGAGTATTTTTAAGGTTCTATCAATATATACACGCTCAACTAAAAGAGAACACCAGTGCTCTCTGCTCATCAACTTCCGGTTTCCAAACCCATATGCTGTGTTATGGTCTTTCCATTTTAGACTTTATTTTTTCATTTTGATTCAAAGAATCCTACGTTACACTGAATATTTGCATCCTGTATTTCGTCTGTCATCTTTAAATCACCCGATTGTGGAAATTTACACATGATTGTCCAAAATTACCCCCAAAAAAAACGTCAGTCTCTTTGATGTTGATGTTAAAAATATATTTTATGCATGTAAGCAGCTGACCGATTAAGTCATGAAACAGTGTTCCTTTCACTATTTCTATTTTTTTTCTCTAACTGTAATTAAATGTAAAAATACAATAGATTATTACTAAATAATTACTTAAATGAAGATTGTTTAAACATGAAGACTTTTCTAAATAGGAATCCACTTTATTGACAAAGCTCTGTAATTAAAGATATTAATCATAGTCTGTCTATTGTCCTTTTTAATGGCCGGGTTTGTTAGGTTGATTGCACTCATCTAAATGTGTCAATCTGGACACAACAAACTTGCTCATTGGTCACATGTTTAGTTATTCTTCACTTTAGGTAATGCACTTCACACTCAACCACGGTGTGCCATAAAAAAAACGAAAGAAAAAAATATATATTTGGATCATCGTTGAGAAAGTTTCTGATAAAGTATAAAAGTAGTCCGTCTCGCTTAGTCCTCCGTCTGCTTCCCCTGCGATGCCGCCTGCGCCACGTTGAACTCCGCTTCGTACATGATCTGCTGGATCTTTATTTTGGTCTCGCACCTTTTCTGCGGCGCCAGTCGCTTCAGCGCGGGGACAAAGCTCAGCAGGAACAGTTCGTCCTCGTCCCGCGGCCGGTTGGGAAACGAGGCGCCATTGTCTTTGACCACCCACTTGTTGGGCGACGGGGCGCTCTGAGAAGACGGCGGCGAGAGCGGCTCCTGCGCCGGGCGCCGCTTCCGCCCCGTTGTGCTGACGGCCGCGATCTGCGGGCTGGACGGCCTCGCGGGCCTCTTCGCCAGGACGCCCAGCTGGGACATCAGCGCGTCCTGAGACATGTTGTGGATCTGCGTCATGTAGGCTACCTGGGGCTTGAGGTCGGGCTGACTCGCCTTGGTGACGGACTGCGGCGCCTTGACCGCTTCGGACGGCGCCGTCTCCCCCTCGGCGCTGCCGTGTTCGTTGTCCGGGTGGTCATGGTCGTCGTCGCTGCCGCAGACTTCTGCGAGTCCGCTCCTCGATCCGGTGAAGGGTGCGATGAAATTCATGAGCTGTCTGTACTTCCATCTGCTTTGTATCAGCTCGCCTTGCTTCTTGCTTTTGATCTCCATTCGGACTTCCTTCAAATATCGGTCTCTCATGTTCTTCCATTTTCTTTTACACTCCTCGGCTGGAAAAGGGCAACATCAGAGTGTTAGGAGCAAGAAATGTCACAGGTGCAAAGGAATCAACACGGAAAGTCAGCGACAGAGACGTCCACCACATGGACCGATCAATGCCTGATCAGTGGATACGTTACTGCTCAGTGATCGACTCGGACAGAGCGCAGGCACCTCGTGCTACGTGGACGCTCATCTTTGTTCTACAATATAATACAGCGGGATGGGCCCTACCTTTGCATAGCTTTGTGTTATACAGTCAAATTTACTTCATGTAAATGGTTTGGTTTTTTTTCGTTTTTTGAGGCTGGTTTGTGTTGATTAATGCATCTAACAAGTATGGTTATTATCAATCAAGCTGCCAATTATTCAGATAAGATAAGAAATTGTCTACAAAGCCCAAGATAGAACATTTTGTTTGTGTGTTATGGTCTAAAACAGAACAACAAATACTTCCAGGTAGGGGGTGGTGTTTTGCTGAATAGAATTGGACTAAATGGGCGTATTGTCACTGATTAAAGGGACTAGTGAGCATCTTATTTAAATATATATATATAATATATATTATATGTTGTTTTTTTAAGCAGCCGGCTCGATCTATGACGATTTTTCATGTTTCCTCCCCCGCCGTGAGGGACACGCGGAGCCGCGTTGGAGCCGTGCCGGACCGTGCAGGGCCGTGCTGTGCAGCGCTGTGCAGCGCGGCCTACAGCGCGCGAGCCGCGCCGTGCTGCTGCTACCGCTACCGCTAGCACGGCGCGCGCGGCCGCATCTGCACCAGCACGCTGCCGTCGCCCGGACACAATCATATGTTCATTGAAAAATGAGGAAAAATACACACTCCAACCCCCGGACCGACACACACGCTGGCGCCGTTGTGCATCACGTGTTTAACACGCGCACCAACAACATCGACTAGGAAACGACCGGCTGTAAAGTTGTGACAAACCGCTCCAGCCGCCCGCCCCCCTCCTCTACTTCCCCCCCCAAAGAACCACGCGATACTCACACGGGAGACCCAGGGTGACGCTGATGCTCCTCCACGCGTTCACCCGACTTTCCGTGCAGCGGTAATTCGGCAAAGTGACATTGTACAGCTCCGGGTAGTTAAATACGGCCAATATTAACTTATCGTCCATTTTGCCCCGGCGCCGTGTCTGTGCGCGGAAGCGGCGGTCTTCTCCCGCCTTTTCCGCCGACGCGAGTTATCGCGAGTGGCGGCCCGCCCGCCGCGTTGTGTCGCGCCGCCGTTCACCGCTGAGGTCTTTCGGCCACTGGGGGGCGCACCACCCTGCGCCGGGGTCTCCTCCGCCGCTGAAATCAGTTGATTGATGGTATGAAAGGTGTAGGCCGTAAGCTTCGAGGCTTGATTAATGTTTGAGGCCAACATTTTTTTGTTTTACAAATCATTTTTCTGCACGCTGCTTTAGCAGAATAAAAATGATGAAATAGAGGAGACAGAGTTGCAAAGCTTGTATCATGTGACAATTATCCAAATATAGTTTAATGCATTGAACAAAGACTACAAACTCTAAGGCATCTTGCAGACATTCTGCAACCACATGGTTGTTTTTCTTCATGCCTCCCAAATCCCCTTCAAGCAGTTACTGTGTTTCCATGCACAAGCAAGTCTGGAGTAAACAGGAAGGTTGATCCTCCGCGTGTCCTCGTCTCACAGCTGCAATCTCGGTTTCCCCGGGAGGCTTCGGGCTGCGGTCCAGTAAAGAACAGAGACACTGTGCTTTTTCACTGGGGAACAGTCTTAATACCTTGCGGGAGTCTCTGCTTGTTTATCACCAGTCAGAGTGTGTGTGCATTTGTAATCCTGTGTCTGCTGTTTGAATTGTACTGCTTTGACTTGTGTTCGTTTATCAATTACGTTTCAATGGAAATTTGCAATAATTACATGGTAATATTTTCCTGGAAGACATAAGCCTGTGCTCTTCGAAAGGTAGCATCCCATCACCAAAATCACAGAGCGGCCGTCACAATTGATTTTGTCTGCCTCAGCTTAGTGTTTTCTCCCTTTTATCTGAACTGTTTTTTGTTCTCTGATTTCGGGGGAGTGCGGAAGTAAAGACGACGACCTGCTCTGTGTTATTCAGCTTCTAACTTCAGGTTGTGTATTCGTAGGCTAGAAATGGGCCACACGAAGTGGAATGGTGTTGAGTAGAACCATTTCTGATGCCACAGTTTTACAGGGGAAAAGGTAAATTGCAGGGAAACATCTGGAAACACTATTTAAACCCATGTGGGCGCTGGGAGCTTTTCTTTCCTTTCCCTCGTGTAGCAAATATCAAAACATCGAAATGAACCTTTATCATTCTAATCCCCAGTAATGATTTTTGAACTGGTTGAACCCATGTGGATGTGATACAATTGCTTCTATTGAGGACCACAATATCTGCCAGATAGCGATCTCACCAGCTCTGAAAACTACACATCAACAATCCGGACGCTATTAAAGCCAAGTGAAAAGGATGGGATGGTGTTTATTGTTATCTGTTTTCAAAAGCCCTCATAAGAGGAGCTTAAGACAGATTGTGGGAATCCATTAATTCTCTGGAAAAAAAAAGGTGTGTTCCCTTGTATGAAATCGCAGGATTTGTTACGGGGTATGAATTTAACCCGTAACAGCTTTACATCGGCTGTGCACATTGTCAGAGGAGTGAGGCTGGAAGATAAGACACGTGCTGCATGATTAGGAATACAAACCACATTCGGGTACATCTTTTCTGAATTTACCCTGGTTCTTACTTGAGCAATAATATACAAATCTATTAGTGTTCCCACACACACACAGGCACTATCAAGACGAATCATTAATTCAACTGTGCGTAATTACTATGCATTGTTGTTGAGTGTTGTTGTGCCACGTCTATTAATTTGCAAAAGATCACTCGTTGAGAAAGCTAAGCGGTAAAGCGACATTATGAAATACATTTCAGCGCTAATCCTCAAATTCAGCACGGCACAAGACTCTGGCCACACCAAAAGAAGAAAAAAACGTTTATCTTTAGATCCAGGTTTCTAATACCAAGCAATCCCCTTTTCTCTAAAACCCCAACAAAAAGGATCTCCACTTCTCATTTTATGCAGTGATATCTGATTTCTTTCGGAGAAAGGAATGAGGCAAGATTAACTGAATCTGCCGTCCTCCCTAACCTCTTCACAAAACTGCCCAGATTAGCTAGGAATTAAGTTTCAACCGTTTTATGTGTCTGGTCCACAGGGGGATTATAGTTTTTTTTCGCCTCCCAATTTCACTATAAGGGTCCGACACACCATTGTGCTGAGAGGAGAAGCAGAGGAGCAGCTCAGCCTGAACTGTCGAAAAAGCCTGTCAATATCCTGCGATCATTTTATCTTATGTTTTATTGGAATTTCTTTGGGAGATGGATGGACCGAACAGGATGGACAGACAAAAGTTTCCTTTCAGTATTGAAAACATACTCAGCAATTATCCCACCACTAACGGAGTAAGACGGTCATGTGGCGCAAGTGGCCCTGGACTAAAAGAGAGGGCCGGGAGTCCGCTCGGAGGCCCGAGGGAGGCTGTTCATCACACCTGCCTGTGCTGCTGCTACTGCTCCCACTGTGGAGACATTTACCACACTGATTTCATCCAGGAAGGTAAGCGCGAGAAGAGTCCCTTCTGTTTCAAACTGTTGACAGCAATGCTTACCTCCGCACCCTGATCTCCCCCCGGCAGCCTGTCAGTACGCATGGCCCCCAGCGATGCTCACGGACCCGTGCGGGCCAGGAGACGCTCACAGGGAGGAGCGGTCTCCCGGTCCGGCGCAGAGGAGGACCAGGCGGCATCGCACTATTTTCACAGAGGAGCAGCTGGATGCACTGGAGGAGCTGTTCCTGCAGAACCAGTATCCAGATGTGACCACAAGGGAGAAACTAGCACAGCACACTCACTTAAGGGAAGAAAGAGTGGAGGTAAGTCTGTCACATCCAGCTTCCGAACAAAGAGTTGTTTGTTTTCACTGCAATACGTAAGTAAGATGTCTTTTAGACAGCTGCAACTTACAGAAGGGTTCTGTCTGATGTTGATGGACCATAGACGTGTGCAAGTTTAAACCCTACATTTGAGTGTTACATGATAGCACTGAATTTCACCCAAGCTCTACAATTTGACATATTTTAATGATTTGCCTGTATTGATAATGATGTATAATTTTGTTGTTTATTTAAATGGAAATATATAGGATGAGACACAACTAAATAACATGTGTAACATGTGTTTTTTTCCACCGGTAGGTTTGGTTTAAAAACCGAAGAGCAAAGTGGAGGCGTCAAAAAAGACTTCCCTTTTGTGTGGGAAACACAGAAAACTAAATTTTGTACTGTAGCCTAAATATGGGCCAAACATTGATAAAATAAGAGAGCTATGTATGTGTGTGTGTGCTTCAGTTACATAAATACAAGGATTCTTTATTGTTGAATATCATAATGGCTAGAAAAATAATTCTCTAGAAAATCAGTCAGATGATGCAAAGATTTGTAGCCTATTTGTGAATCTGATTTGTTGATTGCAAGAGCAAAGGACTAATGCTAATCCTGAAATATTAGGAATATGGAATTTTTATTTATTGCACTGGTTGTGAAAAAAAGTGTCCACGTGAACTAATAAAGTATTTTTGATAAAGGTGGAGGAACTTTTTTTAAACCACCTATAACACATTGAAGTTGGGTGTCATGCAAACTTAAAAGCTCTCATGCAGTGAACACATTAGTATAGAACTTGATTACTTTTATGTTTGAACATCTTTCCCTTTTTACTGAAAAACTCCTGCGCTTACTATTGTGTCAATTTTGGGGGGCTCGGGAGATTATTAGTTGGGTTATGGGTATTGGGTATGTAGTATTTATTCTGTCGGTAGAAAATAGGAATAAGATTGACATTCTGGCAATTGCTTAGTACGTGCATTCCATTGCCTTAGCAGTAGTATGATTGTTTACATTGTCATTTACTTTTATTGAATCGTTTATTTGTAGTAGTAATATTGTTAATATTAGATTAATGCAAACATGTCTTTTATGCAGGTTTTTAAAATATAACCTCAGATTCCTTTACAAATGGTAATATCAGTAGCAAATTGTCATGTTAATACTACAGATCTGACCTAACACAAAAAATACTTTATTCTCAAATATTACATACCGGAAATGTCTTATTCTGGAAATTTCCTGAGCGGCAGTAAACTTCCGGTGACGAATCGCTTCAGACCTTCACGTACTGCGTTGTTTGTACGCTGGTTTTTGAAGTTAGCCGAGGACAGCTAACGCTAGCTGGTTAACGTTAACGGTTAGTGACGTTTGGTCTTAATGGTCAGCGTATATGTGCCCTGGATACTGAGACGGTGTTTCTCAAGTACAAAACCCGCCTTCCGTTTCGATTGAGTCGCAGTTTTTCGTTGAAGAAAACGTTATTAGCCTAGCAGGCTAACAGCGGCTACAATGGAGGGCAGTGCCAGCGTGAGGAGAGCGTTGTCCGGGACTCTCGTCCCTGTAACAGTGTCAACAATGGCTCTCCTACAACAACCCGAGGAGAACGACAAGGGGAAGCTGCATAGAAAGGTCCTCGACGAAGAGGAGTACATTGAGGTAACGTTGGATAAATGACGGACAACCAAACAATTAATAGTTGAAACCGAGAACACAGCTAACGTTACATGTCATTACTTCCCTTCATTGTTGTTGCACCAACATTATGTCATTGTTTTCCCTTCTTCAAAGTCAAGTTAACCGTAAACCGTCGACTCCCAACAGAGTTTAGAAAAGATCATCCAGAGGGACTTCTTCCCAGATGTTACCAAATTACAGGCGCAAAAGGACTATCTTGATGCGGAGGAAACCGGTGACCTAGAACGAATGAGAGAGATTTCCATCCGATATGGATCATCTTTGAATAAATCGACACCACGATCTACTGCACCCTGTGAGTAGTATGCAGAGGGAAATGGGCCGCTGTATTTTCACTGTTATCCCCTTTTTACCAAATGAAATATTCAGTCTGAATAATCTTCACGCCTATTCTTTCCTCATTTGTTTTCCTTATGTATGTGAAGATGTGACACCAGCGAGCTTTGAGACACCTTTAGGCCGCTCAGGGTCCCCCTCCTCCACTCATGGCAATAAAAGCTTAGACGGTGGTAAGTTATCTACTTTATTAAGTTGATACCATGTTATGTACGTTACGATAAAGTGTAAATAAAACCTTTCAAATGATTTTACTGAATTCATGACTCTGACTCTTAATCAACGACATTACAAATACTCACAAATAAACAAACCCTATTTCTATCGATGCTGTATTTACAGAGAGCAGGAACGATGAAAGAGAAGAGAAGGAGCTGCCCTGTCTCGATCGCTTCCTTGCTAAAAATACCAGTGAGGATAATGCATCGTTTGAGCAGATAATGGATCTGGCAGAGGACAAGGAGAGGCTGAGGCATTCCTGGCTATATGAGGCTGAGGCTGAATACAAACAAGTATGTAGGTGCTGAGTTAAACTCGTACATTAATGTACAAAGAAATGTATTATATGTTTGGATTAAAGGTGTGCCTGTCATAGAAATATTCAAATTAAATACAAAAACTACATCCGAGTACAAAATTGGTGCATGTTATGTCAGATTCGAGTATATCTTTGATGGCAATGATGTTTGCATGATTTTGTTTGATGTTGATTACTGCCAGTGAAACAGACATTCATTGAAGTATTGCTAAACCCCTAGACTACATTAAAAACCATTATACCCACTTCTGATACTATGCAGCGCCACGAAGAGAACCTTGCGTTACCATCTGCAGAGAAAGCAGCACTTGAATGTGTCAAAGCTGGACTTGAGACGTGGGAGTACAAAGCAAAGAATGCATTGATGTATTATCCAGAGGGTAAGAAGACTAAACTTGTCATTTTGTTCTTCGTGTGACAATAATACCTATTGGAGGCATGGAATCAATGACATTTTGCTCTGAGAGAAAAAACGGTGTTGTTTTTTTTTTTTTTTTAAACAGGAGTGACAGACGACGATGCTCTTTTTAAGAAGCCGCGGGAGGTAGTTCACAAGAACACGCGCTTTGTTGGAGATCCATTCAGCAAAGCTCTCAACAAAAGCCAGATTCAGCAGGCTGCAGCTCTCAATGCACAGGTATACATTTTAAGAAAAATGTAACAAAAATGTTTTGGCCAAAACACCATCAACCACTTGGCAGTACATTTTTTTCTGTTGAATGAAAGTGTCAATTCAAAAGTAGCAGATTTATTGTCTTTTCTGTCCAGTTTAAACAGGGTAAAGTCGGACCTGATGGGAAGGAGCTCATCCCACATGAATCCCCAACAGTCAATGGATATGGTTTCGAAAGTATGCCGTCCCCAGCACCTGGTAAGTGGATCTCAGTTACAGTCCTGATACAGATCAAGCTAAATGTCTGTGTCTTAAATAGCTCATTCAGCCACCCACTTACATTTGGAGTAGATATCTCACAGCAGATTTCGTCCCCTCAGGTGTAGCTGAGTCGCCACTGATGACCTGGGGAGAGATTGAGAGCACCCCATTTCGTCTGGATGGATCAGACAGCCCGTTTGTCGAGAGAAATCACGGTCCCTCATTTAAGGTACTGAACCTCCGTAGGTGGCTAACTCTGGGTTAATCACTGATTTGGCTCATCTGCTGTTTGTAACTTGTTGACATCGAATATGTGTGCAAAAAGATTCCAGAACCTGGAAGACGGGAGAGGCTGGGTTTAAAGATGGCCAACGAAGCCGCCGCCAAAAACCGCGCAAAGAAACAGGAGGCTTTGCGAAAGGTCACCGAGAACCTCGCCAGGTAAATAAATGTCTGCCCTCTCGATTATATCTGCTTCAACAAGTAACACATTTCTGCATCTGTACACTCCTGTCTTTTAAAAGGGAAAGTCGAGCTTGAATGTGTAATGATTTTACTTGATTTCTTCTTATTAGTGCCGTTTTGAAGGAGTCGATGGTGTCCTTAAACACATGAACCTCTGTGTTTCAGTCTTACTCCTAAAGGCCTGAGCCCAGCCCTCACGCCTGCCCTGCAGAGGCTCGTAAATCGGACGTCCAGCAAATACACGGACAAAGCATTACGGGCGAGTTACACCCCGTCGCCCTCGCATCAAGTCCCCGGCTGCAAGTCTCCGTTCGGTGGCCCCGCCACGCCAACAGGAACGCCGACGCCGAACAAAGCCAAGACGCCGAGCTCTCAGGACCTCACGTCGCTGACAGACGACCTGCTGCAGCTTCCCAAGAGACGGAAAGCCGCCGATTTCTTTTAAGCAAGAGAAGCTGTTCTCTGCTTGGATTGTACAACACAGACATGGTCATTTGTGGAAAAGACAAACTGTTCAGACCCACTTTCCTCAAATTAAGACTTTTAGTTGGGTGAGTGGATGAAGACATGGCCAGAGAACCGAAGAATTTTTAACAATTTGCTCTATTTTTGAGAGGATGGGTCTATAGATCCCTGCTAAGTACGGTGTCCTAGTTATACTATATAACTTGACTATCTTATTTGTTTTATTCTGTTTTGTCCTGGTGGGTTGCTTCATAGATATTGTACAGTTCCTTCCACTTTTAACAAATGTTTGGTATCTGTGACTAACAGCAGCCTATCCAATATTTAAGAATTTCATCCAAAAGCCATCGTCCAGCTTTCCATACGTTTCAGCGTCTTGTCTCTTCATCATAGAAATGACTCAAACCCAACATGAAACAATTGTGTTGGTTCAGTTCGACACCTCAACAATATGTCAATGTTTCTTACTCTACTTTGGAGAAAATGTGGTGGCTGGGATCAACATTATAAAAGTGTACCACCTTTTCTTGGAAAATTGAAATAAAACTGAAGAATACTTTCACACAGAAAAATGGAATACAAAAGAATGTTAACATATCTTTTCTACCTCCTACTGGTGTTTGTACATATAAATACACTGTACTTTTATGCCTCGTTCTTTAAGAAGAAACCTTAATGTTAAGGCCTTGTCACGTTGTGTTTGAATAGTGTTGCGATTGTTTCTTCGTTCGGTTGTTTTGAGCATTTGGGGTTATAGATTTATTCTTGCATCGTATGAGAAAATCCTTAAAAATAACTTTTAACTGGTTTGCTTTTACAACATATCCCCGCTTAACTGGATCTATGGACGATAATACTGAAAATAAACGTGTGACCTTGAGGTAAACTTAGTGGATCATATCCTTTAGCGTTGGATAGCATTCTGATAATCCCAAGGGGTTACGCACACAAGCACGCGCGAGGGTCATTGTGTGTCTCTTTGGGTAAAAGCGGCTTAACTCCGCCCCGGCGGCTCCTCCAGTTGACGGCCCGTGTCGGACGTTTGGGATTGTTGTGGTCTGAGCGCCGCGGCCATCTTGGATCCAGTCGCGCTCCACACCGAGCTGCGCGAGACGACGGACGACGTCAACGGCGCAGCCAGTTAGCTGGCGTTAGCCCCCGTTAGCTAGCGTTAGCCTGCTCGGCGAGAGATTAACCCGCAATTCCGCGTTGCTGCGCGGCGCGACTATGCTTTGCAGACCCCGTTTGTCTTCGTCATGTGTCACTATGAGTGCACGGAATAGGTTTAAGCAGTTGAACGCTGTTTAACTTCGGAGAAGGCGGCGGCGACGCGCATCCTCGTTCTATCTTAAAAAAAAACATTTCTGGATAAAGGAGTTACTATGAATGGAGGATAAATGTTGCCAAAGGCTGACAGCAGCAGTTTCGTCCTCTTCTCTCTCCTCTTCGTCCTCGCGTCAGGGGACCCACCACGGACAGGTAAATAAATCCCGCTGTTTTCCCTCTGCGTTTATTCCCCCGAGCTCCGCGTGGAAGACCGAAACCGAGATTTCAGCAGGAAAAAGCGGACGGGTCAGGCGGAAAGGCCTCGCGGACGAACCGGGGACTCGAGTGTTTTTTTAAACCGCTGCCTTCGGGGCTGATGGGTTGGTGCGACCGACCTGCTGATGCAACTCAAACATAAAAAAAATACGTTAAACAATTGGCCAAATAACCTCTTGGGCAATTATTAATGTTAATTCAGTCACAAAACACTATTTGCTTTTTTCTCCACGGAGGAACCGTTGGGCTATTTTGAGACTTATTAGTGGAGCTGTAATGAGACGTTGTGTTTGCACAGATTTAACCTCACTGCTTCTTTTTAAAAAGGGTTGGATAATATCAGTGAACAACTGAACCCACATGGATGCTCCTCCCGGTCGTGGACTGTTTATTTGAAAATGCATGTCAGAGAATCCTGGTCCTGCATCTCCAACTCTGGCTCTCATCGACTCATCCTTCAGCCCCACAGTGTTCACAACCACCCAGTGAGGTGATCGCCATCGCGCTTCCCCTAAGATGCTCAACACCTACCAGAGACTCCGTCCGATTCATTAAATGCATAGTGGAACTGTTTGCAATGGTATAACCTCTTGCACTAGTATTGCCCACCTCAAGGTGGTCATGCCTGTCTAGAACGCCCAAATGTCATTAATTCGTCTCAGTTGGAAGCCCGAACGAATGCTTTTGATTGCAAACACTTGCAAGCAAAGCGCGTGTCAATGCTTTTGGTCTTGTGACTGTGGCAGACGTGTGCATGGGGGAAGTGGCAATAAAGAGAAGTCCCACTTTTAAATGTCCGCGTTGAGAAATATGTTTCTGGACTCCCACAACACACGGCCTCCATCGCAAATCTCCCTGATTGCCGTCGGTGTTGATGATTTTAGTAGACATGAGCAGGAGGGATTGTTCATAACAGTTCAGCCCTATCTGTGTTTGTTCAGCTCGTGAACAAACACGTTAGTGTTTGGCTTGATTTAAAAAAAAAAAAAACGAGTCCACGGAAAACTCCGTACAAGCAGCACCGCATGCTTGTTATAGTCCATTTGCGTTTGGTTCTTGCGAAAATGGGAAAGTACTTTTTCATCAATGGTAATTACCGATCTTATCAAAGGGGCATTCAGTATTTACTTCAAGTGAACACAACTCTTCAGAACGTCTTTTTGAAACCACTCCTGGTTCGGGGGATAATGTGGACCTCGTGCCAAGCCTTTAGGGGCGTGGGGGAGGCATAAGTGTTTTATCTTATTTTCCACAGCCGGTGTCACAGAGAGTGTGTTTGTGTTTGTAGAACATGCTGGTTCACATTACGTGGATGCTTCCTGAAGCTTGATGCCCACATGACTTGGACTTAAGAATAATCCTGTTTGCCGGAGCATAATTCAATTAAAAATGCTTGTGAGCATGAAACACGCCGTCTCACAGGTAGGATTCAGACGTCCCAGTGTTTTCAACACATCTGACAGCATCCGCTGCTGCTGTTTAACAAAAGGAAAATGGAATGGTCATTGAATGGCCCTTTAGTTCGCCTTCTGGTTAAATGCAAGTGAGCTAGGAAACATAATGTCAACAGTTGTGATGTAAGTGGGTTTTACATACTGTCCGTCCACAGGGGACTTGAACTTCTTGGGAGGGGCTTTTTCATTCGAAATTATAATTTAAAATCCCTTTCATGTAAGTTTCCCCGTGCAAATAATGTGTCGTGTTGGACGTGTGGAATCTGTACATCTTCGTAGGCGCACTGCGGTGGCTCCGTGGTTAGCACGTGTGCGTGTCCTGTGGGGGCTTTAGTTTAGCTCCCACACGCCAGAGACATGCAAAGCATGTGATCGTGAATACGTCGTCCACCGGATTAATGGCCCCCGTTTTATTTCTTCCCCCTGTGCGTTTCCCCTGCAGGAAGACCACCAGGCTTTTGAAGTACATTTTAAATAGTGGCCCAGTTTGGTCCAAATAGACTTAATTTGTGGGAAATGTCGGTCAGCCGAGCTTGTGTTTTTCTTAGAAGCTAAATAGTCGAGTCCAGATATTTTTCCTCTGTTCGTATCATGAAGCCCGCAAGCGAATCTGGGTAATCTTGTACTTCTAATGTTATTGAAATGAAGCAAATTGTTTTTGTTTTTCGTGCTCAGCCGAGCAGCTTTCACACGAGACAGGCGCTGCTTCCAGCACGGTATCCGGTTCTCCGTATACATCCGCGGCGTCGACGTTCTGCCCGATGCAGCGGCCAAAGACAGATACTGTGCGAGTTTTGCTTGGTAACAATCAAAGAAATGTATGTGGTCATCATTGAATGTGACAGTGGATACCGGTCGGACCGAACTAGGCTCCTGCGGCGCTCCGAGCCAGTAAGCGAGTCAGCGGAGTCTCGTTGGGCCGAACGTCTGCGTCACGCTGGCGGCTTGTTTCTCACCTTCTGTTTAACACCGTTGGCTGCAGTTGTGACTTTCGACGAACCTCATCCGTCCACAGCGATGTTCTGGGCCCCTTGATGACTCACAACTGGCTGAAGTGTTTGTGATGAACATTTCAGAGCTGTAAACTGAGACGGTTGTAAGGGAAGAATAATTCAGACCGACACCGCGTCTGGGAGCCAAGATTCTGTCTCTGTCTCTCACAAAGCAGCCAGCAGATACATTTCAGTTATTTTTTGCTCCAGATCGTCCTCCCCTTTTTTTCCGTTAGAACACTAGAAATCCTTCACATAATATGGTCAAACTCCGCGCTATCGCTCTGTATTCAAGTGCAACTGTTTACCATCTAAAGTGTCGACGCCGTCATATTAGTCGTGAAAAAAAGTGTAAAGCCCTTTGATGACACACATTTCATTTCCCCTTAAAATAGCTCTCTGTTGTGTTGGCTGCCCATCTAACCCTCCGCATACCAAGCAGCTGTGTGTTTCACGCAATTTCACCCTTTCCGCGTTCATCCACGCGGCGTAAAGGAAAAATGCATTGCTGTTAAACGTGAGGTGGTACGAAGAAAGAAAGACGTGAATGAGCTGTGAATCATTAGCGGCTGGCGGCGAGGCGCTGACGAGGCCCGTCCGCTGTGCCGCTCTCCTCCGACGGGACTGAAGTGGGGCAATCTCGCTGCCTTTGTTGCATCTTCCTGTCGGTTACGCAAGAGATGCAGCGGTTCAACTTGTCTCACAGTTGCCAGTGTTCCCTCGCTGGAAGGACTCGACGTGACTAAACCCCAAAGCTTGTGAGTGAAATGGCCTTCGAGAAGACGCGTTTTCCATCCCGCCTCTCGTGCGTCCGTCATCCGCGCGCTCGTCCCCGGGCGGAAACCACTTCTGCATCAGGGATGCACGACGCACAACGTGGTTCATTTCGCAGCGAGCGTCAAAAGCAAATACTAGCCCCCTTTACCCGATGGGTGCTTAGAGCTGCCCCCCCCTCCCAGAACCCCCAAGCCAAGCGTTGGAGATAAATGAGCCATCAAGCAGCCGTGAGGCAACAACAAGTTCAGGTGCTGCATCTCGATTGCACCAGTTCCTAAACGTCGCTCTCACAACAAGCTGGTTTGTAGATTCAGGCGCTCTTTTAATAGTCGGACGTGACCCATGAGGGAAAGCGTTGGTTTTCTAGCACAGCTTGAAAAAAGGGTTGGCTCCATTTCAGATAAACCGTCCACAGCTGGATTTGGGTTTTGTTTGTTCGCTATATTCCCAGTGGGCTAACATGGCGACGCAACAAGTCTTATTACAATATTGAAAAATATGCAGACTATAAAAGTCCTTGGACGTCTTTTGTAACGTAACCCTGCTGACACACACGCAGTGTGAGTTAAATATTATATTTCCCTGTAATTATGTTATCATGCAAGGCACTTAAAATATGATTGACTGTCGACAGTGGAAGCCAAAAGCTACTCTATCATTCTGTGTGCATTAATTATCAACGTCGCATTGGGGGACATGCGGTCTCTAATGTAATCCATCAAGTTGATGTGGTGGAAATTTGTGGATTTAGCCCATGTGAGAAATCAAAAGTATCTTGAGCTTGCTTTGTGATTAAGTATTTATTACTAACTAGAATATAGGAAAAAGATAAAGAATACAGAAATCATCAGCACAAGTCGTAAGCACAGACAGAAGTCAAATGACTACAATTCAGCTGAAAAGGGACAGATGTTCCTTCCCCCAAAAGGAGCAGGAAGATCTGACAAAGTCAAAGAGGAGAACAGGAGGTTTTATACACTTAGGGGGGTTTGTGCTGCCTCAGGACAGGACAGCCCACCCCTCAAGAGGAATGTGGGAAAAGTAGCAGATGATGTAGGGGTGACCCTGTGACCCTCCCTTTATGGACCCAGACAATCAACAACATCTAAAAGGTCAGTCAGGGCACGCATGTTTTCATCTGTGTCTTATCTCACCCTGGACTGCCTTAAGTCACCGGCTCACATCAAGGGTCACATTCCTGAGAGCCTCACCCCACGCAGGCTCAACAATTTTCCCCCAACATCCCTCTCTTTTTGTCATTTTTGACAATCCGGAATCAACTTAAGAAACTCTAAACAACAATCAAATCGAAATTAAGAAAGAAAATTAAACAACAAAGAAAACGTTTAGAACATACATGAGTGGTGTAAATTCACGAAGATTCAGAACATCACATCATTAACTTCTAGGTACATTGAGAACTCTTGCTAAACATTTAAACCTTGAGACACAATGTTCACAGCATAACACGGCCGTATGTTATGCATGGGACATGTATATTTCATTAATCTCCTTCCATTTAGCTTTGTCTGAACCACGTGGAATGTTGTGCAAAAAATGAAGTCAAAGCGACCCGATAAGGCGAGCTCGGTCCCGTCTGTGGTTGGGTTGGAACATGGCAAGGTGACATCTGGTGTAATGTGAGATTCCTGTTCTTCTGAAATATGATGCGTCATTGTATTTGAAGGTCCAAACAGTTTGTCTTGCTTAGATTGTGTTTAAAACGCACTACGTATCGGAAATAGGAGGCAAATCTTTTCACAGCATCTGGTTTGTAAATCAACCCTTTCTGCAACAATCCCATATTTGTCTTTTTTCTTTATTTCCATATCCGGTTGATCATTTGTTTAATGGCGCAGCCGCTGCCCAAGTACATGCAGCTTTTGGTCACCGCACTAAGGAGTGTATGTTGTGGCTCTGTGGTATCATCAGGGCTGAAGGTCTGGTCCGTGTGGGCGAAGGTCATCTGGGCCGTTTGGTACACAGATGAAACCAAAGTCACTTGAAATATCTCAGAGGTTTTTCGTGTTTCTATTAAAAATAGTCCCTCCGTATTTGGCACAAGAGCGGGGGGGGGTCCAGCTCTGTAGGAAAACACAATCACCTGTATCCAATAACCGCTGGTGTAGTCCACCCTTCTACAGGCAAGCAACTGGGGAAATCACAGAGGATTGTTGACCGTATAAATAATGGATGTCTGGAAGAGCAGGACGGACTTTGTCCCATTAAAAGAAGGCGCGTTGGGTCGGATAGTTACTCTATTGTTTCTGTTTGTTTCAGGTCCGCGGCTATCTCTGGCAAGATTATTGTCAGGTAAGCACGCAGTACATCTTGTAGTGTAGTTTGATTTTTTTTGGGGGGGGGGGTCGGTGTCTGCAGCTGAGCCATCAATATTTTCAGATTTTAATTAGAAACCTCCCTTCCAAAAAAAAAAGAATGAAGACTTTTATTAAAAACAGCAATTGGTGGACTTGTCTTCCATGCGATCACAAACATCTTGTCGGGACCCGTGTGATGAAAGAACACAGGCGTTCTTTCATCACACGAGGAAGCAGGAGGCCTCTTTTAAACCGGACACGGTGTGAAGACCCACTTGGCACAGACTAACAGACAGACATGAAGTGTCTGCTTACAGTCGCGGGTCTCGTTGCCTTCTTATCGAAACGAGCTGTTTTGTGGGGGATACGCCAGTTTATGGGATCTCGGGATTAAAAAAAAGAATAATAAATTGCTGCGTTTCCGAGGCGCTGTCGAGCGCTCCCAGATGGGCGGAACACCTGTTGTCAACAGGCGGGTGAAACAAAAAAGCTCTTTGGCCCGGAGTTTGTCCCTCTGCTGCAGAGCTCGGTGCTGCTCCCCGTTTGACTGTGATTTCACGCCGTTCGCAACCCAGTTGCTCTCCGGAAGAACAAAATCTGTTTGTGTTTCAACAACCCCTAAAACCGCTTATTCGATTGCCCTCAAACGCGTGTGCCCAATCGGTCTTCTTTTGGACTCTAAAGTTGGACCGCTTTCCTCTTGTTTTTTTTGGGGGGGGGGGGGTGGGAGGCTCATTCTCATGCAGGTGTGACCTCAGGGACTCGTCTCTCGTTGTGTTTTCAGAACAGCGCTTGCAGCCCCGGGGCAGTTCGCCTGCCGCAGTGGGAAGATGCAGTGTATCCCCATGTCCTGGCAGTGCGACGGCTGGACGGCGTGCGAGGACAAGAGCGACGAGATGGACTGCCCCCGTGAGTACAGCTCCCCTGGGCCTTCTTACCCCCCCTACTCCCGTCGCCTAACCCGCCCCCCATAACATGATTGGTGTCTGGAAAGAGGAGCGACCCGCCAGCACACCCCACCCCCTCCCCCGACTCGGACGACCCGGATCACAGCTGGGTTGAACCCTTGAGCGGCTGCACATGTGTGTCTGCTTTTGTTAGCTGCTCGTTGATCTGCTCGACACTGTATGGATGTCGCCACGCTAAAAGCCCTTTGACCGAAATCCCATTGTTTTCTGCCTCTTAAATCCGGAGGGGCCTCATCCTCCAGATCTCTGACCGCGTAATAGGAATTACTGGGGATTGGGTTCAGCATGTGACCTCCGCGCAGCAGTGCGCCTTTCTGGTTTTAAGCACCAGCCTCCATTCAGTCCCCAGGAACACCACGTTCACCGAACACGACAACAACAGCAGGAATCGACACTTTTTAATTTGTTTTTTTCAGCCACAAAAGGTACTTGAACAAATGCAAATGCAGAACATTCTGCATTTGACTAAAACAAACAAACAAACGCGCGCAGGTGTTTGCCCGTTCTATATGCCGAGTAGCTCTGCTTCCACAGAGCAGAAAGCCCCAAACAATGCTGCAACACGTCTCAGTGGAGGCTTCTCGTCCGCTGAACCAACAGCACGCATGGAAATCAATGTTCCTGTTTGGGATTAGCGCTTTGTTGAATAACATGTGGCAGTGGAGCAATCCCCTCAAACTAATTCCAGCTAAACAAACACCAGGGGCAAATGTTCAACCTCGCAACGTCCGTGCAGGTCAGACCGGAGAACAGAAGTAGTCCAGGCTGCAAACAGAAGAGCCGCTGCATTCAGTGGTGTTTTCTGAAGACGGAGAAAGTAAAATTGATGCGGTTACGATAAATGAAAATGTATTAAATTCGATTTCAAAATGTCAACAGTTTTAATTCTAAGGGCTCTTTCTTCCTCAAAGCAGAGAAAAGTCCCGCAGCAGCTTTGTTGTTTGTTAGTTATATGGTGGTTCATGTCAACGGTACAGATTTTGCTTTATGAAGGCAAAGACATTTTTGGATTTTAATCACTGAGCTCTCTTCTCTGATATTTTGTTGGTTGAAGTTAAAGGTTGAACTTAAGACACAAGCTTCATGTTGCTAAAGATAGAAAGTAGAAATACTGCTCAGAAGCACTAAAGTAAAAAACTAAATATATTTGCTATTACAGAAAAGGCCTCTGCACAAACACATGGTACACACCAGACAGTCAAGTATTTATCTGCCTGTCAGACTCGCTAAACGCCTCGTTCGTCACATGTTACGCCTTCAACACGTTGCACAACATGAACTGATATGCACTGTTATTTATTCTTTTACAAACACAGAGTGTAAAAGCGTGTCCATACATACTCTTTGTGCAGCTAACAAGGAGGAGAGGTTTCGTTTTGGTAACGGGCACGACCAGGTGGAGGACGTCATCGGTGTGGCTGCGCCTGTGCGCTTCAACAGTAAGCGCCTCCCTGTTGTCGTTGTTGTTGTGTATTCCATATTTGAGAAGCCCTCTTATATTGTTTGTGCGGCCTCCGTCGCTTACGTGTTTCCTTTCTGCTCCCGCAGAGAAATGCCCCAGCGGGTGGCACCACTACGAGAAGACTGCCAGCTGCTACAAAGTGTACCTGATGAACGAGAACTACTGGCAGGCCGTCGACACCTGCCAGAAGGTCAACGGCTCGCTGGCCACGTTCGTGACCAACGAGGAGCTGCAGTTCATTCTGAAGATCGAGGTGGATTTCGACGACAAAGTCTGTGAGCGCAGAGACCAGTGCAAGTGAGTTTTTACCTAAAAGAACGTACGCCGCAGTCGGAGCCGCTACAAGAGCTTCACTTAGCATCCGCTAACGGAGTGGTTGCAGGCCATCTAGTGGCGGCGTAACGCGCATCCACACTGGTTCAAAAACAAACCCACTAAAGTGGAGTTAATCATTGTGCTTATTGTCTTGTTTTGAAGGTTTTGGGTGGGCTACCAGTATGTGATCACCAATCAGAACCACTCTCTGGAGGGCCGCTGGGAGGTCGCCTACAAAGGTACCAGCTGTTCTTTTGTAGATACTAGAAGTGCCAACTACCGTTTGCTTAAAAATGTTGTGTGTGCTTTTCTTCCTTCAACAGGCTCCATGCAGGTGTTCCTGCCCCCCGAGGGTCTGGCCAAACTAGGAGATGCGTCTCCCACCCAGGACAATGTTTTCTGTGCCCAGCTGCAGCGCTTTCAGATCAAAAGCATGAACGAACGAGGCCTGCACAGCTGGCACGCCGAGAACTGCTACAAGAAGTTCCCGTTCCTCTGCAAGAGGAGTACGTGCCCATGTAGTCTTTTCCATCAGAAATGTAGACACCTCTTTCAGCTTCGTCCCAGTCACACAAGGTCCGTTTTAAATAATGTCTCGGTTGATTTATTCGTCTGCTGTTGCCCCGACAGGGCAAACGTGCGTGGACATCAAAGACAACGTCGTCAACGAGGGCTACTACTTCACCCCCAAGGGGGACGACCCGTGTCTGAGCTGCACGTGCCACGAGGGCGAGCCCGAGATGTGCGTGGCGGCGCTGTGCGAGCGTCCGCAAGGCTGCCAGCACTTCCGCAAAGATCCCAAAGAGTGCTGCAAGTTCACCTGCCTGGACCCAGGTACCGCCGGCAGAGCGTCTGCGTCCGCTTGTTTCCCACCAGTCAGGAGCGCCGCTGAGCTGGAAGCCGGTGATGCTCTTGTGTTTTGTCGGTTTTTCTCTCTCTTTTTCCTCAGATGGAAACAGTCTGTTTGACTCGATGGCCAGCGGGATGAGACTGATCGTCAGCTGCATCTCCTCCTTCCTCATCCTCTCTCTGCTGCTCTTCATGGTGCACAGACTCCGCCAGCGCAGACGCGAACGCATCGAAACTCTGATTGGAGGAAACTGTGAGCATCCCCCTCTGAGCGATAATAAGTCGGTGTTCTGATTGAAGGGATTTCATGCATTGTCTCGGACAAATGCCAATCAAAGTGTTCAGTGCCATTCAAAGTGCTGGGATGCAAAGCGTCAGTTTCAAAATTGGCACATTTCTCAACGACATTTGAAACGAGAAAATAGAAGCTATTTTCACCACAACGTGAAAGAATATTTTTAGTCGGGTATTTTGGGCTTCTCCTATGAAGGTACTGATCCAACTGATGATGCGTTTTAGATTAATCTCTTAAGACTCAAATATGTTTCTTTTTTTTCTTTCTAAACCGATGGTATTTGCTGAAACTACGATTTAATGTTCCTGTTTTTTACAGATTTCGTGGATGTTTTTTGAATGCATTTGACTCACTTCCTCCTCCTCCTTTCTTTCTTTGCTCAGTGCACCACTTTAACCTCGGCAGACGAGTCCCGGGCTTCGACTACGGCCCGGACGCCTTTGGCACCGGCCTCACTCCGCTGCATCTGTCCGACGATGGCGAGGGAGGAGCTTTCCACTTCCAAGAGCCTCCTCCGCCGTACGCCGCCTACAAGTACCCCGACATCCAGCACCCCGACGACCCCCCTCCCCCGTACGAAGCCTCCATCAACCCGGACAGCCTCCTTTACGTGGGCCTCGGTATGCGCCCGTTGCTTCTCGTCGTGTGTGCGTGTCGGGCTCCCAGGCTTCATTACCTGTTTTTCTTTTTGTGTCACCCGCAGGACACGGTGTCTCCCTGATACCCAGCCAGATGAACGCCATGGTGGACGGGCTCCAGGCGGCCGTTCCCAACACCTGCGGCGGCCCCGCCGCCGTCCCGGCTCCGCCTCCCCAGGAGCGGGAGGACTCCATAGACAGCAGCACGCTGCTGGTGGGGCCGGACACTCCGACGGACGGCCACGCCCCCTCTGCCGTGACCCCCGACTGCGTCTCCTCCCTCAGCACCGTTGTATAGGACCGCGGACGGGCTGCGGGGTGGAGGGGAAGGTCACCGGCGCGTTCCGCCCGGTAGAGGTCGTTTACCCAAAACGCCGACTGCAGGGAGGAGAGTTCCGGTCCGGACGGACACAACAGAAACTCGCTTCTCTCTTTCTTTCTTTTTCTTTTTTTTAAGCCGGACATGTGAGGAATCAGAGAGGACTGTTTGTACGCGGAGAGGCAGAGAAAACAAACATTGCGGCTGAGAAAGCGAAGCCCTTTTACGTTCAGCATCGACTAAGCGAAGCTTTTCAAACATCTCAGAGTTCGGGCGATTCCGTCGAGCAGTCCCGATGTAAAATACCCCCCTCGGGTCTCCGCCGGTCCCTTTGGTTTGTGTTTCACGGTCCAGCACAAGAATGACCGACGGACAGTGAAGTCAGCTGATTTGTTTTGTTTTTTGTTGTTTTGTTTTTTTCTTTGGTTTGCATTGCGCGGTCCAACAGACGCTTCCATGTTCGTCTGACGGTCTCCAGGCTTCAGTAATGTTCTCGTCAGACCTGTCCGTCAAGGCATGTCCATTTCTACCTGCTGTCCCCTCCCTTTCTTATCGGTCTGATACATGAAGCCGTCTTCCAGGTTTATAGCGCGTATTTGCAGCAAACGTTTTGTAGTTAAGAGGTTTAACCCTGCAACAGGCTACGGTTAGATTTTAATTAGATAATGCTGACTGAGGCATTATGTATCAAGGAATGTTGTGTTACTGATAATATCTCAGTCTGTCTTTGTGTTCTTTATGATGATCATTTATGACTGCGGGCTGTAATCTTGATTGTTTTATTGGGAGATGGTCTGAACTCCCCGGGGATCAGCAAGCGGCCGCGATGAAGCCTGTTGAGTTTACACGTGACGATCAGGGATGATTTCCTGTCATCTACATTTTCTTTTAGTTATTTAAATTTGAGAAAAATCAAGTTTTATTTGAGAAGGCTGTTCCAATCATGAAAGTGGTTTAATCATACAAAGCGCCCCATTTGTTGTAACTTACGCATGAAATCTCGGCAGCGTGGTTGTGTATCGACTAACTGAACCATGTTCAGGGATTCAAAACGCACTCTTTTGCAAACTCATCCCTCGATTTTAAGCAGGTGTCTTTTTCTCTCTTTTCTTTTATTTGCTAAATGTTAATTTTGGATGCTGCCCCCTGTGTGTGTGTGTGTGTGTGTGTGTGTGTGTGTGTGTGTGGTTCCGATCGAGGACCACTGGGTGCAGCTGTGAGTCCGTTTCTGTTTGTCGATGGGTCCGTTTTTACAGTGGGATTGCAGTAAAAAAAACAAAAAACTATTGTAATAAAAATAAACTGTATATTTGGAACGTGTTAGACCGGTTTTATGACGACAATCGTTTGATTCATCCGAGGATGAATTTCTCAAAGCCTGAAGACTTCAGACCGGACTCGACCCGCAAACACCAGCATTCAAACCGCCGAAGAAAACCAGAGTATCTCATGTCTGAGTTACTGACTGATCACTGATTTCCCCCATTTTCTCTTTTTCTTTTTTGGGTGTGATGTGGGGGGCATTGATAATTGACAATTAAGAAGAATTAAATCTCATTAATTGTAAAAGAAAATGGCCCCTGCATGTGTGTGTGTGTGTGTGTGTGTGTGTACAGGAGAAAATGTTTTCCGGTTTTGATTTTCTTTTAATTGTTTTTGATTTATTTTTCAACCTGATTTCTGCGATACGTGTATTTATTGTTTGGCATGCTGAGCCGTTTGTCTTTGGATGGAAACGTGTTCCAGCTGCACACTTGCTGCTGTACAGTCGACTCCTGCAAATAGTTCTCTGTGTGCTGAGACCCGAGCAGCTGTACTTTCTGTTCTAGCCTATTAGCCCAACTATTATTACTGCATTTGATCTGTTTTGTGTATAATGTTGACAAATGCTACCGTCTTTTATTTGCAGGGAGCGCTTGTGTTTTCCTGAGGTAGATGTACATCTGATCAAATGCCAAATAAATTGCACCATGAAGGACGAGTCCCGCGTCACTGGTAGCTACACAGTCTTATCAATCGCGACATTCAGCCGCTGTGTGAGTCACAAATGTCACAGGGGATTACGGGTGGGATGCAGGGAAACCCCTACCCCCACCTTTATGATGGAGGTCGTTAGATGAATGCAACCCACGGCCGTCAACAGATTCAAATAAGTGAAAGAAAGCGGATATTTCTCGCACCTCCGTGGGACTCGGGGCGGCGGGGGGAGCGGGCATGGCGAGGCCCCGGCTGCAGAGCATTGTGGCTGAAGAAAAGAGGCTTTGTTCACACGGGCCAAGTAGTGACCGATCACATGATCCTGGATGCAGGAGACGTGACGCTCGTCGTGGTCGTCGAGACAAATTTGAATTGTGAAACCACTAAAAAGGCCTTTGACGCGTACCGGGAGTTTGTGTGTATTGAGTTGATTTAGTTTAGTTTTTAGGACTCGCTATTTCAGGTGGATCTCATGTATGTGGGTCTTTTTTTTACATTCGAATAAGGAAGATGTCCTTTAGGTGCTTTGATATTATGAAATGTCATTTCACACATTAGTTTGCAGGGATTTCCTAAACCATGTACATTTTACGTCCCCTTCTAATTCAGCGGGCGATACATCCACTTTCCCATGGGATGAATAGGTCCTGTTACTGGTCACTGGGCATCTATGCTGCCGTGGGGGGGGGGTGAAGCTGTCCTCCATCAATGAGCCTGTTGATCAGGAAAGACCACTCGACTGGTAATGACACGCTTCGCTGATCAGACCAGGAGAAAATCAAACTCCGATTTCACCTCGGTTCCCATTTAAGCAGCACGCCGGCTCCCTCGGTCCACCTCGGACACCTGTTGGGACGACGCCGCGGGACACCTGCGATGATTCGGGCTGCTGCTCTCGCCGTGATTTTGGTCTCCTGCGTGAAGTCGGGTGAGGGGTGGATGCTCGATGCTCGAGTCCATCTGCTAAATTCTATAACGTTTCATTTTTTGCCAACGTTATTTATTTTGTGTATTTCAGAGGACTACTGTTATGATGAGCCACGCTGCGGTGAGTCACCCAAGACGATTCAAACTGAAAGACATACGATCTCGCTAGAAAACCTCACTACAATTCTTCACATACTGTGTAGATGTTTTTCGTTGGTGACCCACTGAAATGAAGCATTTCAAAGTCCTCCGTTCAATGTGGCCGTGAGATGTGAGCAAACTGTCTCCCCTCAACGTCGGGTGGATTTGAATAACGGTTCGTAGTCTTCAGAAGGAAGCTGCTACTAAATGTACTTTAAAATGAGATGGAGTTATTTCTTGAGCTTGGAAACAAACAAACACGAGAAGTCCTTAAAGTTGAATGTTAAAAGCTCCAGAACAGCTGTGGAAAAACAGTCATCTACTGATCTGAGGTCAACAATGAAACATTTCCTCCCGGAGACGTTCATCGTGTCTTCACTGGTGGCTTTGCTTCTGCTGTCCCTCAGACCCGTACGCGTGGGGGGACATGTTCCCGCCTTGTCACCCTCTAATTGAAGAACACCACTCTCCCATCAACCTGGACCACCGGATGACCCGGAACCTCTCTCTGGGACCTTTGCACCTGGAGGGCTTCGATGAGACCCAAACGGGCCACTGGACCCTAAAGAACGACGGGCACTCGGGTGAGTACAGCGGACGACATCAGTTAGCGTGTGTGTGTGTGTGTGTGTGTGTGTGTGTGTGTGTGTGTGTGTGTGTGTGTGTGTGCGCGTGCGCGTGCGCGCGCTGTTGTGTCAGTGATCGCTCGCTCGCTCAGTCGTGCTGCAGGTCGGCGCCGGCATGTCGCTGAGCGGCGGGGGCCTTCCAGATGTGTACCACACCGTCCAGGTGCACTTCCACTGGGGAGGCGTGGCCACCAACGGCTCGGAGCACACGGTGGACGGGCGCAGATACCCAATGGAGGTACAGTACGGTCAGTAGGAGCGCTGCGCGCCGTCACGCCCCGACGACCGGCCGCGGCGCAGCCGCCCCCTTTTGACGTCCTTCTCGTCCCGTGTCTTAACTTCCAGATGCACGTGGTCAACATGAAGTCCATCCACCCCAACGTGACGGCGGCCTTGGGCGACCCGACGGGGCTCGCCGTCCTCGGCTTCTTCATCGACGTGCGTTTTAAGGGAACACGTTTCTCTGCGTGATCGCGCATTTGGTAGCGTAGAAGCACGAGCCCTCACTCTGCGTTTCACCCCAGGTTGTTTACGCGGACAATGTGCACTTTGGACTCGTCTCGCAGAAGCTGTCCTCCGTGGCCTACAAAGGTCAGAGGGCGCACTCACTCCCCACACGCTGTTTCTGTTGTTTGCACCTGTGTTCTCACCTGCGGCTGCGCATCCTCCCTCAAGGCCAAGCGACTAAAATCAAGCCGTTCCCGCTGGCGGACCTGCTGCCGAAGCGCAACATGAGTCAGTACTACCGCTACTCGGGCAGCCTCACCACCCCCCCCTGCGCCCGAGCGGTGGTGTGGACTCTGTACCAAGTCCCCATCTACATCTCGTGGACCCAAGTAGGTCTCTCGCCCGTTCCTCCCGACAGGAGCGCGTTTCCCTCGCCAATAACCGTCACGTGTCGTTCCTCCTCAGCTGGCCCAGTTCACCTCGCAGATCTTCTCCACGGAGGAGGACGCCGAGCAGGTGACCCCTCTGCAGAACAACTTCAGGCACGTCCACCCCACCTTCGGTCGCCTCGTCTCCGCGTCCAGAGACGCCGGAGTGCCGGCGGGGGCGCCCGGCCGTCCCCTCGGGCCGGACGCGTCGCTGCGGCTGCTTGCGATGGTTCTGCTGGGAAGCTTCTTGTGTGGACTTTAGAAAGACGCGTTCTTGTGTTTGCCACGCAAAAAGGCATTTAGGTGATGACCAGCAAAGAGCACAGAGGAGTACAAACTGTGAATAAAGTACTGTAAGATGTCGTTAATGTTAGAATCCAGCCGGATTAACTTGATTAGTGCTTTAGAAAAGGTGATCAAAAACTGTATTAACACTTAATGACATAATGTGAGTTGAGCATTGAAATGCATTCGTGTACATTTTCACTCCGCTTGTTCTTGAAGTTGCATATATATTACATATGTGGTTTGGGGCACAAATATTCTAATGAAAGTGATGTTATAGATATTTGAAGCTTTTTATGAATGAAAATATTTAAATAAATGTTAACCTCTGACGTTTTACTATTTTCAATTAATGTCCTTGTATTTTAGTCAATATATTATGATAAACTGTGATTCTATAATTATGATTGACTGACAGCGAAAACAAATGTAAGCGTGTGAGTTTACTTACGTTTTCTTATATAAGCTCTATTCAAACAATATGCGTCATAATTACTTTTATTTTTGACTAATGAGAAAGTTTGGTGAGGATATTATGCAAAAAGGCTGCGGTGACTTGTGAGTCTGCGTTGACATGAGACGTTAAAATAACACGAGCCAGCAGGCGCGCACACACGTTTACGTCATTAACCGAAATGTCTATCAACTCAACATGACATATAATTACGTTCAAATCAAACTCGCGAGCTCTGAGAATGAAGCTGATGGACTTTTTTTAAATCCCTCATGTGCTGCTTACCTTTCATGAATGAATCCACTGAAGCTACTTTTCACCTCCCGCGATGTAAAACAACCACCGTTCATGGATGTATGCAAAATTGCTTTATTTCCAATTGTTCCTTTTTCATACGTTTGTTGTGTAATAAATAGACACGAGAAACGGGCTGATGCTTCAATCCTCTTCGCATGTCGATTCTGCACCTTTTCGGGGGTTTTTTTCTCTCCGCACCGCAAACAACTTTTCATAGAATTTACAACAAAAAACAAAACAAAAACAATAAGCTTGACACAAGCTGAATATCCTGCTACCAGCTCGTCGCTCACCTCATTATGTTACATCCATCTCCGAGCTGTGTTAATGTAGCAAATCCCAAGGGAACAAAAATATATATATATATATATATTTTCATATAGTATTCACAGCTACCGTATGTACACATTTTAGGATTACAAAGCAATTGGGCAGAAAATGAAGACGTTTCTACAAGAAACAATCTTTCAAAAAGGGAGGTGGAGACTTCTCCTGTACACAGTGGGCCTTTTTCTTTAAATATTCAACCCTTTTAAACTTTCAGTTTCCTTTTACAGGTCCCTGAAAAATACTTTTAAATACTCAGTCTTTTGTTAAAAAAGAAAGAAAATGAGAGCAAGATGCATCTTAAAAGTGTTCCACTTATGAAGATATAAAAAAGAAAAAGCTTTAGATCTTCTGTACAAGATATCATACAATATAAACATCACAGGTGGACAAAAAAAAAAATCCTCCTTTATCGTTAATCGATTCAGCTGAATGAAAAGCAGTGAGTAACTTGGTCTTGGAAGGGGGGGGGGGGCGTAAACCAGAAGTGCAGCTCTCGAGTGCATTTACAACTCTTTCGTTTTGCTGAATGAGATCACGTAGAGGGTTCTGATAACACCTCGGCGTCTCCGGAGACGTTGAACACTGGAAGAGTAGTGAGTGTTGCACACAAAGACACACGAGACGCTCGTCTCGGCTACGGAGGACGCCGTCCGAGCAAAACAAAAACAAAAGGAAAACAAACAGGCGGCGATCCTCTGCACACGCGTGTTCACACAGCACTAGGCGACACAAAAACCCACCTCCATGCCCGGCAGCCGCCTGCGCGGGTCCAAACGAAGACAGTTTCACATTCATATGGCATGATGGGAAGGACACGGTATTTCTTCAGGAGCGGAGAACTTGATTTTAGGAAGAATTTTTCAAACGCTGCCCCGCGGGAATCGATTCAAATGATCCCTTTGTTGCTCGGCGCGACGATCCTACCTCACGCGCACGCAGTAGACGTCTTTGAAGAAAGGACCCAAAACAAAAGTGGAAAACACTGGACCGTCAGTAATACAAATTCCGGCACGGCGACTAGAACTTTTTTTGCATAAATAGGAAGCAGCGTGATCCATCGTTGGCTGGTGAACGCGGGGCGGTGATTTGCAAATATTCCAGATTTCTGTTGCGCCAACACCCCCGCCCCTCTCGCCACGCCCGAGAGGAGCCGCTGCGTGGGAGGAGGAGGTAGCAGCAGCGAGGACGAGGCCCGACCTCGTCTCCTCCAGCGGCCTCCTTGCTTGTGCATCTCAGCGGTGTCGCTAAACAGGTTGAACGTGCGTCGGCGGCGTCGTTTGTACCGACGCTGTGGCGTTCGGAAAGCTTATGAGACCAAAACGAGATTTGTGTAAAAACTGTACAAACCAGGCGCTGAAATACTGTCCGAGCTGAGAGGGCGAAAGCTGCACCAGCGAGTTCAAGTGGCAACAAAAAACAAAAAAACAATGTGTTTTTTTTGTATTTCAAGAGCACCATGAAACGTAAACAATCTAGAGTTGTGTGTGTGTGTGTGTGTGTGCGACGACCTTCCTCCTCCTCGACCGCAAACGGCTCGTCTTCGCCGCGTCCGTTCGTCTCGACTTCAGTGAAATGTTAAAAAAAAGAAACCGGCCCAGAGGAGAAGCCTAATTCAGGGTTCCCCTGCAGTTCTCCGCCCCACACAGGCAGGGGATCTTCTCGTCCTCGATGGGGAACTTGTAGTCGTAGGTGATCTCCTCGTTGACGTTGATGGGCTGTCTGGAGTAGATGACGATCTTCTTCTGGGACTCCACCGTGATGACCTTCGCATAACAGTTGGGCTGAAAAGAAAAACAACAACCCTCATTAGCATTGAATCAAATGACTCCTTTTCTTTGTTTGTTTCTCCGACGTGCCGATGTCTTACGTTGCAGCTGTGGTTGATGAAACGGGCGAAGTTGCCGCACTTGGTGGCGTCGATGATGGTGTCGTGGTCGACGCGGAACATGTAGCTGCTGCCGATGCCCTCCTCCTCGTAGCGCTTCTCCCGCATGTCGGCGATCACCTGCCGGTGGCGCATTTGGCACTTTTAGAAACTGTCGACGGCGCGCGAATGAAGTTGTTTGAACATTAACTGCTTCTCACCTGTCTGATGTTTTGCCCCACGTACTCGATCACCATCTCGTCCGCGGCGATGGGCTCCATGGCGAACAGCCCCCAGTCGTGGATGTGCGACTTGCAGAATCGGATCCTTTTCTTGCGGAACTGAAGGGAGGGAAGAGCAGGGAAGAGCGTCAAGTCGGGGTTTTGACGTCCGTCTCGCGGGTGAATCGAGCCGCCCAGCCGGGTCGAGGTTTGGGTCCGTCTCTCGGTTTACCTTCAGCTGGTTGAACTTCAGCAGGTCGCTGTCGCATGCAAACGAGGACAACAAGCGCCGCTGCTCCGACCGCCGCTCCGACCCCGATCTCGTGGAGGCGTGCACCTGTGCAGGAATACTCATACCCTGCAGGGGGGGAGGAGGGGAAGCCGTTAAACGTGTTCACAATGCGCGCGTCGCGCCCTCGGGGAGTTTTTTTTTTAAATCACAAATCGGGGGCCTCACCTGGGTGTCGACCGGCGGCTCCTCCAAATGCAGCTTGGTGCTCTGGAGGTACTTGATCTTATCCTTCTTGTCGATCTTGTAGTAACCCTCGCTTCGCGCGCAGCCAGTCATGTGATCTCGCATGCCGTCGTCTCTCCTCTTCTTCTTCACTCTCGGGATGTTGGTAGGTGCAGGGGAGTCAAGGAGGAAACTGAAAGTGGGGGGGGGGGGGGTGGGGGGGGGCTGTCCTATCCTGAAGCCCACCAACATCGGTGAACATCGGTCACAGCAGGTGAAACGTTCCTATTTCTCACCACCAGAGGGTGCTGCTACAGAACAAAGCTCTATTCAAACCAATCACAACGCTGTATCTTTTTATGTCATCTGACTGGACCTGTTAAAATGAACTTTGAACCGTGGCGCGTGACCCGCACAGAGGACCTTTTCGTAAAGGATATCGGGATGGTTGACCCACAGCGTGTCGTTGAGCCAGTCGTTGCCGTTATCCTGCTGCAGCATCTTGTCGTAGGTGACCTGCAGGAGCCGTATGTCTTCCTCGTCTATGCCTTCGTTCCAGATGTCGTACAGTATGGTCATCTCCTCGAACTCGAAGCGCGGCTTGAAGTACGGCCGGGGGGGCGAGGTGACGGGGGACAGGCCGTCCAGCAGCAGCTCCTCCCAGCCTCGCCGTGGCCGCCGCGCGGGCTTCGTGGCCACGGGCGCCTCATCCTCGTAGGACAGGAAGCCGTCCTCCTCTCCTTCCCTGAAGTCCGGGCTCCCGCGGTGGGGGGTCTTGGCCGAGAGGGTCTGCGCGGAAAGGCCGGCGAGTTGCGCGTGGTGAGGCGGCAGGGCGGCCTCGGGCGACGCCGCCTTTTTGCCTTTGGGCCGCCCGGGTTTCCTCTTGGACGGGGCGGTGTCCGACGGCACGGGGACGTCCACGGGCAGATCTTCGGGGACGCTGGCCGACGTCTCGGCTGCGGCCGGCGCCGTGCTGACGGGCGGCTCCTTGAAGTCCAGGCTCTCGGTGGATATTTTCCTATTAAAAGCCATCGCTGCGGGGTCGGGGAAGACGGGCGTGAAGGTTAAGTCTCGTCCCGGAGTGCGGGGGACTCCCGCGCTGAGGACGGGGGACTGCGTGGGGTACGAAAAGGGGCTACCGGGGATGTGAGGGGAGATAAGCAGCAAGCCGCTGCCCGTCAGCGGGGCGTCGCCGCCGGGCGTGACGGGCATGGCGTCCGTGCTCTGGGACTTGCCCAGACTCCGGGCGCGTTCCATCAGGTCCCGGCCCGGCGTGCGGGGGATGTCCTCGTCCGTGGGCAGCCGCGCCCGCTGGGGGAGGTCGGGCAGGAGGGGGGCAGGGGGCGGGTGGAGGAGGGATCGACCTTCCGCCGACGGGTGGAGAGGGAGAGGGAGGTGCAACAACGCCGCAGAGACACTTTTGGGGACGGGGGACCTGGCGTCTACGCGGGACGGGGCTGATCGACCCGGGGTGCAGGGAACTTCCTCGGGCTCGGCTTTACCTTTCGCCTCCTCCTGGTCGCTGTCGGGCAGGGCGCCCGTGGGCGTCGGCGGCCGGAGGGCCGTCACGTGCTCCTTCACCGTGGGAATGTCGCCGTAGACACTGACGTCTCGCTCTTTGACTACGGGACAAAAATAAGTACATATATAGAAACGAATGTAACATTTTGCCATATGGTGATTTATGCCAAGAACACAGCAGACCCTCACCTGGGAGTCCTTTGAGCGATGGAGGCTTCAGGTCCTCCGTCGCCTCCGCCTCCGGACTCGGAGGTCTGGATTTGGGTTTGATGCTCGGCTCCTTTCGGACCTTCGCGTCCTCTGGCACCGCCCCCGGAGGAGGACACGGCGCCGTGGTCTCGGCCTTCCCTTCGTCTTCATCAGACGAGCATATTGATGAGGACGAGGAGGACGAGGAGGTCTCTGCCACTTTGACTCGAGCCGCCACGTCTTTTGCTGCGGCGGCCTCTTCCTCTTCTTCTTCCTCTTCCTCTTCTTCCTCCTCCTCTTCCGAGCTCATCTCGTACTCCGAGGAGTCCGCGCTTTCTGATGAGGAAGTCGAGCTGGCTTTGGAGGAAGCAGAGCTCGCCCCTTCTGAACGAAATGTGGAAGGAGAACGATCAATCACATGGAAACGGCAAACCAAATTAAAACAACTCTTTGATATTTTTATCATGTTACCGTCATCAGACGAATCCGAGGAAGCGCTGTCACTGGATGAGCCTTCGTCATCACCCTCCTCATCGCCACTCTCCTAAGAGGGGACAACAGAGCGTGAGGATGCTTCAATAGTCAACGTGTGAACGATCAAACGGATCAGGGTTTAGATTTCAGGCTGCTCACTTTGCCCGACGACAACCTCTCTGTAGCCGGAGTTTTGTCGGGCTCCTCCTCCCTATCGGACAACGACTCCTCTTCCTTTCCTGAGGTGTCCAGCTCCTCCTCTCCCTCGCTGTCCAGTTCGAGCGGCCGCGAGTGCCGTCGCTTCGCCGACCCGCTGTCGGAGTCCATTTTGGATTCGTCCATCGGGAGCTCCGCCGCGTCTCGATCCCGGTCTGACGTTAGAAAATGATACAAAAAGCTAAATGTGTTAGAACACCAGGAGGAAGAAGCAAATGCCCGCAAGTGTAACCGCGCAGCCCGGCGGGAGCGTCACCTTCATCCTCGTCGTACACCGGAGTGGAGGGTCGCGCTCGCTTGTTGTCCCCGGCTGCCGCCGCCTCCGGCGGGTCCTTCCTTTTCACCTGCAAACGCGACACCAGCGACCATTAAAAAAAAAAAACGCTGTGTGCGCTCGGCGTTTTGAAAAGGGCAGGAGAAGAGGCCCTACCTTGAAGGAGGGCAGGCGGATGGCCCCTCGCAGGCTGATTCCCAGGCCCATTCCCTCGTAGCCCAGCCCCTCGCCCTTGTTCCAGTTCTCCAGCAGGCTGGAGCCCATCGGCTCTTTGGGTTTGGGTCGCTCTTCTTCCTTCGCCTCGGCCCCCTTCACTGGGGTCAAAGACACCTGTGGGGAGAAGTGACGTGTTGAAGCGCGCTGCCGTACTGAACACGTCCGCCTCTGCAGATGAAACGAGCTTCGTGTAAACGAATCACGAGCCGATAGTGGATTCTTTTATTATTTGATCGTGAAGGAGAGGTCTTTAACTTGCTTGTTCTGTCTGATCGACATGCTGGAAGTCAAACGTGGTCAATTCAATGAATGAATGAATATTTGGCCTTTAGGTTTGACAAATAAATGAAACTATTTATTAATCAACTTGCTGTTTCATTTGCTTGACTAATGAGTTTCTTTTTTATCACGACGACTAAATGCGTTCACAAAATCTGCTCAGCTTTTATGGCACTATTTAAAATATATTCACTAAGAATGTAAGATTTTTGTGAATATATTAATAACCAAAAAGCTTTATTTGTTTTTTCGATTGATCTGATTTAATGCTCTTCCCGAACATTTGTGCTGTAATGCAAACGGGATGAATAGTGCTCGATGGTTTCTATTATATGTAGACTATTTATACAATACAAACATTAAATCGACCGGTTTGTCGACTCACTTAAAGACAGTTAAGAAACGTGTGGTTTCAAGCTCCGTCTGCTTCTGTATCTCAACCCTGCATTTGCATCTTGGAAGGTGAAATGAATGATTTACCTTTGCCGAGAGTTCCTTCTTTTCCCACCAGTCATCAAAGGCCCTGAAGGCCACCACCTCCACCATTTTACGGTTGAGGTCCCTCTTCATGATGGCCTTCAGCTCCTTGACGATAACCAGCAGGACACCATCCACCGTGGCCTTGTGGGGGTCCTCCTTCTTGGTGTCGTACCCCGGAGGAGGGACGGTAGGGTTGAACTTTGGCATGCTGGGATTCTGCCACTGTTGTCCGGGTGCCTCTGCGCCGGCGGCGGGTGTCGCTCCCATGGTCACGGGCTGGTACGGTCCCAGGTAGGGCCCGGACGCGGCGCTGTCGATGAATTGCGGGTACTGGTAGGGACCTCTGGTCTGAGCCATGCGACTCAGCATCTGCTGCTGCATCTGGAAGGACATGGGCACGGCGCTCCACTGCTCCCACCGCAGGCAGTTCATCAGCTCCATCTGCACCAGCGGCATCATGCCGTGAGGGTAGTGGCCCATGTGCTGCAGCATGTGGTGAGGCACCCCCGGGGGAGCGGCCAGGTGCGGGTGCCCCGTCACGGCGGAGTGAGCGGCCAGGTGGTGGTGGTGGTGGTGGTGCGAGAGCTGGTAGCCGCCCTGGTGCGGGAGGGGATGGAAGCCCGGCGGGGGGATGGGAATGGTCTGCATCGGGGACACCGCCGAGTTCATGACGATGCCCTTGCCGCATTCGCCGCCGCTGGTCGGCGTCCCGGGCATCTCGTCGTCGGAGATTTCCATGTCTTCGCCCGACGACTGGTGACCCTGTGCGAGAAAAACAAACAAACAAACAGCAAAACACAAGCGGTCAGGACGACGCGAGGGTCAACGTCACGGGTCACACAATCATCTGCCTCCCCTCTCGTGTCCATGACCACCCGAGCCGACGCCGCCGACCTTGAGATAAGGTTGAAGAGCTCGGGCAGAAGCTAGTGGTGGGTGGACTTTGAATAAAAAAAGTTTTTTTGTAAACTTGCCCCGGAAGTTTTAGCATTAGTTATGCGTACAGGTTTGAAAACATTGTTGCCAATGCCTCACTTTGTCCATCCAACCACACCGCTCGTGCTTGTGCAACACCAGTGCCATTAAACCCATTCACTTTGGGATTTTTCATGGCTCCCGTTTACTTTCATTCAAAGCGTTTCTGCGACGGCTCCTGCGGGAAGGAAGAGTTAAACTCGTGTGTGGGAGTGGCGTCGTTATCCAAATGAACTGTTTGCACTGCTTGCTTTGTGATAACTCGAAATGCGAGACGCCAGATGCTGCGGCCAATCCTGACTGTCGGGCTCCGGCAAAAGCAGGAAGTGTGGCGTCGAATGGGGCTAACTGCCAAACTGTTCTCCTGCACGTTGTGTGGCGAGTGAAAGCGGAAATAAGAGCCCTCAACCCCCCCCCCCCCACACACACACACACACACACACACACACACACACACACACACACACACACACGCGCACACAGCAGGTCTCATTCCTCAACATTGTGGGCCAGAAGGTGTTACTAGGACTTCAAAAGGAGAATATTAGCTCCATGTGAATGTGAAGGTATTTGTAAGGATGCGAGTTAAGCCTAAAACTTACTCGATAACTCAACCCCAACTCAACTATAGTGCAAATATTATAACATTAATTACGGTTAAAACACCACTTGTTTGTTGTTTTCCAATCATAGTTGCAGTTGAGATTGCGTGTGCTGCCCTTCATACATCGACGATCGATGATGTGAGTGGTGTTTCCTTTAAGAGGCACGATCAAGAAAAAAAAAGAAGAAAAAAACAGAAAGGGAAAGTTCACTACGATCACCTGAAACTAGAACCTCACTTCCGGTGTCCTCGGTGTGAGCGTCACAGAGTAAACATCCGCTCCGTGGTACTAACGACTCAAGAGATACTATCGGCGCGAGCTCTTTTTGACCCCGTTTGGAACCTTGCTGTTGTTCTTTTGCGTCGAACAGCGACTTAACGGGCAGAAACATTGTTCGTGTGAACGTGAGTTCCATGCAAATACGCGTCTTACCGTTTCAATGACATCCGTGGGAGTGTGGCCTCGAAAATGTCCATCTTTGAGGTCACTGTTCATCTTCTCCTGGACAGGGGAGCCGATTCTCTTCATCAGCGAGGCCGTCCCGGGGACGGGCTCCTCGTCTTCCGAGTCCGGCAGCGGGGTCGGACTGATGTCCTCCAAGCCCGTGCTGGTGGGACGGGAGTTCTGCTGGCCCCCCTGGGAGCCGCCCGTGTAAGCGGGGATCGGGGACAGCTGAGACGACGAGGAGGAAATCGGACTCCCGTCCATGCGCACCTCGCCGTCAGAGTCTCGCTCCTCCAGGAACGGCAGCAGCTTTGTCCTTTTCTCCTTGAGGAGCATCTCGATGCGCGAGTCCAGGCTGTTGCGCTCCAGGTCCAGCGTGGGCGAGACGGGCGAGGGGCAGCGCTCCGGCGTCTGAGGCGGAGGGGTGGTCGGTTGGGGCGAGGGCTCAGGCGGGGGCTCCGGGGGCTCCGGGATCGGAGGAGTCTCCGGTCTGTCCTTGGGCGGGCAGAAAGTCCGTGGCCGCGGCCTGAGGCGGCTGCGGCGGCCGGACGTGCTCGCCCTCCCTTTGGGCCGGGTGATGGAAAGGCGGGCTCCGTCGGGGGGAACGCGGGGGGGCAGAGGCGCCTGGTAGGGCGAGAAGGCGGACTTGAAGTTGGGCGTGGGCGGGGAGGGGCGCGTGTACGTGAGGAAGGCGTGGTGGGCGGGGGCTCGGGCGGCGTGAGAGGGGCTGTTTGAAGGGGGCCTGCTCGGGCGCGCTGCCCCTGTACATGTTGATGCGGTACTGGGGCCTCTCCGGCCGGCGGTTGTACGCGTCGTGAAACTTGCTCTCGTGTCTGCGAGATTTGTAACTGCCGCTGCCGCTGCCACCACCGCTGCCGCCGCCGCTGCCGCCGCCGCCGCTGCCGCCGCCGCCGCTGCTGCCGCTCTCAGCCCGACTGGGCTGGTACGCCGGCGTGGACTGCCGACTGGAGAAATTGGAGTCCTGGGAGAAGGGCGTGCCGGTCTGCCGCGGGGTGTGAGGGGTTCCCTGGGACAGCGGCGTGTCCTGCCTCAGGCTGGAGTAGCCCGTCTCGTGGGACAGGGGCGTCGTGGAGCTGCCGGCGGGCAGCGCTCCTCCGGCGGCGGACGCGCCGCTCTCCGACAGCCTGCGGATCGGCTCGCAAGCCTTCCGTGGGGGGGAGAAAAAAAGGGAGCGAGGTCAAGCAAGCACCTCCAAACACCAAACACACAGGACATTGGAGCTACTGTACAGCAACGCAGTCGTGAAAAATATCTGGAGGAGTTTCGCCAAATGGGCAAAAATTCAATCTTTTTGGGGCTTTTTAAAAGCAACTAGTGGAGAAGCATCAGAGCACAACGCCTGAGGGACGGCGGCACGAGGCCGGAGTGCACGTTGACATTTCAGTCCTCGACCGAGGGTCTGGATAACATTTCCTCTGCTCCCCTCTACCACCTGCTGTGCTGATAAAATGGATTACAGATAAGGACGTCAGCTTAGACCGGTCACTTATTTCTACAAAGCAGCGCGACAATTGGGTGATCACCAGGCCGACGCGGTAAAAGCCTGAACCAAACGACATTGATGTCTAATAAACACACCAACAAATTCTATTTATTTATTTTTTGCATATTGTTGGACGCTTTTTTTTACCAGTAGGGCTTCTGCCAGGCTCCGAGGGGACACCTCCCTGGCCTCCTCCCCGCCTACAGGCAGGGTCTGCGGCGTGTAGCAGCCATTCATCAGGAGCTGGAAGTACCTGTGGCGATTCTCACCTGCAGAGGGGTAAACACGCGTTGGTCTGATGACAAGTGTGTGTAAAGAAGGCTTAATGCCAGCAGGCTTTATTAAAACTAATCCGGTAGCTGGACTCCAAATGGAAACATGTGTAGATACGCAAATGCATTTTCCTTTCATGGTGCACACTTTCAAATGATTTACCTCAAGAGCATCAGAAAGTCATTTCATATTATTTGTGGCTGCTTGTAAACTGTGAAATATTGTTAATTTCCCATTTGGTCATTTAGGAAGTTACATGTAATGCACACAGCATATTTTACAGACTACAACCACCCAAACAAGTCTAAAGATCTACCAAAACCTCCACAAAGTGGAACACTTTCACGTGAGTTACGGATATTCATGAACAGAAAATAAACAGTCATGGGAATATGCGCTTGTGCAGCCAGTATAAACGTTACACATTATTTTTGCTTTTATATGAATACAGATGCAAACTTTTGCCAATCAAATAATGAATACCTTTCGATTGTCTTAAAGAGGAATTAATGCAGTCTCCGAATCTCAACTAAGATCCTAACTGGGATAATTAAGATTTCCCCTCATTAAAATGTGACTCTGCAGAGGTGAGAGGAGTCGTGTTTGTTTACAGGTCTGAAATTAGTCACCGTGGGAGTACACAGCACCCTCAGCACCGTGGGAGCAGCCTTACATTCAATAAAATTCAATTAACCCCACGTTACCAGGCAACACATGTACATTTAAACACGCCACCGCTGTCCTCCTAATAATTCAAAACAAGGCGACTTAAACGGGACAGAAGGCTGCCGGCATGCAGAAATGTAGGCTGCACATCCATGCCGGCAGCAATGTAGGCTGCACATCGCTTCCCTCCAAATGACTGAATCTCTTGTTTACCTTTCGGGTCCAGCTCCACGTGGATGAAGTTTCCCATAACAGACGTCTTGTGAAGCGACTGCACCGCCACCTTGGCTGCCTTCACGTTCTCAAAAACCACTTTGGCGATCCCCAGGTGCTTCTTGTTCTTCGGATTGTACAAGATCTCCACTTGCTCGATGTCGCCAAATTTTTTGCACATGTCATTAAGAAAGCCCTCCCGGACGTTGTCGTTGAGGCGGGCGAACGTCACCTCCTTGGGAGGCACGGGGCCGATGTAACACTCGTCGATCTGGAAGAATCGGGACGAGAGGAGTTCACGTCAGAGGAGAGAGAGGAAAGAAAAAAAAAACGTTGCACCACGCGGTGCATTATTCTGACAGCTGTCATCACAGCGGTACCGCGGGGGGGGGGTCGTGGTCGCGTGTACCGCTCGGACCCTGCGCGGTGCACGCGTCGGGGAGCGCAGCGCGTGCTGGATGAGAGAGGGAGGTGTGTGTGTGTGTGTGTGTGTGTGTGTGTGTGTGCGTGCGCGCAACTTTGGACACTTTTCCTCGAGGGAGAAGATCGGGAATCATACTGTCAGAGTAGGTACCTTAAACGTCGGCACCGGTAGGTCCACGTCTTTGTACTTGGACCAGAGAGGACCGATCCTCGGGTCTCGGACCATGTCCACCGGAGAGATCCCGGGGTTCTGCAGTAGGAGGAGGAGGAGGGAACGACATGCTTGTTATCCACACTTGCGCAACTTCGCACGTTGAGGACTTGTTGCGGAGTTTAGCACACCAAAAAAAAATGTAGATAAAAAAAAGCAAGCCCACCCCCCTCTCCCCCCCTTCCTCCCCGACAACACGGCCGTAACCTGTCATGGAGGTCGGCTCCCCGGTTACTATTGTTGCACCGCGCTCACCGGCATGCTGAAAGTGTGCCCGTCGTAGCGGTAGAGTTTGTGGGAGCCCTTCTTCAGCGCCGGGTCGATGATCAACTTGTAACTTCTCCAGTGGTGACTCCGCTTCTCCGCCGAGCCGCACGCGGGGTGGCCGTCCATGCCGTTCGCCAGACCTGGGGGGGGGGGGACCAAACAAAAAACACACACACACACCACCGGGAGAGAGAAGGGGAGGGGGGGAGAAAGGGGGCAATCGTTAGGCGAGGAGCTAAACCCGGTCCCGTTAGCGGCGGCGCCCCCCCCCCTCCTCTCGCTCTCTCTCCCTCCCTCCAAGCCTCTCAACCCACCGACACTTTAAAACACAGCCAACCGCTACTGAGGCAGGACTTTGGCGGCGGCGGGGTGACCCAAAGTGAGAGCTAATAACGGGATCTAGCGTATATCCCAGTTACGGAAAGCGGGCATTAGGAGGGCTGGAGAAAGAGGGGAGAGAGCGAGAGAGAGAGAGAGAAAAAAGAACCAGCTTACTTGAACTCTGCTTTCTGCCATGGTCTTCGTTCAACCTGTTTTTCTCCCCCGGCTTGGACATGGTTCGTCCGATCGCCCGAGGGATTCTTCTTTAATTGACGAAAAAGACTAGATCGCTTTCCCCCGTCGCCGCTTACATTCACATGATTTAGCTGGAAGAATACTGCCTCCTTTTCGGCGAGAGCCAACACATATTGTGTGCCTCTGGTCTGTAGCTTCTGTCTCTTCCACAATACACCGCTAGGCTTGCCCACCTCCGACGCTGGCCGCACTTTCGCTATAAACTCGTTTTCTATTTCCGCTGCTTTTTTGACCAGACTATCGCCTCGAATGCATCTGTAACGTTCTAAGCGACTCGGGGAATAATGTTCGTGTGTACACGCGTGATTATTACAGAACCGTTAAAGGCTTGTTGTAGATAAATAGCTAAAGGATTTTGTGTGGAATCTGTCGGTTGGATTTACCCAAATGGCAAACACAAGACACAGAGGTAATATCTTCTTAACTGCCCCCAAAGACTAATAAAAACGCTTCGCTAGATTGTTTCTGTACAGACCTGTATTTGTTCAAAAATTAATACAGGTTTTTTTTTTTAACAAAACATTCAAATGATTACGCCGCTGCTCTGGAGCTAGTTGCCTGCTAATGTGAAATTACTAACAGATTAATGGATTATAACGCGAAACCCGGTCGCTAAACAGTTGTATTTAAGAGCCGTTGCATCTCGACGGTTTGTTTCTCTATCAGACCAACAACTAGTGCCAAGCCATTGTTTTGCCCCTCGCCTTAAAACCGCTTTCAAGTTTTTTTTAAAAAATTTTATTGATCACACAATCTTAACCCCTGCGCGTTGTTCTCATTCTTAATTTTATTTGCGAATTTTATATTGTCTTCAAAAAAATGTTTTTATTTTTTTTTTGCTGTTTGACATTGCCTGGGTTTTGCAGTGCTCGGGCAATTGGCTGGTTAACAGCAGCGGCTCGGCGGGCCAATCAGAGCGCAGCAGCAGAGGAGCCGTCTGCTATTAGAAGCACGGCGCACGAGTCCTTCAACAGAGAGCAGAGAGAGGGGGCCGAGCGCTCCCGGCAGCCATTTTCCTGAAACAGGACTCAATGGCCTATATGGGTTTCCTTTGTTCCAAAAAGGGATCTTTACACTTGATTTCCTCGTCTCTCACGGACTATGATAAACACTATGATTCCTCCTTTTAAAGGATTGAGAAGAAGGAAGAGAATGTACTGGATGTAATACCCTGTGACATCTTGAGCCTTTTTTCCTCTGCCTGGAAACCATCTTTGTCTTAACTAGGTCATGGCACACCCATATAATAGTCGTTGTGTTTCTTAAGTGAAAAGAAACAAATGTTTGAATAAACAGTTGTATGGTCTAGTAGATGTTAAAACTAGGGGGGACAATCATCTGTTAAAGTAATGTCTGATTGTTGGCATTGCACATATGGCCTTGTAGGATATGAGTAACAATGAGTAAGTTCATCTCTTTTATAATCCATTGTATATTTGTTGCTTATTTAAAATGTAAAATGTGAGGCATGCAGCTACTTTTATTAAAAATGTTTTGTTCTGTTAATTTATCTATTGAGCTATCATCTATTTGATCACAGAAATGTTGGCATTTGTAGTAGACGACTTTATTTAATATGTTCAGTGGCATGCAGACCTGTAAATATACATCGAGCAGTCCAGGTTATATGCCACTGCTCCTCGAAATGACAAAGCAGGCCATGGATAATTAATGGCCTTTTGCAAAATAGTTGATTGTGCTGCCTGGACTTTCGGCTGCTGATTGATAACACAATTGCTTTGATTAATGGCTTTAAACACAGCAATGCTTAACACCGTGGTGGCTTTGTGTGTTGTAGATCACTCCTCCTACAACCGTGGGGACAATATAAAGAGCAATTACATTTGTGCTTTCCATTTGCCATAAAATAACCGAATGCATCCACAGTGTAATGGTCAGCCTGACCTTGTTACAAGGGCTTATTTAGATGTCTTAAAACGCCCAGTAAGGTAGCCTTTCACATTGTGCAACGGTCATTAAAAATAGACTGTCAAACCTAAGAGGACACAAAAGGGAAAACTTTTATGGTGAAAATATTTACCTCGGCACTTTGGTGAAATGCAGTTAACAGGCCTAAACGCAGGGGCAGGAGGAATGTTTTCAGCTCCATCTTCGGATCCTCTAACAGTGGCATTAACAAGGAGTGGCAGAGCATCTCCTGGAAAGGAAGGAATCCATTAGCACAAAAAGATAGGAGAGCTCTTTTTTGAGAACTTTTCTGATGAGTGGGAATTGCCTGCGAGCCGGCGAATATGCATCTTCAGGCATCATGTCTGTGTGGGCAATATGCAAACCATCCCCTCTCTCTCTCTCTCTCTCCTTGAAGACAGCATTGCAGTGAAGTAGGCAATAACTTCTTTAATTTCGGCATTTCTAACTGAGCTACAGCACATAAAACCAAGGAAATGTTGTTTTGAAAAGGTAATGGATTTTGAGCTATTTCACTTCATTTGCCAGTTTATGTCTAAATGTGAGTTTTAAGTGTTAACGTTACATTACTGACCAGACAACACGAACAATACATAATTCTGCTTACAACGTAATCAGCAAAACTGTATTGGCTTTTGTCATACGTATCCAACGTTATAACTCGCATTTTTGTTTTGATATTGTAAACTTACAGTCTGCATTCAAAAAACATGTAATCCAAGTGTTAAAACGAGGAAAAGGAGTCTCATGGGGAGAAATCTTGTAAATTTCACTGCTTCCCTTTATCCAAGAGACCCTTTTGGTGACTAGCAGTCTACCCTTTTGCTTTGCTTTCTCTGCAGTTCTCTTGTCTCAAAATGGCTTCTATACAGACAAAGGGCAGCGCCGTGCGGTAAAATGTTGCTGCGCCATAACTGGGAGAGGCTCGCTTTACTCGGTGACACGACAGCAAAGTCTTTTACGCCGATCGATTCGCTCGAATCGGTGTGTTTTAACAAGGAGCAAAAGATAAAGGAAACAAAAAAAAAAGAACAGAAAAAAAAGGAAGACACACAGTCGACATTTCGTTAATAAGGGAAGGAAACGTTAACAGTCGGTTGTCGGTTGCTGGGCTGACTCGCCCTGGCAACGGCAGTAATCCGAGAGCTCTCTGGACGGTTGCCATGAGAGCGCGAACCCCCCCCCCACACACACACACACACATCGCCATATAAGGTCATCGGGAAGTCCTCTGCAGCAGCCCCGCTGCTCTGCATGTGGGGGAAAGAGTCACGCGCCGTTCTTTGGCTCGAGGAAAAACGTCAAGTCGGACCAGTTTTTTTTCCCCGAAGTACTACAGATCAGAAAATACAAACTCAAAAGCTGCGGTTCAGTCTTTTGTTCGGTTTTAAGGTGGGACACAACATGTCGCCCGTCAGGCACTCCTTTTTGTGTGTGCGTGTGTAGCCTGGCGCGCGGTCGCAGGCCTGTTTTTCTTGTTATCCACCGCGAGATCAGGCTGCCAAGTGCGCGCATTCCTCCATTTGCAGGTCACGAGGCTGCAGACCGCATTATCCTCTCCCTCCATTCCCTCCCTTCCCCTCCCCCTACCGGCCCAGTGAAATGGGAGAGAAACCGAGGACACGGTTTTCATGTAGGTAACAAAAGAGCAACATTTTGCGTTAGAATCCGCCAATGAGGTTATTTATAGGCCTTTGATCTAAAAAAGAAGGGGAAATAAACCCTCCTCTTTCGCCATTGAGCTTTGCGCGCCGCTGACAGACTGGAATATTCCACGCAGAGGATCGGCCTCTCTTCCACGGGACAGCTGTCTCTCTGCACGACGACAAATAACAAACGTTCTTTCTTTATTAATTGATGAAAGAGGGGTCGTATACGTGTGGATATTTTGTAGCTTACATTTTTTATATACATTTTTTTTTAAATATGCAACGATATTTATTTGTATGGCAACCAGTTTCACCGTGTAAGTCAAACAAGCACTTTTTGTACAGCAATGCGGGCATTTTTCCCAGCTTGTACTACAATGTACTGCTTTGTAGAACCTATTGGAGCACATGAGTACGCTTTTATGGCTTTTTCTATGGAGTCAGCATAGCAGGCAGTCAGGCAAACAGCTTGGCTGCCTGCTGCTTTTTTTTCAGCCATTTATTTTGACGGATTGTTCGCTGAATCAAATCAGGTATCCTCTGTGCTTTTGTGGTTTATATATTTTTTATTCATGGTTGCACTTGTTTATTCAATATTTTGCCACTGGTGGTAGGCTCATGTATTATTCTATTTGAAATATTGTCTTTCATTGTCTCTAGGTCTTACACATTTGCATATCTGGTATCATTAGTGTACTTTTCCACAGTAAGCCTTGTGATGTAGTCACTTATTTGGCAATATTATTACCTGTCTGTGTTCCTGAAATGTTGAAATAAATAGATTATACCCTCACTCTTATGTTTTATTGTTTTGGAAATTGAAGCAGGTTGCTTTTGCTTTTCGATGGATTTGAACACACACCTACTCTTTTTTTTTTTTTAATGTTTTTAGGCCCATCTTTAAAACACAATTCTTAGCCGGTCACAATACTGCACAAAATGACACGGTGAACTCACACCATGCTGCATGGTAAAAAGCTGTAGAAGGAATGGTATAGAGGAAACTCCCTTTTACTCATGACCGTAAATCTGTGTGTATTCTGAAAAATTTGTGAAAGATTATTGTTTTTCTTCAAATAGGCAAAGGAAAAGTCAGTGTCAGCTCATCCTCTTAAAGGGACAGCTTGCTCCTATTTTCCAATTTACCCGACACAACTGTAATCCAATTTTTTTTTATGTGCCTTTGTCGCTTAACTCAAGAGTATCACTGCCTTGAGAGAGAACATGTTCCACACCATTTAATGTGAAACACACACGTTTCTTTTATCTCTTTATCTAGACTCGTTTTCTATGAACTAGTTTCTCCTGACAAACGTTACAGATTTCTGAAATTACAACCACCATCAACTCGGGTGAGACTTAAAAATATAATTTTATTGCACATTGTAGTGTAGCAGAGCATTCTCAATCATCCAGATTATTTGATATCCAGGTGAACTGAATGTGTCCAGGCGCCTGTGATCATTACTCCACATCTGGTTCAGCATCACTTTAACGCTAATAAGTTATTCTTCATGCCTCACAGCAGCGCGTCTGCGTCGCACACACACGCCACCTCCCAGTTTATAGCAGCACAAATGTTTTCACCTTATGGTGACATACTGTACCTTTTAGAATGTAGTCCCCAAATCAGTTTTTCCTATTGATGATTTGTTTAGTTTGATGCTGGGTAAAGATGTCCTCATGTCGCACCCTGTGATGAGAGAGAATAGTTTATCCTGACACGCCAATCTGTGATGTCACTGCTGTCTTCAGCCATACAGATGACTGACACAATGCTTGTAAAAAAACAAAACAAAACTGGGATTTAAAATGAACACGTTAAATAGTAAAAAACAAATAAACATTGTCCAATGTTTTTTTTATTATCTTTTGTTAGATCAAATGCACACTTGGATTCTGCACACAGGCAGGGTAAATAATCTTATTTATATTCCTCATTTTGGTTCCTCATGAATAAAAGCGAGTAATTGAGGTCAATCGTCATCCGACTGATATTTAATGGATTGCCATTAAAGGAATATTCCATATTGGTGCAAACATCCATTTATGGTAAAGGGGGAAAAAAAGGCGGCTAACCCCAAAATAAGCACACAGCCGCATTCACCGTCACCACAGGTCAACGCCACACATTCCCAACGTGGCGGATGCAAATCTAGTAATCTGCTGACCCGCTGTCTTGACAGCATTCATGCTGAATATTTTCTGCGTTATCTCGAGCGAACGCACCCTCTGTTGGTGGAGGCAGTGCTTCTTGCTGAGTGCCCACCCAGAAAATGAAAATCGGCACGCACGCTGGATGGGGGGGGGGGGTGGGGGTGGACCAGCCGGACGCTGGCTCTTCCTACCCAGAGATGACTGCAGTGAGCAGACGGATGACAGGGTAAACTGTGGGCGGGCGGGCTATTGGAAACATCTTCACTGTGACAGGAACAGGAAGTGGTGAGCAGAGCGAGCTACCGGGTAAATCATGCTCCTCTTCTGTTCCTCTCTCGACACCGCCTCTACATCATCTCAGGCTTTCCAAATACGTGCTCGTCCGGCTCTGCTATGAGTTTAACTTGAGAGAATCCTAAGAGAAGATAACCTTCAGCCCCCCACCCCCCTACCTGGTCCAGTCTGGCACCCGCCTGATTGATTGGAGGTGAAATGTCACAAAGCTGTGCTGGGACAGGGACTGCTAACGGTACCACCAAAAGGGCAGACGAACTTAAAATTGTGGTAGTGGGAGATGGAGGCTGTGGGAAGACATCTCTTCTGTTGGTTTATGCTAAAGGAGATTTTCCTGAGGTAAGAAAGGCTTCTACGTTATGTGATTTTCAGTATTCATTTAAGACATTCATTCTGTCTTAAGGCTAAATCTATTTTTATTCTACAATTTATTTTTGTAAAAATAAATGAGTGGGCCTCGTGTCCTGATGTACCGGGGATCACAGATAAAATGGCAGCAACATGTGGAAGAATATAAAATACACAGTACAGTTGTTTCATAACGTGGACGTCTTGCCTTTTTTGCATCAAACACAGAAATATGCACCGTCAGTGTTTGAAAAATATACCACCACTATCTCTCTCGGAGGAAAAGAGATAAAGCTCAACTTGTATGACACAGCTGGTAAGAAAAAAAAATCCCCTCAATGTAGAAGATGATGGATATTTATTGCTTTGACTGTTTTTACATTTCACATAAATTGTAGAGACCCCTCGTTAGAGAACAGTATAAAAATATTCCTGCATACTGACTCAAACCGCCGTTTCTCGTTTTTAAGAAATTTAAGTTCAGACATCCTCCATCTTGATGTTTAGAAACTGACGGACACGAGGACGTGGTAAAGGTCCGTGTTTACGTCAGAGCATCATCAACACCACCGGCTAACTATTAATATCCAGTTAAAGAATCAACTTTGGGGGCAAAAGTAAATGTGAGAGAAAGTTTGTTTTTACCTCCAAAATAACACTGAAACCCACGTTAAGTAAAATCCTCTTGTTCCTCCATGTTGGATTTCTATAAAAAATGTAAATGTCTACCAAATGTAAACCAAAAGAGATTCAGTTTGCTATTAACTGTACCCATACAATCTCTATTTGGTTACTACAGAACATAACTTAATGTAAAAGAGTGTAATTTGCTAGTTAACACATTTATGGGTCTCAGTTCTGATATCAGCAGATTTTAATTCCGATATATCTTGTATATATTTCTTGTTGAGTTAGATTTTATAACCAACCACACGCTTTTAAAAGAAATTTAGTATATATTTGATTTTGCATCAAACTGTGCCATTTTGTACAAGTCTTACCTAATTACCTAACCCAGTACCTAATTTGACGTATTTATTTTAACAATGCCCACCTTTGTTTCAAACTGCTGTATTTCTGCGGGTTCCCATCTGAACGGAGCAAGTTTTAAAGCCGTTTAATCTTCAGGACAACCCTTGACAAAGTGCAGCAGAGGGCCTTACATCTGAGTGAAAAGGAAGCAGAATCCAGGATGTGGTTTCACACATCTGCCCTAACTTCATACGCTACGTCATATCTTCTGCTTCAAGCTGTTGCATCCAAAGCGGACCTCTTCTTGTTGAACTCTCATTTACGATCGCGTGCACACTTTTACACGTCGGGCCAACATCAACATATGTACGATATCGTTCTCCTCCTCCTTTCTTTTCAGGACAGGAAGACTACGACCGACTGCGGCCGCTTTCGTACCAAGAAGCCGATCTGATCTTAGTTTGCTTTGATGTCACCAACCCCACCAGCTACGAGAACGTCCTGATTAAGGTGATCCTTTGCACTGTGCATAATCATCGTGCCGAGATACAGGTTGCCTCTTCAGGTTGTGCGCGTTAATGATTGTTAGTCTGGCATGTTGATTCTGGCTGCATTCTTTTGGATATGATTAACTCGTGCGGCTGAGCCTGCATGTGGACGTTGACCCCCATCCCTCCGCGCACGCCGGTACAACTCTAAAATCTAACGTTGGAAAGACGCCACAACCCGTGTAACCTCAGTGTTTCGCATTCCCAGTGGCACCCAGAGGTGAAGCACTTCTGTCGGGACACGCCGGTCATCCTGATTGGCTGCAAGACCGACCTCAGGCAGGAGGAGGAGTGCTGCAGGAAGCTCAAGGCCACGGACCAGGCTCCCATCACTTACTCACAGGTGAGGTACGAAGGAGAGTTCAGACACTTTGCGACCTGTAAAAAAAAAAAAAAACGGGGCGTGAGGTCACAGGATGTTAACTGCGATGTGCAAGAGGAAGCACGGTAACCACGACCCACAGACACACCCAGGTACTGCAGCTTCCAAGTAGTGAGACGTCTCTTCCAGAAGTACATTGGTCCAGCTGACAAAGACAAAGACTGATCGGTGGTGTTGGCGTTTCTGCAGGGTGAAGAGATCCGGCAGCAGATGAATGCAGAGCTCTACCTCGAGTGTTCTGCAAAGCATCAGGAGAACGTGGAAGACATTTTCAGGGAGGCGACCAAAAGGACTTTGGCCTTCAATCGAAAACAAAAGAACTGTAAGAGGAAGAAGAAATGTGTAGTTTTGTGAAGATGAACTGATTATTGTGGACTCTCTACTGCAAGAAGCAGCAGGTTGGTATGAAACTCAAACGGCCTTCCGTCAACATTAACCATTTCATATTTTTGTATAAATATATATATATATATTTTTGATGGAAAGTTTTATAGTTCCTACACCAGTTTCTTTCTTAATTACATCAGTTAGTTATTGTCTATTCCCAGGACATCGATTCAAATGTTTGAATCTGGTTTACAGCAAATAAATAACAGATTCACGGACAGATTAGTTCACGTTACTGTGGCTTTAACAGTCTTGAGAAAGAAAACATTGAACAAAATCCATTAGTGTGTTTATTTCCAGTGAATGCAAACACTGAACTAGAATCAGTGGCAGGGCGCTTTTCTTTAGCAGCGGCGCCCCCTGCTGTCAGGAAACCGGAACGTGTGCAATAGCTGAACGCAGCGAAATGAATTGTAAAACGAATACAATTTAGGTATTTATTAGGTTTTGGAAAAGAAGCACGAAGGTGGAAAAACAATTTAATTCGGTGTTTATTATTAATATATATATTTTACAACAATGTACAGAGAAATCGTCCCCTGTCTCTCGTTACTGATCACACTCAGGCACCAGTTACAGTCTAGAAATGAATGACGACAACATGGTTCATCAGCTACATCATACAAATGAGGAAATCAAGTTGTTTTGTGCATTCTGGCAGCTTTTGCATCAAATGTAACATTTTGGTCTGTACCTCAACATGTTTCAATTTTCCCATTAAAAGTGACTTAAAATATTGTGATCCTCTTCAACATGATTACTTTGTAGAAAAAGAGAGATGCTACGATCTCGGGATTTTTCAAAATACTTTTTTTTTTTTTTTTTTTTGCTGGAGTAAGGCAGTAGAGATCCGACACTAGTGAAAAGCAAAAAAATAAAACTTCAAACGAGCATGAGACAGGAACCAGATGCCACTTCCGCCAAAAGCATGTTCAATCATCATTCTGCATATTGGTCTCACAGTAACGAATAGCAGCATTTGATCACATTACAAAATGTACCAGCATGTTTTATGGCTTTGTGATGAAATGTGTAACAGAGTTGGACCATTAGTGAAACGGATAAACCTAGACGCTACAATTAGTAACGCCATTAGCATTCATTTAAGTGGAACATAGTAGTGTATTGTCGAGATGATGCGACTCATGAGAACACAGTTCAGGCGTTATATTGTAAATCAATAAATACAGTTATGGCTTTTGCAAACGCTGCCAGAAACAGTAACACATTCCCTTAAAGTCCTTGTTCTCTTGAGGAACTGGGAAGACTACGAAAAAAAAAAAAATCTTTACTGAAAGTGAGAGGCAGTCAAGTATCAGGTTCATGTTTGTTTTAAGTTGTCAACCTGTAAGTCAAGTAAACTAAAAACCTGTTAGCAGTGTAATAGCACAAGAGGGAATCCATAACTACACATAAAACATTAAATTATTCTAGAAGTAAAGAGATGTTGATTTCTGTCCAAAGCCAGAGAGCGTTTGACTGGTGCCACTTTACAGAGGCACCAAGCACACGACAGACGTCGGATCTTCAAACAACAACAACAACAACAAAAGAAAAGGCAAAACTATATTCTGCTCCGTTGATCGTGCACCACCTGCCCTCTTTTACTTGCATATGATTTGAACAGAAAGACCCTCTTCACAGATTCATGCACGGACACACAAACACACACACACCCAGCACAAAAAAAAGACAAACATCCAACCTGCTCGCTTTGTATCTACGGGACAAAAAGCGACGGAACTGGTCCACCAGGTGAACACCCCTTTGTGTCGTGACCTAGTGTGCAGTGACATCGATGCAGGCTCGTTAGGTGGGGGGTGGATGGGTGGGGGGGCAGATACTTTGGCCGCTGCTGCCATCAAAGAGAGCGAGAGAGGTTCCGCCTTGGTCTCCTCCTGGTTTGATCCTACAAGCTATCGCGTGCACGGTGCTTCAAAATTTACTGGCCGTTTAGAAAGACTTTTAAAATCTTTCCCCCCCCCTCAGTCATTTTTCTGCAGTTTTTCCTGGTTTTTCTGAAACTTTTGGTGGACGACTTTTAAAGTGGTGAGAGAATTCCCAAGGAACAGGACGAGAAATGTCAGCGCCAGCATGAATACCTGGAATAAAAAGGATATTAAAAAGAAAAATCAGAAACTACAACGCTGAATATGGCCTTATATGTGTGAACCCAGCTTAGAAATACAAAGGCAAAATATACAGTCATCAAAAGAAACCTTTTCTTTTAAACCAAACTATTTCATTTGGACACAACTCCTCGACATGTAAGCAGCGTGTCTGCCTTACTTGCCACTCTTTACAGTCCTCGCGTCCTCCCAAGCGAAACAGGGTCACCGAGTTGTACAGCTGCCAAAACTGACGTAAAAAGAGGAGGCGTCATCTTCCAATGACTGCGGAAGCACATTGTTGCTTTGATGCACATTTATTTTTCCCTTTACTTACATGGCCAAAAAAGAGGAACGGCAAGAGAAAGGTGAGGCCTCTCCACATCCAGGACTGAAACCCCTCTGCAGACACAACGTGACACAGTATTCTAAAATATGAATGCTTGCCATGTTTGTAGCCACTCGCCAATCAAGAGTTGGTTTAAAGAGCAACATTGACCCAAGAACTCAAACATCTGCTTGGAAGCACACCGATGTTACAACTTTTTCCCCCTCAGTCTCTGACCTTTACCCCAATTTTCCAGACATGGTGTTGCAGATGGCTCCAGGAGTTCAAAAGGACCAAAAATAGCTCCTAACTCACCCACTGTGAGGTCCAGCTGATTCCTCTCCCCCAAAGTCCGCAGCCTGTACAAGCAGCCGCTCTGGTAGTAATACTGGAGGAACTGAACAAAGCCTGGAAGACCAAAAGAAAAAAAGAGGTCAGATTATCGCACAGCCCAAACTGTGTGGGGGAAGGGGGGGAGCACACCAAGAAGGTTCACGTAATCTAAACTCACATCTCAGAGCTGGAGTCGAGAGGAACTGGCATCGGCTCAACTGATGCTTTCAAATAATAAACAAACGGCAGCTTAAAATGTTGAGCTTTGTGCAACTAAATTGGATCATTGTGTCCAAACAAAAAGACAAAGTCACATTGTCTCAGTTCAAGCTGAGGCTGCGCGTTTTTTACTTCTCACTCAAAACCCCGACCACGGAACCGCGTCGCATTACTTACAGCATCACACGCGAGTCTCCATGTGATGTACCACATCACGACTTCAACCCCCACCACGTGTGTGCATCATGACTTCACTTGTGTTATCCCGGTGGACTGTTTTAGCCTTTTGTTAATGAGACGGTCATCAGCGAGCCAGCGGGGACGCATGTACAGCGTAACCTGAGGCACAGCACGGTTCATGCTGAAGGGAAGCCTTGATTCATGTTACAGGACACCAGGATTAATGACGCAATGTGAAATGAGTCTGTTAAAAACAGACTGTTAAATTTGAGGAAAGTTGCGTTTAACTTCCCCTGAATATTTTAGATGTACAGGAACTACGTGTTAAACACATCAGTTCAACGTTTGACTGTACGTGTTGCACCTGCAGGTGATCCTTAATCTGCTCCGTTATGTTCAATTACATTTTAATAAGATATTCTGTGTAGATTTGGGTTCTGACCTCTGGGTTTTTTATTTTTCTAAAGAGAAAGAAAGTTTCAGGGTTATAATTTGATATTAAATTAACAGTTTTATAAATTCTGAAGTAAAAGTTAAACAGCTACTCTAATCTCTAGTTCAGACTAAACAAAAGACTTGACTATAAATTATGATCTGCATGTACACTATTTTCTGACCTGCACATAAAAAGAATGAATGATAAATGATCAGTATTTGTTCAGGTGTGTAAATACAGAGATGCACGTGTAACAGCACACAGCTGGCCTTTGTAACACATGATGTAACCTTGACTGACAGCGCGAGTGTCCCATAGTGTGGCTCCACTTGACCAAAGTCAACTAACCCCATTAGAAATGTTGTGGGACAACAAAAAGGAGTGTTTTATTAAACTGAAAAACAAAAAGGATTCCACCAAACAGACCTCTTAAATAGAGTGAATGAGGCGACGAGTTGCGTGCAGAGTTGGTTAAATTGCAGCTGGAATACATTATGACAGAGAGCCTTCACCCTGTAGCACACACACACACACACACACACATCTCTTACTCTGATAGATGGAGAAGGCGAGGAACTGGCTCCTGAACATCTGGTACATGGGCCCCTCTGGCCTATGGAGGAACACAAGAAACAAACGACGTGTAAACACAGAGAAACTCCAGCCTTCAGGGTCACGTTTGCACTCAAGTTCAAATGAGAAAGCTGAAACGATGACAGACACTCACCAGGTGAGCATCACACCTGACAGAAAGGTGGATACGTAATGATGGGACACCCACCAACCTTTGATCCTAGAGAGCAAAAAGGACAAGGAAGAGACATTGCCGTTTATAAAATTGCTCCCCGTCGCAGAATCCACGAGCCGCTCTTTGCAGTAAAAGGAGGAAAGAGAAGAATGAACCATGAACAGGTGCTCAGACGGATCGACGTCACAACATACCTGGAGCCGTTGCTCATGAGGATGCTTTCCCGTATGGTCAGTGTGCAGTAGTACCACACCAGTAAAAAGTTGAAGATTTCATCAGTGACTCTGGGACGAAATACAGAAAATAAAATAGCCAGAAACTCTAGATTTGAATATGTCAACAACGACTGAGGGGGGGAAAGTTCTCCCACCGGTAGTTGAGAAAGAAGAGGCAGGTGATTGCTCCAAACATCAGGATTATCGTCATGTAAAGCTTGAACTTCTCATACTCGTCTTTGTAGGCAAATCTGTGGGAATAAATTGGAGGTCAGAATGAAGATGGCGGGTTCGCTGATCCAAAGTCGAAGCCATACTTCACACTGCGCTTAAGGCTGAATATTTGACACACTTTGCCTGGTTGCTGAGGAGTGTGACGTTCACGTTGCCGAGGACCAAGTTCAGGTAGAGCCTGAAAAAAGAAAGAGAGAAAAGAAATTATATTCTGTGTCTTTAATGGTGAATGCATTGTCAACCAGCAAAAGTACTGACCCGTTTCTCTTTGGCAAGTATGCTTCCATATCAAAGAACACGCTGGCCTTTTCTTTGATTTGTGATTTGATGTCCGTTATCACTTCCAATTCCTTCTCGTCACATGTTTTTGAACACCTTCAAAGATAAAATCACAATCAGTGGAATTGTTGTTTTTTTATTTTGAGACTTGCACAAAACAGGGTAGTTTTTAAAATGTGTAAATACGCGTATATTCCAAAACAGGCTGAAGAGCCTCAAACAAACGACAGTGTAAAGTGTACCAACGGACGCGTGAATAAACGATGGGCTTTCTGCCCCGATCGGAGAACACTTACTTGCTCAAGCTGTACCTCAAGTCTTTGAGGCGTTTTCTCTGTTTGCTGATGGCGGTGCTGCAAGTGCACTGAAGATTGGTGAGCTCCTCAAGTTTTTGTCTGTAGATCTTGTGAGTTTCCTGGTTATAAAAACAAACCACAAAAAGCCAGCAGAGGAAATACCGATTAAAAAGAAGAAGTGCATTGAACTAGTCATATTCCATGGAAAATAACCAATGGACCATAAACCAACACTGAAGAGCTCAAACAGCGAGTCTCTATTAAGCAAATACACATACAGGTAATAGGTTTTGACCTTTTCATCAGAGGGAAACACAGCCAGTGGCGTTAGATCACGCTGTGCGATGCCTCTTTCAGTGTGTACGCATTAAACGATCGGCGACCAGAACACAGCTTTCCCAAATTCCACCATCAGCAACTGGTTTATGATGCGTTACTGGTTTATGATGCGTTACTAGTAGATGCAATGCTGTGGTTCTGTGCCAAACGGCCAATTAACAAGATCTGTTATTCTAAAAAAGAAGGGTTTACCATAAGACAATCAACAACGTGTTTGATCACCAAGTGCTTTCAAAAATAGTCGGGACTCACGTACAACACATAACGCTACTTTCTGGAAGGAAGCAACAGACAAATATATAACTAGGGTGAAATATTATTCACCATGAATTCGCTTCATTTTTGAGGAACATGCCCGAACAGTTGACAAGTCGTCTTCATCACCTCGCCCTACGGAACAGCTGCACATTTGACGTTTCGAAGTCCGATCAGCAGAGGGGATCTATTCCTCCGATAACATTATCAGAATCCACTTGTATGCCTAACAGCGTGGCGATGGGGATGATGCATTCAGTATTTAGGACTTTATTTGCTGCAGCGAGAGCGTGAAGTTTCCTGCGAAGCATCGGCGTAACTTGGGTAACAATCGGTTAACGTCATCGTGGATCGACGGAACAGAACTACGCGCTGTTGTTAGCTAAGTAGCGTTAGCCGCTCGCTAGCCGCTCGACGTGAAACCTGCTGCTAAACGTTTGCGGCCGTAAAAGTCGATACGGTGATAAGAAAACGGCGAGGAAATAATCCACTCCTTAGACATTTGCACCGACGGCGAAATACCGGGTTTAAAACTGGGCTGAGAATGAATGGCGGATAGGAAATAACCGTCCCAACTAACGCAGTCACACGAGTGTCGGCTGTCAAGAGGGATCCCGAGACCCGCAACGGCAATTTACGATGTGCTCGCTATCCCGTCCTCTGTCACCTGTAATTGTTGATATTCTTCGTCGATTTCCTCCCACTCCGTCAGAAACTTCGGTTTGGACATTTTGGTACAGTCCGAGGAGCGCAGCTTCACAAGATCTCACCCTTTTCCCAGACAGGCTGTCAACTCGTAAGCTTTTTTAAATGTGCCGTAGAGCGCATGCGCGCACCGTAACTGCTCTGCCTCTGATTGGCTTCTGCTTGCGGCTGCTTATTGGTTGGGCCGGTAAAGACGTCAGGATAAGCCAATCAGAGACTGTTTGGGGGTTGACCAGAATGCTTTTCAACAATATTGCAATGTAAAATAAAGTCACTGACAACCTTCGGATATGTAGACAGTCAATATCAACCAATCCAAAGAAAAAAATGTAGTAAAGGTAAGTTGGACCTCCTAGACACAATGAACTCAAATATGAAATTAAAGCAAACAAAGTTAAAGTACACCTTTGTGTTGCTAGGATACAGCGAATGCTTAAACCTCTCTCGGTTTCGGACACCAGCTAGAAACATGTTTTCTTAATTTATTCGATTACAAAATGTCCTGCGTTCACAAGCGGGTTTAATTAAGTAATCTGCCTCTACACATCGGTAAGGTACAAGTGGGCTACTTTGTTTTATGTTAGTGTTAGTCGGTGATAGGTCACACCTTGTAGTACAACGTTAACAACTAGCGTGAAAGTTCGCTTTTTAACTAACGTCAGCTATCAATGCAGCTAAAGGACTTGTTTCACGTTGAACAACGACAACTGTATCCTAAATGTCAGTTAATGTGTATATTCAGAATTTTTGTTTTTTAATGATTTTTTTAAACATGACTTCCGTCTTTATGAATGTAATTAACAGGTATGCTATAACGATTAAAAAAAAACAGGTTTTAATGTGTAACATAGACTAATAGCAGAATAGTATTTTTTGTTTAAACAATTATTAGTAAAACATGTTTATTATGTGCTCACCTTGCTAGCTGAAGGTATAGGATTATCATTATAGGGGAAAAAACACGTTACAGCGTCATGGCAGTCACGTGTTATTTATGTTCCAGGGGTTTCATCCAGCTACTTCGAGTCATGCCCCACATTAAAACATCTCAGACAAATCGGCTTTCGAAAACGTTTTTGGACACAAAGTCACAGAAATGTGGACTGCGGTGCACGGTTTTCTCAGTCGATGGAAATGAATACACAGGAGAGTGGCTGAACAACAAGAAGCATGGTGAGATTTTCATGTGTAAACATGTCTTTTCAAAGCATCAACATGTCATACTTTGGCCACAAAGGAGCTAAAATGTTTACTTTATTATTTTTTTCAAGGGAAGGGAACTCAAGTGTGGAAGAAGTCCGGGGCCATTTATACTGGAGAATGGAAATTCGGGAAACGCGATGGATACGGTACCCTCAGTGTGCTGCTTCCTGAGACAAAGGAGTATGAAAAGAAGTACTGCGGTGGATGGGAAAATGGAAAGAAGCATGTACGTATGCTGCTATACACTCACACTGTAACACATGTACTGTTAGGCCTATTAGCAAATTGTATACTTTTTTCTGTTTTTTGCAATAAATAAAGTTCAATAAAACTAATTTGACCATGTTTTTTTTATCCAACTTTTTGGACTATTTTAATCACTACTGCAGTCTCGAAATGATCATTCCCTTCATTACAAGCATCTTTAGTACTTAGGAGTTCAGAGAAGAGATCATTGCCTTGCACAAACAAGGAAACGGACCAAAAAATAGGTCCCTAGAGATCCAGTTGGAAGCATAGTTCACAAGTTTAAAGTTGAAGGAACAGTGGCTACACTACCTGGATGTGGCAGAACGAGGAAGCTGTCTGGGGCTGAACCTGATTTCTGAGTGGTCAAAAACCTTCGAGTGACATAACACCTGCAGCTAGATTTGGTGGCAGCGGGCACAGAGGTTTCAGTTTGCACAGTGAGGTCGATACTTGACAATAAAGGGTAGCCTGCCCGCAGTAGTCATTAAAATAATTAATTTGGTTTCAAATTTGGATAAAATATTAGTTCAATATGAGGTTCATTGAACTACTCAAACACTTCTTGTGTAATTTGTCTACTGCAAAGAGTTGAGAAATGGTAGATTTCTCCAATAAACCTAATGTGCAATAGGAGTTGAATCATTTGGGTGTTTGATATATTGTGCATAACATTTTTTTAATCTCCTTTAGGGGTTCGGACTGCAATTCTACAAAAACGCTGCTGTTTATGAGGGGGGGTGGATTGAGGGCCAACGAGGTGTCTGGGGGAGGATGTGCTACGAGAGTGGAGATGTCTACGAGGGAGAGTGGCTGATGGATAAGACTCACGGACAGGGCACCATCCGATTCGGTAAGACCAATTTACTTTCTGTATCGTTTAACAAAAAGGTTAGTGAGGCGAACTGGTGGGTTTTGACATGTGGCTTTCCAACTTGTGTCCAAGCAAATGGAAATTGGTATGAAGGCGCGTGGCGGGAGGGCGAGAAGAACGGTAACGGAAAGTTCTACTATTCTGACAAAGGCCAGATTCTGGAGGGCTTTTGGGTGGACGGAGTGGCAAAGTGCGGGACGCTGTCGGATTTTCAGAGGAGCGAAGCCCCGACCCCGACAAAGTATTCCATTCCACAGGTAAATTTTTTAAAATGACGGATACTTCCGCATCGTCTGCAAACGCTCCGTAGCCACTTAGGTGGCTCGGTCAAACAATCATTTCATTTTGTGGATTTCAAATCTGAACTTTTTTTTTTCTTTTTCAAGCTACAACTGATGGATATGGATTTGGTTTTGAGTGAAGCAAAGTCAGCCTACCTCGAGACCCTCAGCAGCAAGTTTCCACTCGCACGTGACAAACTCGCAAAGAAAGAATAAACGAGCAAATGGCACCATATTCAACTTTGTCAAAATATTTACAACGAAATACTTCTTATCTATTGAGATTTCAAATGACTTAAACATTAGTCTTGCAAGGACTGAAGCAACATCAACATTAAGTATTGCATTTTTGTTATGCTGCACTCTCACCATAACCACCTCATCACCCACCCACCCAACGTGTAATTATGAGGGCATATGTGCACGTATTGCGTGAAGCAAAATGGCACTAAACATCCCACTGGCTTCGCTTTGACCTCTGACCTGGTACCTTGTCCACTACACATTGTTGACTCAGACGGAATGTTTTTTTTTCTTCAAACATTTTTTTAATACAACAAACAGTTAAATGCAATTAGACTGCTTAATTGAAAAGCAATCCATGTGAACTCTAAGGCGAAAAAACAACGAGCTAATTCAGCATACGCGAGACAAGTGAAGTGCTCAGGCTTTACAAAAAGAACAAACTCGGCATCAGAGGGATAAACTGTTGGGGATCAAGTTCTCTAATTAACTTAACACTTGTAGTAATACACGTATGACTTAATCGACCTGTTAATAATAGTTGGTTACATGGACGCATCCAAATTATTTAGGTAAAGCTAAAACTTTGGCGCTTGGTATAAAGGTATCTAAAGCTTGTGCTATGTGTGTCAGCAACTATAATATTGCAGTTTTAGCAGTTGTTGAACTATTCTACACAAAGTACGTACAATAAATAATGTACTCCATTAATAAGGAACGAAAGGGTTAAATACTAGTAATAAGGCAATGTGTGAATATTAACAAATGCAGTGTTCACTGACAAATGGGTGAATAAATGAAGCAGGCCACAGACAGGATTTCAAGTTATTACTCAGATGTCTGCCATAATGGTAAAGATAAATCAAGCCACTATCATAACCAAGACTTCATTTAAGACTTTCCAATTTAGAGTCATGCATCACGGCAGATTTGCGAGTTCGGGCAAACATGTTTTCTAAAAAAAAAAAAAAAAAAAAAAAAGATTTCACAAAAGTAAAGTTCACAACACAGAGGTGTGACATCTGCATACCGGTGTAAAAAAACAACACACATTAGGCTCTGGCTTGGCCAACTACCAAGCAGTTCCACCATAGCTGCATGTCCACCTCACTAAGGGAAATGTGAGCTCGGAGACTGCAAAATGGAAGACTCCCCTCTGTTGTCCAGCTCGTTTTGTAGCCTGGTGAGATTAGACAGCTCCTCCAGCTCCTGGAACTGCCTGTCAGTCTTGTGGCTGACCAGAGACCGGTAGAAGTGCACAGCGAAAACTATGAAGATCAAACCGAAGGGCACCATGATCGAGGTGGAAGTGATCGCGGCGGCCACACCGGCGGAAATCGTTGCATTGCTGGACTTTGGCTTGACGGGTAAAAATTTAACCCAGCAGAGCAGAACCACTTCGGCGAGGAAGAGCAAAGTACCGATGACCGTAGAAAAAGCCCACGCCAGCTCAATGTGTCGGTGCATGCGCTCGTGGGGAGACTCCTGCACGCAGTTGAGGTTGTGCACGTTGCTGACGGCCTCGATGTTGGGCAGAATGCAGGTGCTGACCATCAGGGCGAACAGGTGGACGGCCACGAGCACGGTGGTGCACGCGCTGAAGGCGATCAGGAGAGCGGGCGGGTAGGGATAGCTGTTGTCCAGCTGCACCTCCACCATGGCCACCTGCAGGGGAAGTAACACAACGGGGGAAACAACTTCACACACACACGTGACCACGCCATGTAACACAACGAACGGGTCTCTGAAGACAACGTTACCATGGCAAATCCAGAAAGCAGGGCTGACGTCCGGCTGGAAGCCTTGAGTTTAGCCCGACTCAGGTACAGCTTCCGCCAGGACAGCGCCTGCAGCGAGTGCTCGTTCGGGCTCATGTCGAAGGACCGGGGTGTTTTTTACCGGTTGTTTACTTACGCGGAACGACACAAAAACAGGCGCCCGGCATGCCAACAGTTTTACACAGCGTTCAACCGCCGCCAACAGTGTTACACAGCGTTCAACCGCCGCCAAGCTGACGGAACTGCGGAGGATGTTTTTTACTTCCCCCTCCGCCACCACCGGCCAGCGGCATGTCGTGGACTACATTACCCATGAGCCAGCGCGCTCCGTGACGACACATCCGGAGTCAACTGTCGGTTGCGTTTCCTCTGTGATGGGATCGCGAATCAAACGCTTTGGGTTAATGGCGATGTAATTACCACATCCGACGTGTGGTTAAATGTCAAGTGATGGTGTTGTTAATGCGAACGGGGAGACGCGCTGCTACGGCGGTGTTACGCGTAACGTCCAGCACACACAGATAAGAAGTACTACCATTGGAATGAATGAAAGTAGATAAATACGTTTTTGTTTTCTTTTATAAAAGCGTCCGTGTCGCTTTGTTTCATTAGCACGGTAAATTGTTCGATTACCGTGGTTTAAACATAAGGCTTTTTTACAACGTATTTGCTTTTGACCACTAACAGACACGATCGATATGATTTGATAAATGTTTCTTTCGTAAAAATAAAAAAATAAACAGTTGAAGAGCAGTGAACTAAACATGCAGTGACGTTGTCCAACAATGTTATGGTTCCTGGCTGTGACGTAATACACAAAAACATGGTTCCCTTGTTTTGAACCCGAAAAGCGTGCTAAGTGCTCCTTTAACTTGGCCGCGCGCGGAGATGCGTTTCCGAAAGCGAGCGACTGGAAAACACCGATAGGAGACGATGGCCCAGGCCGTGGAAACGTGCGCTGCACCCGGACGCAGGCTGGTGTGTACCGTCTGTACCGAGTTACCGTTAGCTTGTTGCCAGCGAGCTAATTAGTGAGCTAAGCTAACGCTCGCGACTGTAATTACTACTGTCCGCAAGGCTCGTCCGGCCACTTTGAGACGTTCAAGTTTGAGAAATAATAGTGTAATAATAGCTCTCAACAGTTCACACGTTGTAACTTGTTGTATATTTGTAATAGTTCCCTGGACGTATCAGTTCAACCACATAAGTGGAACCCTGCAAACATCTGCCATTTATCGTTGTGTGGTTGACTCATTAACGGCTGTCTTCATTCCAGCATGAATCTCTCTCTTAATATTTAGTGTGCATGACGTCACTTTTAAGAAACGACTGTAGCACGCTGCTATTGTGACGCTGCCTGCAAAACAAAGCGCCTAAACACGACCTTTATACTTTAAAAGTTAGGAATAGAATACACGTTTTTATCTTCCATCATGCTGGCATGTTTATGACGACAGAGGGGCCCGTTATGACAGAAAGAGTTGCATGCGTTATAACGTCAGCTCGATCCTTTCGTTCTCGGTGGCGTGCAGCGCTCCATTTGCCGAAGGTTGTACGACGAAAACGAGGATCTGTCCGACGTTGAAGAAATTACAAACATCCGAGGTTTCAGTGTGGAGGAGAAGCTCGTCAGTGACAGTTACAGCGCCACGTTTGTGCACTTCATGGAGGGTAAAGGTAAAATAACAAATAGGACATTAGGTTTTATTTTACCAGACGCGTGCACAGTAAACATTGGTTTTTCTACACATGTCTGTGATTGCAACGCGTTCCATGTCTTGCAGACTTCTCTTATGAATATGTGCAGAGGGATGCTCTCAGGACCCCACTCATCTTCAAAGAGAAAGAGGGACTCGGGCTCAGGTGAGAACAACATTTCTGTGAAGTGACCTTTCAGGGCTCATTATGTTGATTTCACTCTCTTTAGATCTGTTTTATGTTAATCATTTGAGTGCTGTCAACCCATGTCTTTTTATAGAATGCCCGATCCAGAATTCACAGTCAGTGAAATTAAGGGCTTAGTTGGTAAGTAGGATGCCACACACACACACACAACAAAAGTAATCGCATAAAAAGTCTTATTCACAGTATTTTCAAATTACATATACATACATATATATATATATATATATAAAATAATTATAAATAATAATTATATATATAATTATTATTTCAACGATATGGCTGTTTCTTGTTTACTGTTTTTCCATCTTATGCTGATATTTAAATAGTGATCTTGCATGTTAATCTGTATATACTTATATCAGAACACTTGCAATTCTCTTTCCCATTAGAGTACAGCTGAATTAATTAAATGGGGTTGGAGTGTAGCTGCTCCATCTAGTGGGGAAGATGGTGAAGTGCATCCGTTAGTCGGCCCTTGTTGTTAATCTGTGAAACGTCAACAGTGCATGTTTGCGCTGCATAATTGAAACAATAGCATGCTGGATCAGTCTCTGACGGTACAGATGAGCGGTAACAGTTGAAGTGACGCTTGTCAACTTGCGCGGCCGCTTGCAGGGAGTCGCCGGTCCGTGGATGTTATGGATGTGAGCACTCAGAAAGGCTCTGAAATGAGCATGTCTCAGTTTGCCCGTTATTACGAGACACCGGAGGAAGAGCGGGACAAACTGTTCAACGTCATCAGCTTGGAGTTCAGCCACACTAAACTGGAGAGTCTCATCAAGCGTCCCACAGTGGTAATAAAAGAAATCAAATCTGGTACCGTGATTAACAGAAGTATGACTAACCACGCTGTGAGCCAGGGTGAAAAGTGCAGTTTATGATCACTCTCCCAGGTAGATCAAGTTGACTGGGTGGACAACATGTGGCCTCCTGATCTGAAGCAAAGCCAAACAGAAGCCACCAATGTAATCTCAGACATGAAGTACCCAAAAGTGCAAAGGTATGGCTTGCGCGGCATTCTCCTCTGAGCTGTCTATGAAAGTCTATGAGTGAAATTAATGATAATTGTAGAAATGGAAAAATACATGGGGGGGTGGCTGCTCCCTTGTTCGTAAATGCATAATAACATTTTTCTCCTCCCATCCGAGTGTCTCATATATCGCTCTATCATTGTAGAGTGCTGCATACAGTCGGTGTTATCCATCTCATGTAAGTGCTCTTGATTGTTGCTAGGCAGCCGAGTTCTCCTCAGTGGAGGATGGGTTTTTAACAGCTGTATTCTGACTGCACAGACACCTCTCAGCCAATCGGCTGTCATCGTTTGTCAAAAGAGTCCAAAACCAATCGTGTCTCTCCTTGTAACCCCATTTGCTCATATTTCCTACCATCAGTCGGAGTCCTTTTATATTTAACATGTATATCTTAGATTTGACAGATATCCAGTTACAAAGCTTTTCCATTATTATTACAGCCAGTAACAATATTCTATCCCACTGTTGCTAGCAGTGGTTATTTAGGCTGTGTTTGAGCTGCGACAGTGAGGCTTGCTGGCTTCTGTGCAGAAAGACATCTTTGTGTAGCTGAAAAATGAATTGAAGAGGTTTTTGGGCTCTGACAGAAACAATGGCCATTTTCTTTGCAAATGTCTTACCAAATGATCCGTCTTGAAAAGAAAAAGAGCATTTTATTGTTTTGCTAATGAAAATAATAGCAAGCAGCAACTTGAGGTTACTGCGTGTTTCTTTCTGTCTTATTATATCTCATGGTAGCAATTTAAGATTTCCCAATAAAACTATTTATGGAGTCATATTAAATGAATTAATCATCAGGGTCAAGTGGTGTCGGCCCCCCCACAACCCCCGTCCATTTCCTGCCCTCAAACCTATGAGGCCCCACGTATGAGGGAAAGATGTGCGACCATGTGCCTGATCCTCAGCACGCCTCCAAGAGGAAGCTTTGGAAATGAAGGAAATTGGCAAGCCAAGTGCTGCTGAAGGAGCACAGCTCGCTGGCATAATGTTCCCAAAAGCATCTTAACTGGCTGACGTTGATGTGCGCTGCTGCTCTATAGAACTGCAGCCGTAGGCAGACAGGCTAATTAGATCACCATACGTTTCAAGTATTGACTACATCATCTTTCCGTGGAATTGCTTAATGCTTAATTCACTGAATAGTTTATGTGTCAGGGTGCTAATCATTCTTCAATAGTTTTCCAGAGGGGCGCTGTCTCTTTGTGATTTAATATTTTCGTTCTCTTTTTTATGAATGTTAGTCTCACAATCTACAAGATGATTCTTTTGAATGTTTGTTGTTGTCCCTCCTCTTCTGCTATAGGTACTGTTTGATGAGCGTGAAGGGCTGCTACACAGACTTCCACATCGACTTTGGTGGAACCTCCGTCTGGTATCATGTATTCAAGGGTCAGAAAGTAAGTTCATTCTTGTCTCTCGTCTGTTATTATTCTTAGAAATTAAGAAAACGTGCCGTATGTCTGGTCACGTGTAGTGTTTGAGGGTGTCAGAGCTGGCATTCCTCCTAACCCTGGCATCGACTTCTTCTCCCCAGGTGTTTTGGCTCGTGCCTCCGACCCCCCATAACCTCGCCCTCTACGAGGACTGGGTCCTGTCAGGCAAGCAGAGTGATCTCTTCCTGGGAGACCGAGCCGACGGATGCCAGAGAGTGGGACTTGAGCAGGGATACACGTTCTTCATCCCATCGGGTGTGTTGGCATGGCTGTTTTAAAGTAGCCAGCAGGAAAAGATTAGCTGCCTCCTCAGTGAACAGTAACGCAGGCTTTTCCTAACTATTGTACGGTATTTTCCTCAATTACGGGAATTTGCATGAATCCTTTTCATGCGTTCCGAATCTCTTTTGTGTATGTGTTGTACTTTTTTTTGTAATGAAGGCTGGATTCATGCCGTCTACACTCCAGTGGACACTCTGGTATTTGGAGGCAATATTCTGCACAGCTTCAACATTCCTATGCAGCTTACCATCCATGAGATAGAGAATAGGACCAAGGTAGGCGCCTTGTGGGACTCTCTCGTTGTGCGGCTGAACTGGGTTCTGCAATGCAATACGTTGAGATAAATGATAAATCAATTCCTCAGAGAAGCAGGGCGAGGCAAAGAGTTCCCCTGCTAGAGACAGGAGAATGAGAGATGTGATGGAGAATAAATAAGGGACGATAGTGAAAATGTACATATATATATATATATATATATATATATATATATATATATATGTAAGTAATTATACATTAAAGGTTCATTTTTGTAGAGTATAATTTTTGTTTGGAAAGTTTTAAAACCAATCTTATACTCACAAAGACAATATCACTTCATGTTAGATTCTGAATTTAATTAGTTTTTCTCGAAAATAAAATAATTATCCTTTCGAAGCAATCAGTGTGCTTCACCAAAAGCCATATTCTGAAACTGCTAATGCCATATTAAAAAAAAACCTGTTATAAAATATGACCTCTTTCTTTCTAATATGTTTTAAAGCTGTAAGATTGCAAAAGAATAATCGCTTTACATAGAACTCAGGCCAGCCTGTGTGACGGCAGTTTGTCCCTGACGACGCGTGTTGTCGTGTGAATGAATGAATGAACACTTTTTTCCGCTTTGTCTCCAGGTCCATTCCAAGTTCCGTTTCCCCTTCTACTTTGAGATATGCTGGTATGTCCTGGAGAGATACCTGCACTGCCTCACCAAGCGCTCGTACTTCTCCCAGGAGCTCCACAAAGAGCCGGTGCTGACGGGTGAGTGAACTTGAGCAACGAAGCCGCTCATCACCGTTGGAAATACTGGGTTTGAAAGGTCAAAAATGTCACGCATTCTGTTTCAGTGTGATGGCGGATTATACTACTTCTTCGCTGTTTCCAGATGCATTGTCTTAATACAAAGAAAAAGACATTGTGGAATTGATGTTTGGTACGAAACAACTCTTCTCTCATTTTGTCCCTTCAGACTATGAGACAAAGGGAAACACACAGAGCCCGTCGTCCGACACCAGGAGCCGGGACACGAACGAGGACTCGTGTGATACCCGAGTCAGGGAGGGCCAGGGGGACAAACCAGAGAAGGCTGCCCAGGAGGGCCCCTGCTGTCCTGACAGCCAGAGGAGCCAGCACCTCAAGGCTGTTCTCTCCGTCCACTCCGAGGACAGCTGTAATCCCGGCTCCGCCCCTCTGGAGTCCCCGCAGACGCCCTCGGACTCTTCGGGCTCGGAGGCAACAAATAAATGGATGCATTTGACCGAGTTCGAGCTGAGCGGACTCAGGAAGCTGGTTGAGAAGCTCGAGTTGCTCCCTGAAAACAAAAAATGTGTTCCCGAGGGAATAGAGAACCCCCAAGCTCTGCTGGAAAACATGAAGGTAGGAAACGGAGAAGGATGAGACGGTAACTTTCACAATAAATGCCATCAAATAGACATGGCGGAGGCCTCTTACGCTTTGTTCCTGTCCTCTTGGGGGGGGGGTCTAGGTTGTCTTAAAAGAACACGCTGATGACGACCCCAAGTTAGCAATCACTGGAGTTCCTGTGGTCTACTGGTCAACACAAATGAAGGTAAGAATACTTCGGTGGCACTCTGAGGTTTTGTTATTGTTCAATAGAAACATGGGAGAAGACTGAGCACAAGCACCTGTCACTGGACTCGTTGTGCTTGACAGTTCTGAACTAATTTTATAAAACCATTCATTTCACCAATAAGATCTTCGACTTATGCATGTGTGTGTTGGTCGTCCGTGTGCTGCACCAAACATCTCCTCACATCCTGTCTGACGTGACAAGCTGTGAACACTTTTAGCTCTTTTGAGCTCTGCAGAAGGTCGCGAGAGTGTAAAAGTCATGCTCTCACATTAATTGGATGATTCTAAGCAGGAAAATAACTACCTCCTTCATTCCCCACATAGTATGAAAATGTCAAAATGACTAATGCTGAAATAAGACATTTTAAGTGTTTCTTTTCATTGCTTAGTGAAAAAATACATTTTTAATGGTTTAAAAAAAAATACACTATGGAAATAGTAAAATGAGAATTGATTGAACTGTTTTTATATATATATATATATATATATATATATATATATATATATATATATATATATATATATATATATACGTCCGACAGATGCTTGTAGTGTGTGACCTCAACAGGAGGTGGCTGGCTGGGACGTGTCGTATCTGAACGCATGGAGGTGGTTTTATCGCCCCCACCCGTCCCGCCAGAGGCCAGCTGCCGGTGGAGGGGCCTCTTTTTGTTTGCCTTTTGTAATGAGATGCCATCTGGCTTCATTGGCCGCGTGGAGCCGTCTCTCCTCTCCCGCGATACCCATCGTGCATATTACAGCACCGTCCCTGCGCGTTGTCCCCTCATTGGACTGAGGCAGACACTCCCGCTGCATATTCTGATGCACCGCGGCCTCCCATTGGCCCCCGTGTTTCTAAACCCCTCCTCTAGTCTCCCAGGGAGTGGACTCATGCTAATGAGGCAGGCTTGTGTGTGTTTTCCTACATCTGCTTGTGGTATTGTGGAGCTTTAGAGTAGGAGAGAGGGCTGCAGGCCACAACGGCGGCAGCAGCAGCAGCAGCAGGAGGAGGAGGAGGAGGAGACTGCAGCCATGTCAGTTTGCCGTGAGCTGGACGGTGCGTGAAAACCAGCCATGGCCATGTCGCTGAGCGCAGAGGATGAGGACTACGATTCAGACTCTGAGCAGGTTAGCGCACGGAGCCTGTGCAGGCAGGCGTAGCGAGAGCACCAGAGAGAGCGCCGTGCAGCATCCCGAGGCAGCTTCCTGGAGAGGAATGCATGCGTTCAGTTCACCCTCTGCGCTTGGGCTTTGAATTCTGCACGTTGTTTTTTTTTTTTTGTGTACATGTGTGTGCGTGTTTTTGTCAGGTGGAAACCAGCGGTAGGAGAAGACAGTGTTTGTAGAGCTCAGAGCCTCGGGGCTGCTGTTGGTTGTTTCGAAGCAGAGGATAGAAATAGATGTGAATACAGATTCATCTTTCACGGATTTGTTTTTTTAGTAAGGTTACGTTTTGATTAGAAAGCGGTTATTGTGAGAGGAATGTTTGATGTTGTTCGGTGTAAATGGCTGAAAGATGAGACTTGCTTAGACGGCAAGAAATGTGGAAAGTTAATTTGTATACCTCTAAACTCTGGACCACGCCCCCTCGCATTCATCCTTTGGCTCCATTTAGTTTTAAAAAACATTGACTCCATTTGGCTCTTTTGACAAATAATATTTTTATATAATATTTTCTGTTTTATTGGTTCAAATTCCTGTTCTCAAACCATCCTCAGGGCTTATATTTAATGTGTTTAAGAACATGCATGTTTAGATTTCAGGAAGTGAGCACCCACCTGAACAACTTTTACCTAATTTAATTTGAAATCGTGGTACAGTGGTTTTACTGATCGACATGTTTAGTGATGGTAAGTTGTCCATCCTCAGCTTCTGAGTAACTACCAGAGGTTTTACTGTTCCGCTTTGTGGCCTAAAGACATAACGTGCAGTAGAGAATTTACATATTTTTGTCTTTTTTCTTCAAATACAGCGTCAACCGTAAAATGTATTCCACCTCTTAACCCGAACACAAATGTAAACCTTCCAAGAACTTTTTGCTCTTTGTTTTTGCAAAGTATTTAATGCCACATATGTTCTTAGCTATAGAAAACAGACAATGATGACGTCATAAACAATGGACAGCTTTATAGGCTTCATAAAGCAGCGTTCTTGGAATCTTTGTCATTTTTGATAAAACGTCTTGTTGTTCCTGCAATCTGTACTCGGGATGTCAAGTACAGCCACAGTAGCTGTTTTCCACCTGACCTCCATGGTGGCTTCAGAGGCTCCATGTTGGTTTCCGTGGACATTAAGGTCGGCTTCTCATCATGTTTTCCAGCTGAGTGAGCTTTCAAGAGCCACAGGATTACTGGTTGGTTACTGGCTCTGCCCCTCGCACAGATGGAAGACGTGTGTTTTATGTGTGGTGAAGAGACACTTCAAACTGGGACAGAAGGTAGTTAGAGTGACAGGTAGTTAATTTCTTTGGGAATGGTATCTGCTTTAGAGATCGCCCACATAGTGGACAAATTGATTCAGGGGACAAAAGGGACAGCTCTCTCTGGAGTATCTGCAGCTTAAGTTTCAGATGTAATCAGACGGTACGCGCTGCATTATTTATTATTTTGATTCATTATGATCAGACATTAGCAGACTGGCAGTATCTCCCTAGCTGTTGACAAATGACAGGTTATTAGGTCTCATACCAGTGGTCTTCTGGAGCAGACCTCCTGTCTGTAATCCCCTTGAGTTCCCCCCTCAGAACAGCCCCCCCCCCCCCCCCCAACCCGACCCCATACTATTTTATCCCTCTAGTAACACTCATTGGCCTGGCTACGTCAGTCTATGCCACGGCTATTGTTAAAATAAATTACTGTACATGCCCCGAGATTGAGCTTTCTTTCTTTTTCCGCTGTAGAGTCTCGTTACAGCTCTTATTGGTTCCAAGTCAGAGTGTCATAGACTGTTCTGTTCGGGAATGGGACGTGGCTGTTGCTATGCTGACTCCAGGAGAATCTGCACTGCCGATGTAACTAAAGAAATCCGATCTTCATTTCCAAGAGCTGCAGTCTTTCTCTCTCTGGCTCTCTGTCTCTCCTTGTTTATTTCCTCTCACTCATTACTTCATATTTTCTGGGTGGCTTCGTTTGGTGTCTTAGACATGTGGTTTTTATGTTGGGAATATGTTATTGTGGTTGGACTCTGAGCTTGAGAAGCAGAATATTTAACAATGATGATGAGGATCAAATGCATCTCATCTACATTCTGCAGTTGAATCAAACGCAGGACACTTAATGTGGTCTGTTGTAAATCAGTTGGCGCCCTCCTAACACAGAATAATGGCTCTGTGTGATATTTGGCTGTAAGTGCAGTTTTTCTTTGAAGTAGAAACATGCTAGCTGGACTGGATTGCTAAATTTGGAAGAGGCATTTTTTAATTTGTTTGCTTTTCTCCGTCGCTGTGCTTTAACGGGCGTGAATCAAAGAAAAAAAAGAAAAAAACATCCTCATATCTGTCGTTTGATGTAGACATGCGAAGTCAATTTAATTGAGCAGCTACTTTTATTTTAATCCGACATTTTGGTTTAAAAAAGAAATCACTGAATTTGTTAAATTGAAAGGATTTTGTTTACCATTTCGTGCTCAGTGACATAATGGTTCTAATGCGTCTGTTTTGGGAAAGATAATGATGATGCTTACTGCCTTCGACACGTTGCAAGTATTGTGTGAATGCCATTTGCCATGTTTGACTACTTGACTGTGATGAAATGGCATACATTGTCGCATCATATTCTTAAAATAACAGATATATCTTTATATCAATAAAATAATTAATCTGCCCTTTTTGATACCAGTTACTGCTGCCTTTTTAATTTGAGGAACCTGACACTGTATCGTCTTTATCCTTTTAGCCGCGGCCTCCAAACCGGCCTAAACCTAAGATGGCAGCTTCTCCTGCATCAGCAGTCAAGCTGTCGGCCGGCCGGGGAACATCTGGTGCCAGGAGGAGAAGGACGCGCTGCCGGAAGTGTGAAGCGTGCCTGCGGACGGAGTGCGGAGAGTGCCACTTTTGCAAAGACATGAAGAAGTTTGGTGGGCCGGGCCGCATGAAGCAGTCCTGCATCATGAGGCAGTGCATCGCAGTAAGTTCCCTCTTCATCATTTCCTCAGCTAAAGCTTAGCTTAGCACAAAGACTGGAAACAAAAGGGGAGCGGCTCGCCTGGCCTCTCTCAAAAAAAGATTAAACAGCACATTTAGCTTTGCTTTCTTTTTGAATACTTGTTCCTGGGTGTGTCCACGTGGTTGTGAGGTCGTCGCTCGGCTGCTCAACATTGTCGCAGCACTGTTTGATTGCTCGGGTGTTTCAGGTGGTTGCTAGTAGCAACGCATGTAATATAAATAACTGTTTGCAGCAGTAGAATCAAACAGCAGCTGTAGCAGTAGTGAGACAAGACCGAGAGAGAGAGAGAGAGAGAGAGAGAGAGAGAGACTTTGTTGTTTCAGCACCATGGACAGTGACACGGTTCATTGTTTCTGCAACATATACGGACCATAAACATTCTGTGGAGTGAGAGAGACTTGGCATCCGTACCAACATCAGACACCTGCGGTCTTAAGCTAAAAGTGTCCCACTTTTAAGATATGCCGATATGCTTAAGCCTCTCTGGATGCACACTTAGTACTGCTTCGGAGCAGCACTACACAACGTGCATTAGTTCATCCCGGTGCTGTGTGGAACATTTCCGCACCTGTTCATGGTGATGCAACTTGCTTGTTTACTCCTCATAAACTGGTTCAAAATACTGTTTAATCCACAGTTAAACATGTACAGAAAACATTGCCGATAGCTGGCTCGCCTGCGTGCAGCTTGAAATTGAGCCTTAAATGAATTGGAGCATTGTAAGTGACAGAATTGTGAGAAAGTTAAATATTCTGTTAAAGCTATTATGGCCGAGCGCAATTGTTCCTTTGGAGGATGTCAGTTTGATACAGCAGCCTCATCTTCAAGCCTCTGTTTTTGTCTGCAGCCCGTCCTGCCGCACACAGCGGTGTGTCTCGTCTGTGGAGAGGCAGGGAAAGAGGACACAGTGGAGGATGAGGAGGAGAAGTTTAACCTTATGCTCATGGAGTGCTCCATCTGCAATGAGATTGTTCATCCTAACTGTCTAAAGGTAAATCGGCCAACATCAGTGCGCACGGACTGCGGTCAGAATCCGTTGCCGGTGGTGCTGGTATCGATGTTATTGCAGCCAAAAGAACTCCTTAAATTCTTCACAGAAAACGTTGCAGCCGGGACTTCAAGTTCAAATTAATGCTTCATGAACCCAAACTACGTCAACTAGTTGTTGGTAAAACAGTAGCGAGGGTTTATTAATGATTGCCTAATTGTTGCATTTTTGTTGTAATAAGTATTGAAGTATAAGTATGCCTGAAGGTCCAGCACAAAGGCTCCTGTAGACCTGAACCCGTATGTGTCCTCCTCTGGTTTAGGTGAAAGACTCAAACGGAGTAGTCAATGATGAATTGCCAAACTGCTGGGAGTGCCCAAAGTGTAATCATGCTGGGAAAACAGGAAAAGTAAGTATCCGTGTGGACTTAAAGTGATCAAAAGATGATTCAGTGAAGGTTAAGCCTGTCTGGGAAACTCTGCGCCAGAGAAATACAGTTGTGCTCTCTGTTTTCTAACCTTTTGGCCTCAAAGCAAAAAAGGGGGCCAGGATTTAAGTATGCCTCAAACCTTCCCGGTTCGCTGCTGAAAGAACCGCGGCTAAACCGGGACTCAAAGGAGGATCCCGACCCGCCGTTGTTGGCCACAGCAACCGTCAACGCTTTGACCGCCGCGTCTGCCGTGAAGAGAAAAGCGGAGCGGGAGGAAATCCCTAAGGCGAGAGAGGAAGAACCGGCAAAGAAACGTCCTCCGCTGCTGTCCCTGGACGCTGTGCTCCGACCGAGGCCAGAGGAAAACCCACTACGGAAAAAGAGGAAGCTTTTCGACACCCATGATGAACCTGTAATGGTGAAAAAGAAGGTGAGAGGTGTTGTAAACGTTTACACTGAATAAAGTGGTCACAATCATATTTATTTCCTCTTGTAGCTTTGCATTTAATTCTTCAATTCCTTGGTAGCTAAATTTGCATAAGGATATGTATATATTTTTTACCAAACTTTTTAAGACACCTTCATGCCGTGTGTAATTTGCAGAAAAACAACAACATTGTCACAAAGCTGCAGTTTATTGTGAATGTTATAAATTAGGACATGAAGAAGTCCTGACTATGTATGATGTAAAACAGTGCCAAAGAGGATTAGAGGACTAGTTTTCTATTTTTGGTAGGTGTATTTGTTAATTAAATTGCAATGTCAGCCTTTTTATGAATTAATTTGTTGCTTGATTCTTACAGGGAACTCAAATATGCAAAGTCTTTAAATTCCCAGTGATAAACCGACAACTGCTATTTATAAAACAATGATGTGTCTTCTATTCTTTCTTAGAAGAAGCTTTTAAAACCTGACGATCCTTTGACTCTCAAGCTGTTGCGTCAAATCAAGACGGAAAACGATCAGGGCGATGAAGAAGATGACCTGGAGGATCACAAAGAAGATGGATTCCCTTTGGGCAGGGTTTATTTAAAGGGTAAAGATGAATATGACGAAGAGGACCAAGCACAGGACAACGAGGGACGGGGAGAGAAGACAGTGAAAAAAGAGAGAGACAGCAGCGGTGCAGAGGACAAAGCCACGGTCCTGTTAAGTCCACTGCTAAGAACATCTGCAGCCAGAGACGGCGAACAGTCCTCCAGCTCTCCCACAGCGGCACCGAGCAGCGACTCGGGAGACGCAGAGGAGAGGAGCTCCAAGCTGAAGGCTCGCCATCAGCGGCGACGTCTCCCCAGCAGAGAGCTGAGCAAGGAGTTCAACCGAGAGATCCCCAAGACGGAAGAGTGCCTCCCCGACCAAAACCACGGCTCGGTGAAGGCCGAGGAGGGCTCAGCCAATCACAATCGACGACCACTGAAGAACGAGGACCCCGTGACCAATCAGGACCGTAAGCCATTGAAAACGGAGGAGTCGCCCGCCGATCAGAGCCGCAGGGCCCTTAAAACGGAGGAGGGCTCGGGCAACCACAACAGACGCCCGCTGAAAACGGAGGACGGCGCGGCCAATCAGAACCACAGGCCCGTGAAAACCGAGCCCGAGGGCGAGGTGGAGGACCAGAAGCCCCGATGGCCTCTCAGCAGCAACGGCAGCGGCGCCCTGGGCGACTGGCTGCGACCCCGCGAGAGGGAGGCCGACGAGGCGCCGCGCGGCTTCTCGCCGCCGGGCTGGAACCGAAGCGCGCCAATCGCGCCCGCCGCGTGGCCCCGTCCGCTCCCCTGCCGGTCGCCGCCGAAATGCGTCCAGATGGAGCGCCACGTGATCCGGCCCCCGCCCATCAGCCCCCCGCCCGATCGGCTCCCGCTGGCCGACGGCGAGGCGCACGCCATGCGAAGGGAGATGTGGATGACGGTGTTCGGCCACCTGGCTCACAGGGACCTCTGCGTGTGCATGCGCGTCTGCAGGACCTGGAACAGATGGTGAGTACGGCATGACGCCCCCCCCTGTCCCTTCCCACCTCCCCCCCCATAACGTCCGTCTTTGGTTAAGAACGCTGCTGCGTGTCGTCACCAGGTGCTGCGACAAGAGGCTGTGGAAGCGCGTCAATCTGAACCGCTGCAAGTCCATAACGCCCCTCATGCTGAGCGGCATCATCCGGAGGCAGCCGGTGGCTCTGGACCTCAGCTGGACCAACATCTCCAAGAAGCAGCTCGGCTGGCTCGTCAACAGGCTGCCAGGTAAAAGGCGCCCGACCAGCAGGGCGCCACATTCACACCAACCAGAGCGGCCTGTTGCCGTGCGGCTCGCCTCCTACATTATTACATAAGTGCGGTCGAGGGGATGAGCCGTTTTGTTTCATTAAAGTATTCGGTAAAAGAAAATAAGTTTAACTTGACCTACATTACTGACTCACATTCCGATGGTATCTGTTGGAACCATCTGACTCCCTCCTCGGCCCTTTTAACTCAACCAAGACTGCAAAAAATATTATATTACGGGTAGTAAAATAACCATTTCAAGTGATGAAAAACGTTTTTTAATAAGTTTTCTACAGTTGGAATTGTCATATCTCCCCACATGGATCCTCTATGTGGATAATTGTGTCCCGAGGTTCCATGGATTCAGAGCGACTACTTTGTTGCTTCTGAATGTCTTTGTTAGATCACTCGGTTAATTAGATAAAAATACTCACTGCTTCCCGTTGGCTTATTTTGTGGTCGCTGATTAACTAAAACTTTAGAGACGGGAAAAAACCCCCTGCAAAATAGGCCACAATTCTTCCACAGACTGAATGAGGGTTTGCACTAAATGTGTGTTGCTGTGTTGCTGCTTAAGGCCACAGTAGAAGAGTTTTTTTAATTTAACTTGCAGAAGATGGGTAACTGGTAGCCTGATGCAGAAGGTGTCTCAGATGAGGCTGTGTATGTCCCGGCTGTTTCTGCAGGTTTGCGTGTGCTGCTTTTGTCAGGCTGCTCCTGGGTGGCGGTCTCTGCTCTTTGCACGTCCAGCTGTCCTCTCCTGCGAACTCTGGACGTCCAGTGGGTCGAGGGACTGAAAGACGCCCAAATGAGGGACCTGCTGTCGCCTCCTACAGACAACAGGCCAGGTACCAACCTGCAAACCACACACACACACACAGAAACACGCGGCCTGAACAGTCTGAGGCTTTAGGGGCTGAATGAGTGACGGAACGAACACTTCTCAGGTCAGCTGGACAACAGGAGCAAACTGCGTAACGTGGAGGAGCTGCGCCTGGCGGGCTTGGACATCACGGACACGTCTCTGCGCCTCATCATTCGCTACATGCCGTCGCTGTCCAAGCTGGACCTCAGCTACTGCAACCACGTCACCGACCAGTCCGTCAACGTGCTGACCGCGGCGGGGACGACCACCAGGGACTCTCTCACTGACATCAACCTGTCGGGTAGGAGCCTCCTGGCATTCGGCTCGCATTCCCCCCGCGTGGCGTCATCCTGAACTGATGTTCAATGTTTATTCCTGTGTCCATGTAGAATCCAGATGTAGAAACTATTTCACTTTATTTAATCAGCTTTATTTGTTCATGTCCTTTCAGACAGTTGTTTTTTTTCAGCCAACTAAAGAAACTTTAGACAGATGCAGTGAATGTTTTGTCAAACGGTAAAACTATTTATAAACCTCCTGATACCAAACGTTCTGTCTGTAAGAAAATAAATCTAAACGCCTCCTGTGTGTCAGTTTATTAGAATAACTTCACCTTAAACTAAAGTTGAAGCAAACATTCCCAAAATGACCTTCATGAAGATTTGAAGATTCAGTTTTTGAATAAAATGAGACTTTGCAGTTTAGTTCAGATTGTTGAAATTGTTCACAAATTGTGAAATAATATTTTTCTAATATTTAATTCCATTAATTAACGATGCGCTAAGGCTTAAAAGAACCACATGGCGTCCTCGTCTCTCTGGAATACCATTAAATGTAAACGCATTGAATCGAAGTGGAAACTGCTGAAAGGGAAAATGCTTTTTGGCCCCTCCGGTTCGTGGTGTATTCTGAAACCGCTGCTCACCGTAATGAGGATTTATTGTCCTGGAACATCCTGAAGGCTTTATTAATCCACGTGTGCCGCATCGTTTGTTATCTTTCTCCCCGCAGTCTGCAACCGGGTCACAGACCAGTCGCTGACCTACTTCAAGCGCTGCGGGAGCGTATGTCACATCGACCTGCGCTACTGCAAACAGGTGAGCAAGGAAGGATGCGACCGCTTCATCGCGGAAATGTCTGTCAGCGTGCAGTTTGAACTTATAGAAGAGAAGCTGCTGCAGAAGATCAGTTAGGAAACGGGGAGGACTGTGTGACAATCGCAAGGCGTGAAACTCCTGTCCACACGGAGGCAGCAGACGCCTGTGAGCGGATGGAAGAGGAAGCCGCGCTGCCAGAATGTAAAGAGGGAAAATTTGTCCCGTGAGGGGGATTTTTGCAAAAATGTTATTGTTGTTGTTTGCACCTGTATAGAAGTTATTTATTTCTTTACATATTGATTGTTGATGTATTGTATTATGACTATCTTTAGTTATATTATGTGGTTTAAATGCAAATGTCTTTGCATTAGAGGAATATTTTTGTATCAGAAAGTGTTTCATACATTTATGTGCAGTATTGATTGCACCTCTGTACAGTATCACACCATTGGAATTGATAATCAATCGGTATTACTTTTAAGCTCTTAATTGTTGAGAGGCAAAGGTCTAATGATTTGTTGCCAAACTGTAGATGGTGGCTTCTGTTTGTGTATGTTTTTATACCTGATTATATGTTTCAGTGCCCTGTTTTCTGTTCGGACGAAGGTACTGTATATTTTTGTTCTCCATGTGATACAATTTGCACTAATACAGTAAGTCTGAATACATGAATGTATTCACATACACTTTACAGTCTATAAAGCTTTTTCTTTTTCCAACACTAAAATGTTCTGCTAATTCTACTAACAGCTTATAGTTAACTGGGTTGCATTAAGACACAGCTTTATACAAACGTCTGTGCCAGTCTCTGTTGCATTTTAGTATCATTGGTGCTTTGTAGGTACGTCTGTTAGCTCTGCATGCAGCAAAGGCACATGTTTACACCACAGTCATTACCTTTAGTAACCGAAATATAATCATCCGTTCACTCCTGTCAGCTGAACTCATGAAAAAAAATCAGTACTGAATCCTGCAAGAAATAATGAAGCAACAATTAACAGAATAAGAACATTCGCGTAAGTCTTTATAGATGAGGCAGTTTTCCCCCCATTTGACAGAAGTGATGTTTAAATCCATCAAACAGGCCAACAGGTTGAAATACATGTTTTAATGTATAGTTTCCAAATTCTCAAGAGATGAATGTATTTTATTGAAAAGATATAAAGCCAGTATTAGTAAAGCGATCAAGTAAAAAAAAGTTAAAAAACGGTTTCTATCCGGTAGGAAATGGCATCATCATCCCACTCGTCACTGAGCCTCATAAATATGGCATTGTTCCTGAATTATTTCTGTACACATTTCTGTGAACCGTAAAAGTGATTTTGTTTGTTCTTTTTTCCGTGTGAGGGATTCCACTGAAGTGTACATTTGTTAACACTGGTTATTCATATCGAATCATCTTTTATATTTACTAAGTACTTGTCAACCAAGTGCACCAGTTAATAGCAAAATAGTTTAATATACATCTATTCATCACAATATCTAAAGTTCTATATAAAAGCTCATTTCAATATTGGAACTTGTCTATCTGATGCCGCGCTCAAACCTTTTTAAAGAGTCTTTTTGACAAGCACTTGATACGGTTCAGTGGATGAGTTTACACTTACCTTTTATCCGTTTCTATTAAAGCAACATCTCGTCATAAAAGAGTTTAGTACATTACTGTAAATGTTCAATCTGTACATGGTGTACATGTAAAGCCTCTAGGAAAAGTTAGGTCAGCCTTGAGATATTAAATCCATTTTAAATACTGAGCTTTTGTATGAGTCCTGTTTTAATGTTATCAAATGAACATTATTCATATGTGAAAATCAACCTGGTCGACTATAAGAGAAGATCAAGTCGATTACAAAATAAAGAGCAGGGTTTTACTCCGGTTTGTCGTACTGCATTTTTATTGAATCTAATAAATCATCTTTCTCTTGTTTACCAAAATAAAAAGGTTCAACATTCCAAAATATAAGGATCGAGGATCGAGCGCTCACGATAATCTCCGTCTCTGGTAATACTGTAGCTGCCCAATGAATGACATCTTTGAGAAACAGCAGCATCAACAAACAGACTTGCAGAGTCACAGTGTTTGTTACAGTGTGTGTGGTGTTGGTGTCGTTGTTTTTATGGGGGATCTGAAGCAGACGGAGACGAAAAGTGCCAGAAAAGCGAGACTACGACTGACGCATCTTTTAATGGTGAGAGAGTGAGGTGATCAGAGGACAGAGGAACCCGTCCGACCAAACTCAGCAGATACATTCTGAAAAAACGGTACGTTTTAGCTTCCTATAATCTTAAAATCATGTCGCCTCCCAAGTAAATGGAAAAAAATATACATTTAATGACTTAACAACGATATAAGTTATCTACGCCATTCGCTTAACAGCACTTCCGCTTCTTTAAAAAAAAAAAAAAAAAAAAAAAAAAAAAAAAGTACCACAGGCATACTGAACACATATTTTAGTGACATCTGAGTTTACTCGATGTCACATGACAAGAAAAAAAGTGTTTCATTTGCATAAACAGGTCAACGTAAACCGAGCTCTCCCTGCCTCTCGCTCTGTGGTGGGTATTTGGAAGGAGGCCTCGACAACATGTCAAAAAAACGTAGATGTTACAAGTAGCACCGGTCACCTGCCTAAGATCATGGACACGTTAACGGACAGCACGATCAAAGACAGACACGTGGTAGACTCTGACACTAAATGCAATTGTTTGGTGGCAGTTATTTGGAATGAAAAAGGGAGTCTTTAAAATAAAGATTAAAAGAAAAGAAAAAAAGTCTTCACAAAAGGTCGACCCATTAAATTTTTCTTGTCTCGTGGTTTTTTTTCCCTCAGGAGAAGGATGAGAACATTCAAATGATCGAGCCATCTCCATGGCAACCAAGCAAACTCGCAGAGGAAGCCTGTGAAAGTGCCTCGAGGTCCAGATTAAGACTTTTCTTTCCCTCAAACTGCCGTTTCAAAAGGCGACGAACCTTCACTCTGTGTCTCAGCATTCTTTGTCCTCGATGACAAAAACAATCACATCATTCACTAAGCAAGTGCTGCACACTTATTTAAGTCTATTTGAGAAAAGAAGAGATGAAACCACCACATCAAGCTCGCTGGTTGTGAGATTGAAGATCCCAAGAAATCTGAACCAAATTTCAATCGGAAGGCATGACGTTTGGCACCTTGCACACTTCCGTGTGCGAGACGAGACGACCCGGTTGCTCGTGGGGGTTCGGCGTTAACAAAAAAGACATTTAATAAAAACACACGTAAGTCTCTTCTTTTAAATATTGCACATCCTAAAGAACACTGAGGGAGAAAACACGGCGTCACGTGGCACGACTGTGTAAACGATATCAACTCCAACCCTGGGATCTTTTTTTTTTTTTCTGCTCCCGATCGCCACGTACAAACAACGCGATCCTCTTCAAGTATCCACGGGACCACGTTCGTCTCCTCGGAGAACCAACCACAACCCGCGATGGAGAGCAGAGAGTGACGCCACGGGCTTCTGCTGTGTTTCACAGACCAGAGAGAGAGTGTGTGTGTGTGTGTGTGTGTGTGTGTCCCGGTGCAGCTGATGACGGTCCGACAGGGCGGAGAAGGTGGGCTTGAATATGAGTTAGTAGGGGGGGACCATGGTTGTCCAGAGGCAACAGTCTTTGCTTCCAAAGACACAGAAGTTGCTCGAACCCGCCGCAGCAATTAGGCCCCGCCGCGAGATGTCATGCACAGTAGTTCCTCCTCGGGCCGGTAAATCCAGAGTTCGGGGGTGGGGGGGGGCGGCGACCTGAGGGGCCGCGCCGACCGCCGCGGCTTTAAGACTTGAAGACGTGGACGGCCCGCACCACGTACTGCCTGCAGATGGGGCACTCGCTCATCCGCTTTCCGCATTTGGTGCAGGTGACCATGTGACCACATTCCAGCAGCACGCAGTCGATGAAGGCGTCCATGCAGATGCGGCACAGGTTTTCATCCGCCGCCAGCTGGGCCTTGACGCCGTCTGCGGACGGAAAAACGGGTCTAATTGACGGTCGCGAATGAGAAGGATGAGAAGAAGGGAATCATGTTCTATCGAAATCCCTCACGTTCTGCTTGTGTGAAGTGTCACTTTGAAACGACCTAAAAAAAAGGTTTTCCATTTCAAGTGTTTGATAAGTCAGAAACTTACTTAAAACATAAATGAAATCAAGCCTGAAGTAAATGCCGTGAGGATGAAGAAAACCATCCCAACAGCACATGATATTGGCTCACATCTTGTGTGACAGGAAAAAGCGAGTCGAGCAGCAGCACCAGCCGGTCCGCGTTCCCTCCACGTCTGCTTATCACGCGGGCTGATACGACCCCTCGAGCCCTCCGCGTCACCGCGGCAGCCTGCCCAACGTACGATGGTGTAATTAAACCCTGACGGAGACGCGCTGCCGCTGCAGTTACACGACGGCCCGTCAAGAGGTAAAAGCCCTCAGAGCATTAACGAGAGGAACGAGAGTCCGTCCTTCAGGAAATGAGGACGTGACCGCGGCGTGATGGTGATGAGGATATGGGGGTGGGTACAAACACCGCAGCATGCCTTCACCAATGTCAAATGGCATGTGGTCGTGGAGGAAAAAAGGCAAAAGGTGATGTAAAGTAGCTTTTAATCAAAACATCTTACCTCCAACTCCACTTTTGCAGAGAAGTGGAGGATACGCAACCACTTTATCGATAAGGACGGGCAGCAACAGAGGAAGGACGTTAGTTCGGGGACACGGTGAATTTATGCTTTTCATGTAAAACAATGTTTAAGCACTGCTGCTTTTCAACATTGGGAACACATCTACTTGTATTTAGATGGAATGTGTTCATATTAGTGTTTTCGTTTTAGAGGTGATTAGAGGTCAATAGCTTAAACCTCTTAAACATAGCAATCAAATAATTACCTGCAGTTATGCTCACGTTTTCCACTGAAAGAAAAGAAAACATGACGGTGATCCTTTCATCATAGCGAACCACGAGGGTCAAAATGTGAAACTTCGACACGAAAACAGAAACACACGCTTACTGGATTTCCTGTTCTGCTCGTTTTCTCTGTAGAGTCGATGCACCCTCTCCAGCAGCTCCCACTTCTCGCAGCAGCCGGAGTAATTGACAAAGTTCCTGGCGAGAATCTCTTTGAGCTGTCGCACGGAGAGGTTCTCGATCGCCTCTTCGTTGTCCAGATCGGACAGCGAGGCCCTGATCCTCCTCTGTGTCGCCGGACTGACCTGCAAAGGGAACAGAGCGGCTCTCAACAAACACACAGCCCGATCTTCGGTTCTTCCACTTTGAACCGCCGACGGCCGCCGTACCTCCATGAAACTCTCTGCCGGCTCCAGGTTCAAGAGGGACGCCGTTGGAGTGTCCTCCTGCTCCTGTTGGAGAAGGAATCAACACGCGGGAGGTTCATTTAGGTCGGCTTGAATTCCCCGTAACAGCATTTCACTCACCGTTCAAAAACAAACAAACGCGTAGCCGTTTATGTTTAATCAGCTGATGTCGAACTCCAACTTAAAAACGCGTGTGGCGTCGAGGTCGAGCGATGCGTGAATACAACCTTTAGTTCTGTGGTTCAAAAGAACCTCCTGATGTCAGATGTGAGGCAGCTGAACTGATAAGACAAGATGCCGAATTGACAATATCTGCTTGTCCAGACACCGAGTGATTACAATGCACAGTTTGCCTATTAATACAATCGAGGCTTTAAAGTACAACTCACATGTCTAATGAAAGATTACAGACGTTTAAACACGGACTCAGCTGCTTTTAACCCGGCGGTTCATTATTCTCTTTGAAGGTCCTGAATTTGCTGGATGAAAGGGGAGTAAATGGAGGCATAGATCGGCGCAGACCATTTGGTGTGAGTGCATAGCTCAATGTTATCGCAGCACTTTGAAGAGAGGATATTGTCTCTTTATTCTTTTATCCGCTCGACGAGGGGAGCATGTGAAGGGCTGAAAAGGAGCTGCAGCCGTGTGATGTCACGCCGGAGTGCCGTGTCCTCTGAGTCTCTGTTCTTGTACCTAAAAACCTCTCTCCCTCTCTGAGCTCTGGCATATTCCAGCCGACCAATCATCCGCCCGGAAGGAACATGTGTTAATAATGCATGTGTCGGCGTCCCGGTGACGGATGGCTGCCCTCAACCAACCAAGCAGCAGCCCCGCCAAACCTCTCTGGAACACACGATGGATATTTATCATACATTTCCAACACGTGAAACGACTAGAAAGCAATGGCAGTGCTTTTGTTGAAGCTTGAACAAGCTGCTGAATTAGATATTTTAAGATGTTAAGGAATGTCCCTCGAAATATACTTGGTGATGGTTGTAATAGTTGATGAGAAAAACACAAAGATAACGTAACCGCATTAAAATGTCTTACATACTGCAGAAATGTCAATTCAATAAAGTTGTAATATCTTATTTCATCAAGATTTTTCTTATCCAGTTATCTGTCTAATACGTTAGACTTTAAACCGGTTTCAAGGTCACTGATCCTAGAAACTATGTTCAAAGACAACATTGCATGTTGTTGTTTCGTTGCACTGATTAATAGTCGTCACTGCAGGAACCGTATCCAAGAAAGGTTCTATTAAGATTTCTGATTTTAAATCTATTTGGGCGTAGTTGTGCCTGAATATAGGTCGTCAGTTCCAAATATTTTGCTGGACTATTTGCAGTTTATCTCCATGCAATCACCTTTGGCTGGGAGAAATAAGCCACAATCATCTAAAGCCTTTGTGTGCCATGAGGAGTGGGGAGAGGACGGATGTACTGTGGCGTTTCTGGTGTGGCGGTTACATAACAGACTCAGCCGATGTAACAGGCCTAAAAAAAGGCAAAGGGCTTAAGCTGCATCGCTGGCTGGTCTGAGGGCTCCGCACGCACAAATAAACACACACAAATACACGTTGTGCACAAACAGAATCAGCTCTTTTACAATATCAACGAAGGGGAATAAATCCACTTTGTGTAGTCGATTTTAAAGGGAGCAAAGCCCCCCGACAGATGTTCGTCAGGGACTGAAGGCAGTAGATCTTCTCCTCTACAGTCACACTCGTAAACAAGCTCACTTCACCTTAGATAGGAATCATCTTGGATAGAATGAGGACAGATTTGGGAGAAGTATGGCGTATGTAAATCACAGAATGTTTTGTCTCACCTGGCTGCTGGTCCCTGAGCTGTCACTGGGGCTCGGCGCGTCTCCCGGAGAGGCGGAGAGCCCCGACTGTTGGGAGGCGGAGCGAGGGGCCGGGGGGGGCGAGGCGGCCGGGAGCGAGTGGGGGAGCGAGTGCAGGCTGTCTGTGTCGTCTCCCCCTTCATCTTCGTCCTCCTCCTCCTCCTCATGTGTGTCCTCTTCATCTTCATCTTCCTCCTCCTCGTCCTCCTCCTCCTCCTCTCCCTCCTCGGCCTCGGCCACCGGCCTCGGGGACTCCCTCGTCCCCCGATGACAGAGCACCAGGTCCACCAGGTCCTCCTTCTCCCGGCACGTGTCGGTGGAGATGTTGCGCAGCAGCAGGTACTGCCGCAGGTCTTTCACTCGGAGCCGCATGAGCCGAGGCCTCTGGAAGGCCGTGCCGCGCAGCAGGTGGCAGGTCATGCAGCAGCGCAGGTTCTCCTGGAGCACCGAGCACAGGGCGCAGAAGCTCTTCTTACAATCGCAGCAGATGTGCTGTCGGGGGGGGGGGGGAAGAGAGTCAAAGGCGGGAGTGAGTACGATCAGATCTCATCTGGTTTTCAACGCTTTCGGTGAGGAAATATTCAAGCATACTCAACGAGTTGTCCTCCGTGAATAAGTGAAGCGACCCGGACTTCAAATTGTCTGGTAACGAACTTGGTGGCCGCGCTGGAGTAAAACATCTCGGCCGTGAGATTGTTCTTGAAGAGATCCAGAGGCAGCAGTGCCATTGAACGAAATCGTATGTATAAATGTCATTTACGACTCAATGACTCTGACAAAGAAATCATTTGGCTTTAAGAAGCATGCAGCTCGGTGCCGGTCCCAGCTGTGGAGACAACGGTACAGCGGGTTCTTTGTAAGGCACAGCTAGGCTACTGCACTGTGCTGCTTCTTTACGTTTTTTCTACCTATAGCTTTAAGAAATATAAAAATATTTGTTGTTTTGTCTTATCTGGACACTGAGTCTTAAATACAGTTTAATTGATTGATATTAGTCTGATATTCTAAAGTCTCATTCACATCTCAACAACCACGTTTCCTGGAGGCCGCTGCTTTGACAACGAGAAGACTCATAAACCAGCAAAAACTAAACTCCATCTGAAAACATGGGCTTGTGTCGCGTGCGCTCAACGATCTTCTGGGGACGAGTTAAAGGAAAAGGAAGTAAGCAATCTACAAAGCGCCTGATGATGCCTTGACATTTCACTGGCGTAACCCCGTCTCCCGATGGCGAGCCGCTGAGTCGATTGACACTTCAAAGGGGGGGGGGTGGGAAAGCAGGTCAGCCATGGCGGCAAACATTTTCTTATCTCTCGTGCACAAATGGGTCTCTGGTGCACCACGGCAAATTTATCCGCGGCAAAACATACTCTTCTTCAATGCTGTGTAGTTAATCCCCCGGTGCGTTTTTTTTTTCCACACAATGAAAATAGCGCGCAGACAAACAAACGTGTGTGTGTGTGTGTGTGTGTGTGTGTGTGTGTGTTTGTGTGTGTCTGGGGAATGGGCAAGCGGTGTGTGGATGGCGATGGAGAGATCTGAGGCAGCGAGTAGAGGGGAAGCTTTTTCCATCAGCGTCTCGGTGCGTCTGGCGGCCAGACGGAGACACTCTGACACTCTGACAGACCCTGCAAATGCCAGAATGTACATGGATGATGCATTTTATCAAAAGGAACGTGCCGGTGAACTTTATTACTTTTTTTTCTAGGTCTGATTTTCCTCCAGAAAACACACAAAAAAAAGATACATCTCAAGCTTTTAGGTCAACTGACAATTTGAAAGAAGTGGGTGGAAGAAGTACTCTTCACTTGCTTATTTAAAAGTACCAATACAAGAAAATGAATACTCTCTTAAATGTATTACCAACTAAATGTTCTTAAAACTGCCCATGTGGCTGTTACATTATTATATATGCATTCAAAATAAACAATGCCGATAAAAATCTGGAAGGCAGTGATCATAGCTGGCAGATGAATAAAGTGGAGTCAGCGTTCATCTCAAATACTCACAATTGCCTCTTGAGTGAATGCATTTAATTACGTTCCATCAGTGCCTTCGAGATGGATGGTTTCCATTCATGTCGGTACAGCATGGAAATCAGCTTGCAGTGTTTTTAAGCCTTCGTTTCCTTCTTGGCTGTTACTATGTTCTATTAATAGCTGTCTCTTCTTGCTATTTCCTGTCTAATAACTCTTAAGAGAACGTTGCTCAGCCAAACCTGCATAAATTAAGGTTCAATGAATGAGCTATAACGGCGATTTAACCCTAAATGAGACACAAATGACAAAAGTGGTGTCAAGTGTGCTTCTTGTGTTTCAGTGTGAAATACTGCTGATTGCGTTGCAGGTTTTTGCATTGAAACAATATTTAGCAAAGGACTCAGTAATTATAAATGTCAGAGTTTCCTTGAATGCACCATGATTTAGAGTCCCGGCTTTAACTGCACGCGAGTATTAAATAATTATGACCATAAAAAAAAAAAAAGCTGACTAAATCTTACAAAAGCAAGATCTTTTTTTTTTTTACCTTCAATCATTAACGGTTAAAGTTATCATCGCTTTAACTCCAGCAATGCGCGTGCTGCTCACCTTGCGTCTGAACACGGAGAAGGCCAGTCCGCACGCCTTGCACAGCTGCCCGGCGCTCCCGGCGCTGGTGGGGGGGTAGGTGGAGTACCCGGCACTGGGGGCGAAGCGGAAGGGCCCGGCCCCGGCCCCGAAGCCCGGCTGCTGCGCCCGCACCGTCCCCGTGCCCATCACCTCGTTCAGCAGCCCACAGCATGACGCCCACATGGACGACGCCCCCGCCTGCACACACACACACACACACACACACACACACACACACACACACACACACACTTCAAACGTTTAGAGACATCGATCCAGATGACTTATTAAAGCGTCCGTCTGGCCTCATCAGTGACGGACGTGTCTCATGTCCTGTTCTCCTCTGAGGTAAACTTTTCCTTGTTTCACGTTTTTATATCCGGTCTTACTTTGGTTTACTCGCCTCTCTCTTTGTGTGGTCGTCTGATTGTCTGTTGGCACCAGTGGTAGGTATAAACACTATTACTCCACAGTAACAGTCCCCCACGCATTAAAATCTCCTCGTTTCAACTGGGATCAGCCGACCGTCCCTTTTTATTATGATAAAACATCCAGTGGGCGTCGCATGTTCTAATCGTTTCCTTCACTGGTCACGTTACGCGTCACAGATCAACAAACTACTGGTAATTGTTTTATTACATATGAACCCACGAGCCATAATCCTCCAGTCCTTTGCTCAGTATGATTAAAAACCCCTTAGGGGTTTCGTTGTTGGTAAAGAGGGAATAATGAATGAAAGGGGAGGTTCTGTTAAAGGGGGGGGGGGGGGGCACTGAGCAGCACATTATTGAGAGTGCTCTGTAATAGCTCTTTGAGGTTAGAGATAATGAGGCCGACTCTAAAAGCTCCTGTTAATGACAACCTCATAAAAGAGCGCTGCCATTTATACTTCTCCGTCCCTGCATCATTTTGAACAATTTGATAAGACAAATTGTCCACGCGGAGGACGTTTAAGGAGCCTCAGCCGCACATCTCGCCAGAGTCAAATGAGCCCACGTGCAGACTAGCGTGCACTCAGAGTGCGGTCGATGTGTAACTGACCACAAGGCGGGCCGAACCCGGGCGCGGATGGCGTGATGGGAGTCATGGCTCCTTAATGCGCACTGGTTAGAGGAAGCAGGGAGGGAGGAGAAGGGAGGGGGGAGGGGGGGCGAGGAGAGAATATGTCTTCTGTTGTTCCCCGGCCTGCAGAATCAATAGCTGACATGAGCACAATGCGAGGCCTCTGTGTGGCTCCCGGCACCGTGCGGGAAACGATGGGATTCACGGGGCTCCTTCCCCGTCTCTTATGAAGGCAGCGCTCCGCTCCGACTCGCACAAACACCCTGTCGTCTGACCTCACCCATCTGCTCAGGCATTCGTTATGCAATCATAAAGAAAACGAGCCTCTGCATGTGGAGTCACGCCGAGGAGGAGGAGGAAGCCCCTGCTGCAGAGACGAGTCCGGTTTCGAAAGGTGAAACGCTTTGTTGGATGGATCATTACCATTACAGGGACGGGCCTCGGAAATGAACTTGTTTTTATCCAGCCAGCCATTGAAAACCTGACAGTATTTCATTTGCAGTGAAATAAAAACGGAGCGAATGAGCAAATCCTCAAAATTTGAGATGCAGCATGTTGCGTCATCCTTTTTCAATCTCGTCCTCAGTTAAATCTACCGCATTGAATTCACTTTATCAGCGTGCGCCGCCGGCTTTACGTGCACAATAAAACCGTGACGCATACCAACGTGACTCATTTGCCCCGTGGCGTGAGCTTTGACCTGATGTTCGGCTGCCAAGAAGCCTCCCAACGCGAACGCGGCCTCCCTCACATGAGTTTTAAGCCACCAGTAGGAACGTTTGCTGCATTCTGCGACGAGCCGCTGCGGCCCGGCCAAGAAATCAAGTCTTATCTGGCTGCTGGCCAGCAGCACGAGTTCCCTCCTGTCACTTCCATCAGCACACTGCAGAGCAGGGACGGAGTCCCCAACAAAACAGGGACAAGAGTAAACGTCACGTGGGGTTCGTTGTTGTTGTTTTTTGCCTTGTATCTTTTGTGTTAGCTGGAAATAAACCTCTGGAAACACTTTTATACTTTTATATTAGACGCGCGCACAAACTTCTGGATCAAATATTCGGGATGTTTCTCACGCTGCCCAACAATCAGGTGAGCAAAATAATCCAGCTCCGCTGTGTGCACACAAACGCATGCGCAGACAAAAATTTACCAAGACAAATATTTAAGTATCGGCAACGTTCAGGCCTCGTAAGGTGTAGCGATGTGACCCAATTCACTTTTTGAGGATCAAAACCTTTAGAAATTGCACAAGCACAGACGGGGGAAACCATATGGGAGCCTAAATAGGTCATGTGGAGACCGGGGTGTTCAACTAGAACTGGAGGACCGTCTGACACCAAAAGAGAAATCAACACCGAGCGACTTTTGTCCCTCTACTTTATCTAAATCGGAAACAACGATCTTTCACATGAAGATTCAGTTTTCTCATCGCAAAAAAGTACAACCGCTTTTTTTTTGTGTCCTCGGGTGAAACAACTCTGATGACATCAGTACGGTCATTTCATAATCTGGAGGCTTTTGGCGGACAATATCATTTTGTCCGCCAAAGTCCAGTTGAAATGTGGGAAGACTCAGTGTTGCGCCACTGGCGACTAAAGGTCAGGTCACTGCATCACATGCAAAAAAAAAGATCCTGCAAATCCAATATTGCCCAAGAGTAGCTATACTCACTAACTTGCAAACGTATCCATGTTATTTTGGAGGAGTGGATTATTACATCTCTATGATGATTGGTATTTATGGTTCCCAGGAGGTTACTTATGGGCGTCAGTATACCGATAGACAGAGCGGTCGACGGTTTTCACTGTAAACAACTGTGAATCATCAAACATTTTATAAATGGGTTCATCCGTCCTGATCGTTCCATCCTCGGCTGTCTGTCTCCCTCGCATTTCATTTCCTCTCTCTCTGCTGAATCCCCCCCCCCCTTACCTCTGATTTCAACTACAAATGTCACTCCTCCCGTGAAAAGTCAATTCAGCCTGACTGTTGGTATTTGAGTTTAACATCGCCACTGAAAAATAAACCCATAACCGCCTTCGCGGACGCGATGCTTCACCCAAATGAGCCGCTTCCCCGAGATGATGTTCAGTGACGTCTGCAGGGAGAGCTCAAGGGTTTGGGTTTGCAAAATAACTGATTTATGCAGTTTATGGAGGTTTAAGTAGGGACGTTGGTGCAAGAAATACAAAGGAACACCGGCTGCTGGGGGAGACCGTCCTGCAATAACAAACCATGGCTGGACCGATTTACCAGAGTTCTGCGCTGCCCTCCGGACGCTTTTTAAAGCTTATGACTTCTTTGCAGACTTTAAAAGACTGCCCCAAGTGAGTCTAGTCTCATTTGGAATAATCACGATCCTCTCTGCTACACCAGCACTGTAACTTGTAGTTTCAGAGATTTGTGAGCGTTTGCGTCCACGATAGATTTAAAATCAGTGAGAGGGTTTTGGAGGGAAGTAGAAAGTATATACGTCAAAAGACCAAGTCGTCCCCTGAGTGAAATGGCATTGATAAGAGATACGGTGCCGCGGTGTTTCCCGTTTTGAGAAGAATACTTCCTAAACTGCAGCTCCACAGAGGCAGAAAAGCTGCTTTTCAATTTAAACCAGATTAGTCGATAAAACGTCACGTCCATTTTGTTTTCCTGCGGCACATTTGACCGGACCGAAGCACCTTTTCTGGTTTTCCGTGTGACAAACAGCATTGAAGTGCTTCACCTGCTGCTCATTTTATAGTGTGATCCGAAGAAAAAGTTATTTTTCATGGTGGGAGACGTGTCTGTTAAGAGGTAAGAGATTGCTGATCGAAAGGTGCTTTACATAAAGTCCTGTGATCGCAGGCTCAATCGACCAAACGTTGAGGTGGTTTTAAAGGCACATCTTCTTCACTGTATCAAATAGCTCCATGTATGTTTTATATGTAAATTATATATGTTTTACATGCAGTTGAAATGAATCAGTGATGCCAGCTGCAGATATGTTAGATCATTGTGTGGAGGGAGTTATGCAAGTCAGTCAGATTGTTTGTTTGCAGCAGTCAGTTTCAATTAATATGCAAAACTTAAAAGCAAAATAAAACTGTATTTCCGTCCTTTAATTCCCAACGCGTGACATTACTCCAAAACATGCAGTATTGGAAAAAGAGAGTTGGAAGTAACTTAGCGGATCAAAGTAAAAACACTTTCACAGGCCTGCTTAAAACTCCCTCATATCTCAATGGATGATATTTTTTATATACATATAAAAGCGCCTACCTGACAAGCCAGAGCTGAGTCGCTGGCGTTAAGCTTGAAGCAGCTGTTTGGGGGAAACCCTCAACCCTGCCACACAAATCACAATGCTTCACTAGCGAGGGGTAACGTGTCACAGTAGAAATATAGTTCCACATTCAAAAAACACTCGTTAACTCAAGTATTCGGACGTCTATTTGCTGAATGGAGACATGCATCCACAAGAAGCATCCAATCAGCAGCGACTTGAATAGGTGAAAAGCCTGTTCTTCATTATCGGTCTGCAGCAGGTCACCGACTACGACGGTGACGGTGACGACGACGGCGACGGCTGCAGCCTCGCGGTCCAGCTTGCTGCTCATCACCTGCCACCGCAAACCGATGACATCATCGCCATCACCTCCACCGTGGTCGCATGCACGCGAGGAGACTCCTTGGCACAGCTTGGAGCCGAGAGGCGGCCCTCTGCAAAAGAAAATAATAAACCGCCCCCCCCCCGCGTCTCTATCTCATTAGAGCGGATTAGGAGCCAGTCAGCTGCACACCGAACCGTCACCCGGAGGGTCAAAGCGGACTCATGACGGATAGAAAACGCTGCACGCTGTACCCGGTGTTCACCGGGGACCAACGGAGAGCATCGCCGAGGCTCGGTCGGCTCGACCCGGATCTCTAGAGAGCATGCAGCGGGAGAACGGGCCGGGTGACGGGTTCAAACCAGGCAGCGGATGCTGCGGGTTTTTGGGGGGGAGGTGGGCGAATACCCGCTGGTTATAATTAAATATCCGTGCGCGCGCGTACGCGTTGAATCGGTGCGAGGATGGAGGTATTTCCCTGACCGGTCGGCGCAGCGTCGTGCGGAAATCTGCGTCGAAAAGCGGCGTTCGGAGCGCAGGTTCGATGACGTTTACCTTCATGGCGCCTCCCGCGCGAGGAATTTGCAGAGTAATGTCAGGACGACGAGCATAGCGAACGCACGGGGCATCAAACCATTACGTCTCCCCTCGCTCCAGCTGCTGGTGAGTGTGGAGTAAGCATAACGTAATGGCGAAGAGGAGGGGGGCGGGGCGGGGCGAGGGGGGCGAGCCACAGCCAACCACGGGCCTTGGTATCTTTAGCAGCCAATCCGCTGCGCCACTTCGCGCAGTGGGCGTTCAGCCGCGCGCGTACAGACGCGATTGCGAGACGGACGCGTCGTGCCATTTGCACGGCTTACGGTTCATTCCAGTGAATTTCTGCTTTTTTTAGATTCGGACCAACGTTTTTTTTTTTTTGTAAAGAAGAAATAAGTTGCACGCTGCATCAGACCTGACACCGTTTTGCAGTCGAGCTGTTTTTTTAATAGTGTGCACTATCAATATTGTTGCAACAATGTGGTTTCTCTTTCATTCGTTTGAAAGATTTTCTCCCGGTGCGCTGCAATCACGTGAGGCTGAGATTACCAACACATGCAGGGTTATTTTTGTTTTGTTCCTACACGTAAATGCTCTTATTTAACGCCGCAGTTAGCCTGTGTGTGTGTGTGTGTGTGCTTGTGTGCGTGTGTGTGTGCATGTCTGTGACACATAGTGCTGCTGTCTGCAGCAAGATTAGGGGGGTACCGCTGTGAGCCCGCAGGGGGCAGCAGATCGCTGCTGCCCCACACATTATTATTATCATTCGGACGTAACTGAGCCTCGGGGCAGGAAGGCTGCACGTGCTCTTCATTATGTCCCGACTGTGTCATAGCACAGCTCAAATGCTCAAATTCTTCAAAGTTATGAAGCTTTTTCAACAGTGGAGAAGGAATCATAAAAAATATGCATTCGAGGCGTAATAGTAATATGTTATAATGTCTCTTTAAAATTCATTGCCATTTCCAGCACATCAAACAGTCACCATAGTATGTTGATTTTATTTCACAGTACCACATTATAAGATCTGTGGATGCCCTCGGGTCGTCAGTGACACACTTTAGAGCTGTAGACTTGGCCTGGATTTTCTTCCACAGTGTTCAAACATCAAAGTTCTGTTGGATGATCAAAGTGTACAAATTCCTTCTCACATTTGAAAAAGATGCAGACAAATAATCAGTGGGGTTTATGGACTGTAAATACTTTTATCCAAGCAAGTTTTGACACATCCATCACTGACATTTATGTCACATGTTGACAGTAATTATTTTTACCGAGCACCACAAAGAAAAATCAATAGCCAGATCTTTGCTTTTTTCCCAGAAACAGTGGCCCTAATTTCTCTGGATAATCCACAGTGCTCAATGGCAACAGTCTTCACAGAGATTATTTCTTCAGTAAAACGTACAGCCAATGATAATTGTCTGTGAATAATCTACAGTAACTGGGACACTATTTTTCCAAAAATACTGCTGCATGAACACCACATGAAATCCCCTTAACTTCACTTTCCCCATATATGAATAGGTTGGCGATGTCGTGGAAAAAAAAAGAGAAAGGGACATTATTTGTCCAGCTTCAGTATAAACAGGGAAAACAAATATTTGTCATAGCAAATAGAAACGCCACTACGTTGTGAATCTCTCCCCTCACTCTCCAAACCACTGGAGTGGGAGTTTTGTTTGTGTCGACCCTCATTCCTTCGTTTTCACTGCACATTTCAATGTTTTGAGTCGCCTCTTCCTCTCAGGCTTCAAAAACGGTTTCTTTTTTAGTTTCTTTTTAGTTACTAAATATATATATTTATATATACCACATGATATATGTATATATACATTTCTCATTTGGAAATCTAGTCTTCATCTGAAAACTTTAACAAATGGACACGAGGTGCCTCTTTGCTACAGAGCAACACGATAATCTGTGGCTGTTTTGCATTATCAAACTTGTTATGCATTCATTTCCTGCTTAATAGACCACTGAAGTGTTTCTGCTGCGTACGCACCTGAGATATTTTTTGGACATTGAGTGAACATGCACTCTTGAATATTCATTTTCTTGCCTTTTCTCGCATCTTCCAACCCCTTGTCAACTAGAAAACACTCCTTCATTCGGCCTCACGTTTCCAACAAAGGGCCGTGTCATGAGAATTACATTTAAACATGGACTTTTTCTGGAAAATGTGTTTCCCTGGAGGGGGCAAGTAAATGGGAAAATCCAAACCAGATCAAAGCACCGTCTGTGGGGATCATTCTGGATCCCACGCACTTCTCGGGGGGGTTGAGAGTCAGTCGAGGATGTTAACATTTGCGCAAGAAACAAGTTCATACACTGAAGTATCAGCTTCCCTTGGAGAGGCTCCAAGAAACATTCATCTCCATGATTGTGAAACACAGCAAATGAAAAACTCACAGTTGAATGCACCCCCCCCCCCCCTTCTCCATCTCAAAAGTGGGTTTATTCAGAGTTCATGTTCCTCATGGTCATCAGCTGACACAATAAACAATCATTTGAATTCGATCGATGGCATAATTATTTTATCATCATAAGTTTGTAAACGCGTGCAGCTGCTTCTTGTCCTGACAGGCCGAGCGTGACCCCTCGTCCCAAGCTGCTCTGTGCCGCCAACGGGGGCCACTAGATGGAGCGTGCATGCTTTCAAAAAGAGCAAAAACGTGCGGCTCGTTGAGCATTTTGCTTGAAGAAGGTAAACAATTTGTCCTTGCCGGCACATCTGAGCACATTAAAGAATGTGTGAAATAGGAGTTAAAACCGTTATCAGTGATGGACGATTTGCTGACAGGTTTTCAACGTAAAAGCATTACCAGCAGAATGCTGAGAGAGCAAAAAAAAAAAGAGCAAAATGAATGTGGTCAAAGATGTACTTAAACATAAGTGCATCACAGTTTATTGTGTACATCATTTGAAGGATGCAGATGTAAAAGTGGACTTAATTTCATTACTTCATATACTGCAGAGTAGCTTATGGATTTCCTTCCCCCTAGGTGCCCAATGACGGCTAATTTTATCTTAATCTACATTGAAACATGAATTATATATCGATCATGTTTTAAATTGAATACTCCTTGTGAATATTAACGAACTAAACCAGAGATAAATAAATAAAATGGGTTGTTTGAGATGAAACTGGTTCACAGTACTTTTGGCTTGTGGCCATCTACAAAAAAGAAAAGAAACCGGGGTTGAGGCCCCTTGTCATGTCTCAGATTTGAGTTGTTTGCCATCTTGTCACGCTTTCGTTAAGAGTGCTGCTCAAAGCGCAAAGAGGTCAAACAATAAAACTTCTCACAGACACTTTAAAAAAAAAAGAAACATATTTGTGTTGCAGAACTTTGTTTTTTTCTCTTTTCCTCTCAAATGCATCACATCACAACCCCTCAGATTTATCATGTGACACTTTTGAGGGGCCCGACCCGCAGGCTCTATTACATTGTGGCGCGTTTATTCAAGTAAACAACGTGAGTTGGAGATGTGACCTTTTTAGACCTCCTGGATCTCCTGTCATTAGAAGGAAGATGTTTGGAGCGAGTTTGAGCCGCGGGTCAAACCACAGGAAGGAAGAAACAGAAGGGCAAATGAATGAAAACATTCCTCCGGGGTCCTTCATCACAGGGTTTACTAAGCTGTGGCCTGCTACTGCACACATCCTGTTACAGAGAGTAATGACCTCGCCCGACTGCTCTCGCAAGCAAAGAGCGCAATCTTTTTGATATCTGCGATGATCGAGCTCGGTGGAATTATTAACTACATTCTCCGTGCTTCTCCTTTCATGGAGGGTTGTAGCTACACTCTGTGGTCCGGTGTCACAATAACTAAGACCTGAACGTTCAAAGGATCCTTATCAATGTTGCACTTAAATTGTACTCATAATGCAACTTATCTATAGCAAATTGTAAATGGGCTTATCTGATGAAATTGCACTTTCTTTGTTCTTGCTCCTCTGAGTTTGTGGTTGAATCACTGTTGGTCACTCATTGTAAGTCACTTTGGATAAAAGCGTCAGCTAAATGACATGTAATGTAATGTTGCTTAACCATTGGATGGAACGTGTGAACAACACTGTGACGTTGTTTTATTGGAGCAAATCTGTTCGGTTGAAGAAGTCTGAGAAGTCCGACACCCCTAAAACGTTTTACAAGTGCGTGTATGTGCATGTGTTTTTGGTTGAAGCCTTGTTGGGAAAAACATTTAACACGTTTGCTGTTCTGGAGCTTTTGATCACATCACAAGATCAACGTTTGCCCGGTAATAGTTTCTGAATCCTCGTCCAAATTGGCCAACTCCATCTGCTGCAGATTATCTGTGGTTCACGGCTGAAAGCTCCGGGGAAGCTAGTAAAGGGACCATGTGATTTCTCAACTGCTGAATAAAAGGTCGAGAACGTGCATTTCGATGAGAAGTTGAATCCCGCCCGTGTTGTTTTTGGAGGCTTTGGTCCGCGTTGCCTCTACACTGTACTCACCGTGATTATATTACAGTAGGCAGTGTGCTTCGTTCCTCCCCCCTGCTGCACACGAGACAACAGGTACTTAAAATGTCATAGGGGTGTTTTGGCCACCAACCAGACGAGGACGCTCTGTCACCCGACACTGCTGCGAGGGGCGAGGAGGGATCGAAGATGGATGGCCTCCGGCTCGCCCCTTTGTGAACACGAAAATGCCTCGCTGGCAGAGCGGCAACAACTCAGCAGGATGTTGATATTATTCTGGGCCCGACAGGTTCGCGCAGGGCACCGCTCTCATCCACTCCGTTAAAATGCTGACATGGATACGAGCTGCTGAAAAGCATCGGAGTCATCAGTCTCCAATGTGTCCCTGCGGTGTGAGAGCAATTACTAACTTCCAGGGCTTTACGTGTTGTTCAATCTAGATCAAAACCTTAAAATAAGGGCTTTTCATTGAAATCATCATGACCTGAAAATAAAGGTACTTTTGTCTCAAAAATGACACATTTACCTTTCATCTGACCGGGATATTTGAATCTGAACTAACCGAAATATTTATGATAACAAGGTTTTGCATGATTGTGTGTAACGTGAAAGCTATAAAATAAGTTAAAACTCCTGTTCCCCTCATCGCCACGGAGCCCTTAGGCCAATGTTTGGGTTTTCCCCCCTTACATGCTCTGAGGTGGCCGAAGGTGTGAAATTAAGCAGGTTTTTAAGACCCCAATTTTTGAATTAATTAAACAAAGCGAAGTGTTTCAGTTTTGTCCCTATATGCACTTAGAATTGTATTTATCTGTATTTATATGTCATTTGCAACAATAAACTACATATACTGTGTACTGTATACTGCTTAAACCTGCTGTTTGCAACCTCAATGTCTGCAGGAGTCATTTTGTGCAAGACAATGCAAGATAATTAGCAAAAGCATTTTTCCTTTGGACGTCAATTACAAAAACTCCATTAAAGGCAAATGTTATTTGAACTGTGTTTATTTTTTAAGCCACAACAGGAAAACACAACTTTCACTTTAAAAGCAAGCCATGATTAAAGAAGCCAAATCAAAAAATAAATATAATTTTAAAGCTGATTTGATCCTGCCAGTGATTTCCATGAAGGCCGATGGTTTGTCTGGTCAAATAAAAAAAAGTTGCGATAAAACGTTTATTTTAGGATGTGGGTGACTGTGTGTTTTTATTTCAACGTACCATGAAAACAAAGCTTGTGCACACAAGGACGGATTTTTTCTTAAAATGCAAATGAGTAAATATTTAATTTCTACGATCAAAGGTAGTGATTTACTCTGCAAGTCCACAACACACACGCACACACAGGCCACCACAACCGTCCTGCTCATTAATATCCATGTAAACAGGCAGATTCTTCTGAATAATAGCACGGAAATAGAACAGACCACATTAAGGAGGCAGGACGAAGTGGGCAGTTCTATTCACAAGCAGCGATTGTTTATCCAATCTCCCCCAAAAAAAGAATCTCAAAGTCGATGGAATATTAATGTGCATGTAAACACGCATCTCCATCTGTGTGATGTTGCGCTACAGTTAAACAGTCTAAAACAATATAAAAAATGGGCTCTATTCATCTACGATAAACAAAAAAACACTAGTCAAAAAGACACAGTTTTCTCACGTCACAACAAAGATTTATGCGCACGCTGCAACACCGCAGAAGAAAAGAGAGAAGCGGAGCTGATTGAAATTGTTTCAATGTATTAGTGAGCATCTTTCTTGTGACTGACAAACCGACGGCGGGCCAGACAAAAACAGGGCTGGTCCTATTTTGTCAAGAAAAAAATAGACCCGCTACTCGGCATCTGTGACTAAAGGGTGCTGACAATAATAGAGGCAGCAATCAGTTCATCGGCAGCTTCCCCACCAGCCGTGTGTGTGTCGCCTGCATGTGTGTCTCCGCCGGAGGTTTTTATCTCAACACAGCTGCAGCGTCAGTATGCTTTCAGTGTGCGTTCAGTATGTGTTCAGTATGCGTTCAGTATGGGTTCAGTATGCTTTCAGTGTGCGTTCAGTATGTGTTCAGTATGCGTTCAGTATGCGTTCAGTATGGGTTCAGTATGGGTTCAGTATGCGTTCAGTATGCGTTCAGTATGCCTTCACTATGCGTTCAGTATGCGTTCAGTATGGTATGACTTGTGGTTCAGTATGCCTTCACTATGCGTTCAGTATGTGTTCAGTATGTGTTCAGTATGCCTTCACTATGCGTTCAGTATGTGTTCAGTATGCGTTCAGTATGCGTTCAGTATGCGTTCAGTATGCGTTCAGTATGGGTTCAGTATACGTTCAGTATGCGTTCAGTATGCGTTCAGTATGTGTTCAGTATGGGTTCAGTATACGTTCAGTATGCGTTCAGTATGCGTTCAGTATGGGTTCAGTATGGGTTCAGTATGCGTTTAGTATACGTTCAGTATGTGTTCAGTATGTGTTAAGTATGTGGTCAGTATGTGTTTCGTATGCGTTGAGTATGTGTTCAGTATGTGTTAAGTATGTGGTCAGTATGCGTTTCGTATGCGTTGAGTATGTGTTCAGTATGTGTTAAGTATGTGGTAAGTATGTGTATAGTATGTGTTCAGTATGTGTTCAGTATGTTTTCAGTATGCGTTCAGTATGTGTTCACTATGTGGTCAGTATGTGTTCAGTATGCGTCATTTACTTGTAATCACTGAATAGCTTCCCAACAGAAATAAAACAACTCTGGAATCATCTTTTACATGAACCTAATCTCAACGCAGTTGAGCAGGAAAACGTGAGTCCGGATAAACCATTTCTCAAGTAGGACATTTAGTTACTTTGACTTATTCTGACAGCTGCAGAAATGGGACAGCAAGAGGGGGGACGCTGTCGGAGGGACCAGCTGGATAAATGTGCCCCGGGAATGTGAATTCATAACGCATTCATCAACCGCTTTCCTCGAGGTGCCCTTGTGCAAGGCACTTGACCTCAAGAGGGCAAATAATGGGAAACGGCAAACGCGCCGGCTTCAGCTTCTCCCGGACAAGTGAAGTTCAAATCAGAGATGGATTCTCGGCGTCGATACAAACCACGGAGCGGCCTGCATCCCGTTGCGGAGTTTCCGTGTTTCCAGAGGGACGTACAACACAGTTACTGGTTATTTGAAGGTGATACTGAGGGACATGAGGGGCAGCCGGCTTAAAAGCAAAGCAGCTCCGGCCGATCACCTCTCACAGAAGTGCAACGGCGCACTTTTTGACACTTTAACTCCTCCGAAGCCCCAGGCCCGAAGCTCCAGACTGTCCTCCTCCTCCTCCTCTTTCTCCTCCCCCTCCTCCTCTTCGTACAGACTGGGCTCCTCTGCAGACGTCTCCATGTTTGGGTTGTAGCCCCCGAAGGCCTGCGCCTCCCTGTACTCGTAAATGGTCGGGAGGCTGCTGCGCAGACCGAAGCGGCGCCGCAGGGCCACGAGCAGCGGCTGCGGCACAGTGAAGATGTCCACGTTGTTGCCCAGGTCGACCCAGGCCAGGCTGGGGAACCTCTTGGGGTCTTTCACCGCCTCCGTCAGGTCCTTCAGGACGGCCGTCGTCAGCCGGTTGCCGTTGACGGCCAGTATGGTCAGTTTGGGCAGCGCGCCGAGGCAGGGCAGCAGCAGCCGCAGGCTCTCGTCCCGCAGCTCGGTGAAGCTCAGGTCCACGGCCGACACGGGGCCCGCGGCGCCCTGCAGGTAGAGGGCCACGCGGCGGACGTCTCGGCCAGAGAGCGGGATGCCAGACAGGTTGAAGACGTCGCCGGACAGTTTCTTCTTCAGGGTGGTCTTCAGACTGGAGGAGGAGGAGATGGGGAAAAAAACAAACACATTTATTTCAATTTGACCACTAGTTAGATCTCCGAGGCACGGAGGTAATTATTCAGCGCCAGTAGTTAGTTTTACAAATCTCTGTACAGGCAAAGAGTCTTTAATTAATGGTACTGGACTATTGATTTAAACGTTTCTATAATGGGGTGCCACAATTTGCAAAGTACGCAAAAACCCGCCCAAAACTGCATCCACAAGTAGAGCGCGGAGAGAGTAGCACTCGATAATGCAAAGAAGAGAATTTGCATTTAAATGTGTCCCGCTCTGAGTTCCCAAACGCGCTCTCCGGGGCTAAATGTCATTTACTGAACAGCACAAGCTTTTTTCTGTTTCGTGTGCCACTTCTTTCCCCGTAAAGGCAACTGTAAGTCACCTCAGTATTTGAGTACGGAACAACCGTCAGACAGCCTAATTATGTAAATAAATGATTAAAAAAACACAGTGAGCAATGCAAAAAAGACTGTTCTGCAGTCAGGGCCAATTAGCAACGGATATGTCACCTGGTTTTGAGCAGAGCATGTTCTCCGAGGTATTGTGGGTGACACACGAATAATTGGCTTGAGCTGATGATAAGTTCCTTTTTTTCATTTTAGTCAAAAATGTATAACTCTGCGCAACAGACACAAGTACAAAATGGAAGACGATGGACGGACGAACACAGAGAGAAAGAAACGAGGGCTAAAGGTGAGTGATCTTCTGGTTCAGTCCAAATGACAAATACTGGAATACGACTTCCCCCACCGAGTCGTTAGTTTGTATCCGTGTGGTTAAATATGAACTGGAGAGAACAAGTTTACACGCGTGTCACAACAGTAACACATTTAGTTCCTTTTTTATCTCCATTTAGACTCAGAGGGAAGACATCTGCCAAACAAGTGCAAATTTACGGGATGTTTGGTGGACTTTTTTGAACAAATTAGACAAACGGGCAAAAAACCCTTTCTCTTTAAAGGTTTATCCTCCCTTTGTTTCAGTCCCGCCTGCCTCCTCGGCCGTGGGGAGGATTATCCTTGTATCGCTCTCTCTGTCGTCAGGCTTCGGCTGTGCTCTTTACATCTGCCACCCTTCCTTCGTTTAAGGGGAAGAAAAAGATCTGTGGCACACAGAGGCGGTGATTCGCAAGATATTGATTCCAGGAGTAGGCTGTAATTCTTCTCTCCCACCTTCATATCCTCACTATTCCTCAGTGCCTCTCGCTGTCTTGATCTCTCTTCTTTTTCTTGGCCAATTTCCTCTCTTTTATAAATCGCTGTCTGTTTTGTTTTAAATTTGATCTTCTGAAGCGTCGAGCCTTTCAGCTTTCTACTTTGAATCACTTACTGAACATTTTAAGGCTTTAAATAACAATGTTTTCATTACAAATTCATCCGTCTTCGACCAATAACTGAATAATTAAACATTGTTCCTCATGTTGCCTCTGAGAGGTTGTGAGAAAATAAACGTCATTAAAGCAAATTCCTTAATAATATTTTTATTCATTATTGTTATGTATGCATAACCTCTGTCATAGTGAAACACTGATTCATTTTTAAAGTCATTAAAACATCATAGTTACAAGGTTCACGGCCATGCTGTTAGCATTCTAACAGCTACATATTCTATCATGCTTTAGTTGGCTCTTGAACAGTTAAGAAATCCCTAAACGTATTAGAAATCCATCTAATCTTATCAAATAATTCATTATAAAATAGATTTTGATGGACTTAATGCCAATCTGACTAATGCATTAATTGAATCACCATTTCAGCACTCAGACATTATTGACTGTAGCACATAAAAATGCCAGGAAAGTGATTGCATTTGCTGCGTCTTGGCCCACTCGCCCACTTTTTACTGTACCCCCGTGCTGCTTCTGCACTTCGCTCTAATGAAACAGATTATGGGTATTGACCTTTGTTCCCTTGGACGTATTTATAAGGGGGGGGGGGGTTCACTACTTGAGCCCTCCTCTGTGTTTGTGTGGGGAAGAGCTGTTTTCATGACACCGTCAGGCAGCGAAGGCAGTGGCATTGTAGCCGAGTGGGTGGTGCAAAGGGGAGGGGGGACTTAAATGTGATTTTAATGAGACGGAGCAAAGACGACTTCAGACTTCCTCGCAAATCCTCTCCCTATCGGCTCCGTGGGCACAGTTCCACCCACAGGCTGCTCAGCTGGCCGCCGGCCCCGGAGGGAGGTGGTGGGGGGGGGCACAGCTAGCATTTCTTAAGCCACGGCGCAAAACGATAACACCACAAACAACCATATGTCTCATCTCGCTCAGTGTGACGCTCGTAGGCAGAGGTTCACTGCCTCTTGGACTGGAACACACATAACTTCAAAGAGAAAGAGAGCGTCCCCTGCATCGGGACTAATTTAAAAGAAAACAACTGAGAAAATCTATTCATTGACATCTGGGGAGCAAACGATACGACGGCGCGGGAATCTAATAGGAGCAGACTCTCATATGTCAAGTTATTGGCTGCTTAAATGTGGCTTCCTGCAGAATATCAACTTGTTTTTCATGGATCGTCTTTCCTCGGGAATGTTAACTTCTATGCAGTGAACAAGGGTTCTTGCTGTCCTACAATTATGTGAACCCCAGAGGTGGGAAAAAAAACATCTGTTTTTTATCATTTAAATGGAGAAAAGTTCAGAACAAATCGAGAGAATGTTTCTTTTTTAAATGTTTTAATGAAACAGTGTTTTGAGATCCACTGTTGAAGAATCAATAATAACATTTGCATTCAAACTGCATTTGATAGAGTTCATAAGAACTTCACAGTGACTTGATCCATCTACCAGTAATATCAGTAATATATTCAGACATGTTCACATTTATTCTACATGTTCATTTACTGTGGGATTTAATATAATATATATAATATAATATAATAAATGTGCGTAAGAAAGAGTAAAAAAGTATGGTTCTGTAAAATAAACACATTTTCTTTCTTTTCTTTTTCATTTAATAAAACACACTAGAAACGATTATAAATTGTAACTACGAGCATTATTAACATCCATATAAATGTTAATGAATTAAACTCAAAGCTATTTTAGTAAATGCTCTAATTTGGTCAAATGCAAAAATGATCCTAAAGATGCATGTTAAATATGAAGCTAGTGCCACCGTGTGACTTTGGTTAGCTTAGTTTAGCACAAATATTCAAGTTAAATGTTAAGCTAGTTGGTTAGCTTAGCAAAAAGATGCATATTAAATACAAAGCTAGAACCAATAGGGTATTAGCTTAGCTTAGCGATAGAGATCAATAAATATGCAGCTAGTACCAGTGGGTGGAAAGGTTAGCTTTACATAAAGATGCATGTTGATGCAAATCATTAAATCAGGGGTCTTCAACGTTTTTCAGGCCAAGGACCCCCAAACTGATGGCGAGATGGAGCAGGGACCCCCTATTCTACAGAGTTTCGTCCGCCATCTTTTATTTTTGAGCTTTTCGCTTTTACGTGAGCATGAACGTGATCTGATTGGCTGGTGCCTCTGCTGTCGTATCAGCATGAAAGGAGCTGTGAGTGAACCGGTGCCCAGCTTGAGAGCTGCTGTGGGAAGCTGGATGTGTGTTTTGCGGACTGAAAGATAATGTCTTCTCCATTAATTTAACTGTTCGCTACAATATTTTGGATTTATGTTAATGTGTAATAATAAAGAAGACAATAAATACAATTCTGATTCTGAAGACATTTAAATTTGTTGAAAAAAAATTGTCCTATCAACCAAAAATTTCGCGGACCCCCTGTTAAAGACCTCTGCATTAAATTAAAAAAAAACAGCAGCAGGTTTACTTAGCTTAGCATAAAGGTACAATTTACAAAAGTTAATGAAATTCTCTTCAATAGTCGAGTAATAGTCGAAAAAAAGTCAGATCAGAGATATATCCAATAGTGTAGCGAGGAGAAACTCTAATATCTATTCAAAAAGTACTTTACGTTTAGCATGCAGAGAAATATGTGACTTATTTCAGGCAAATGAAATAATAGCACTGGACACGCTGGATGTGGATTTTGGGACCCGTAAGATTGTTGGGGTCAATGTCTGCTTCATCAACGACCTGTTTATTCCTTGGATCGATCTAAGCTGTTTTGCCTCCAGTCATTTACATATACATATATATATAATACATTCACGGTAGTCGGGCAGAGAACCTGTAAAGGGTTTAATGTAAAAACTCTTACTTGAAAAGTGAGTTGAAAACTGCTCGTTTTATTTCCATTCTCCTGTTCTTAATGTGCCTTCAGGAAATGTGATACGGAGCTGAACCAGTTTGCTCAACTCAGTTTTAACCCCAGATATGCGAGTGCCTCGGTAAGGTTTTCGCTTTTAATGAAAATACTTTACAGTCACTCTGAGCAAAGAAACAGCCTCGTCTATGCAAATGCCACCGATGCTTTTGCAGAAACTGCAGTGGGAAACATGAACGTGGTGAATGCATACATCATCCAGTGTCCTCTGGTTTCATGGGGATAATGGCACATTTTCTGTGAGGGAAAAATAGCCCCCGAGCTCATTTGGATTTGGATTAAATTTCAGTGCAACACTTAGCAGATGGGCTGATAAAGACTTCCTCTATTGTACATCGTCAATGCAGCTGCTCCGGGCTGTGCAGCGCTCTGACGTCTCACATCAGTCCCCTTGATGCCGGGAAGCCAGACTGCAAGTCTTAAGCAAAGCAATAATGTTGAAAAGAGAGATGACAATAATGACATAATTGGAATCTGACAGATTAAAATCTTAGGCCAAATCCCCAATTTACAAATGGCTGCTTTCAAAAATCCTTGAAGATGTATGAAGGAGCACCATTATGCTCATCATCTTTTTTCTACAGGTGTGATGGTGGAATTTGAATGAGTGCGAGAGAAGGACAGAGATGGTGTTTGGCTTTCAGCTACTCCATCACACGACTCTCGTGGGCTCTCTGGTCGTGAATGTGGGAAACATGCCGAGCAGCTCAACCCCAACTCATATTTCAGAGAACTCAGAGGGGAAAATAATATTCTGTACATTGCAAAAGGAGAGAAACGAGAGGAGAGACGTTCCTTCTCTGCTACGCAACATGGAAATGACATGGATTACTTTTTATTGTACGTGACATCCATCCAAAGATAACAGCATATTTAGGCCGATGTGCGTATGTACTGATTATAAAGCCTCCTGGTAGAGAATGTTCCATAATGCAACTATGCGGCGTGTAAAATGCAAAATGTACTCCACGGCCGCGCTATAAATTCCCCCCAATGATTGATCCGATGTGACAAACTGGATGCTTAGGAGAAAAGAATCCTGCAACAGGAACACAGAAAACACTTTGCATTACATTACATAACCGTGTAGCGTGGAGGAGTACGCCTGTGTCTGCACAAACACAGATCGAGGGGCTCGATCACGGGGGGACTGATCTGCACCAACCTGAAAGGAACGGATGGGACCCACAGATCACCTACACCAAGAAAGTCCTTGTTTTACATTATTCTCCAGCAGCAAGAGCCTTATCTCAGGTTCGCATTAAAGATTCAATCAATACGAGGTTAAGAGAGGTCCGATCCCTGGATAAAAACTCTTAAAATTCTCTGACTTGAACTTGTTCTAAAATGGCTGTTTATATTAATGACACCTTTGACCTGTGTTTGCCGATCAACACATCTAATCTTTGTAATTATTTCATTACGGCCCGGCGGCCGAGCTGAAGACCGGAGCGACTGAGGCTGAGCAGCTCTTCCTCCTCCCCCTCATCCTCCAGGAAACTCCGTCTGTACCGCGGGAAGCCCTCAATTATTCATAGACGAATACGCTGGCTGGATTTTTAAGTCGCTATTAAAAGTGGAGGTCAACTACAAAGCAAATTGAGCAGAGTGCAGCTGGTAGTCAAGTGGAATACTTTGTACCTGAATGGAAATAAAAGGAGCGAAACCAAACCTTTAAAAAAACACAAACAAATGTCTGTGATTGCGTACTGCTAAAAGAATATTCTTTGCCGTGTTGTCAGACCTTCACCCTCGCCTTAGGAGACGACCTTGGAGACGACGGGTCAGGCCTGTTTGAGTCAGAGCCTGTTGGGCCCCCCTCGGTGCTCACCCCGGGGGGTCTGACTCAGCTCCACAAATAGGTCATTCACTTCAAAGGCAGAGACACGCGGCTCGGTGCGCGGATGCCACATGTACAGTAACTGCGTCAAGAAAGAAGACAAAGCAGAGCAGCTCGCTGACGGACAGATTCGAGGAGACGACTTATTGCTTCTCTCATGTTATTCTTCATGTATGAAATTCAGGGTGTTTTTTTTCCCACCCCTCTGGAACAAGCCACAAACATGCATGGAAACAAAAATCTATTTTTATGGGTCGAATATACCAGCTTGTTGTGGATGTCGAATACATAAAAAAAAACGAATTGTGGGATAGATTTGAAAGGATCGGGCTGCAGAGCCAGCTTGAATCCAAAGGTGGTGGGCGGGTGCATTAATATTGCTTTGGTTCTGGAAGGATCGTGTTATGGAGAAGGGCTCAAAATAACCGCGAGGAAGAGAGGTAGAAGGGATTTCTTCAAAGATTAGAGCAAATTAGCAGCAGCAGGGAGAAACTGGAGGGAGAATCCCAGCAAGCAATTCTCATGGTGATCAGACGGAGAAAAGCCGTCCAAGGATCCAGACTAGAAATAGCGTTGGAATGTAGTTGTCATAATGTCCCAAAAAGTTTCACTACTCAACTAAATGTAGCTCAGATGACGACTTATTCGTGGGCTAATGCTTGTTGGGTGCGAATCAGAAAAGAGAGGACAACGTGAGGCACCTTTTGAAGAAATATTTCGGCAAGTGAAGCACCTTATCGAGTGAGAATTTGCAGGTTTGGGCCGCAGCTGCAATATGGTTTTATAGCATAGCATTTTGAGCAAGATTGAGCAAGAATACGCCTGCTGTCATGAAAAGGGGCCAGGTACCAGATTCATAACGCTGCAACTCTGCAGAAAACAACTGTGTTTCTCATTGTTTGCATAATGAAGCAATTATAACAGTATGTTGGAATGTCAACACATGAGGTTCATGTTGCTTGTGAATGTTGCCGTTGTATTTCACCATGTTTGAATAGTGCAACATAAAAAATGACATCAACTCTTACCAGATGTTGTTTTTTGTGCTACGCTTTTGAAATTGCAAAAGAAACACATCTTGCAATGTTTGCTGCAACTGATAGAGCTAAGTTGGGTTTATATGCTGATTACTCTCACCGTCAGTTGGCCAGCACTTAAATAAATCCTGTCAGCTATTTAGCTTCACAGCATATTTTTACACTCACTCAAATTAAACAAAACAATTCCAGATGCACTTAGATTTCCCTCAGTACTCGGAAAACTACACACAAGAATTGAGTCATCTTGAATCACAGTAATTTCTTACTTTGTACTGAATGTCTGTAATAACGGTCATAAGGAGCGTTCTCGCGTCATTATCATGCCTTGGAGTAAAGACAACCAAGGAAATATCATCCGCAGTCACTCTCATCTCTTCAAAATATGCGGCAGTGGCAATTTTCAGCATCATAAAAAAGTAGGAGCTTTATTCATCTGAAATGCAATAGCACTTAACTTATAAGTGGTACAATAACGTTAAAATCTCCACAGAGGACTCGTCAATTCTGTGCTTCTCAGAAACCTGGTGCGTTGCTTGTGAGAAAAAAAGGATATTGCCTTCATAGTAAATAAAGTGTGACACAACTTTACAGTTACATTGTTATAAGAGCAACTCGTGCCGCACTAATAAAGGTTGATACAGAATTTACCTCTTTATCTCTTTAATATTTGCAACCAAACATATATTCCATGAACACCATTAAATCTACATTTTCCATTTCTACATCGATCGAATAGACTTTTCGATGCCACTTGATGAAAATAAGAACGTAACAATGCAATAACGGCTGTATGAGAGCTTTTGCATTCCTAAGTAGGAAGAGATCAAATTCACGATCGATTTGAAGCGAGTCGGAAAGAAAGAGGGAAATGCGTGACTTCTAATCAGTAACCTCGCATTGACTCCACCGCCCCCCCTTTTTTTCCTCATACGACAGAGCGTTTCCCCAGAGCCTCCGACCGCTCTGCAGGGCAACAGTGGAGCAAAATGGACTCTCGCGAAGAAGAAGAAGGGAAGAAAATCCCAGAAGGGAAGAGAGGAGAGGAAGAAAATCTATGCGAGAAAGGTATTTTTAAGATGGGAGGAATGGGGGAGCCAAAAGGTGAGGGGGAGGAGTGAGAGAGAAAAGCTCACTATCAGAGAAAGCTGTGAAACCATGTCAACTATGTCCGAATGCTGAACATGATCGCAAGATATTCATTTCTGTTAGCTTTAGTTGGCCTCACATTCACTGAGGAAAGAAAGAGTAAGTGCTGCGACTGGATTCCTGCAGTGCATGCTGGGAGAGAGACGGAGCTCGCTAATGAGCGCGCCTGGGAGAGTCGGCCTTGTTGTTCTGTTGAGTGTTATTTCGAAATACCGCAACCGTGAGATCGGGGCGGGAAGTTAAGTCGAGCTGTCAAAAAAAGCCCCGTTCGATGTGGGTTAATTGCTCGGGGAGAAGGAACCTCGTGATCTTCATTAGTTGTTTTTACTTTTTCCACAAATTCATCTGTTACTTATTTTGAATTGAACAGCTCAGAAGTTCTACAGTCACTGCAATCCCCGTCTTTCTGTCGCTCCAGTATGAGCGATCAGTGACCTCTGACCCCTGCAGTTTAGTCAGTCTGGCAGTTAGGATAATGGACAATGGCCCAGACGGCTCAGTCAAGCACCTCATCTTAGTTTTGTCTCTAGATTTTTAATAGAAAAAATGAAATGCACAATTTAATCCACATTTAAACCAATCACATTTATTTTGTTGTTGCTTTTAATTGTCATCTCACCTCGTGATGATCAAAATAAGGATGTGGCAGAGGAGGAATCTGTGTCATCGTCTGACCTCAAACTAACGTTGCTCCAGTGATATAATGGCATCTACTTTTTCTCTGGTTCTCCCAATCAGTTTACAAACAACATAAAATTACATTTTACATTCATTCAGTCATCATTTAAACCATAGGGATTGTTAAACAGTAAATCAAATTAAGCAAGATGGTCAGACTCTCCATTATAAACAGATATAAAATTGATAATAGGTGATAAAAACTAGGATGACGTCTCCTGCATGTCTGGCAGTGCCTCAAATGTACTGTAAATAAAGAGGAATAGTCCACCTAAAACATAAATGAACACACAAATGAGAATAAAAATGTTTAAATGATAAATTAGCAACAGTTCTTCTTTCAAACAAAGCGTTGGGTAAGTGCGTCTCATAAATAACTGTAAGAGGACGTGTCCCAAACTTCCGAGATGGTGTGTGGCAATAAATAAGTTGCGCTGATGCTCGTGGGGGGAAGATGTGTCTTGTTCCGAGTGATGCGTCAGGGCAGCAAAAGGCAAAGAGGACCAACTCACCAGGCCTGAGACTTCCTCCTGGGGACGCCCTGTCTCGTCCACTTGGAGTGAGGGGTCAGGTGGAAGATCAGCTGGCGGCAGATCTTGTTGGTGGACTTGAATGAGTCGGTCTCCTGTACGACAAACACACAAAGGGCGAATGACGCACAGCTGATGCACATTTAGTCACACGACTAAAGGTAACGTAAGGTAAAAAAGGTGCCTTTGGATAATCAGGGTGAAAGTCATTCATAAATACTGGAGGTTTGATCTTCCTCTTTTTCTTCCTGCAAAGTACAGCGGTACGGATTTAAAGAAAAAAAGTGTCTTTCTTGTTCTTCGAGGGCAGCTGCTTCAAAAGGTTTCTACCTTGAAAACACATTAATTTATTTCCCTTTTCGCTCTTTCTCCACGTCTCTCCTCTCCTTCATTCCCTTCTCCCACCTACATCAGAGACTTTAAACTGAATGGGTTGCGCTGACCAGTGTAAATCTAATTAGTCGTACAACACAACAACAAGTAAAAAGGCAATGTGGCGTGAGGGAAAAAATAGACTCATTTAGCTGGAGGCGATTAACCATTTCCGCTGCCGCTTCCTTCTCAACAACCAACAAAAACAGGCCTCAAACTTTTTCAACCAGTTGGATGACAAACAAAATCACTAAATTCTCAAGCGATCTTCGATAATCACGGCGCTGCAAAGCTGAGTGCATCCAGAATAAATCTGGGAGCGGACGACCATTAGCTTTCAAACATCCATATAGACTCCATAGTCTCTAAGTCCTGACTCGAGTTTATCGTCTAAATAAATATCAGCGTGGGGGACAGAGGTGGGCTTAGGGGCAGCTGCCGGGCCTTAAATCCTCTCTACATCCTCGTCACGTCTGACACAGTACGCCGCCGCGGGTCGCAGCCTGTCAGACGGACGCTGCCGGCTCCTCACTTTCCCAGCAGTCCCCCCGGCCTCCCCCCCTCGCCCCGGCCCCCCTCACCCCCCCCCCGCTCGCTAAAGCAAACCGGTTGATTATCAACTGACTCGATATGTAAAATAGTAGACTGTAAGATAGCAGTGATTTTATTCCACGTTACCCCCGTTCTTTTCCTAAGGGAGACAACTGCCGACCTGAGACGAGTGTACTGGCTGCTGGGTCCGTGTTCTCCTTCACAGTCGGACTGAATTAGAATTTTAATATCTTGGATTTGTTTGCCGTGCTACGAGCGGATGAGCTGGCTCGATGAATCCAGATCACTGGGGCACACATAAGCATAATCAAAGCGCTTGTCAAATTGATTTACATATAAGACTAAAGTTCATTTTTTTTAAGACAAATATGACACCTGCAGGCTGCAGCAATAAAGACGAGTGGCTGGCTTCACAGCACTCAGTAGACTCAGTTTGACCCCGCTGACCCTCTTTCCCCCCCGTCAGGACCCTCAGTGCTCTCATTAGTCGAGCCAAGGCCGCGCTGACCCACTATTGGCCGTGGCCGCCAGCCCGCGCTTTTGGGTGGGCGAGCTTCTGTCTCACCCACACCGGCGGGTCTCGGAGCACATCTGCTACCGTTTGCCAAAGTGTCCAAAGAGCACACGAGCGGCAGGACGGACCGACGGCGCGGAGCCAGATCCTGACCCGCGGCGTCCCTTCGGCCCTCCTGTTCAAATGCAAAGTGAACTGTGGGTGAACACGGCTGAAAACATGATGCCTGTTAAGACACTTTGAGATGGAAGTAACCGTTGGATTCTCACCCTTTTTGGACACTGCAGGTCCCGGGCGAGACTGAGCAGCAGCTCGTGAGAAATGGGGTCCACCAGGTTTAGAAAAGCAGCGTTCTTGTACAAGATTTCATTGAGCGACGTTCCCTGGAGCCCCAAATCCTGAGAGAAAAGTAGAGAGAGGAAGATGTTAACTGTTAAATCATCCAAGTCGGAGCCGCGTTTAATTAAATATTGAGTTGACGTTCCATGGATAGTTTAAGAAAAATAGAGAACATTTATGAGTTTCTTTCATCATCCCCTTTCATCTTGCCCTTTTATCATACTGTGATAAGTTCCTGCTTTCAGCGTCTTCTGTTTACCGCCAATGCTGCTGATTAGAGGAAAGTGTGTGTGTGTGTGTGTGAGGGACGTGGGGGGTAAAGTTTCAGTAAGATAAGATAAAAGCAGTGTGGTCGTTCTTCAGATATTACAGCTCCTGCGCTGCAGTGAAGAGAACAACACTCACTTCTGGCTCCACTTATCTCATCACCTTCACTTGTAATTTTTGGCTCAAGGGACTTTCTATTATTTCCACCAAACACGTCACTGAACCATCGTTGCGATTCCACTTAAAAGCACTTCCACTTTCTACCTTCAATCGTCAGCATTCGTGGGATAAAGATTCAGTGATGTGAAGGGCGGAACCAGGACACCGGCCCAGGTGATTCAGGTACTTTTATCCTTTTCAGGAGGTTTCTCTCTGCAGAGACTGTAAATATTTTGCATCTTTAAGTGACACTTTGAGTGCTGAGGAGCTTTAAGCCTCGGGGGAAAGATACCGACGCAACAAAAAGGATACAAACAACAAAATCAAAAGAAGGGAAGACATGAAACGAACAACAGATAATAAAAGGCAATTAAAGGAAGTATCTTCTTTTTCAGGAATAAAGCCGTTAAAATATTTGTTTTCCCTCCACTCATAAACGCCGTCGTGTCTGCTGCTCCTCGTGAACAAACATGTTTAAATCCATCGTGTTCTTGTGAAACTGAAGCTGAGCACTTGTCAGATCCGTATGAAGTGAAAAGCCTTGGCAGGCTGGAGGTGGAAGCCGTGTAAAAACTTGCTATAAGCTCTGACAGCCCCGCAGCACTTAGACAAAGAGGAAAGCTCCCATCAGCATTTTCTCCTCCTCCGGGCCTCTGCGTTGATTCATTACAGCGGAGCTCTGTGGGATTCCCTGACGCTGGACCGTCCTCCCTCCAATAAACCTCATTCAGCACAGACCACGCTGGTCCATAAATGGAGGCAGGGAGGATTTTGAAGATTAAATTGCGATGATGATGATGATGATGTGTGTGATACATGGTGCAGCAGCAGCAGCAGCAGCATCGGATGTGAGCGGCTGAAACGAAGCCCATTTAAACAAAAATCCACACATAGATCGGATCTTGTAGATTCATTTGACTGATTGCTATTACACCTTTCTACTATTTGTGCCCTCCGGTCGCACCACAAGCGTCCTTGTGGAAGCTGCATGTGTAATCAGACGTCACAGGAACTCAGAATAAAGCGATGAGCTCCAAACGGCAGAACATCATCCCACACGTGCGGGTTCATCACAATCCACTTAAATATGTTGCACAGTGTAACATATTCCGGTGCCACAGTTTTCTCTTTCAGTGGAAGTAACCTGTGGCAGCTGTCAGGTATCCAGTTGTGTTTTCTTATTTTTTCAGCATTAGATGTTCTTTACAGGTTCGGATGAAACGTCGTGAGATTTTATACAATCAGTTAGAACTGCCTGGCTGTTCTGTGAATAATAAGAACTGATAAGTGATTCACAGACGCAGATGCCCCACCAGCAGCAAATAGGGCTTTTGGCAAATATAAATATATATGGCAAGTAGGACAAGGTCAAAATGTCAGCTTAGTCAAATACGACGAGACATATGAGGAACACTTCCTTCTTGTATAATCTATGAGAACTGGGTGCACTCTACTTGATGAGGAATTTTGCTCACATTACCACGGTCCCATTAGCAATATGTCCTTTAAAAAAAGTACACATTGTACTTTTATCCAAAGTCATGTTCTATCCAAATTTCTATTTAAACTAAATAAATCAGCACTTTATTGAAATGTAATTAGCTATTTACAAAGTGAGTCTCTGATGTGCACATTCATGTCCACCACATATTCATCATAAGTTGTAGTTGGGTCACATCAGAGTGACCGAAACTAGACCTTTTTCGCATGATCTTAGTTATAGCACATGCTGAGTGCGCTCTGCAGGAGCCATTTGTTATGTCTGCGTACAACATGTTTGCATTGGGAACCGATCTCAGGTTGATCACGGGTGGCGGTGTATGTAAGCGTGGCAGTTTACATCTGGGGAACGGGTACAACTGACATGGGTAACGATGCACGGCGTTTTTCACTGCTGGTTAAGACACACAGAAGGGGACCGGGTTATGTAAAGTCGTGTATTATAATGTGTGCAGAGCAAAGGACGGAAGCTGGAAGCACTGGAATCTCTGTGTTAGCGAGAAAGGAACAGGACCTCCTCCTGCAGGAGTGGCTTACTGAATTCACCACTCCTTCGAGAAACATAATCACTTTCTTGCTTAAGGTCAGATGAGAAGATGAACCATATGTACAGCTTGCACAAAGCTACAGACTCAAACCAACACATGGCCCCCATGTGGACCGATTGCAGCCTTTATGCTAAGCCATGGTAAGCCTTTCATCCAACTTCTATTAAGAAAGTGAATATATGTGTTTCCCAAATATATCAAACAACTTGATTAATGTGGGTCAGGTAGCTTTGACCAATTAATTGGTTTTCATGAACGTTTACCTTTGATAACAGAGAGGCAAACCTCAACTCCACAAAGCTTTTATTGGATGATTAAAAATAAACCACAGAGGCACCACAGGTTTTGTGTTGATGGATTTTAAGTTGAAAAAAATAAACAAATGACTTGCGTTGTGACAGCTAACCCCAGACTTTACACACTACAGAGAGCACCTCAATTAGTGTCTCCTCCATCGCTGCACAGTGGTTACTCGCTGCGCACGCTGTCGAGTGCAGTTGACAAGAGTTTGTGCTGATTCTTTGTTTATTAATTCAAGATCCCAAACTAATTAACTTAATGACCAAAAGGGAAGATCTGTCATAGAGATGCAGCCGTACGCTATTGGTTCCTCTTTCTTTGCCCAATGTAAAAAAAATCATCTTCCAGCTTCCATCATCTCAAGGTCAATATCTCGGAATCCCTCCATCTCTGAGAAGAAAAGCTGCTGGTTTATCCCACCCTCCCCGTCTTGAAGTATTGTTAGTCAAGCGCTTGGCTTCGGCCCCGACGACATAAAACAGTGTCCCGTTCGGCCCATCTGGCTTCGCCTCACTGAGTGATGGACAGCGCCTTCGTGCTTCGTGAGCAGTTTAAATGTGCAGCTATGGAGGAAACTGCCCTGCTTGTCGTTGATGTATTGATCTTTACGATCCTTTTCAGAATAAGACACGGCGAGCCGACGGGCGTCTATAACGAACAAGGGCGGCATCGTTTAGCTCTAACTGGAAGACGCGCCTGCTATCCCTCCAGCTTCACGCAGACAGGAACCTTCATGAGGAACCTTTTACATGCTCATGAATGGATTCCAGCCTACAAGTGATACAAATCTACCTTCAAATCCAACTTCTCAGACACCTGTAGCCTCCTCCTCACCATTGCTTCTGGTTCTAGAGCACTGGATGTAATTTATTCCGCAGCATCGTGCAGATGGGCAGGGAGTGTGCATGGCAGGAGAACTGCTTTTGTCTGAACTTCCAAACTTCTCTGCTTTGATCAACATACGGCCACCAGAAGACAGTTAGAAAGCTCCAGCTGAGCTAAACGTTTTCTTTATAATTCTCCTCTTTGGATAAAGCTTCAGAAAGTGAGGATTAGGACAAGGGAAAGTGTGCATGGAAAAAAACGTGGAAGGCATGAAATAAACATGCATCATCACGCTGACCACAAGGCGTGTTTGAACATTACTGGGCAACTGGGGACGTAATAAAGCCTTTTAACAAGACCACATTAGAAAGAATTAACTGTGTTTGAGCTGCTTATGCACGTTAAATATTTAAAACGTATTTTTAACCACGCTTATTTGTACATTTCAAAACCTCCTTTACTTAATGGCTGAAAAAGACAGCATATTTCGCTTCGGCATTTTATTGACTCAATATATTCCTTTTAACCTGAAACGACCGTGTTACCAAGCGGCCTCTGGCTAGTACCATTTGTTAGAAAAATAATGCGGCAATCATTCACTTGGGAACACAAAGTTTGTTACATAAGGAATAAAAGTAAGCAGGTCTTTTTGAATTGGTTTTTGGTGCCGGGCTAACACAATATCCCCAGTGTTCATGTTGTGGGGGGGTTGATTGAATATTCAGAGGCTGAACTCTGCCTTCCATCCATTTCTTTTCAGATTAAACAGGTGGTTGATTTAAAACAGAGTCTCATTATGAGGACCTCGTTTTTTCCTCTGGAATATTAAGTGTTTATGCCAGGGAAGTTGAGAAGAGAATGATTAAATGACTAAACCTTGTTTTAACACGCTGACACCTGCAGACACACCTGCTTCATGAAAAGTGGGATTTTTTCCAATGCGTGACAACTGAGCTTTATTCATTTTTCAGTATATTTGTGCAGAGAATAAATGTCAGATTTATTTGAAATATGGTGAAAAAACAACTGCATGAACGTTACATTACATACACGACATAATCACATCACGCGTGTGTCAGTAAATATAAAAGCCGATGATAAATATAAGATAATAAATAAGTAAAATGCTTCTAAACTCTTTTTAGTCACAAACGCACTTAAACCACGTCTCTAGCTCCCAAGTCACAGTCTGACGGATCAAGACATCAAAACAACGTCGGCCCTTTACCTTCCTCAGCAGTTTGAGCACTTCGGCCGCCTGCTCCATCCTCTGCTCCCGGAGAAGCCTCTGGATCTCCCGGATCCACGCCACCCGCCCGACGTACGGGCTGTGGTGGCTTTTGCGCAGCATCCCCGGGAGCTTGTCGGACTTGAGCACCAAGGAGGTAAACAAGAAGTCTCTGGCGCCACTTCTCTCGCTCTCCGCCGGGTTGTCATTCCTCTGGCGTCTCCTCTTGGACACTTTGGTTTCCAGATCGAGACTTCTCTGTCTGGTCAACTTGGAACCCATCACTCCCGGGAGGATGCGTCGGCGGCGGCGGCGGCGGCGAGAGGGATGTTACAACGCGCAGCCAAAACATGCCACCTCACACGCGCCCACGCACTGGAATAAGGCGTTAAAGTTTAAAGAAGCAGTGTCGTGAAACAACGACGTGTGTTTCTCACGAGGTCTCACCCCCCCCCCCCCCCACCCCCCCGCACCCCCATGCCTGCAATCCGTCCATGCACCGCCTGAGCTCTCCAGCATCCTTTGCTTTGCGCGCAGCTGGCGCGCTCCTGAGCCAATCAGAGAGTCTGATATCTGCTCAGCTTCACAGAACGGGACATTAACTGTGGGCTTGAGATGGAGAGAGGCTTTAATCATTTTGGATCAATTAATTTGTGGCGATGCGTGTTTAGCAACAAAAAACTCTCTGTCTGAAGAAAAGGTCGGTGAATATGAGGGACGTGTCTGTTTGCTCATCGTGGAACCAAAAGGTATGAAACAGTTGGGTCCATAAACAGCAGATGAGAACACTGCATGAGACCGAAAGTGTCTTGCCCAAGGACACATCGGCATCGGCCTGGGATCGAACCGAGGAGGACAACCGTGCTCCCCACTCACCCACACACGCCCTGCATCCCCATCCTTCTGGTGCCATATGGTCTCACAGACTCTGTCTGGATCTTTAGGATTTCACTGCACACCTCAGTATCAGGGCGGAGGATTTGCTGGATTGTCCAGGTTCTTATTTTTTCTCACTGTATTCTCGAGACTCTCGAGTGAGATCATGTGAGCTGGCAGGCGTCAAGAGCCACAGATTTTCAAATAGAGGGTTTTATTTACCTAAAATATACACAAAGAGAACTTTGCTAATCGGTGGAAAAACAACGATGACTAAAACTATCAACAGCACAACAACAGAAACCTTTTACATTTAAAGCGATCACCCTCGATGAACACAAACGATGGTCTCTTGAGGAAGTTCTTATCGTCCGTAAAGTGAACAAAAACCTCAACCACATTGTCAGATCAGAAAAGGGTAAAATTACATTTCTCAGTCTTGTAGAACGTCACATCGGAGAACGTATAAGCAGTTCATTGCAATTCTCTGCTACAGCTGTTACAGCTGTTAACTGTAATCGTGACTTTTTATCTTGTGTCTTCAGGCCGACTGCAGGATGTTGCAGGACGTGAGTTCACAGCGGCAGGAGAACATGCGCAGTACTTCATGAAGGAGTGTTTCATGATATTTGGTATTATCTCACAGGCTGCTCGTTCTGTTTCTCGCTGCATGCCAGTGTCCCTCTGTGTTTTATGTGCAACCATTTAATATTCAAGGGCCATCATTTGAGAAATCCTGACATTTTCGCTGCGTCTCACGGTGGCGTTGTCCTCCAGCAGACGCTGTCAAGCCAAAAGTGGGACTCATATATCTCCGTTGAGGTGTTTTGTGGCTCAGCTTGCATGCATTCTGCATAATAATATCAGGCTAATATAGAGCCTGTTGATCTTCCTGGCAGAGCATAGACGTGTCGGGCTCTGATGTGTATTCTTTGTACTTCCGCCCAAAAATTGGGTTTCCCAAAGAAGAAGAAGAAGAAGAAGAAGGAGGAATGGGAAATATTTTGTTGAAGAAGAAAAAGACAAACATGGCTGTGAAGTTGTTGTAGTAGCATGCAAACAAAATAATGAACAAAATTCATTTTGTTTTTGTTTCGTTTTTATTGAATGAAGGAAGAAATCAGGAAGATGGATCAGTGCAGCTGCTTAACAGATATGGTCCAATTCACGGAGATGTGGCTTTCCAAATAGTCCTACAGTATATCCATTATATACACTCTATTAAAACCTGCTTATAATTACCGTATTAGATCAAAACCTTGTTTTTTGGCCGGTGGGTGGCGACTGAGCGATGTGAAATTAAAGATATCAAGTTGAAATTAAAACTTCCAAATAGTATTCCAGGAAAGTTAACCAATATGCAATATGCATGGTCTTATATCAGTGTCCTTCTCTATATGGAGTTATGTAACCTACATTGGATATTTAGTACAGCTGGTGGGCTACAGCTGTGGAAACACAAACAATAAGAGTTGCTGTTATCACAGCTGAGACTTAAAGTCCAATTGTGGGTCCAAAGGAGCGAAAGAATAGACTGCAGCCATGCCGACTCTTTGGATGTTGGTGTTTGATGATTGATGTTGAAGAGTTATATAGGGATTCAAATTCAAGGCCGTTCTTTTCTCTAATTGCGTACATGCGCCTCCACCTCCTCCATCCCAACCAAGGAGGTTATCCGGATGGGGAAGGTGTAGGATAACCTGGGTTAGCTATTGCTGCAAGGCCCCTGTTGGCCTCCACCTACCGGCCTGGCTGCTTATTTAACGGACACATCTCCCCCAGCTCTGCACTCCTTCCCACTGTTCCCCTGCAGTTTGTTCTTTCCTCCCTGCATGGCAGATGTGATCCTCTCCCTCGCAGCCCTGACAGCTATCACTACTTTCTGCCAGTGAATTGTGTCTTCCTCTCAGTTTCAGGGTCATGCAATTATAATTAGTCATGCAAGATGCCTAATTATTTGAGTGATAACTTGTGTGTTATCAGAAGTTCTCACTTCCCCCCTCTGCATTTTTTCCTCTCCCTATGGTGAGCCAGTACACTGTAGGTGTTTTATGGTGGGGTGGGTTAAAGTTTAATGACTTGAATAGTTACACATTAAGAAGCAAAGTAGGTCTATTACTCATTTGCTGCCGCAGAACGCAGCAAACAAACGCACACAGCGCCGCTGACGTCCCGAGAAAAAAGACAAGGTAAGACAGAAACAAAATGTTTGACATGTCTGGTACAATGTTGAATATAAATATAAGTCTTGGCTTGAAGTTGATTCTTTCAGGCTTTTCATTTCTGAAAGAACGTTGTTATTTGACACCTGAGGACAGAAAATATGTTATTTTTAATAAATTGTTTGTGTACACGTTCTAACAGAAATTATTACTACAACTAGATTAAAAATAATCTGGTTTCATTCCATTTAGGGTTTGATGCAAATTGGGGTCTTTTTAGGGTTATGTTCTATGTACATTGCGACATAGGTGTCACAACATGACATTTAAAAAGAAAAAAGAATGTTTGATGTGCAGAAGCAAAAAGCCTTTTGATGTGAACGACACAAATTCTTACAGTAAGTAAAGTTTGAGTAGTCTTAAAGCTGTTCAAACGACGTTGCGTCTATTTTGTCATCGCATTCTACTTTAATAGAGCTGCAGAGATTTTAACATTTGTTTGAACACAGGTTTCCACACAATACAGGTAATATTACCATAAAGCCCCAAATCTACTGTCCCGCTGTATAGTGAAGTTATATCAGGATGTGTTATTTTTATTTTTTTATTTAACCTTTATTTAACAAGGTAAAAATCCTATTGAGATCGAGATCTCATTTTCAAGGGCGACCTGGCCAAGAAGGCAGCAGCACACGTTGTTACAAAACCGCCATAAAATACATACACATGACATGAGTAAAACCACAATGTCATTAATAATTCAATACGTGGGTTTACATTTTCTTGTGAGTTGTATTGCTCCACATTTCTGGATATTTGTTGACGACGCTGATAATAATGTGATGTGTAATTTGTGTTTGATTGTTTTTTTTTCCTCTCGACAGGCGTTAAAATAAACCATCTACTGTTCCTACGCTGTGAATATGGTAAAGGTAACGATAATAGTGGCACTGGCGATCCTGCTGTTGGCGTCAGTGGCCACGTTCGTGGGTGTCTTCTTCGGTATGGGGGCGAGGAAGCAGCCGGGTGAGCAGGTGTACTTGAAGGCGGCTGTGGCGGCGGACGCTGGGCCTTGTTCCGAGGTCGGCAGGTGAGAGCTTTACGGATCGGAACATCCATTGCACAGACTCCTACATCCATAAACGTATATGAGCAAGGAGGTTGCTCGTTTTATTCTTTGCCAACAAAGCTCACCGTCCACTCCTCCTCTGGTAGAGACATTTTGGTGAAAGGCGGCTCCGCAGTTGATGCCTCCATCGCCGCGTTACTGTGTGTTGGGCTCATGAATGCTCACAGCATGGGCATCGGAGGAGGACTTTTCTTCAACATCTACAATGCAAAAACTGGTACTTTTCACATACTTTACCACCGTAAACCTTCAGCGTACTTTCCAACTTTCCTTCCGGTTGCCTCGATCTTAAATGTAAATTCCCTGATTTGTCACCATGCACACAGGGACGGTTGAGACCATCGATGCCAGGGAGACGGCGCCACGCAATGCAACAGAGAACATGTTTGGCAACAGTACGGATCTTTCCCAGAAAGGTAATGTTTAACCTGCGCTATCGGACATGGAAATGAGCTGACGAAAGCTGCAGTTCAACCTATTGTGAAAGAGGACGACCTTCTGATAATGACTGACAAAAGAAAGTGCATATTTGATAAAACCGTGTCTTAGAAGTGCGTGTGTGTGTGTATTTTCAAGGGTAATAAGTCTTTGTTTCCTTTGCTTCGATGGGCGGTAGGAGGGTTGTCTATCGCTGTACCGGGGGAGATTCGAGGCTATGAGATGGCACACACACGACACGGCAAACTGCCTTGGAAAGACTTGTTCCAGCCAAGCATCAGTCTTGCAGAAAAAGGTTTTCCTTTGGGCCGAGCACTTGCCTCAGCTTTGTCCCGCCATAAGAAAACGATCGTCACAGACGAAGCACTGTGGTGAGAGTCACGCACCCTAAGCACAATGAAATCAGTGTTGGACTATCTGAGATTTTAGGCAGGTTTCATTCCCACTTAAAGATAATTTATTTTATTTCAGTGAAGTGTTTTGTGGGAAAAATGGCGACGTCCTGAAGGAAAATGACACCATCAAATTTACCAAGCTTGCAGAAACTTATAGGACAATAGCAGAAAAGGGTCCTAATGCTTTCTACGAAGGACAACTGGCTCAGAACCTTGTGTCAGATATTCAGGCAGCAGGTAGGTTTCATTTGAATTGTATCTTAAGTCATACAGGTTATTAAAAAAGCTTATTTTCTTTGTTAGATAAAAAGGTTGACTACTGATAGCAATAATATTAATCTAGATGTATGGTAAAAAGGTTGAAAAACCAAGTCGTCCTTTTTCTTTATTTTACAATCCATGTAGATGATGATGATGAGATCATCTTTCTGTTCCATTTGAAGCACGTTCATCTCACACACAAGGACATTATCATTATGATCGTTTCCAATTATGTTAGCACTAAAAGTGATTTTCTAAAAACACTTCAGGCGTGTATCACAACATGTACTAACATGCACTCTCTGTGCATGGCTAATTCTAAGGAGGATTAATCTTTCCAGTTCTGTCCAAGTGTGCATTCACAGTGTGTGTCGATCCGTGTTCAGGCGGTCTCGTCACATTGGAGGATCTGAAGGATTATGTGCCCGTCTTGGATGAGAAGCCTCTAAGGGTGAATGTGGGGGCGTACACCATGGCTGTTCCCAATGCCCCCGCTAGCGGCCCCGTGCTCTCGCTGATATTAAACATCTTGAATGGTAAGCTTTGATACTTTGTCCAAAAATGTCCCGAGTGGGTGTGCTTTCATGTGAGCTGCCTTCACTCTGCCAGTCACTCTCTCGGACTCCACTGCACAGTGAATCTGCTCTAAAAGCTTTCTCGCTTACCTGAGAGAGACCTGGTCTGCTTTATGAAACACAGACCCGCGTTTACACCTGTTTAAAAAAAGAGTTAAACTGTACTACCATGACATGTATCACTGCAACAGACATCTTTTAGGACGTAAAATAACCCAGTTCCATGTCACACGAGACAAGACTTCGCCTTAAGAACAGAAGACTTGACAACAATCCTTCCTTCCCCTCCATTAACTAGAACAGCAGAACATTTAATTCAAAGATTACCACAAAGGTTGATACACACATTTAAAGAGTTAAGTGTTACACATTTTAGCATTTACAATAGTCAGGTTTATGAACATTGGAAGGGTTTTGCAATTTATTGTTCCTTGTGTTGATATTGGCCATTCAAAGCTCTCTTTCAAATCCTCTTTCACATTGGATCTGCTTTAGCAAGACCATCTACTTAAAATGCCTGTATGCAGAGTAAGCTACCGCTAACAGCTGACTCTGCTCAGCATTAAGAGGAAAACAGGCTGCTTGTGGGTCCATCTTCACCAAGTGTGACAGCAATGCTGCTCGTGTCTTAACCTTGTCGGTCTCTGTATGAATGTTTATGCTTCGTGAACAGATTTCGTCATCGCAAAAGTGTCCTAACTGTGCAAGAGGCAGACGCGCCACCTTAAAGGTGTGTAGGAGATAACAATAGGAGGTTAGGAAGTGTGGAGGGGGGGATTGGCCCACTCGTTTTACGCCCCTAGGCCCAGTTTGGCTTTGCATTCCATCTCATGATGGTCTCAACATGTTGGTTCTCGTGTCCAAGAAAAATCCAGCAAATCACTGTAACCCTGTAGGGGGGCCTCTGTTTGATTGGCGTAGATCCAAAGATAATGTGTGTGTCTTCGGAGATGTAAAGTTCATGAACATGCTGCTGATCAAATAATATTGGCATATTTCTTGTCTGTGTACATCACAGTCTGTGCTGCTTTTCAGTACAGTACAGTCGGCCTTTGAGGATTAGATGAGAAACTTCCTTCCATAGTAATTAATCGCCCCAAACCTTCCCTTTCCTCCGACTGGCCGCCCCCTCGCTGCGGCCCCCTGTCTCCCATGCTGGCACTAATCTCACCAATTTTGCCCCTAATTGGACATGGTCGAGTGGTCCAGGCTTCAACCACATATTTCAGCGATCGTCCAAAACTTTGATCCAGCTGATTTACCCGTGAGTCCTGCCTCTCCCTGACAGCTGAAACCCCTCAAACCGAAACTCTCCGCTTCCCTCGGCAGCTCAGCTCGTCTGTCTGGACGTAGCTCCGGTCCATTTCAGATTGTCTCCCTTCCAAACAGCCAGCTGAATGAAGCCGTGTTCTAAATAAAGTTGCTGATGAGTGTGACGTTTTCCGCAGGGTACAACCTCACCTCAGATAGTGTGGCAACCACGGAGAAAAAGATCCTGACCTACCATCGTGTTGTGGAGGCTTTTCGTTTTGCTTATGCAAAGAGGACCTTACTCGGGGACCCGGTGTATCTCAACATCACAGATGTACGGTCAAATCTTTTCCCAACACCTCAACACACCCGTAGAAAGTATCAACATGTGACAACATGGCAAACTTCAGCTTTGAATCGGTATTACCAATGTAGGTGTTTTCTTGATGTTATGTTTCTAATAGTCTGTGGAGAAATTGGTGTCGGATACTGCTATTTCATCCCATTGACATGAGTATCTTGAGACATATTTAGAAGCGTGCCCTTTTTTCATGGATTTGTAGGAACAAAAATACAATTTCCCAGAACACAAATCCATAAATGACACTCATCAATATGTTTTGGTTGAATATTCGGCACATGAATTATTCCTGTGTCCACGTTTGTTCTTCCAAAAGCTCATCCAGAACATGACTTCGTCTTTCTACGCCGATGGCCTGCGTGAAAAGATCACCGATGGATCCACACATCACATGAACTATTACGAGCCCGAGTTTTACCTGCCTGAAAACCACGGCACCACCCACATCTCCGTAGTAGCAGAAGACGGAAGCGCCGTGGCCGCCACCAGCACCATCAACCAATAGTATGACAAACAAATTGATCGAATTTGATGATGATGAATTTAATTCCCCAGACATGTTAACTGTAAATGTTTTCCTGCAGTTTGGGCTCTAAAGTCATGTCGAGATCAACAGGGATATTACTCAACAACGAGATGGACGACTTTAGCTCCCCGCTCATCACAAACGGCTTCGGAGTGCCTCCTTCCCCCAACAACTTTATCAGGCCAGGTAAGACAAAGACACAATAATCAAAATAAATGAAAGGTAATAAACACGATTCATTTGACTACTTTGTTAATTTAAACTACTATTCGATCGTGTTGAAAGGAAAAAGGCCAATGTCTTCTATGTGTCCAACCATCCTCCTCGACAAAAACAACAACGTTAAGATGGTGGTCGGAGGCTCAGGAGGAACTAAAATCACCACCTCAATCGCTCAGGTAATTTCAAATGCCATTTCAAATGTGCATTCCAACTAACTTTTAGCATTGGCGGAAATCTTGGCTGTTTTGTAGGTGATCCTCAATGCGCTGTTCTTCGACTACGACCTGGTTAAAGCCGTGTCGGATCCGAGGCTCCACAACCAGCTGAGTCCCAACGCCACCGTCGCAGAGCCGGCCTTTGAAAAAGTGAGTGTCACACACTGCGCACAACGACACACTCATGTGTGTGACTAACGGCAGGGCGAGTTGGTGTGTAGGGAGACGATCCTTCAACCAGAAGCAAAGCCACCACGGAGCAGTGATGCAGCACCTCAGTCGTGAACGGCACCCGAGACACTGTTCATTAAATTCAGCTTCAGGGTTGCGGAGAGGTTCAAGTTGAGTTTGTGGTCAGAGCTAAATAGAAGATCACAAGCTGGGGAACTCACATGATAATTTGATTAATTCACTTGGATGTCAAGTTATTTGCAGGTGATGATGTCACCCAACGGGATGTTGGCCAGGATGTTGGCATGGTCAAGTTCAGTGATTTCAGATTTTGTGCATAAAGTTGTTTTAACAGACGTGAGTCGACGTGAATTCTTTCAACGGGCAGGAAGAGCCCGGTGAACTTCGGAAACAAAGTGTTAAAGGACCCTGCTGTGTGATATGCAGCTGTTCAATTTCCCTCCTCTTGCATGTGAGTTATATATGCTCCTGTTTGGCAGACCATCCTGGAGGGTTTGGCGTCGAAGAACCACGAGACAGAGTTCCTCAAATCATCGGGAGCAGTTGTGCAGGCGGTGGTTCGCTATGAAGACGGACTCCACGCTCAGTCAGATCCTCGCAAGTGGGCGTACGCCGCAGGGTACTGAGGTCATAAAAACGCCTCTGATTGTGCAGAGAGACTCTAGCCATGTGAACCGTGACCCCAGAGGTAGGAGCCGAGAGATTAAAGACTTAATAAAGGAATAAGAACGTCAGCAGTCTTAAGGAACTAATCAGTTTTAGATTAGGTTCGACTAATGTTCATTTGCTGCATAACACAGATTGACTTGAGTGTGAAATTAATCTGGAATATTGACTTTCAAATCTAATGCATGTATGTTATTTCATCATGTCATGTAACAAAGACATGCATGAGTAAATAGATTTTAAAGGATAGCCTTAAACTGTGTTTAGTTCACACTGTTGATTGTGAATATGTTCAATTCCCACATCTTTCCAAATCACTTTTAGCAGCATAAAGCCGTTCTCCCAAAGTTATCATCCATTCATTTAATTTAATTTAATTATAGATATATCCACAAAGTAATTGACCAAAACTAACATACATCAAAAATTGTTTCATTTAAACTAATTTCCCCAAAACCAAATCCCCATGGGTCAAAGGCAAACAGCGCGAGAGTGACCTCTTAGAATAAAAGACTACCACACCTCAGGGTGTTATAAACAGTCCTACTTAATCACTACAGTAATTTCCCACAACCCAGAGTGCAACGGCCTGTATTGACCCCATGAAAACTGCAGCTGTTGCTGCTCACTGTCACTGCTGGGATTCAGGGCTCTTCTTTTCTCAACAGGAATGTAAATGTGTTACATGATCACTGACTTCCATAAAAGTGTAAAATGATGTAACGATCTCAATGTTTTGCTACCATTGACTGGTTCATATTTGACCAAAGCTGTTATAATATTAAGTAGTTAAATATTCACGACACAGATATTTATTTAAAAACAAATGAAAGACAATCTTAGTGTGAATGGATAATTTATTTTATAAATGTAATGTTTTTTTTATTTTTATGAAATTGATAAAATAGATAATGTAGATGTTTTCTATGTATAGTTTTTCACTTGACATGCAGATACTGTAATTATTCATTATTAAAACACACCCTCTGTATAAAAGTATATTGGTTCTTGGGTCTCAGGTTTTAAGCTGATGGTTAATAAGAGTTTACAGCCATTTCAACTCTTTGAGTTTGCACTATGTAGGCATAGCTCCGTGCTAACGTCAGCAGCTAATGCCAGCAGGGTAAAATGCTTGATGAGAATACGTTAAGTCTGGAACAAGATAGTGTCTCACCCGACAAACAGACCAACATTGTCGCCCTAGGAGCCATACAGCCAATGTGACAGAAATACAGTAGACCTGGATTGTGTGAACACACCGGATAATATGTCACAAGTCAGCTGGACATCTGATGCATGATTATGATTAGGGGCAGGTGGCATGTGCCGATCTCAGAGTGGTGTTTAATGATCTCCGACAAACAAATACATACAGATCCCCAAACAAATATAATAATCCACATAGAAACTCATACAAATGCAGAAATATATTTTTAATTTATTCATGTGTGCATATTTGTGAATTGTTCTGTGTACATTTGTGAGTAAAATTTATTTGTAAATCTTTTCTGTGTGCATTAAATGTTTGTGCCATATTTGTGAATCTGTGCGCATTTGTGAGTCTTTCTGTGCGCATCTGCAATTATTCAGACTGATCTGACCCCTTTGAATTTAGCTGATGCTGCTTTGAGTGAAAGACATTTTCTGCGTAATGTAAAATGATGCTTTAAATGGCTTGGAATCATGCAAAGAGGGTCAGATAAGGAAGCTATGGAGTCACATGATATCCAGATTAACTCATTTGTCAAACAACAAAGACAGTGGTGCTTCATGCAGGCTAAAATTTCCATAGTCTCATAGCGCACATCCAGTGCTTCAAAGGAAAACAGAACAGAATTCACTTAAGAAATCATTACTAATTCATAAGTGTCTCTCCTGAAGTGTATCTCATTACTGCTTCCTTTGTGTCAGAGCAAAAGTGCTTCTCTGAAACAAGGCAACCAGGAAAACATGAAGCAGATTGTTTCTGAGCAGACCACAGTGAGAATGAAAGACAAATGTTTAAAGAGCTGTTTGCAGTGAGAAGCATATCAAAAGTTTCTGGGTTGTGTACAAGCTCAAACAAGGTTCTGTGTTTGTGATTGAAAAGTACATCAGACACTCAATAAGTCGTCGTTGTTGGGAATTTATCTATTATTGTGAACACATTCACAGTAAATAAAAAAAAAAAACGAATTTCATTATTATACAAAGAATTTTAATGTGAAAAATGCAAAGAAAATACAAAATGTAACATTGGTGGTTTAAACAAATAGAACATTTTAGATAATTCATCATATTGTTCATTATTAATCAACTTGTGTTTGTTTTTTGATGAAATTCCCCGCATTAATTTAACTTTCAAACAAATGTTCAGGGACAGTAGAGCCTCTGGGTAAATAAGTCGTTTCACATATAGTACAGTAAGATATTTACGATCACAGTTGGAATTTTACTGTTTGGCAGAATGTCACTTTTAAAGGAATTCACAGCTCATCTACTCTAAACACTTCTTACACATAATTCTATAGTTCAGTCAGAAGAGGAAACATGTGGATATTAGACCTTGGAAACAGTGATTGGTTTTGTTTAATTGGACTACAGTAGATGTACCTTTATTACTCGTGTTGGTATGTGTGCAATCCTGCAGCAAGTGAAAGCAGATCTCACCAGTAGCATCCTCGTGCTGGAATGACGCGCGTGTGTGTGTGTGTGTGTGTGTGTGTGTGTGTGATGACAATGTGACGTGATGCTGTATTGAAAATGTTTTCGTGACTCAAAAGAAGTCTGTACTCTTACAATTTGAGGCTTACGTTTTAGTTATATAGTTTATTGGTGAGATATGGCAACATCCCTAGAAAGATGTATGGTGGGTTTTTAGCTCATCAAAAAAGAAGCACTACGTTTATCACATTTCGTTACTGGCACATTCAATGTTCTTAAGGCTGAAGGTTCAGTCAGTCTTTAGGGCATTTTTGTTTTGTGGTCTTTGTGGTTAGTATCCTGCTGACATCCCACCCTTCCTGCGGTCCGATACAGCCACTATGCATCCGTTCTCCATTTCCACCGCATTGACTACATTGAAGAAGAATCTCCAGTTTCCTGACTTGTGTCCAAAACCTAAGAGGCCATCTTCCACAGACTGAGGGCAAACAAAATACAAAATACACACACAAATGAATAAAAAACGAATCAGGGTTCAATATTTGAATACAGTTAAAATTAAACACACTGTGCTGGATTAGGACGTGGTATCTAAATTACCGTTAACAGAAACGTTATCCATTAGATAGACCGTCTATAGATTAGATAGACGGTCAAATGTCACTGTTGGACAGCGGCGTGAGAAAATAGGAGTGTCTCACCTTGTCGAAACCAGGCTCAAAGTTCACACCATTGCTGGAATCCACAAACACTATAGGCGCAGCAATGGCGTCTTTCAGATTCATCCCCAGCCACAGGCGATTCATCATAGACTAAAAGAAAGAGGAGAAGCACGTAAAGCCAACAAATGCGAAAGCAGAAAAACAGGTACGCATACAGAGTTCAGAGGAGTTACCATGGCCACCGCCGAGGTAATCATGCTTCCTCCCGATCCACCAATCACGAGGAGTCCTCCAGACTTTGACTCCACTATCACTGGAATCATTGAGGAAGGAGGCTGCTCACCTTCAGAAACAGTTAAAATGGCTATTAGACTGATATACATCTTGTACCTCAGGATGAAAGTGCATGTTAGTGGACTGTACCTGCCCGCACGGTCGTGGCTCTCCCACAGAAGTCACTCAGCTCATTGTTGAGGATGACGCCCGTCCGTGGAGAGTAGATGCCTCCTCCGAACCTACCAAACGGAACACAGCAGACTGAGCAATTCACTATCACATCGTAGTAGAGGTGATATGACATCCACAAGGTTGGAAACTCACAATTGGTTTATGGTGCTGGTCACAGAGACGGCCAGTCCATCTTCATCCAGGATGGAGACATGCGTCGTCCCCACGTGGTCCCTGGAGGGCTTGGCATTAAAGTAGTAAGAGTTTTCAAAGGAGCTGTTGGAAAGGATCATGCCCCTGATGCGATTAATGAAGGAGGCATTGTTCAAATGATCTGCACTCTGAAAAAAAGAGAATGTCATATTAGCACTGGGAACGGGTATAATAACACTCTGTATGCAGGATTTTTTTTTAAACTGCAGCTCAAATTAAATTTCTTTATTTCTCGTCTGGAGTCTGTTTTGTTTCTAAACCTTTTTGAGATTTAGTTTTTTTTCTGGAATTGAACTGGAGAAGTAGCAGTTATATGGAACATATCCAAAGGGAAAGGTTTAGCATACTCCTGCCGAGAGCTACACTGAGTAAAAGGTAATAATCTTCTCATCCAAATCTCAAGACAGCGTACTTCAAAAAATTGCAAATTTTCACTTGAACTACTACTAATACATTCTTCAGTATTTTTTTGTGTTTTCATACATGTTGGTGGACAATTCTGTGTAATAAAATTTAACTATTTGCATTCCCAGCAGACATGGAAAAACACGTGTACGGAGTTGTGTTTCTGTCTACCCGGCAAATGTAAATCCAATATTCAATCTCCTTTCAGGTCCGTGTTTTGTTCTCCATCAATTCCTGAGGGAAATATCTGCTCTAATGTTCCACCAGCTAGCTGCCGTTTGTCTGTCTTCCATTTGGTGCCGGGCAGGTGGTTTACGGCGGATTTATCCGAGCTTCAGAATCAAGGTTTATGAGAATAGTAATAAAACAGCAAGTTGTGGGATGCCAAACCAAAACAATCAGCTGCAAGACACTAAAACGCAGCACATAACGGAAGGGAACAGCCTAATTGGGGATAGTTAATTCATCTCAGAAAAAGAGGAACCAAAACCTTTTTTTCATTAAAGACAGGATCACTGATGCTGCTCCTTTGTCCGTTAGTAAATTTAGCTGCTTCAATATAACGATGGTATGTCAGGATCTTCTCGTCACCAACCAGGGAGTTTGGGGACAAGGGGAACCCTGCAGAAGAAAAAGAAGAAGAACCAATTTTAAAATGATTACACACCTCAATCCTTCGCACAATGGGTCAAAGACACTATCATTTAACTGCTACAGCACGGTTCATGAGACCTTTCATCAGTCTTAGGATGAAGGCAAGCAGGGGGCCCCCGGCAGGTGGTGGAGGGACGTAAATCTTAGCGTCTCCGACAGGAACTGTCCATGCGTCCTCCACACGCACCTGGAAGGACTGCAGATCCTCCTTTTTCAAAGTCCCACCTAAGAGAAACAGGAAGAATACAGAAACAAATAGTTCATCTTAAATCATCTTTACCTCTCTAGGTTTACCTTTTCTACAATATGTGCAGGCATACAGGCAAATTATTGTGAAATTACACCAACCTGCAGCTTCTATGTCTTGGATTAGATCATGTCCTATCTTGCCCGTGTAGAAGGCTTCTGCCCCTTCGGCTGCAATTGTTTGCATTGTTTCTGCAAGTTTAGGAAACTTCAGAATGTCTCCTGTGCTCAGAACAGTTTTGTTTTTGTTGCACAAAACTTCACTGTAAAATGAATCAATGTGAAAAACATGTTATTATAACAAGTATAAAGTGACCACACAGAGAGATACTCCAACTTGTCACCCCCTACTTTGTTTCCAAAGAAGTTAAGTTCCACTTATCTGGATAGTCAACACTTCCCATGAATATTTATGACAGAAGGCGGCCACTGATTATATGAAATGAAAGATCATTCATTGCATTGTTCTGCCTTTTGCTATTAGAACGTAAAAATCTGTTTCTCTAATCCAAAAATATTTCAAATGAGTGTCCAACTATGTGACACTGTTATGCGATGTGAAATCCCGAAAGTCAATTGTTAACGCGGGGTTACGTAAAATGCTCAGATGAGTCAAAACCAGTGATTCATAGGAAAAGCCCTTTGCTCCCAAAGATTCAGCAGTGACACCGTCAGACCTTTGAAAGCTTACAGACAATATATGCAAATGTTGACAGGTCGTACCAGAGAGAGGACTTCTCCACGTGATCTTTCACAAGGCCGATCTGCAGAAGTTTTCCCAGGAACGCCGGCAGAGAGATGCCCTCCCTGGCCAGTTTGATCGTTGGCTCAAACAGCTTGGCCCAAGGCAGCTTCCCATACTGTTTGTGAACCGCTTCGTAGCCGCGCAGCTCCCCGGGAACGCCGATCCATTGGCTGCCTGTAATGTACAGGTGGGAAACGGTGCAGCTGCATTGAAAAGATGATTGTGGGTGCGTTTGCTTTATTTGGAACAGAAAGAGGAGCAATACAGCAAAAATGTGTTTTGGACTATTTTACTGGTGATGGATTAAATATAAATTAAATTGGTCCTTCTATCTGCTTACAAATGCAACAACATCAAATATAACAAAGTATGTTATAAACCATCTAGCTAACCTTTGTATAGCGCTTGTCAAATATATGTAAGGTGGTAAAGTGTCCCCCATGTGAAAAGGATAGGAATGAAAAGTCCAGTAATGCACTTCACACAGATGGACAAGTCTGCCTACCTACGGTCAGCCCGAATGTTTTGGGACAGTCATCTAACAGGTTCTTCTTGAACGCCTTCGGGACGGTCTCTCTGAAGTTGTAGACTTTGACGTTGCCTGAGAAGAGAGAAGCCATCAGAACGATCGGTCGAGTCAATCCTTCTCATTTGAGGTCACACGGGTGAACAGGAAGACGCACCTTTTGTATTTCTAATGGTTAATATAGATCCTCCTCCAATCCCCATGCTCTGAGGGTTGACCACAGACGTGCACAGAAGAGCTGCAATGGCGCCATCTACTGCCGACCCCCCTTGCTGGAGCATGCTCCTGGAAAACATCGTCCCAGTCATTTTCACATGCTTTACGGCAAATGTTTCAACACGCAGTGAGTAAAACAATGTTTACTCGCAGCTGCACCCATCATTTGACTTGTTTGCTCAGCGTTATCAAAGACTTGGTATACACTTTCTCAATGTCCTGATGCTGTTTGTTCTCCAAGCAACACAAGCTGGTTGCAGAAAGGCGTTTTGTTTTTTTGAAAATAACAATTCTCATCCAATTCATTTAGCGGAGTGGACCGGCTCTGAGAGCTCTTTGTGGGTCTTTTCAAAGAGAGGTTGGCATGGGTTCAGATGTGTTCAGTCAGCGACAAGAAAAGGGCAGGGACAGGAATGTTTTTGTCTCGGTAAGGTCAGGCCTCTTTTTGCCGTTTGGGTGCACTTAAAGGACAAGATCCCAGGAGGAAGAACTAATAGGAAGAATCTAAGTAAAGGATTTTTATGCGAACAGTGTCGTCCAAACACCAAATGGTTGACACATAAGATTCCACAAACTGATATCACTACAGGCAACGCTAATATGGTGATTTTATTCACTGTGCTTTTTATTGTCCATACTTGAGATGATATGTTTAGGGTGAGTTCGAAAAAAAAGGTAGGTAATAAAGAGGTAATAAATAAACATTGTGGCTCACCACTGAATAAACGAGTATGAGCAAAGAGATCGTTTGGAAGATTAACATCAGTTAGTGTGTTTGGATCCCTGGTTTCATCTTGTCGTATCCAACAGGACAGTTTGCCAACAGGTGCTGACAGTCGGGGCCTGTCAGCACACATCCCTGCAGCCATAATCTCAGTGCTTCAGTCTGAGCCTATTAAATCTCTTAAACTGCTTACACCATTGCTCAATTCAGATTTTTTTTATTAGTATCTCACTCGTAGCAGCAGGGAAGGGCTGCCTACACAGAGTTCTGAACAACGAACGTTATTTCTGTAAACGAGTAACAGTAACATTGCACATGTATTACAACGCACGACCCAATCAACATCTACAAAAACGCTACAAACCTTTCCCTGCTTTAATCTCTAGGCGTTAATACATTGTCAAAGCCCACCTCAGGTCCAATGACTCACTTTTAAACTTCAGGAAAGAGACTCACCTGCCAACCTCGGAGCAGCGGAGCGAGTCCGCAGAAACGGCCGCGTGCGTAAAAGCGCCGGCGGGACACTTTCTGTCCGCTACTGGGAAGATGCACAGACAGACCAGAGCAACTGCGCCCGTTAAACCAGCCAGGACGAAGCAGCAAACCGCCCAGGGCTTCAATCTAGCCATTGGGGCAATAATAAAATGTGTGCTGAAAAGGGGGGCGGGGGGACTGGAACGGCAGCCTCTCAGCGCGAGCGCACGCTGTGTGTGTGAACACCGTCTGATCCTGAGCCGGGCTTTTACCCCTCCCCTCCATCAACTGCCTCTGGGGTAGACGTGAGATGCAGAGGGACGGAGTCACCGAAATGACCAGAGTGTTTTTTTGTTTTTTTGTCTAACACGCACGCTCGGGAATAACCCCGTAGCAACGTTTGAAAAGAGGTTCTTATCGGTTGTTACCAGAGAACTTCCACCGCTGGCGGTCTTTTTCCTGCTGTTTCATGTGGATCACTGACCCGCTGTGTCAGGAAACTGCAACGGGGAAACCACGCCAATCCCAGGTGTGCTGTATACTTAAGTCATTACGCTGGATAGTAGTGACAAAGGAGTCTCCATGAGGCCAAACAGAGACCACGCTACAGTTTCGTTATTTCGGGACACTTTCCCGCCGGCGTCCACTTTGCGGACATCTTATCTTCACTTTCTATTCTGTTCATAGTGCCTGCGTATTTCTTTCAGTTCAATGTGTACTGATAGTTTCAACGTTCCTGTTGTGTGTGAAAACACTGCAAGAATCAGGAGAGCTGCAACGTTTCTGTTGTTTACTTCAATTAATTTCAACGCACCGACCAGAAACACGTCATCGGCCCTATCAAAATACCGGCATGTTATCAAAATACGGGCATGCCGTGAAACCCTGTCGCGATAACAACCCCCCCTCCCAGGGGCGACCCAACTCACATCCCTGAATGGCAGATAACACATCAATAGAAAACCCGTAGCAGGTATCATTCAGAATACATTGTTAATGACTTCAGTCCAGACCGAACTAATCATTACAAAACTATTTACAACTTAAAGTGCCTTAGAACCCCAGAGTGAAGTAACTGGAACAGCGTGGATGAGGTTGAAACCGGCAATATAAAATTCAATGGTCTGTATGGATAAACGTATCTGTAACATAGTCCCTCAGGTAGCAAACAGTTCCCCCATAGAAAAAAATGACTTAAGCAGAAATAAATAAATGTATAGATATAGAAATACAGAAATATTCTGAAATACTTGCTGGAATAAATAAAAGAAAAGATTAATGAATGTAGGCAGAAATGAATTAACGTTGATAATCACGGTTCATAAACAAATACATGTCATGTATGTATTTCTACATCTGTTTACCTTCATTTCTTGATTTATTTGTGTTAAGGTGGGGGGTGAGGTGAATTTGGTGGGCCCAAAAGCACACGCACGGCAGTCTTAGATTTTCAGCCAAAATGAGTTTTATTTTCTCACAAAAAAACAAACAAGGGGAATACGGGAAACAGAAAGCGCTCCTCTGACTCAACTGGAGTCGGGAGGGAAACTCCACCGACGTCTGGTGGTCTGGGGTGGCTCAAGCAGGGTCTGGTGTGGAAACCCGAGGCCCGACACCATACTCACAGTCCAACTCGAAAAAAGCAGGTTACGTGCACTCCGAGGTACTCCGTGGGTCTGACACCAAAACAAACCAAAAACATGAATAAACTGGTCTAGCTGCTGAATCTTAGTATCTACGGCACCTGAGACCAGCCTGGATACTGGGACGGACTGACGACGAGCCTCTGAAAGCAGGGGCCTTTATGCTCGTCACCAGTGATCCCCGGAATGAGCCACAGCTGGGCACGTGGGAGAGGGGTGGGGCCGGAGGCGGAACACACAGGTGGAAACTATAGGTGGAAGAAACAAAACAAGCAAAAACAAAAGCAGACTGGGGGGAAAAACTGTTAATAAAACCGGGTCCCTAACAATTTGTGTATGTGTCTGTACTAATGCGGTGGTGGGTCCTAACCTCTGTCTGAAGCAGGCAGTGTCAACCCGACTAACCTTCTTTTTCCATTGTGAAATCTGAAAGGAGAACTTTGCTAAAGCAGATTTTAAGTGGCAGGCGGTCATCTTATCCCTTTTAAGAGATTAGCACAAATAATAAGCATATTACAAATAAGCATACTAAATGATTTCTTTCTCTTTCATCAGGCTCTGGAGAGACGATTATAACGGCGTACCTGATCTCTTCTACACCATCTTTACCAACCGTGAGGGAGACGGCCTTCTAAATCCTGACAACGAGATTCATCTCTTTACTCTATACGGCTGCTTTGTTCCCCACGTGCAGAAACCCCCACTTGAACAATCCTGCTTAAGAATGAGGTTTGGACCCCTCATGGATACAGCAATACAGAGATAAATAAATTAAGAAATACACAAATGTAGAAACAAATACCAAATGAAGAAATACAGAAATGTAGAAAAAGATTTCACTAGGAACACAAAATAGGGGTGGGGCAGGATGACCTGACATGAATGTTTAACTGAACTCAGCTGTGGGGGAATAAGGGGGGGGGACTAAACAAAGACAGGAAGTAAAGTGGTTCTTGAGGGAAAAGGTGGTCAAAAGAATGAAACAAGATGTTACAGTAGTTGCAGTCATAAACATTTGCAAGCCCAGTACATCTGCCTAACAACTAATGAAGTAACATAATGTTTCTCCTTTTGTTTCATTTATGTTATAGTGAAAATATAATGCATGTAGTTTTTTTTTCTACATACATTTCAACTGAGTTAATTCTGAATGTAGGAATGAAAACGTTCCGTTTCATTTCATTCCATTGTAATTATATTAACACCTGTCATTGAGATTAATCACGTCACAGTTTAGAATTAACACATAGGACTAGAGCCTTTTCCCCATGTATTACATTTTTTGTCAAAGAATCATAAACCATGTCCATGAAAATGGTCCTCTCCTCATCCGTCACAGGGACGGTCCGGAGGGATGGTTGCTGACCGATGCCCTGAATGTGCTCTGGCATCGAATCTCGCCGGTGCAGAAGTACAGCTGCGCCCACGGACCCGTACAAGCACAGTGCCATGAGAGGCAGCTGCTTCACTTGGACACTTTATCTTGCATTGAGTCTTTTAAAAAAAACAATAAACTACTTTCAGAAGATAATATTACCGGCAACAGTAATCTTCTTCTTCCCATTCAATGGTCAGGGAGAACATGTAGATTTAAATGCTTGCTGTCCAGTGCTGCTTATGATCGGTCACAAGTTCAACACAAGGGGGGGCCGCTGTGCACATTACCAGTAGCAAACCTCCTCTCTCCTGCACCAAAACTTCATCAAGTCAACCTACTTTAAAATACAGGTACAGTGGGGCATTTTGCATTGAAACAGCAGGTATTGCATCAGTACAGTTATTAGTACGGTGCAGCAGGAAACCCTGTGTGCTGTGTAGGAACAAGCTAAAGACATATAGTGTTGTAGAGGTAACTGATGAAAAGGTCTTTCTTGGTTTATTTGATGGATTGTGCATATTGCTGCTAGTTAACATGCCGGGCTGTTGTTTGCTGCGTGTTGTGCAATGTTGTGAGCTAATGGGGAAAAACATGAATGTAAGCTTTGTTTTTTGGCCTGCTGCTCAGAAAAAATAACTACAAAACGTTTTCCCTATTACTTTGTAGCATTATCTTAGTTTAGACTTTGTCATTACTAACATCCGTTGCAATGCACTCATAGACTGACGGACGGAAGAGTGACCGACATATTTCCTCGTTGTTTAAAAAGTTCCAAAAGCATTTCCGACAGCGTGAGTCACCGCTAAGGAACAAAATCACGCAGTGAAATGAAGCAGGGCTGGTGTGTGAAGATGGAAGAGTACTTTCAAGATCATTTGGAATACACACTGAATTCATAGATAATGCATGATTCCAAAAATACACAGTCACTTGAGTGCAGTACACTTATGCAACTGTCTCGTTGCAGTACATTTAAATGTGATACTAAATACTAACACAAGAACAAGATTATGCACTAGATTTTTATTTACATCCAATTACTGCTGTTACACTCTCTTTTTGTTACTCGTTACCGTAAGTAAGGTAACTTCTTCTTATTTGCTTTTTTATGAGAATTGTTGTGAAATATTTCAATAAAAGACAATGATTTCTTTTAATGTTTATCTAATAAAAAACAGAGTCTTGATGAATGATCAAAGTTGCAAAAAGTCCATTTATTGCTTGCAAGCAGGAGGCCAAATACACCAGCACGTATTACAGTGCTCTGTGGAGAAGGCGTCTCCGAGCAGTAAAAACGCTGAGTTTTTATACACACATGTGAAGGCCATCGTCAGTGGGAGGTACGAGAAGTTGCAAACCAAGTGGATATAAGAACCAAGGTGAAGATGAGGGTAACACACACGGTTCCTTTGTTCGAGCGCCTGTGTGAGAGCGAGTTACCTCCATTCTTCAGACACGGCTGCACATGGAAACCTTGAATCTTTCTGCTTTTGCACATCACTTCAATACAGACAAGAATCACTCTTTTAGCATAACATTATGTTATAACATATTTTTACCATTGCAGAATACATTAGGCCAACATAATCCAAGCTTCTTTTATTACATCCAAGAAATCTCAGCAAAGAGAACGATTGATCTTTGAGTAAGAGCTGCGTCATTCTTCTTCATTGCACAAATTCACTAGTAACTTGCGTAGACTTCATGTCCTGCCATTTATTTACCACACAAAGTGAAACACACCTGCTGTGTCTGGTAACAGTAACACTGATTGAACTGGCACCAGCCTCCATTTAGTGTAATGAAACCGTTATTGGAGTGGGTGGAAATTAAGCAGTTTAATCTCAAAGGAATTAACACCACCCTCATACAGCGGAGGCTGATTGGAAATAAGCTCATGAACGCGTCATCATGTCCTCATACTCACTGCTTCAAAGTCATTTAAGAAATATGGACTTTTTTTTGGAAAGCTTTTTGTGTCTCCAGCTGCTAATTGTTCGCGCTAATTATTCTAATTTGGCTACGAAAAACGTTACATTTCAACTCTACAACCAATGCTAAACTTTCAAAAGAAATTTCATCTTTAGCTTTTTTAAAGATGATGATGACGGTTTTCACCGGCGAGTGGGTTCTCACATTGGAGGAAAAATTCAGGAAACCAGAGGGGTAACATGAGGCGTAAAGAAATAAGGTTGGAAGTTTTATGCAAACTGAGCTGAATATGATCATTATACCTGATTATGAATAGTTGCATTATATGCACCAAAATGTGGCGGACCAGTAGTTTGTGATAATTTACATCGTATCACAGCCGTCTATCAATGACAAAAAGGCTTTAGTCAGAACTTTGTCGAAGTATCGGCTTCTGATTCGGCTTTGCTCCATGTGATCCTGTCTGTGATGTCGTAGTCTTCATATTGCATCCTGCAGAAAGAGCTTGTTAGATGATTTGGCCAAATGTGATGCTTGGGATGAGGGAGCTCTTTCTTCACCTTGTGGCCCACTGGCTGCTTTGATGTTAATAATTCAGGTCAGGCTGATTAATCCTTCAGTAATACTAAACTTCAACGGGGGACGAGGTTGATCAGAGAGGCAAAAAACTCTCAACAGCTCAAGTGAATCAGCTTTTTGTATGTTTCCAATACAAAATTTAACATGTACGCAACAAGAAAACCTCTTTAGACAAAGTAAGAAATCAACATTTGTCTTGTTTTAAGAGGGTCTCGTGCTCCATAAACATGTACGTTCGCGCAGGACGGTGATGGTTTTGATTTTGTGAAAATGCAATTGATATAATATATTTTCACAAAACAGAAATCCTAAATTGAGATCTGAACATCATCATACAAAGAGGATGCGTGATGACTTTAACTGATATGGTTCGGGTGAACGGCTCAGCAGCGCTGCACGGAGGATGAAAAGGTACAGCAGAGGAGTTGAAGCGGGACGATGTTGAAGAGAGGGGGGGAGGGGGGTGAGGATGGGCCTGATGGAGTGAAGATGCTTCTCCTCTCCCTGGAGCAGAGACACAGATGTCAGCGAACAAATATTCCCAAGAGAGATGAGGGCAAAAATCTGTTCATTTCTCAGCTTTTGCTGTGAAACACATTGCTGTGCTTGCTCGTCTAATTGGCTCCACGTATTGAAATCATTACACAGGTTTGCCCTGCATCCCAGGACAGCTGCTGTGAGAATTATGACCGTAGGTGTGCAGATGGGATGAGGCTGAAAGATTGTCACGCTGACAAATGTGGTATTTTTCTTCTCTTTCCCCCGAACTTTGCTGTTCACGCCTCAACATCATTTTTATCCGCAGATTACGCAGCTGCATTTAAAAATGTAGAATTTAGTCGTCCTATAACTATCATGAAAATAAAAGTGGAACGTATTCTAATGGGAACACAAAACTCAAAGATATTAGAAGAATATGGGTTTTTTATAATGAAAAAAGATGATGCAAAAATTGACCTCTCATTGATCTCTGGGAAAATTAATAGAACTAGAAAATGCATTTCCTGCTGAAAATACATGAAGTGGGAGCTGAATTTCAATAGATTTTCCAAAAAATACAGTTGCAGGAGCTTAAATGAATTTTAAAAAGTACAGAAATAACAAAAGCTGAGATGACTAAAAAGAGGTTTAAATTGTTTGTAGTAATATTAGTAGTAGTAGTTATAGTTGTAATTGTGGTATTAGTAGTACTAACTGTAGAAGTAGGTTTAGTATCAATAGCAGTAGAAACAGCTGTAATACTAATACTATTAGCCATAGTGGTATTTGTAATAACATTAGTCGTAGTTGTAGTATTAATAGCAGTAGAAGTACTAGTAGTATGGTAGTAGAAGTATCAGTTGTAGTAGTACTAGTACTAGTAACATTCTTGGTGGTTGTAGTAATATTTGAAAGAGCAATACGTATTTCAATGAAACTGCTTCATTCTGAGCTTCATGGTTAAGGTACAGATAATCATTGAGGCTTTTATTTTGAAATGATGGAATTGGGTGAGGGGGGGTTGGGAGACAGGATGTCTGTTATTCAAACTAAGAAGTTTTTAGTTAATAGGCCTCATCACAAACATTACAGTAAGAATTCTCTCCATGGGGCTTTTATTTTGAAATTATTGGATTGGGTGGGGTGGGGGGGTGAAGATAGAGGGAGGGAGGGTGAGAGGGTGAGGAAGGGAGGGGTGGTGAGGAAGAGATAGAGAGAGGAGGAGAAATAGACAGACAGACTGAGTGAGTGATTAACAGTGAGAAGAGGTCAGGGTGGAGAGGGGAGGGGGGGCGAATGTCTTCATGTTGGTCTGTTGACAGAAAGCATAGCTGCGTCATGTGACTCCACTAATCAGGTAATAGGAGCAGCTGTGAGTCACAGACAGAGATACTGCAGCGCGTGTGTGAGTAACCATGGCAACGGCGCACCTGGGGTCATTAACAAGCTGCTGAACAGGGCAGAGACAGGACAGCGAGTTACACAGAATCCACACCTCAAACAAGTGTTCTTTAGCGCAAAACTATAACAGCTATCTAAAAAATAAGACGTTTTTGCGAGACCCAGGACTCTACCGAACGCATCGATGTGGTTTTTATGTCTGGCCGGGAAAAAATACGGCTCCATGAACACATTAATCCAATCAGCACAACCATGCCATCATTAATACAAAGAAATGAAGCCTCAAAAGTGTATACTTTGGCTCTGAGGACAGAAGTTCCATATTTTTTTAACCAGATTCTGACGCTGCCCCACACTCTAGCCCTCGAGGTCAAGAAACGCAATATGTGGGGTCCCCAGGATGGATATGCTATAGTAAAGGGACACCCCCCTATATTCCATTATTTATGTATTTGATTTTCTAATTGTAACCCTCATGAAGTTAGGGCTACTAATACCAGTAGTAGTGGCAGTTATTGCCTCGGGGGTGCACGCTTGTGTTCTGCTCAAGGGAGCTACCCACGAGCGAGGAATCCTTTTTTTTTTTTTATCCTTCCAGGAGACGTGAAGGAAAGAGCTCCCGGATTTCGATTGTTTTTTTATGCACACTAGAAGAACCTGAACCCTGTGAATCTGAATGCTGAGATGGCGACCTAAACCCGGATCGTGGATGCGGTTGTGTATCTAGAAGACGTCAGACTCCAGTCCTGCCGTCAGGTAGACGGTAGTTAGGTAGTTCAGAGAGACAGTAGGCCTATACCTGGACCATAGCGGAACTCGGACATTTGACGTACACACTATTAACGGACTAAGCGGATTATATCCTGGGGCTTGTATATATATCCACACTGGGAAGACTGAGTTCTTTCACAAGAAGCATACAATAACCCGATCATCTACTCTTCTTCTTTTTTTTTTGTTTCATACTGTTTTATATTGTGATTGTTGCATGACCGAGTGAAGCAATAAACTGGTCATTCGTTCAACTTCTTCTTTGTTTTAAACCTACCTTTCCTTCGAACCTAGGTAGATATTTAGTGCTTTTTCCTAATACCAGTCCCAAACAAGTGCTACATAATTATTTGTTGATTAAACTTGCATAGGTTCTTTTGCAAAGCAATATTATGTATATGTGTTGGTAAGTGAACAGGCACTGAGGTCACCTAAGGGGTCGTTGTTTAGAGACAACGGGGAGATGTTTTCGCGCGCTTGAAAAAAAGTAAGGAAAAGAGAAAGAAGAAGCGGAAAAGGAGTGTCCCTGTAACTTGGCGCTGATGCGCACTTCTTACCTGTGTTCACGGAGGAATAAAGATTGTCTTAAAACTAACGCACGCCTGGGTGTCACGAATGTCCATGTGTGCTACAAATACATGTAAAACTCAGAAACGGAGCGAAGAACTAGTGAAACATAATCAGTGATTATGAAAAAAGTAGAATAGATATCAACAAGCTGTTTTTTTCATAAAATAGTTGAGACTTGTGTCAACATTTGAAATGGTGTCTGTAGCTGAAAGATTGGTGAAGCTGAAAAGTTGAAGAGTTTAAGAGGATTTGAAAAACGGTCTCCATTGGAAAACCATGTTAAAATATTAATGAAGAAATAGAAGAAGAAGAAGTCGGAATAAAGATTCGAAGAACAATACTTGGAATGCTTAATGCATTCCAACAATA